AAGAAGATTAGTAGCAGGTTAAAGTATCTGGTGAAATGGGTAGGATATGATATCTCAGAAAACACGTGGAAACCTATTAAGAATTTGATGGGTTGCCATCAACTTGTGGAGCAGTACCACTAACAGACAGGTCAAAGTTCGCCCAGAATGAAGGGGAACCAACCAACTGAGTCAGACTAGGAGTGTCTGACGCAGCGGCAAGTTGAGCGGCGTCGTGTTCGTCAGCCAGACGCTCTAGCTCTCGAAGATCCTCAGCGCTTGGAGGATCCTCCTCATCCAGCCGCTCCAACACAGTCGAGTCGTGATCCAACATCCGCTCGCCACGATCTTTTAGAAACTGCTGTTGCTTGAATAAGTAAGCCACTTTGGCAGCAATACGGGCCTGTTCAGTAAGGGCCTTAGCAAGTTTGTTTTACATATCTGATTAATTGTATTTTAAATCATTCCACTCCCTATCACTGTAAAATTGTTTTTCATATTTTCAGTCATAACAAGTACAGGCAGCATAATTTTAGCTCTTTAAATCCATAATACAAGAGATGCCTCTCAGGAAATAATATTTGCAGGAACTTTCAATGATAAAACTATTATCATGAATCTTATTAGACTGACGGATACATTCCTTCACCTGATCATGATTAGCGCAACGACGAGACATGATGGACTATCATAGGAAAAAGAGAAATTGAGAAAACTTAACCAATACAGGAGGGACACGCATCTTTATGTCTCTTAAGAATAAGAAACCTCGAAGAAGGGAGAGTGATGTTACAGACCCCTGCTAGCCAGGTTACTAGCAGAAGCAGACTCATCAGGCAGAAAGGTAATGATCAGGAAGGACTCAGGCAGCCAGCAACTCTTATTAAGTAAGATCCCGGTTAGGATAATACCCGAGGTAATGCTGTGTCACGTGACTATCTACCATTAGATCTATTATCAAGGATATATGATATAGTATATGGAATCTAGGAATATGATTAGATCAATCCTTGATCTACCCTGAATGGTATATGAAATGGTATATAAAGGATAGGATATAAGGATACTCTTTCATGTACTTAACTAGTTCTGTTCTTCGTGCTTAATTCATATTATCTTTAAGTAACCTATATTTTGGTAGAGCTTAGCGATAACACTTGTCCGCACTTACTTACGGATAGCTGCGCGGCACTATCTGGCCTTACTTCTCTTCTTCTGTTCAGATCAAGTCATCTTTAGATAGTTAACAACCTGACTACCTTTGATTCAGTTCACAAGGTACGTATCGGAACGGGAGCTAAGCTAACAGGAACAGGGAGAAGCGATCCTAGGGTTTGACAATATATAAGATTAGTTCTATATAAATTATATCTATATCAGTTATAATATAAGCTGAAAAAGTGTGAATTTCATGTATAGGAAACGAAGTTTTTAAAATACTGGATATCTATAAAAAGAATCTATACTAAGCAAGCTAAAGTGTAAGTTATATGGGATTAGCCTTAATCTAGAAATCTGAAAGAACTACAGCAGTTTATCAGATTAATTAACTACTATTAATGATTCATAGACAGATACGCTATCCATATAATACTATTCTTTAAGCTTATAAAGAAGTTAAAGAAGTACTAGTAAAAAGAACCACAGTAGAACGCGTTTGAAAATATTAAGTAATGACTTATTATATTACCAGTACTTGTACAGTATAATCTAAAAAAAGAAATAACCATCAAAACCGATATATCAGACTATATTATTAATATGCGTATAACGCAACCCGGAGAAAATAAAAAGCTAAGACTGATTATATTTTACTCAAGAAAGTTGGTTCAAGTAAAACTCAACTATGATATTTATAATAAGGAATTGCTAGCTATAATAATAATATTTAAACAGTAAAGAATCTATCTTAAAAATAAAGCATACTGTTATTATAAAAATAGACCATAAGAAATTAACCTACTTTATAATAACTAAAAAATTGACCAGAAGGCAAGCATGATGAACTAAGATTCTATTATAATATGACTTCAGAATTATACACTGTAAAAGAGCAGAGAATAAATATATAGATGTACTGAGCCGCAGACCAGATTATAAACTAGATAAGAAGGTTATTAAACCAGCCATCCTGAAGCGAAACACGGATGAATTAATTAGCTATAACAAGACCAATCTAGCAGCAATATTGAAAATAGGTAATAATCTAATTAAATAATTGACTAAAGATATAAAAAATGATAAAATATTCTAAGAAATGAGTAAGGACTTACCAGACAAGATTACTATTAATAAAAATAGACTAGCCTATTTTTATAAGTTAATCTTTGTATCAACTATAATAAGGATAAAGATTATGGCTAGATACTATAATAGACTGCTTAAGGGTTATTTAAGAGTAGAAAAGATAACTGAACTAATTATAAGGAATTACTATATTCTGAACCTCAGATAGAAAGTACGTGATTATATTAAATAATATAAGACTTATATTAGAAATAAGTCTGTAAGATACCAGCCTTATAGATAAATATAAGTACAGGAGATGCTATAATAATTATAAAAATAAATAATAATTAACTTTATTAGTTTATTATCAGAATCGGAAGGATTTAATACTATTATAATCATTATTAATTACTTTACTAAATATATCTATCTTATATTAAGTAAGATAATAATAACAGTAATATAGATAGTAGAACTATTTTTAGAAAATATTGTTACATATTATAAAATATTAAAGTATATTATATTAAATCAAGATAAGTTATTTATCTTAAAGTTCTGAAGATTACTTGTAGATCTTATAAAAATAAAAGAATAAATAATAATAACTTATTATCTGCAGATAAATAGATAAATAAAAAGAGTTAATTAGATAATTAAATAATATCTGAGATACTACGTGAACTATTAATAAAACAATTAAATAAATCTATTATTAATAATATAGTTCTTATATAATAATATTAGTTACTTAATTATTAAAATCTCACTGTTTTATACTAATTACAGATATTACCCAAGGTTTTTGGAAATGTTATTAGAAAAGTAGTAAGTAACTAATATAATTAAGAATATTATTATATTTATGGAAAACATGTATTTACAGTTATTTTAAGATATTAAGTTTATAAACTTGCGCAGCAAGATGTACTATAATTATAGATATAAAAAAGAATCTAATCTTAAAAAAGGAAAGAAGATGTTTTTACTTTATAAAAATATTAAGATAAAATAACTAAGTCAGAAGCTTGATTATTATAAGCTAAGATTATTTATTATTAAAGATAAGAAAAGACTGGTTAACTATAAGTTAAGGTTGCCAAAATCAATGAATAAAATTTATCCAGTATTTTATATCTCATTATTGAAACCCGTATTAAAAAATGCTAAAATTACAGAAAATATGGAGATTGATAATAATACAGAGAAAGAATATAAAGTTAAAAAGATCCTGGACTATAAGAAGATTAGTAGCAGATTACAGTATTTAATAAAATAGGAAGAATATGATATCTCAGAAAACACGTGGGAACTTATCAAGAATTTAACAGGTTATTACCAGCTTGTGGAGTAGTACTACTAACAGACAGATTAAAATTTGTCTAGAAAGAAGGGAAACTAACTAACTGAGTTAGACTAAGAGTGTCTGATATAGTGGCAAGTTGAGCAGCGTTATATTCATTAGCCAGATGCTTTAGCTCTTGGAGGTCCTCAGTGCTTGGAGGATCCTTATTATCCAGTTATTTTAACATATTCGAGTCATGATCTAACATCTGACTATCACAATTCTTCAGAAATCTGCGATGTTTTTGCAACTGCTTTATTTTTATAAATAATAGTTTAATCTGTTCTTCAGTCTTCTCAATTTCTTGAGCTATCTTTTCTTTATTATGTTAAAGCTTATCCCACTCAGAATCACTATAAAATTACTTTTTATATTTTTAGCCACGATGAGTGCAGGCCACACAATTTCGGTTTTTGGAATTCATAAAACAAGAAAGACTGTGGAAATCGTACTAAGTACAAGAAAAGTTGACCTAGACACTGTTATAAATAATCTGGTCAGCCTGTTGACAGTACTCCTTATAATGATTATACAGAGGCATGATGATCTATCTTGAGAAAAAGAAAATCAAGAAACTCAACTAACCTGGACGAGGGACACGCACCTTTATGTTCTTAAGGATAAGAATCTTGAAGGAGGGGAGGTGGTGTTACAGACCTCTGCTAGCTGAATAACTAGTAAGGCAGGCATGTCAGGCAGAAGGCCACATCCAGACAGAGAGGGGCTCTTATTAAGAAGGATCCCGACCTGAACTGTCAGGCAATATGGATCATGTGATTATAGTATATAAATAAGTATGTAATATATAATATATTATCATGATTTATGACTATTAAGTAAGTATATAATAGACCTGATGGTATATAGAATAGTATATGGAGAATGGATATATAAGAACACTTCTTTATGTACTTAGTTAGTTCTGTTCTTCATGCTCAATTCTAATTGTCTTTAAGTAATCTATGTTTTAATAGAGCTTAGTAACAATACTTGTCTGCACTTACTTACGGATAGCTGCGCGGCACTATCTGGCCTTACTTCTCTTCTTCTGTTCAGATCAAGTCATCTTTAGATAGTCAATAACCTGACTACCTTTGATTCAGTTCACAAGGTACGTATTGGAACGGGAGCTAAGCTAACAGGAACAGGGAGAAGCGATCCTAGGGTTTGACAATTATATAATGAAAATATAAATAGTTATATGAGTATTAATTTTTAAATATTTTGTATCTGCTATCTTATTAAAAAAATATAATTATATTTTTAAAGATTATATTATTTTAAAAGTACTTTCTAAGTATTTTTTAAGTAGTTTAATTATAAATCAAAAACTTATATATTTCTAAAGTTAAATTAATATTTTATTAATGTATTAAATACAGTGAATTACATGGTTTTATTACAGTAATGTATAAGATGATGTGGTTCATTCCTGCTTACTAATGGTCTTGGCATCACGTGAAAATAGGTACGGCTCACATGAACATTAAAACTAGGTCGCGTGAACTACGTCCACGCAGGATGTGGATAGAATTTGGTTAAGGCGTTGGGTAAGGTACTACTACTCTGGTTCTTGCTGCCATTCGGTGTGTATAGACACGTGTCGGTGCGTGTTTTCCATTGTTTTATTGTTTAAACAAAAATGTCGCCAGTGGCTACGATTGGGCCGAGCGAAGAAAGTAGAACCGAGCCCTAGCCAAAATATCAGGACACCGTAATCTATAGTCAGTCCGAGACGCCTGAACCGACAACAATAGGGGGTATCCGCAAACTCGCAAAACGCAGGCCGAACAAAGAAACTCGAGGGAAGAAGAGATTGTCTCATCTTCCACAGAACACTGTTTTGAAAGCCATTAATCAAAGCCGAAGAATCTGCCTTAGCTGCTGAGCCCACTCATGCCCCCAATACTCGAACGAGGTCCATTTCGGCGTGGTTGGCCCTGCTCACTGGGCGTTACCAACCGTACCTTCTTGGGTGACATGGTGCTAGTGGAGGCTCCACTAGGCCCAATGCTCGTCGCGGTAGTCGTAGTCGTGGAAGCGCTCCCCGCCGATGCACCAACGCCCAACATCCCACGAACTTTCTCGACAGCCCTGCTCTCCCCCTTAGTCCATGTATCTCGTTTGACAAAGCCCACACCAGCTTTTCGGCCAGCAGAATCACGTCTCTTCGACTCTTCGAGCAGCACGGAGCGATTGTGTTCGCGACGAGGGCCCGGACCACAATCGTGCATGCATCCTGGCATGGCGCAACCACCCTCGCTGACCGAGACATCATTCAGCCATGTACTTATGCAAGCCAGATGGCCTCCATGGCCGCAGCCTTGGCACCACGTCCAGAGAGTGGATCCTTTAGGCCGAGGAGGCGGGGAGGGGTCGGGGAAAGCTGAATCCAGATGCTGCAATTCGGACTGGGGAAGGAGATCTGTTTTCAGTGAGGAACGGGATGATGACATTGCGTGTGATGTGGCCTCCGATTCCGTCTCTTGGCATGAGGAAGCGGATGATCTTGATTGTTCCGCAACCCACTCGGGAGGCGGTTCGAGGCTCATGCAGATGGCACATGGCTCTTGAGGAGTGTTGCAACGATAACAACGACGGTTGTCGCTTTTTGGGTTTTCGTAAGGACGTTTGCATGTGAAACAGAAGACGTTTATATATGTGTCCGCTTGCGCGTACTCGTAGACTGCTGGGTAGGATGATACGCACAGCAACCGAAGCTCAGCAGCTTCAAGGTACATCGACTGACGCACCAACAGCTCATTGTACGCCTTGAATATGTATTCAGTCTCCTCGTCGGGAAGGATCTTGTCACAATCTTGGAAAATAAGGCGTAGTTTCTGAAGCAAGTGCGCAGCGGACTGAATATCCACATGAGTACCACTATGGTAGTGTCTGATTGCTTCTTTAATGAGCATTTCGACGCTCCATGGTTTGTTCGTCGTCACGTCGGGAGTAACCGGGAGAGTAACGTCGAGTAGATTCTGACTCGCTCCCGGAATTGTCGCGGTGAAGCGTACAGGGGCTTGGGCATCTTCGTCATACTTACCAACGGCTTTCAAAGGGCGGCTTTCCTTCAAAAGTGGAGGGGGGCTGGATGGCCGCTCGAGATGGATATGCTCCGGATATGTGATGCTTTCGTCCAAAGTTTCGCTATCTTGACTTCCTTTATCATTTGCAGCGGCGGCCCCGGGGACAGAGTCCCCTTTATCTCCAGTATAACTGCTACCAGGCGCAGCAGTAGCGACCTCTTGGTCACGACCACCATTCCCACGAGCCTCATACAGCTTGGCTGCCGACGACAGCGATGTAGCCATTGATTTTGGCGGTTGAGAGCTCTCTGTTGAGGCGGAGAACATCGGGAAGCTTTCTGACGATTCATGGCGATGGAAGCCGGGTGGCTTGATCGGCTCCATATGCGACTCTAGTGAAAGAATCTTCTTCGGAAATATTTTATAGTCACGAATGGCCGCCTTTTTATCCTCCATCTTCAGGTCATACTCATCTACTTCAGCAGCTCCCTTGGGAGCGACGGGAGGGATCTTCATATGCCAGTCCACTCTACCAGCAATAGCCCGGGGCGCAGACCTCTGGTCGTCCTCTGGATCTTGACGCACTGGGGCGCGTCCTGGTTCGGACGGCAGACTTTCGGGTGGGATGGGAGCATCTTCGCTTGCAGTAGATTGGCGATGCGTAAACTGATGGATTATTTGTGGATCGACATCTGACATGGATGACCAATCATTGGAGGTCATAGTGCCCTGATTAGAACTGAGAACTGATGGTGGAAGAGGCTTCATTTCCGTATTGTCGTTCAGAGACGTCATGTGCGAAGTTGAGCTGTCCAGAGATCCTAGGGGGGAATCGGGCAATGGTTGCGCGAGGGGCGTTGTCATATTTGACACGCTTTCAGAATCTGTCAGAGGATATTTCAGTGCTTCATTTTCCATTACACCTTTGAACAACTGGGCTTTTATTTTGTCATGCCTCCCATCTTCAGTTATCCTTTGTTTCTCAGAAATATGGCCTTCCTTGGAAGGCTTCTTCTTCATCGTGCGAGAGCCTTTCTCTAAGGAGTGACGCTGCTCTCTTGCTTTGAATTCGAGCTTCTGGACAACAGCAAACTTGATAATGCGCCAGGTCTGTGCTAATTTGAGTAAAGAAACGTCTTCGGAACATTGTGCATTGTGATTCAGCGAGTCGAGCAAGGATGACAATTTGTCCACTTGAACAGCATCTGCACCTTTGAGCAAAGCAGAATAATGTGAAGCCAGATACTGGAAGGTATCTCGATCTATCGTAGCCCCTGGGATGCTTCCAACTGCTCCAAGCTGGCGAGCCTCGGGGGTTTTAATCTTTGACAAAACCTTCTCTAATGGGAGGACAGCAACGAGGTCCGTCACAGCAGGCGGAGTACTGCCTAACGACTTAGACTGCCGAGCACTGCTAGACTTGCTATGCCGATGACGAATAGAAGCGAGCGAGGGCTCATCAAGCACATCTTCAGCAGGGCTCTGGCTCAATACTTCACCACTACTGTTCTCTTCTTGTTGAGGACCGACAAATTCGGTGGTGCTGAGGCCTAGAGTACTACGCTGGGGACGTTTTTGAACAAAGGCTAGCACTTCACCACTAGGGCTCCAAGCCACCGAGCACGTCGGCCGTTGGTTAATAATCTGGGGAGCGTATCGGATGTCGGTTTGGGTGAAAGCCCCGGCTTCACCGACTGTCCACAACAGATCTTTTGAATGCCAGAGCAGGTCGGTAGCATGGGCGTCGTATCGATCAAACTCGCGGAATGGTATGTGCGGCCGTCGAAGATCCCAGAGGTGCACTCGGGGATCTTCCTTGTCGTAAGATGTCACGACCTGGGATGACTGCCAATCGCCAGAGCCCTCCAGCTCCCTGGCCCAGGACGGCGGACGCCAACGAACGTTGAGAACAGCCTGGGGAGTCCGGAACTGAAAAGTTGGTTTCTGCCTGCGCTCGGCTGAAGAGGAGAAATCCCAGACCTTGACTTGCCTATCCGTGCCACCGCTGACAATGTGTTTCCCGTCGGGGTGCCAGTCTACCGAGAAGCACGGTCGGTCATGAGCAGTGATGCGCATCAACGGAGCATTAGATCTGCGACAGTCCCACAATTGTATCGCACCGCTGTCCGTTGCAGTTGCGAACATGACCCCGTCGGTTGGGGACCACCTGATATCACGGATGGCATCACTGTTGCCATGGAACAGGTCAAGGCTCCCACACACCAAAACACCACGTTCCGCAGAAGCTGTCCGCATGTCCCACATTCGGATGGAAGAATCCTGACTCCCTGACAGAAGCCACGACGCATGGTGCGGGTTGAAAGCTAGCCGATGAACTTGGCGGCTGTGTCCCTGGAAGCGACAGCATTCCAAGCCGGTCCGGTGCAAATCATAGACTACAATTCGGCCATTAGCCACCGCCGTGGCAATAATCTGATCGTACTCTCCATGTGACCACTTCACGTCTCTCACGGTCAGCTGGTCTTTATGCCGGGCGGAAAGCCCGCTGCCAACATGATGAGTGGAGGAATAACTAATGATGGCATTGCGAAGGTTAAACTCCTCTGAGGAGTGATCAGGCAACACGCGGATCGTCTTTAAGATCTCCTTGCCGCCGATGACTGCATGTGTCCGCTGCGGGGAGATGTCTAGAGCAGCAATCGGGATGCCGGTCTTATGGGAGACTGTCTGGGATTCGCCAGGTAATGACTTGGACCTTGTTGAACGGGGACTAGCCGACAGATCCGCCCGGCTTCCCGCCGTGTGTGGACTGGGAGGCCGAGACCCGGAGAAGAAGGGCTGGGCGAATCGTGCCAGAGCGCTGGCCGCGCGGTTGGAATACTTGTGACTCTGTTGCACGGGAGCTGGCGGAGGGGGAGGTGGCGGCGTTGGGGAGGAGCTGCTGCCTCGAGTGGGCAGTCGTGAGAAGTCGGACATGCTTGCCAGCCTGGAGTGGTCGGATATCAACCCGGTAAAGATCGGGACTGCAACATGATTGACCCAGTCACGATTGGTCCTGAGAAGGAGGTGGGAAAGGAAGATACGATACTCCGGGACACACGGGCGGCGGGTGAGGATGACGCCGCCGGCGCGCCGCGGTCACGGGGGCAAGATGCCAGTCACGTGACCCGCGACAGATACCGCTACGACCGGCAGGAGGCTCTACATTGATGGGCAGCGGAGGATTCGCCTGGGAGGCACCCCCAGACTTAGATCTACGGGCTTTGGATTCCCTAGACTGGATGGTTTGCGTAGAATGTTGACCAAGTTATATCCGAACTGGTTTGCTCTCGTCCCGGAAACGTGCCGAATCGACGATTCGCAGGCGAGAAGGACGAGGCAGAGGTAGAAGACGAATGGGACTGGACCGATCACTTCCATTCTCCCACCCGTTGGAATGGCTTGATCACCCGGGTTGCTTCCATGACAACCAGCGAGCGCGCCATATCAACCGCCGTAATCTTGGCTTCCACAACACTGAGAATGTCCAATTCAGGAAGCTCGGACATCTCCTCGGGGACCAGGACTTGGCAGCGAACTCCTAGGGACGTGATAACCGCAGTATACCCGTGTCCATCTGGGGTTCCGGCCATGGAGGTACTGCTGCACGGGCGCTGAATCAGGCACTCGAATGTCTCCGGGAGCGGGCACTCGGAGAAATAGAAGGCGCGGAACAAAAGCATACAGGCCCAGAACTGCTTCGACGCTACGTCACATTCCCGTATGCGGTTGCGCTTCCACTGAGACCGCGAAAGATATTCATCCACCTGTTCACGGGAGAAGGGTAGAGCTAACTCATCGGTCTGGGCGTCCAGGCGTCGGCCACGCTCATGTTCGAAGCGAATCGCAGCCTCGATCTGATAGTGTGCCAGAACGTCTGTGTATCTCCGTAAGGGACTGGTGGATTTGACATAGGCATCGAGTCCAAGCGGCGCATGATGGAGGGGACTGGACGAAGAGACCCCCTTAGGGGCTGCCAATTCCAACCACGACTGCCCTCCGTACTCCGACATGTTCTCGTTGGTCACCTTGGGGTATTCCGGGTGGTAGTATGTTCCGTCATAAATAGTGGGGATGTTGCGCTCAGCCATCCATTTCGCAGAAACCCAACACCCGAGGTTCATTAGGGCCGCGATGAGGTTGCGCTTCGTGAGATCAGCGACTTCATGAGGATCGGTTTGTCGCTGGGCCAACTGGATGACGGGATCACCAATGACGTAACGTCCTTCTGGTACTTTCATATTGGAGGGTTCCAAAGGCTTCGTACCGACGGCCATGGACACGGAAATATCGGGCCCTGAAGGCCATTCCATGGCGCCGTTTTTGCGCCGCTGCTCTCTGAATGCCAACATCAACTGTCTCAGTGTATGGAAGGTGTGTTCGTCTTCGGGAGCCAGCTCCTCTTGCAAGCAGTCACGCAAGTTGCGCTTGGGCATTTCTCCTCCCACTTTCAAGGGTTCCAAGCCTTTTTCAGTGCCGGGCTCGAAAAGACTGCGCAACTTGTCGTGCGTTATGTAGATCACATTCCTGACAGTTCCATTCGCGACGTTGGTGTCCAGAACCTCGCCTTGCATGTTCATCTTGGCGCTGAAGGTGAGTGTTGGACGGCCTGAAGCTAAGCTGAAGTGCTTTTGTGTGAAAGGGCTTGGCAGCATGGGGTATGTACGCTCCGGGGCGTACATCGTCTGGAGGCGCGAAGCAGCGTATTTCATGATCGTGCCGTCATGTTCAAGGAAGGCCGTAGGGTTAGCCACATGTATATGGATCCAGAATGTATCGTTCGATCCTGGTACGCGTTCGAGCGAGACACCGTCGTCAATCTCCTCAGCGGTCACATCGTCCACACAGTAGACCGGTAGATCGCCCCAGTCGGTCCGCACATCCTGCATCTTGTCTGAAAACTTCTCCGAGTCAAGCTTCTCGCACTCTCGTTGAACTTCCGCCCAGGAGGCATCCGAACTGGGAGAAATGCCATGGCCCGGAAGGCCTAGACCTTGATCGAGTAGGCGCAGATTCTCCCAGGGGTAGAAGACACCCAATTCCTGCAGAAACAAAGTTGCCGTTAATGGGTTCAGTTCAACAGCACCATACATGCCTGTGCTACGCATAATATGCGAACCGGCCGAGCGCATAGTCCCAGAACTCATTCTGCGAGGAGGAAGGCACCATAGCTGTAGGTACTCGATGATCATACGATCGGTATCAGTGAACTTTTCTGTGAGAATTTCACGATAGGTCTCATCCTTGCCATCCTGATGTGGTGCAAATCGCTGAGCACTTGGGCCGACGCAAGCCATCGTCGTAGGTGCACGAACGTTTCGGCTGAGCTTTATGAGTCGCTGAGCCTTTTGGAAGAATTTCTGTAGAGGATGGTCCTTGAAGCTGGCGACACCCTTGGAATGAACACTTCGGTAAAGATAGTCTTGGTGTTCGTGGGTCCAGGTCGTAACCGTTTGGATGACTGTGGCGATTCGTCTCGGCTTGACTAGGTAATGGTTGGTGAAAAGCGAACTCCGGTCATTCTCAATAAAGAAAGAATGGACATGGGCGATGCGATGCACAAGGAATAAGAAAACGTCATTCAGCTGATCCATTTCAATACCAAGAACTTTGCAGGTGAGCTCTTCTAATGTGTATTCCCGGAAATTCTCATCGTCGGCCACTAGATCATGGATACTATCGAGTCGAGACGCATTGGCGCGGTAGAGGTCTTGCACATCCTGGTCGAAGCGGTACATCTTCTGGAGAAGCTCAGCTCCGACATTCCTCGGAACTCCACCTTCGATAACCGATTGGAATTCCAACTTCATCTGGGCGGCTGCGCCGGGGACGTGCGGGAGCAGAGGCGCGACCATTTCTGGAGGCACAAACCGCTTCACGACATAGTCAATATCCTTGGCAAATGCTATCCGCCACTTTCCTCGTTCCGTATAGAATTGCTGCTGTTTATGGACGGATCGGATGTATATCGCAAATGACAGAACCCCGTCAACACTATTTTACCCGCAGATCAAAAGTTAGCGTTGGCCATTGAATCACGCGAGGGCAGAAGTCCCGGCAGTTTGCACTTACGAAGTTATCGCAACAAGATCTCCGGGCTCCAAGTATTGATTAAGACCCTCTCCTTCATCAGCCGTATTCGTGAAATCGAAAGAATCATCTGCCGTTCGTAGGGCATCGCTTCCGGCATCGCGAGCCTCACGGTTGTCGTTCAACATGTTTCCCACCCAAGGTGCAGACGCATCCAGAGAATTTGAGGTTCCGGGTCCTCGGACAGGGTCCATGTCGTTGGGCTGAGACTGCTGCCATTTTTTCAGGTAGGTTCGTATGTCCTTGTGTTCGTCGAACTCGAGCTTGAGACGGAGGTTGAGGACTTCAGTCGACGAATTCAAGAGGTCTTGGTCGAGGTACTTCGAGCTAGAGCTGAAGTGTCGCCGCGATACGAGTTGGGAGTAGTTGGAGAGATCGCTACGGCGTGGGATCGGTGGCGCGCGAGAGGCAATGCCGCAAACAAATTTCGACGTGAGCGCATGGTTCACCCTAGCCACTCGTTGTAGTACTCTCGTCTTCGGAAGTAACAAAGGCATCCTAGACCATCCATCATACATGCCCACAACCTTGAGGCAATCAATTTCTCCGGCAGGCTGGTGGAAGAGCGAATGAGAAATGGGAGGCGACAAGAGAAGATGGCCTAGGTCACATGCTGCCAAGCAATACCTCACGTGACCACAAACACGTGATCTGGCGTTTGTTGGAGATAATTAGGCTTATCTAGATAGTGCCGTGATATAGCCTCGGCTCATACTTCAGTGGGCTTAGCGCTCTATTCCCCCCATACGTCATAGGTAGATACATCTCACAAAAACATATCGACTCAAGTCTCCGCAAGGGTCGCGGGATCCCTATAGTATGTAGACGATCCTGTTGCGACACCATTTATTTATGCAAATGCAAACCATTTGAGCCCGGAATTAAACACTGAAATGTGCAGAGGCCATAAAATCTTCCTTTTTATTAGGATTAGTAGCATCAGTATAAATGCTAGCACCAATACGAACACTTACATTTTCGCAAGTAAAGCCAAACAAGTCACGCGTGGACAGCTTCAATAAAGGTCAGATTAAGCGATCTAAGTAGACTTCATTATCAATTCTGCCGGCAGTTAATACCAAAAAAAATCACATTTGCTTGATGGCCGCTAATGACCGTCATGCTCGTCTAATCTCTCACAGGCATGCGAGAGCCATGTGTGGGAGCAAACGGACGTGCATAGCGAGGGTCAAATTATAAGAAGACATATGCCGTTGTCTAGGGAGAGTGAGAACATTGTATAGCCTCATATCATTATTGTCTATCATACAGTATACTCCGTATAGTTTGTAAAGAGTAGAGACCACCGGGGTCGGATCGGGACATTAGATAATGCAGCTCGCCACCGCAGCCAGGAGGACGGATGTACTTTCTCCTATATGTGTTGCTGTGCGTTGATTCATGTACTGGAAGTTGGATTGAACAGTGGTTTGGGGCAGTATTCGTATACTTGCTTCAACCGGGAAGCGCCTACGTAGCCAACATCACGCAGCGGGCCCCATTTGGATTAAGTTGAATTGGCAAATCGACGCGATTCGAAGGCGAGAAAGCTCCCATCTATACAGGAGGGATGGACTCCCGGCAGATTGGACACTGCAGCCGGAGTCGCATCCAGCTCTCGAGACAGGTGCTATGAAAGATATGCCGGCATGGAGTAACCATGTACGTCCGTCGGCTGAGGAGGCTCGTGGCCCCGTCTGTAACGCTGCTGCCGCCGGACCCTCTGGGCGCCGCAAGGACGGGAACCTCAATCTCCTGCATGCAGATGGCACAGTCAAAGATGGCCTTCTTTTTATCTTTCGCCCGCTGCTTGTCTTCATCCTTAGCTTCGCTAGAGAATTCTCGCTCGTCAGCCCGCAAGGCCCCAATCGGGAGGACTCCACCAGACTCAAGATCGTCGGCCGATCCAGCGCTATCGCGTAGCACAGGGTGGTAGTCATAGGCGGGTGGCGCCCAGCCGCGAGGTACGAAGAACCGTGGCCCTAGGATATCCTGACTCGCCAATATCCAGACCTGAATCCACACCCAGCCAGCCAGGGCCAGAGCGGTGGTCGAGTCAGGCCGGATAAAAAGCACATTTCCCCGAGCGGTTAAGAAATAGATAAAGGGAAATAGCCGCAGAAAACTTTGACCGACCACGAAATCCCAGCGCAGGGCTTTGCGGCAGTTGCGCATCACATTGCGATATATCTGCGGTACCCAGAAGGATAGGTAGACGAACCCGAGGGCCCGAGCATATATGGCCCCCATTCGGTTGGGCCAAAGGAACGACCATATAGATAGAATGAGCAGGACAAACAAGGTAAAGTAGAACCGGGCGTACATGGCTCCAACATCACCCCGAGTATCCCGCGCAGTCGGCGCAGTGCCCGGATTCGCAGGTGGCTCATCTTCTTCCGCCGGAGGGTCCTGGTCGGGGGTAAGAATAATCGGTGTCGCGCCGGTATCACTGACTCGAGCCGTAGTGGCAGGCAGGGGCAAGTTCCCTGTGCGCGGAGTTGTCGAGAGGTTGGGCCGGCGGTCTTGCTCCCTCCGTTCGGGAGCCTGGACGGCCCAGATCTCCATCATGAACTTCATCCCGATGTAGCTGACGGAAAGGAAGGCAAGGAAGGATGCAGTGGTCATGACGAGGAATGATACAGCAGGATAGAGCTCCAGAAGCATGAAAACGAGCACAAACGAATCTCCGAATGCCATGAGCGCGATTGTGTAGAAACTGACCCGGCTTCTAGTAGAAGGTGTGGACGCTTCCTTGATCTGACGCAGGAGCAACGCAATCTGGGCCACGGAGAAGGCCGAGATCACAAAGATTATGCGAGCCGAGTACTTCCCAAATTCCTCCAGTTTCGGACCCGACAGATACAGCGCGTCGGTGGGAGGGAAGTCTGGAGTTCCCTTGGTCTCAAGGACATACCCACAGTCGGGAGAGAATACCACCGCGGACATAACCAACAGTGGGGGGGATGGGATAGGCGCTCCCATAGGGTACCGCAATTCCTGTTCCAGTTGCTCAATGATGTCTTTGTCTGCGAGGTAGCCATGAATTGCGACCGGATGCTGCTGTAAGTAGACGATATGTTCACATTTCGGCGCGGGGTATTCCATCTGCTCAGTCCCGACCAGCGAGGACCAAGGAAACAGGGTGGGCGGCCGATTTTGTTTCTCAGATATAGTGTCCGAGAGAGACTTGATGAGGAGCTGGTGGGTGAGATTGTAGGCGTCCGACGAGAGGGCCAGGTGTGGCAACGAGAATACACCCCCAAACTTCTCGCTGGTTGTACTCAGAATGATGCTCCCGGTTTCCGGGAAATGAACACCAAATAGCGATAGATACCAAGTGTTGCCCCAGAAATCACCGCTCTCCACCGCCAATGTTGCTCGAATTTCCCGGACATGACCGTGAGGCAACCGAAGCTCTTCCCCGCCCCCCTCTCGTAGATCGAGATAGAAGGTGCCACTCTCTCCTGTAATATTGTGGCTGAACTCATGGGTGAAGTATTCGTTTTCGAGGACGATGGCCGTGGTATTCAACGGGGGGTGTTCCTTGTCCTGCTTGCGACGGACCCACTCCCCGCGTAGCTTCCCCGTCGCATTGCGATAGACAGGGAGGAGTAACTGTGTCAAGTTGAGATCAGGAAATGCGTCCGGGACCGCAAGGGTCTTGGGAGGCCTCAAGCCTGCTTCCGTCATGGTAGACCGGAGTTGAAGCCGGGCTCTGTCCTGGACGTCTGGAAGAAGATCCCAGGCATAACTGTCGTTTTTCCTGACCCCTGAGAAGGGGAGCCATCTGTCGGCAGCCGGGTCAAAGTCTCCATACTTGGATTCATTTAGCATCCGAAGAGCATTGTGTTCCCTGGCCAGTTCCCGTTGGTGTTCTCGATCTTGGGACACCAAGGGAGAATGAGACTGCGAGCTCAGGAGGAGGTAGAAGACTACCAGAAAGAAAAAGAAAGAACCGCGGTGATCCATAGATGCCGATTCGTCGCGAGCATCGGACGTGAGGGTCTCCGAAGGTCAAACCTATGTCGTAGTGCGCGACATGGCCAGTTTACATCGGACCAGAACACGGGGGAGTAGTGGTCGCGGGGAAGCGGCCGTTGAACTTCTTGGCGAAGCGCCGGAGGATGGATGTGTTTATGCAATGAAGCCGCTTGCGACAATAGTGATGGAGTTGATCAGGGCCGTCAATTCCGGGGCGAATGCTGCCTGCAAGGAGGTCGGCAAGGGTCCCTCCGGGGGCGGTTATCTGACGTTCAGATTCAAAAGTTCAGATCTACCGCAAAGACGGTGGGGGGAATTGAAGGGGGAAAAGACCCGGCGTGATCCCGCGCGATCCCGTGCGGGGTCACATGACTCCCGCGGCGTTCTGTGCACGTGACGCTAGCGGGTCCACATACAATGAAAGCTTGTCGATGACGATGCCGTGTCAATGACGTCGTGATGACTCCTATAAATTATTTCCATCTATTGACATTGACATTACCTATCTATACACAGGAACCACAGATCTTCCTTCAACCGCTGGATTATCTCCCTAGATAGCACCACAGAAAGCGAGTTCCATTAGACCAATAGAATATCAATTGAAATTAGGTGCAAGCAAAATAAAGCAACCGTTCTTCGTACTCCGTGTATCCTCCAGCCATGTCTAAGTAGTTCGGAGCTGACCAAGCGGCAGCTTAGACAATTTTATATACGCGCTTCGCGATCAAGAAAGACGCGAAGGCAAAGAGAACCAGCCCCGCTGTGATAGACCAAAACCATGACAGGCTGTCGACATCTTGTCCCGGGACCTTCACGTTCATCCCCCACATCCCGCAGATGATGTTCAGCGGAAGGACAATCGTCCCCAACACTGTTAACTTCCCCAGAACGTCGGCTGTCTGTTCCTGCCGCTCATTCATGAGGATATTGATCTGCGCCAGGTAGTTGGAATGCGCCCGCGACAGAAGGGTTTCGTAGTAGGTCAGGCTGCTGGTCATCGTCATGATATGATCTTGGATATCACCCAGATAGAGACCAATCTCCGACTTGGGCGCCACTTCCCACTGTTCATTGCACCGTTTGGCAAACCCCTTGACAACATCCGCCTTGTTGCTGAGGAGCCGGTACATCCCCATTACCTTCTTGCGGCAGACCCCCACGCGCCGGAGCATCTCACCAGGGGCTAGAGATGTTTTTACACTCTCATTATCTCCATCTTTGTTTTGCCCTATCCCGCGCTCATCTGAATGCATCTGCATGATCTTCTCGTCGATCTCATCAACCTCATCCTCAATGGCCTGGATCAAGGGACCAAACACATCTGTAATATCGTCGATAAGCGCGTACGAAATCCAATCAGAGCTTAGAATCAGATAGTCCATCAGTTGTCGGATACGTCGGCGTACATTGGCTGGATGTGGAGTCTGAGAGAAATGAAAGGACAGCACACCTTCCCGGAAGACAACCACATACATGTTCACGGGTTCAAGGTAGTTTTCACTGTTAGGGTCTTGCTCAAAGGTCCGGTAATTCACAAAATAATAGTTCCGGAACAGCTCAACTTTCTCGCGTGCCTCTTCCATCATGATGTCCTCGGTTGTCAAAGCATGGATACCAAACGCCTTGGCCAGTACGCGCATCTCTGCGTCTGTTGGAGAGAGAACATCAAGCCAGAAGGTCGGTCGAGGCCCATACCGCTTGGGTTTCGGTTGAGGCGGTTTCCGTGGGGGAGATGCATCCACCGGTGTGCGTGCCTCTGAAACAGCTTCACTGATGATCGATGTCCGGGGCTGTCGTCTATGATTGTTGGAGAGGCCCTGGTGGGTGTTACTAGTGCCACCATGGGTGTTCCCATTCGGTGATGTTACCCGGGCTTCATTGCCGCTAGCATGATGGTTGTGGTAATCTGTTGTGTCCTCGCCATGCTGGTGAGACTCCGAGTCATCTTCGTCGGACGAGACCTCCAACTCAGGAGGGTCAGGGATGAAGAGCTCGCGAAAGCTGCCACCAGGCTGGCATAGCTCAGAAATGGTCTGGGCATGAATAGTACTCTGAAACTCTTCATTGAAGTAAGTGAATCGGTAGGGGGCTTCCTCTTCTTCACGTCGCCAGAGTCGGTATTGAGGACGAAGGCGACCCTCGACGAGCATGGGCTCGCTAATTTTTTTCGCGCGATAAGCCCCCGATCGTTCCTCTTTCTCCTGGCGACTCCAGTCTTCCAGGACAGATAGATCAGGCCATTCCCGGAGCCGTCGTCTCCGACGATAGCCTTCTCTGGCTGTTCTCTGTGCATCTTCTTCGGCCAGTTCTGAAACAACCTCAGTTGGAAAGCAAACATCCTCTTCAGCAGGGAAGGTTGTACGACGACGGAGACGCTCCTGGGGCATAATGTGGGGCGAAGCCGGTGAAGACCCGGAGGTTGTAGGACGATTATTGGCCCCATCAACATCAATCAACAAATCATGCGTGCGAGCCAGTTGTTCCATCCGATTATCAATCGACTTGGCCAGCGAAAAGTCAAACTCAGCCCCCGTTACCACCGCATCATCATAGTTCATCTCGGGTCCCAGTTTCGGCGAGGTTGGCATGGACGGGGGGTTATTGATATCATAATCGTGATCTGGCTCGGGAAACTTGGGGCTCTGTATCGCTCGAGGCGAGCATCGTGATGAACTTGAGCGGCTAGAGACAGGCCGTAGCTGGGGGAAAGAGAGGGGGCTCGACCTGAAATCAGAGCCGTATCGAGGCAAGCTGGGAGTATGGCCGGAGGACGGCAGCATCAATGGAGTCCGATCATTCACTTCTTCATCGTCGCTGTGAGCTTCCACTCTGGCCCCGGCCGGGAGGGTACGCGAACCCGAGTCGATGGGACGCAAAGGGGTGGATGAGGAGCCCGGACGGTAGGACTGAGCCAAGCGGCTGTCTCTCCGCGGCCTCATGGGCGGTTGATGGCGGTGGTCCAGTAAGGCTTCACTCTCTAGGCTAGTGCTACTGAGCCCCCTACCCAGCTTGTAGAACGGCAAGGCCGCTTGAGGCTTCGTCTGATCCGCTGCCATAATGCTGGTGTTCTCTGCATCGGGGATCGAGGCATGGGGTGCGGCCGGGTGAGGATCTTCTGCACCCCCCAGAAAGGATTGGCGGCGATGACGACGCTTCCGATGACGGGGTTTCTTCCGTTTGGCCGACTTGATTGTTCCCGATCGGCTGCCTGCACGGTCCGATCCAGGAGTCTCGTAGCCACGCGTGGTTCCTGACTGGGAGTCACCAAGTCGACTATTATGGCGGGCGGGCTTGCTGGGGCTGGGAGCGGTCTGATGCGAAGTAGACGGTGAGGGCTGCATTATGGTGATCGATCGAGAGCCTCGGGGGCCGGACGCAAATCTGCATGCACGATGATCGGACCGAAATGTGGACTAGATGGGTAAGAGGTCCCAACCAACCCTTATCTCGGTGGGGGCGAGGTAGCTCGGTGAGTCAACGAATGCCCCCGTAATTACCTAGATATGTCGACAGCGGAGCGACCGCAGCGATAAGAATGACGGTGAGACGGAGGAGGATAAGAATAAGCACGGAGGCAAGGAAATCAGGGATGCCGTGGCAGCCAGCCTAGTAGGGCTCAGCGTGGTCAGGGACAATTCATCGGGGCGCCGGGCGCAGAGCGATTGGAGATCGGCGAGCGAGGGGCCAGGCGTGGTGGGACATGAGGTGCTTCCAACGGCAAGGGCTGAGCTCCATCGACCAGAGAGCCGGGACAGGAAGGATGGGGTTGTATATGGGACCAAGGCCAACGGTCAGCAAGACCAGGGAGAGGAAGAGGAAGAAGAAGAAGACGGAATATCAGCTTCGTCTGACGGACGGGGGAGGTGAAGTGAAGGTGAAACGGGAGATCCGAGTCGTCAGTTCCGGAGTACTTCCAGTCCTGATGGTTTCCCCTACCTATGCCCCAAAGAGACCGCGTCAGATCACGTGGGACTGCTCTCACGCGATGACATCATGTGCCAGCTATGTAGTCACATGACCGGCTAGCATATCAATGGCCACGTGATGACGGAGATCCCCATGACTGACTGATTAATGCTGCTATCTGCTATCTGCTATCTGCTATCTATCCACACGCATAGTACTCAAGGAAGAAGCTTTCCAAAAAGGCTTTAGTTCCATGACGCGGTCAATGACCCTGACTTCGCAATGACGTCTTGATGATGATAGCCCGAGAGAAACCCAGGGAACGAGGACTGAGACAACAACACTCAGTCCATAGCGAACATATATAGATTAGTACTTAGTAGCAAGAATGTGGCCCCACCAAGAGCCCGAATAACATCTGAATAACCAGCCCCCTGATCATAAAACACAACGAGTTCTACACTTGCACTTGTTTCTTGGCCTTCGTCGGTCTGAGTAGCTTTTGTAGAACAAGATACCAATATCTATCTACAACGTTGCCGGATCTCCCTCATCAAGCAGTACGGCATCAAGGACGGCGCTTGCGGCCATTCGGGCTACGAGCATCCTGAGGGAAATCCGTGCCCCCGGGCCTTTCCTTTCTCTTCCCCGTTCTCGTCACCAGATGATCAATCACACAACCCTTCTCCCACCCGGCTGATGACTGCCCCGTAATGGCCCGACATCTCGGACAGGACTTGCCGTGGCGGATGAAGAGCTGATGAAGGGAATACTTCAGGTGGTTCGGGATGCGGACCTCAAGATGGCTGAACGCCGTGATCTCGGTCGCTTTGTCTGGGGGCACCCAATTCAGCCACTTGCAGATCCGGAAGATATGAGTATCCACTGCAAAGCAAGGCCGTTGCAGGCAGAAGAGCAGGACACAGGCCGCTGTTTTGGGACCTATCCCGGGGTATTTGATCAACTCCCCCATTGCATCCTCCGTGGCGAGGCTATGGAGATGGTTGAGGGAAAGGAAGTTCTGGTCAGCGCACGCAATCTCATACTGCTTGCCACTGTCGGGCTTTTGAAGCAGATCGGGTGGTGCCTCCAGCGAGCCTTTGACAAGCACATCTCGACGCTCCTGGTTCTCTTGGTAGACCATATCTAGTATAGCCTTGATCTTCTTGCTCTTGACGTCCGCTAAGCCGCCACGTTTGATGGCCTCAAAAACATCCTTGAGGGACGCCTGACGGATAGCTTCCCAGTTCACACTCCCTTTGCCGATCCCTTCCTCCAGGATACCGAACTTCTGCACCAAACCGTTGAAGGCCATGGCAGAGTTGTTGCCACTTGTTGCCCCGCTGAGTAAAGTACGGATCAGAGCATCCAGGACTGAAGGAACCTCGCCGCAACCGGTCACCGTAAGAGACGGCTCAGGGATGGTGGTGGGTGCGACAATCTCTCCATGCACAGTTGAAAGTAACCGGTTGACCTCTTCACACTCTTCTGGGGTGGGACGAGTCCAGTCCGGGAATGGAGTAGTTCCAGGGGTGAGGCTGTATTGATTAGTCTTTTTTGACTTCTTTCCTTTCTCGGGAGTCCCAGGTGTAGTGGTTCGAACTCTGTCAACAGTATTCTGCAGAGTGCTGGCAAGTTCCTCTATTTTCTCGCTCTTGATGTATGCTTTTCTATCATTCTTCCGCGGGGATAGAGTGAAGGCTGGACCTAGATTATGAGGAAGCTCGGGAACCTCACTGGGGTTCGCAGCTCTGGCGGTCGTTTTCCGCCTTTTGGAAGCAGGAGGACTAGATAGAGATTTATTTGGACCGTCCGACACCGCAGGCGTTACTTTCCCCGTCGGATGCTGTAGAGTGTCAACATGCGATGCCTTGGACGGTTGCAACTGAGCTGCCAGCAATGCTGCCTCCTGCGCCGTGGCGGAACGCGTCATACGAGCCATAGCGAACCACTGGGTGCCATGTGATACGTGTTAAAGAAGCGTGGCTGAAAATGGAGATGCCGGCAAACAGATTTCAGGTTGGAGGCTCGAGGGCGAATGAATCCAGAGGTAGAATGCCCGAGGGTGAAGCCCCCAAGAGAAAGACGGATGTTAGTCAAGTGACATCATCGAGGGACGAGATGACATTTCCAGGCAAGGCCCATGGATGGGATTGATTACCCCAGTCACTGGTATTAAGTATAACGTAATCGGTAAGCGAGTGGCCACGGCAAGCGAGTGGCCACCCGCGCGCGTCAGTTTCGTGTTTTTTAATTTGAAGCAATTCAACCACCAACAATTCTACCAAATATGCCTCGATCGTCAAATTCTTTGGTGGAACAAGAGGGCCGTATCTGCCTCGCTATTGAGGCTATTCAAAATGGTGAATTTTCGGTTATCAAGGAAGTTGCAAGTGTCTTCAACATTCCGCGTTCAACTCTGCGATGATGTCTTAATGGAGTCAAAGCATGGTCAGATACACGTGCTAACTTTATAAAATTGACTCTTCTTGAAGAGGAGGCTTTAAAAGATTGGATTCTCTCGCTTGTAAGGCGTGGACTTTATCCTCGGCTGTTATATGTTCGAAATATGGCAATAATCCTTCTCCAAAAATGTGACTCGGATTCCACAGTCTCCGTGGGTGAAAAATGGGTATATAACTTCATTAAATATACACTGGAATTAAAGAATCAATTCTCTTGAAGATATCATATCCAACGTGTGAAATGTGAAGATCTAAAGCTTTTGACTGAGTGGTTCAACCGTGTTGAAGCTGCAAAGAAAGAATATGGTATTTTTGATCAAGATATCTGGAACTTTGATGAAACTGGCTTTACTATGGGAATGGTAGCTATAGTCTGTGTAGTTACACGGTCTGACTGCATGGGTAAGCTGTTTTTTATACAGTCAGAAAATCGAGAATGGGTGACTTTAATTGAGTGTATCAATGCCGCTGGTGTGGTGTTGTCACCGTACTTGATTCTTAAGAGAAAAGTTCATATAGAGGCATGGTATTAAGGCCTTTTTTTCTCTGATTGGCATATCAATCTATCATCAAACGGTTGGACTTTTAATGATATTGGTTTACATTGGTTTTGTGAATACTTTATTCCTTCCACCAAGGACCGGCAGATTGGGCAATATAGTCTCTTGATTTTTAATGGACATGACTCTCATTTGACTACGGAATTTGATAATATATGTAGTCAAAATGGCGTTATTTCTATCTGTATGCCTCTGTATTTTTCACATCTTTGTCAACTGCTTGATGTTGCTTGCTTTGTACCGTTAAAATGAGTGTATAGAAGCTTGGTAGAACGGTTAATCCGCCAGGGCATCCACCATATTGATAAGATTGATTTTTTGGATACGTATCCAGAAGCACGTTCTCTTGTCTTTAGAGAACCAACTATATGCAATGCCTTTAAGGCTTCAGGATTGGTTCCATTCCAGCCGGACAAGGTTCTTGGTAGGCTGGTTATATAGCTCTATGAGCCTACTCTAACTAGCAGTATTACTACTACATTAACAGTGCCAAAAACGCCCAAGAATACAAAGTAATTACGGAGGCATGAAACTATAATTGAAAGGCTTCTTCGTGAACGTACAATCAGCCTGTTCTTGCAGATGAAAGCAGCGTTATCCTATATTGTAAAAGGATGCGAAATCGCCTTCAACCGGGCTGCCTTGCTTGAGCAGGAAGTTGATGAATTATGAACTGGATTGGAGAGGCAAAATACCAAGAATAAGAGGTCTCATTGCCAGATGGCTGGTCTAAATGGCCTCACCGTTGACGAGGCCAAAAACGTGTTTAAAAGAATTTGTGAAGCTGATCAAGTTGGTGGAAGTCAGCTTGAAGAATCAGCTGCCGGCGAGGAACAACCTTGCCGCTGGGCACCACCTCGCTGCAGCGAGTGTGGAACAATTGGGCATATAAGAACAAGGTGTCCTACACGTCAAAACACCAAATAAACACGTTATTTTGTTGATATATAGTATATAAAAGCTTCATCTTTTCATGGAAGGCTGTTTTGGTGGACGCGGGTGGCCACTCGCTTACCGATTACGTTATAGGGTATACAAGAAGGCTCTTCCACTTCCCAGTGAACTACTAGTAGTCACCTTTCCATTGTCGGTTATCTTGTTCGTTGTAGCTTATTGCCGGATGTCTCAACCAGTCATTTCAAGATGTTCAGATTTCATCGATATCATTAATATTCATCAGGTTTCTGCCCCCCCGAGACCCGCATCCATTTTCAAGACCTCTGTCTGGGGTTGACCCGCAAGGCGCCGAAACGGACTTAATAAGGAGAAGAAACAACCGACCGACCAAGCCCCATCCGCGCAGAATGTGAGGCGGTGGCGTCCGCCGATGTGATCTGTCAACCTCCACGATCCTGATTCAGGGATGATGCAGGGTCCAACAGAGTCCCCACTGGCTCGGTAAAGGCCGGTGTCATGTCGTGCTCGCTGGCAGGAGTCCGTACGAGGGCCCGGTTGAAGGGTGCGCCCGCAGGTAGGATGCCGGGTTGAGGCGAGTCGGTTGAGTCGACAAATCGCAGGCGGGGGGACGCAACGGTAGAAAAATAAGTAAGAATTATGTACATGAATTATTTATCCTGAGCAAAGTGTCTCGGCCACAGCTTCATAGACCATTTACTCGGTATCCTCCACCGGTCCGCAGGTGCAGAAGAGGTTCTGGTCGCCATAGGCATCATCCACACGCGTCACCGATGGCCAGAACTTCTTCTCAAGAAGGTAGGGCAACGGGTACGCCGCCGCCTCGCGAGAGTACGGCCGGGTCCACTCGCCCGCCAAAAGGTCGCGCTGGGTGTGCGGTGCCAGCTTCAGCACGTTGCCCTCCCGAGGCTGAGCGCCGCTCTCCACAGCCGCAATCTCCTCTCGGATGGAAATAAGAGCATCGCAGAATCGGTCGAGCTCCGCCTTGTTCTCCGACTCGGTAGGCTCGATCATCAAGGTGTTGGCAACGGGCCACGACATGGTCGGGGCGTGGAAGCCGTAATCCTGAAGACGCTTGGCGATATCAATGGCCTCGATGCCGCAGGTGTCCTTGAACTTGCGCACATCGAGGATGAATTCGTGCGCGCAGCGGCCATTCTCGTTCGTGTACAGGATAGGGTAGTGGTCCTGGAGGCGCGCGAGGATATAGTTGGCGTTGAGCAACGTAATCTTTGTCGCATGCGTGAGGCCCTTGGATCCCATCATGTTGATGTAGTTGAAAGTAATGGGCAGGATGCTGGCGCTACCCCAGGGGGCGGCGCTGATCGGGGGCGAGGACGATTCAGTGCGCTTGGACTGAAGGTACTCGCTACCCGGGTGAGACGGGAGATAGGGCCTCAGGTGCTCAGCAACACCGATGGGGCCTACACCCGGGCCACCGCCACCGTGGGGGATACAGAAGGTCTTGTGCAAGTTCAGGTGGCACACATCGGCGCCGATCTCGCCAGGAGAGCACAGACCGATCTGAGCGTTCATGTTGGCGCCGTCCATGTAGACCTGACCGCCATGCTGGTGCACAATCTCACAGGCCTGCTTAATGCCAGGCTCATACACACCGAAGGTGCTGGGGTAGGTGATCATCACGGCAGCCAGCTCGTCCTTGTGCTTCTCACACTTGGCCTTCAGGTCTTCCAAGTCCAAATTGCCAGTCTTGGTGTCACATTTGATCGTAACCACGCGCATACCAGCCATGGCCGCACTGGCAGGGTTCGTGCCATGAGCGGAGACAGGGATTAGGCAAATGTTGCGCTTGTCGCCTCCGTGGGCCTCCTGGTACTTCTTAATGACACGCAGACCAGCGAACTCACCCTGTGCGCCGGAGTTGGGCTGTACAGTAACCTCGGCCATACCGGTGATGTCCGCCAGCTGCTGCTCAAGATCGTCGATCATCTGGGTGTATCCCTTGGCCACATCGGCCGGCAGGAAGGGGTGCATCTGCGAGAACTCGGGCCAGGAAACCGGAATCATCTCCGTGGTTGCGTTGAGCTTCATTGTGCACGAACCTAGAGGAATCATGGAATGAGCCAGGGATAGATCCTTCGACTCCAGGTGACGAATGTAACGCAGCATCTCCGTCTCCGAGTGGTGAGTGTTGAACACAGGGTGGGTCAGGTAGGACGATGTACGTTCCAGGCTGGCGGGGATAGGGGCAACACCAAGATCCTCTTCCAAGCCAACCTCGTTCTTGGAGGCGTGGGCTGCGAACACTTGCAGAATGGACTTCACTTCCTCACGACCGACGGTCTCATCCAAAGAGATTCCGACCTTCGTATCATTCAGACGGCGGAGGAAGATGGACTGTTCCCGTGCAGCAGCAACGATAGCATCAGTATCCTGGCTGCTGGACAGCTCGACGACAACCGTGTCAAAGAGGGCGCCGCCATCCGCCGTGTTGGACTTGACCGGAGTGCTGTAGCCCAATGATGCGAGCTTGGCCTGCAGAGTGGTGGTCATCGACATGATACGCTGAGCAATAGCCTTCAAACCGGCAGGTCCATGGTAGACGGCATACATGGCGCTCATGTTGGCGAGAAGGGCCTGCGCCGTGCAAATGTTGCTGGTGGCCTTCTCACGGCGAATATGCTGCTCTCTGGTCTGAAGGGCCAATCGCAGGGCACGATTGCCCAGGCGGTCTTTCGACACACCCACAACACGGCCGGGGACCTTGCGCTTGTACTTGTCCGCACAGGCGAAGAACGCTGCATGAGGCCCGCCGTATCCCATAGGCACGCCCAGTCTCTGAGCACTGCCAAACGCAATATCCGCACCAAACTCGCCGGGAGCCTTAAGAAGAGTCAGAGCCAACAGGTCCGTCGCAACGCTGAAGGTGCCGCCGTTGCTGTGGATCGTGTCACTCAAGCTCTGGAAGTCGTAAATACCACCCTCGGTGTCCGGGTATTGAGCCAGCACGCCGATGAGGTTGTCTCCCTGCTCCTTGACCAGCTTGAACTCATCCGCCAGAATGTCTCCAACCACCAAGTTGATGCCAAATCCCTCTGCCCGCGAGCGCATCACCGCAATGGTTTGGGGATGGCAGAGATGAGACACGACGTAAGCTTTGCCGGCCTTTTTCTGCTTTGACATTGGCAGGGTGGCCAAGGACATGGTCATGGCTTCAGCGGCCGCTGTACCTTCATCCAGGACCGAGGCATTGGCGAAAGCCAGCCCGGTGAGATCAGCCGTGAGCGTCTGGAAGTTTAGGAGCGACTCCAGGCGACCCTGACTGATCTCTGGTTGGTAGGGGGTGTAGCTGGTGTACCATGCCGGGTTCTCTAGGATATTGCGAAGAATGACCGGAGGCACAATGGTCGGGTAGTAGCCAGTCCCGAGGTAGACCTTGCCCGAAACGTCAATTTGTTTGCGGTAGGTATCCAGGAGTTTCAACATATCCGTTTCCCCCAACCCACCATGCACGCTGCTATGAGGAAGGTTCGCAGTCGAATGCGGAGCCGCCACTTTGAGATCCTTCTTGGAGAGAATGTCCGCCGGGAGCACTTGTTTGACGAACTCATCGAGCGAGGCTACCGGGGGGTTCAGGGTAGCCAGCATCTCCTTGGCGGCATCTGGAGAGGGGCCAATGTGACGTCTGGGGAAAGTATCGAGGGGCTGGAATAGATCGGGGGGGTGAGGGACGCCATGATCGGCAACGGAGCTCGTGTAGACGGGTCGTCGTGAGGAGGGGGAGGGTTGTGTGGTCGTGTGAAGGGAGCGAAGGAAGGGGGGAGTGGCTCTGCGCATCGCCATGGGCGACGACAAGGGTAGTCGGGCGCGCAGGGCCAGCTGGCGGGGTCCCCGAAGGGCGCACCAGGATGTAGCCATCGCTACGGTTGTAAAAGGAAGAGGAGGAGGAAAAGGGAAGGAGGGAAAGACCCGGTTGTATAAGGCTTCACGCTTCAGTACATGTGATGGAGATGAGGAAGAAGAAGATGAAGAAGAAGGAGATGATGATGATGAATAAGAGGGAGTGGAGGGGAGGAGGAAGGAGGAAGATAGAAGAAAGCACTAAGAAAGAGACGAGGCAGGGGGGGGTAAGTAATGAAGGAAGGAGGGAGGGACTAGATATCTACTACGAAGTAGTACACACCGCGGACAGCCATCCGATGGCGTGCCGGGAAACTGGCTGCCCGGCCGATAAGGCCGATAACATCCCCTCCGGCCCAATCAGCAGTGGCCCGGGAGCCCCGCCATCGGCGATAAGCCGTCGTTTCCCGCGGGAAATCTGGGGCTTCCAGAATCTCAGATAACTTGCATGAGTAACACATATCTAGATACTCTGGACTCTGGACTCTGGACTCTGGACCCCGGAGACTGGACCCTGGACCCCGGAGACTGGAGACCGGAAAGACTCACTGGACATGACAGACAGTCTGACTGACTCCGGCGGAAGAGCCTCCCCCAACCCCAAGGGCCCAAACACTCAAAACCCCAGCTTGGCCATTTCTTCCGGAGTGCCAATGTCCCCTTGGAAAAACTCCTGATTTCCCTCCTCGTCGTACTTTTCCTCCCAATACCCACATTTGCCCATGGCACAGCTATAAAAGAGTGCCCCGCGTTTAATCCCCCACGGCCCGGTGATTTGAAGTCGACTGGGTTTGAACTTCCGCCCCCAGTAGTTCCACTCCGGGCAGTCACAATGAGGGTTGGTGGGTTGAATCCCGCGCAGGTCCGCAAAATGGAAAAACTTCCGGCACCTGGTGCATAACCAGTACGGTCGACCGACATTCCCGATCGTGTGCGAGGGTCCGACGGTTTTCAACGCCGCGGCCTGGCAACATCTCCTACACCATGGGGCAGTTCGCAGACGTTGGAGTTCTTCCTGGTTGCGTCGATGTTCTTCCTCACTTCGTCGACGTTCTTCTTCTCTTCGTCGGCGTTCTTTCTCTATTCGGCGGCGTTCTTTCTCTCTTTGGCGACATTCTTCCTCGCTTTGTCGGCGTTCCTGGATTCGGCGTTTCCGCTGTTGCCGGTGTTTCCAGTTACGATGGCGTTTCTGGGTTGTAGAATCCATGTTGTCGATGGCAGCAGTCATACTATCAACGATACTAGCCACGGAGGGAGGTATGCGACTGAGGGGAAAATGAGGGGGTTTTTCAGGGCTCTGGAGATGAGATCATGATGATGATGATGATGATGCCGTTTCTTTGTTCTTTGTTCTCCTATCAATCGAACTATCGGACAGGATCCGTGGTGGTTGGACGGGTAACCCGGGCGGTGTCACGAACTGGATGGTACTAGTCTCTACTAGTCGGAGTACGGAGTCCTTGATGGTTACTCCGCATGTTCGTCTTTCATTCCCCTTGTTTTTCCCCTCAAAGATACTACATATCCTCCACAGAGCTGTCCGTCTCCACTACCCTCCACAACTCCGACACATTAAACACCGTCTCTGCCATCCAACATCCCAACTCCCCGACCCCAACACCTCCCTCAAATACCGTCGCCCCAGCTCTCTCTGCCCATTCGCGCGCCCCAAGTAAAACAACGCATCCTCGGCTGGATTGGCATGTGCCGCCTCAATCTGCTGTGGCAATTGTAACATAAGCTCTAACACCCATGCCCCAAACGCATCGTCCAACTCCACAGCCCACCCCGTGATCTCCGGATCATCCGCCGGTACCGACTCAGCACTGGCGCGTATGAGCAGCTGGAACAAGCTCGTATCGTGTCGGGCCACTCGGACAGCGGTGCGGAAATGTTCCGCGGGCACAGTGTACGGCACGGCGGTTGGCTGGAGAGTTTGAATCTCGCTGCGGAAATAGTATTCGTCGATCTTGAGGAGGGTGGCTAGGGCTTCGGCATTGTTTTGCACGAGGGCGGCGTGGATGCCGCCCTGGAGGGACTCGCGGGAGACAGAGACGGTGGGTTTGATGAGGTCCGGCTGGTTAAAGCCGCTTGCTATGCGGAGGGTTTCCAAGTAGCGGATCTTATCGGGGCTGTAAAGGCCGTGAAATAGTTTGTCCGGGATGAGGAGGACGCCGAGGATAGGGTGGGTGGTGGATTGGTCTGTTTCGTGGTGGGTGACGGTGATGGAGACCAGCGGCTTGATGGAAAGGGTGTAGTAATTGGCATTGGGATCGGTGCCTTCAAAGATGCGAATGTCTTGCTTCTGGGCCAGGAATCGGGTCAGGGATCCTTCTTTGTCCGCGGACATGGTCATTCCCGCGCCGAACCAGTGGCGTTGGATCGTGAGGTTCATCAGATCAGGGAGCTGCGCCAGGAGTCGTGGTATGGTGCACCATTTGCAGCGGAGGATACTGTCCTGGAGATTCCGCCGCTCTGCATGGCTGATAGGAACGTAGTCTACTGGTCGGAGAATCCTGGATATCGCGGCCTCCGAGGCACGGGCCGTGACTGCTGGGGTGGGGGAGTCGGCCCAAAACGCGAGCAGGATTAGAGCCCGGTAGATCCGCTCACTTGAGATTGCTGCCGTCAGCGTCGAGGAGCAGCGAGCAAAGTTCACGTTCAGTGAATACAGGAAGATCTTTTCAATCAGTTCGACGGGAAGAGATTCCAGGATCGATTTCCGCGGCTTGATGGGTGTGGCGACGAGCAGACGGGCTCTCTTGTGGCTTCTGGCCTGGGATGAATCGAGCTTCGTCTGATGGGACAAGAAGGGTCGTCCACCCCTGGGCCCGCTGGGCCTGGGTTTTATCGCTCCATCATTGGGATGCTGTGTCCTACGGCCGCGGACCCGGATGGGCGTGAGCATGCCCGGCGACGACTCTATTCGATTGAAGTGCTGGAGTGAATTTCGTGAGCCATGTCAAATGGTCGCCCCCGCATGGATGAAAGCCCAGGGGGGTTCAGCGCCAGCCAAACTCTAGAGGGTTTGCTGGGACGGGCAATAATGGCAAGTGATGAGGTCTGGAATTGGATACATCGTCGTGCCTCGAGGGCGGGAAACTGCACAGGCACGTGACCCGTCCATATCCGCGGAGGACAACGATCACATGACGGTCATGACGATGCACGGTGACATAAGCACGGGACTACGAAAGACGAATTACTTTTCGTCCTGTGGTCGTACAAGGAGAGTACGTACTACCAAGTTCCATCTATCCAAACTTGCCTGGTCTCGGGCATGTACTCCACAGCGCCTCTGACAAGATGGTATCAGTAAGCAAAGGACTATTATGCGGTCATAACGCCGGCCTTGCCAGCGGCGCACCCTGGCTTACAAGCACGGATACCGAACCCCAAACGCCTGGCATGATGTGACACTCGCCAACACAAACCTAATCATACAGCAGCATTAACCGTCGGCTCGTGGGGTCATGAGTGGTGACTTGGGATGGGACCTCGACGGACTACCCGCTCGGGACCGGCGCCCATTTGTCGTCAACCCCAGCGCCAGTGGCGCCAAATGATCCCGACTTTCGGTCGTCACCACCAGGCCATGCCGGTCCATCGCAGTAATCCCCGACCCAGCGGTGATGCCGAGCCCAATAGTCCCCGATGAGGAGTTGTCCAACCCATACTTGAAACTAGGCGTATTGCCACCACTGCCCCAGCTTGACGCCCGCTTGGGGGCGGTGAACCTGGCAGCATCGGCCTCGGAGGGACGGCCACCATCGAATGAACTGCGGCTGGACTCGACCACCCCAAGGTCAAACTCCTGAGCACCCTCTTCAAGGACGCGCTCATACGTAGGGCTTCTAGGACCAAAGAACGGCAGCTTTCCGCCAAATATTCTCCTCCTTTTCGGGTGGTTCGGACGGGACGGACCACCACGGCTAAACACGTTCATGACCTTATGGTAAGCCTTCTGTCGACGGCCCCGCCCACAGAGAAAGAAGGCCACCATGAGTACGATCAGCAAGAACAAGATAAATCCCGGAACGCGGCGGGAGGAGCTCCCTTCAAGGAGTGCATCATGCCACGTTCCGCGATGGATGCCTTCCGGACTGGGCAGCAACTCAACGCTGGGGAACTGGAAATCGCTTGGCACGCCGGCAACATTACTGCCAAAGCCGACAGGGAGGGCCTCCTGAGTCTCTAGCGGAACCTGGGATGAGGCATAGAGAACCATCTTACCCAGAGTCCAACTGACTTCCGTGGAGTCGATCTTGTTCACGGCCTGAAAAGAGTCCAAGTAGCCTTTGCTCTGACCATGAGAAAGTACTTCCTTGGTTCCGTTGTGACCCGAGCCCGCAATCTCCTCTAATCCTACCCGAGGAATGCCAATGCCGTCATGCAGTACGTTCATGATCCACGAAGCCTTAAAGCACACCTCGGAGGCCGATTCTCGATCGAACTTCTTTCCCCATTGGTGGCGTTCGAGTCCGTCCTCCACGGTGGCCCAGTCCTGGGAACAGAAGGACTGCACACGTTCTTGGTAGGTGGCGAAATCGTATGCTTTGTCCTTGTGACCCATCTCGAAAGCTTCATGTGTTGTATGCCAGTATTCGCTGATGCCGACGAAATGGTTGACGTCAAAGTCGATAGCCGGTACATGCATCCCATGCAAGAGACAGGGTTGATCGGGACAAGGAGCATCCTTGTCTAGTAAAGGGTATGTTTGGCGCAAGCATTCGTCGAATTTTCCAGTCCCTAGCAGATGCACCTCGCTGGCTTCCTCTGTTCCGAGAAGTTTGCCATCAGTTGTAGTGCGCAGTCCAACCGGCAGGCACGGATCAGGAAGCTCCTTGACGCTAGCCACAGCACTTGCAGCCTGCAGGGATTCCACATAGCGCCTCCGAGCTTCATGGACGCCGAATTCGAGCCAGGAGGTGACAAAGACTCTATGTTCCTGGGTTGACCCATCGATATTGCGTAGCCGTAGTAGTGTTAAGTCGTTCGCATGCTTTTCGCTCTCAGTAGCATTTGGGGCGAATGCAATCTGCGCAGAGGCACCGCCCATGTCCAGGAAGCCGTAAGTATGGTGACCCTTGCCATGATCATGCGACCCTGGTGAATCGAAGCTGCCCAGGAGATAGTTGGTCGCAATCCATCCGTACAAGCCTTCCGTAACGCCCGGGATGACCTGAATATGGATGCCGCAGTCGGGCAGCAGAAAATCGGAGTTTGTGCCAACATAGGAGCAGATCTGCTCCAGTAAGACCTTGCGCTCCAGATCGGGAAGAAGTCGCATCCCCGCAGTCGCGAGGAGAAAGATGGGGGTATCCTTCACGGCCTCATCCGGTACAATATTCCGGGCGTGCTCGAGAAGTTCTGCGAGATGTTGCGGCCCGATTTCTCCCGGTTTGTCGGCGAACGACGAGACTCCCGGGTGTATCTTCTTCGTCCAATCCGACTTGGTCTTCACCTCCGGCAATGTCTGCAGATGGGTTTCACCGGCCTTTTCCCGAGAGACTGTGTTGTTTAACCAGCGATAGACGTGGACGCGGGTCCCGGACGAGCCCGCGTCCAGAACGACCCCGTATCGCCATTTGCCCATGAGGATATCGCGAGGAGACGAAACGAAAGATTATATTGAGGAAGGCCAACCGACCAGCATGGCCACTGCAGCGATAACAGCGAACGAGCGAGTGTTGATAAGAGCTGCCAGCCGAAGGGGGTCGAAGTGGTCGGAGAAAGCAAGCGGGTTGGAGTTGGCTCTAGTCGAGGTTGAGTTTTAGTAGTCGTCGGAAGGAAGAAAACCGGTCGAGAGGGGACCAACAAATGGCCTCGGGGAGGGGAGGGGAGGGAGAAGGGGGGGTGAGGACAGCCACTGCAACGCAACGCAACGCAACGCAACGCAAGATAACAACAGCATCGGGAGAGCCAAAACCGGCATGGAAGCCGGCCGGCGGGGTCGGAATCGGGACAACCGACCCTCCGATGGCAGAAAAATCGACCCAGTCTAGACCGAGGCCATCACGTGCAAAAGTCACATGATCGGGCGCAAAGAAAATCACATCATACGTAGTGCTAACTCCGAGTCTCCGATAGCACTGAGAGAGAAGGGGTAGCTCCATCATGGCGTCGAAAATTGTCGTCCTGGGAGACATCCACGGCGAGCTGCGGGATGTCTTCACGAAGCTGGCCAAGCTGCACGCCAAGCAGAATTTCTCGTTGGCCATAGTGGTTGGAGATGTCTTTGGAGACGGGACGACGGAGCAGGAACAGGAGCAGGTCACCGCGCTGCTCCAAGGCGAGCTGGCGGTGCCTCTGCCCACATATTTCACGCTGGGCCGCCGCCCCCTGCCTGCCCGCGTCGTTGAGGCCATTGAGTCCAAGGATGAGGTCTGCTCCAACCTCTACTTCCTGGGCCGACGCGCCACCCTCAAGACCTCGGAAGGCGTGCGCCTGGTCGCCCTGGGAGGCCAGCTCGAGTCCGCCGGTCAGTCCTCCGACAAATTCCAGCCCGCCTACACCGAATCCGACGCGCGCGCTCTCTACGGCGCCCACCAGGCCGACATCCTCATCACCCACCAGTGGCCCAAGGACATCCGCGCCGGCTCGAATGCGCCCTTGCCAGACCATGCCAGCCCCCCGGCCGAAGTCCAATGCGTGGCCGACCTCTGCTCAACCCTCAAGCCGCGCTACCACCTCTGCTCCTCCTCCGCCGGCTTCTTCTGGGAACGCGAGCCCTTCTTCCACTTGCCTACGGAAGACAATCCCGATGCGAAACCGCTGACCCGATTCATCAGCCTTGCCTCCTACAGTAAAACCACTAAAACAAAATGGATGTACGCCTTCACCCTCGACCCCCAAGCGGCCCCCGCCTTGACCATCCCCGCCGGCGCAACCGCGATCCCCTTCGCCCCCATCGCCAGCAAGCGCAAGCCCCTCCAGTCTCAAAAGGACTCGTATCGCCGTTTCGCCGTCGACGATGAAGACCACCGGCCTCGCAAGCGCGCTCGCGCGCCCCCGCCCGGCCCCGATCAATGTTTCTTCTGTCTCTCCAACCCCAACATCGCCACCCACCTCATCACCTCCATCGGCGACGAAAGCTACCTCACCACCGCCAAAGGCCCTCTTCCTACCTCCAAGACCTTCCCCGCCCTCGACTTTCCCGGCCACATGCTCATCATCCCCTTCACCCACACCCCAACCCTAAACAGCATCACCGATGACGCGGCCCGTCAGGCAACCTACGCCGAAATGCAGCGCTATCGCACCTCTCTACACTCCATGCTACAACAGCGCGCCAACAACGCCCTCGGTTCCGTAACCTGGGAGGTGAGTCGCGGCAACGGAATCCACGTCCACTGGCAATTCCTTCCTGTGCCCTCCTCCCTTATCAACCGCAGTCTGGTCGACGCCGGCTTCCGAGTCGAAGCCGAGAACCTCAAATACCCCAAATTCGAACTCGCATCCGCCTCCACCACAGATCCCAGCACCGAACCGGGCGATTTCTTCCGCGTCTGGATTTGGGCCCCCTCGGATAAGAACGGCGGCAGTGGTGAGGATGCTGGGTCTGAGAAAACCCTTTTGCTGCCCCTTGGTCCGGAATTTCGATTCGATCTGCAATTTGGCCGCCGGGTGATGGCAAAACTGATGGGGCTGGAGAAGCGCATCAATTGGAAGGATGATGTGCAGTCGCAGGAGGCAGAGGAAGCCGACGCCGTGGCATTCAAGGAGGCGTTCAAGGAGTTTGATTTTACCTTGGAGGGGTAGGGAAGCGCCGGGGACATTGGGATCAGAGAATATGTCTTATCACGGAGGCTGCGCGCTGTTCTGTACGGCAGGTAGGCCGCGAGGCTATGGGATGCGAGATGGCAACAAGGACCACCTGCGGGGCTGGGAGAGTCCAATCCTGCAATCCCGAGAAAAAAACACCACGTACGCGGAGGAAGATGTGCCAAAGAAAGCACTATAAGGGTGGAAGCCGCAGTTGTATTTGTATAGGCTCATGTCATGTATATTAAGACCCTCGACTGGGCTGATAAGTGGGTCAGCGGGCACATGAAATCATATCATTAGCCAGCCGAAGCTTCGGCCTGGCCCGTAAGGCGCCGACACGGAGGGGCCAGGAAAGAAACAAACATAACCAACCAACCAAACACCCAGAAATAGCCAATATGTCTCCTAGACTCCCCGCTAAAGAAACGAAACAAACAGCTAAAAGCAAATCAGGCAGAAGGAACAATTACTGCGGGCCCCTTGGCTCTTCATCGACCGTATCCTGCATATGGCGAGCCGGTGACAGAGGTCCCTCCGTTGCGTGGGATTCTGGGCCGGGGGGCTCATGGATCGAGCTGTCGAGTTCCGGCGCAGGTTGAGATTCAGAGTGATGCCCGCCAGGTTCCACGAGTGCGGCGGCTTCGGGATCGTACCGCAATTCGTAATTTCCATTGCCGAACCCTTGCCCATCGGCTACGCTCCATGGAGCGGCAGTGCGGGTCTGCGGCTGTATCACCCTCACGGGTAGATCATCGCGGGCAGACGGAATGCGCTGGTTAGATCCCGTCGTATCAGGAAGGCTGGGTGCGTGGAACTGTTGCGGCGACCAGGTCTGTTGGCCCCGGCGCCGAGCGGGAATGACCGTAACGGGCAGGGGCGAGTCGGACCCTTGCCGTCCAGAGCCTGGCCTCAATCTCCGATGGAAGCCAAAAAGAGACTCGGTCTTTGGATGTGAGCCGTGCTCGTCGTCACTATTATCCGGCGAGAGGTGTTGCTGTTCAACTTGAGCAGCAGCGGAGTTCCCTTCTTCCTCGGCCTGTGCCGAAGCGACTTCCCTTGGCAAGGACGCGCGCCTCCTCTTAAAAGGATTGACGAGCGTTCGCCATCTTTTGTCCACGTGGACAATCTGCGGAGATTGCTCCCTGGTCTGTTGTGCTGCCAGCGCATCATGGGCCAGACCGGCTTGCTGATCGCCCAGAGATGCGGACATCTCCTTGGCTGCCACCGCTTCGTCTATGTCTTCGTCTTCTTCCTCCATATGAGGCATGGCCACTGGCGGAGTTGGACTGGAAACAGGATGATAATGGACGTTGTACACCGTGCTGGCGGCGCTGGTTGTGTCGGCCCGACTAACAGGCGTTACGGCGGCGGGAGGAGGAGTAGGCCGGGGTGCCACTCTCCGGCGCCGAGGGTCAACGGAGATGGTGTGTTGCTGGTTTTCCAGAGTCGACTGCCAGTTACGGCCGACCCTGGTGCGCAATGGACGATGAGCCAGTCCCATCATGCCTCCCCACCCCGACGAAGTACCCGCACCTGCGCCTCGATCATTCCCATCGGGGTTGTACCGCGGCCAGTCGACTTCTTCCGAAGGAGTCACTTCCAGCATTTCATCCCCATCAAAGATCTCCCGTCCAAGAATCCCATCCTTCCTTTCATCGCGCTCCAGTGCCTCAATCCGCTCCACCCATTCCCAGACGACGACACTTGCTGCAGCCGAGCCAACCCACCTCACATATGTACCCCATCCCGCAATTTTAGGCTTGGCGATATCGAGAACGAAGAAAACGACGGGGATAAGAACCGCACATAAAGATAGCAAGGCCACCAGGCAGATGTTCCTCATTTTTGGGTGGAAGAAGGCAAACCGATGTTTCGAAAGTGAGTAGAAGATTACCCAGGCGGCGTAGAGGAGGTTCAGGGCTAGCTCGAATAGATAGCTAAGAGCGGGGATTGCGTCCTCGTACAGGCGCGGGTGGACGGTGTCAGTCTTGACCAGAAATTTGTCTAGGATACTGAAGGTGGTGTCGAACACTATCAACGCAAACCCGGCCCACTTGATCATGATTTTCTCTTTGTGTCGAGGGAAAAGCCGGATGAGGGTTTGAATTTGGGCAAGCCAGAGGAAGGTGCTAGAAATGATCCTGACCACGCGGATCTCCAGACCGTCGATGACTTCGTCGGCTAGCGCTTCCGCGTCCGAGTAGCCATAGTAATATTGTTTCTCGGCCACTCGAAACGAGTCCACGGTCGCGATGGTGAGGGACACGGCGACTAGCAAGGCCGCGACCTTTTGGAGCCACGGCCGACCGCCGACTCCGACCACCGACGAGTTCCCGCTGTACGAACTGCTGATCATGCCGTGGCGCCCGAGGAAGTTTGCACCCCCACCGGGACCCCCAACATAAAACGTGCGGGGGGTTATGAGAAGGATGATGACCAGAAGATAGCTGACAACGGTTGTACAGCCCATAGCGTACAAGGCGGGAGTCACGGAGGAGTAGAAGGGGTCGGTGAGATCGAGGGCGGCGACCGCATGGGCGGTGGCGGTTTGCGTAGTGGTACAGATGGGGTCGTAGATGGCATTCTCGGTCAGGGTGAGGGAGTAGGAGCGATTCAAATAGACATAGCCATCACTGGGCAGTAAGAATGGGGTGCAGCCCGATTCATATGTGCGAGTGGTGGTGGTGGTTGGTTGAGCCCAGATCTGGCGAGGCGTCAAGTGAGCGGGTTCCCCCATGGTCGGTCGCAGCAGCCCCCGGACAATGCTATCATCAATGGCTGGTAGTGTGACCCGTCGCACGCGGCCCTTCAGACCACCATCATGCTGGCGAAACGTGCCGGGGGGGGAGGTGGAGGCGAAATGAAGCGGGACGGGAGGGAGGGAGGAGGGCGGCGCGAAGGAGATGGAGGGAGGGAGAGAGCGTGGGTTGAATCCGGGGTCGACGGTCGGAGTCGGGAACAGGGGGCAAGAGATTGAGGTCGAGGTCGAGGTGGGCGTTGAGAGAAGAGGAGAGGAGAGAATGAACTGCGACGGACGTAGGAATTGCGAAAGTGGTGACGAGGGACGGGAGTATAGCAGTGCCGACTGCACTAACTCACTCACTACCAAGTCTTCTCCTCCTGACGGCGGAGGCGAGCGAAGGAAGCCCGCTGGAAAGATCCGGGCCACGTCACGGGATCGAAGCACGTGATAGCGCGCGCGTGGCTACGCGGATTATTGTGGACCCGGTGGACATAGTAGTACTCCGTAAACATGTAGGGCTTCATACAGGGCTTTACACAGGGCTTCAGATTCTTTAGTACAGCCTTAAATAGGGTATTATATAAAGAGTCTCACGTAGATAAATAAGCTAATAATCCAAGGCATTCATTCGTTGAAGCCTTAGGCATAAATAAGCTGCCTCAGATATAAGAGTTGAAGCGGTGAGTATTCTGCTAGCTATAAAAAGTAGGCCTTACCTAACATGGTAAGCAGAGTAGGTAGAAAGTGTGGTTGTAGCGCCTCCCTATAGATCATTCATCGAGGTACGCCAATCTCATAGCCCAGCAAGACCTCGGTGGTATTACCCTCCCACCCTCGGTTGCCACTGGTTGACACCATGAAGCGGCATGCCTGGTCAATATATAGTTGCGAGACAGTTCCGGTTCGATGTCCTGGGATGATCAGGAACGGCACTGTCGAGTGCCGAGTCACTTGTTCATGTTTGAGATCGTACAACCGAAGGATATCATGCGACGCGCAGACAATATGCCGCCCATTGGGCATCGCCTTAAGTGCCGTGACCGGTCCACTTCCCTGAGGAAACTTGAAGGTCCGCTGCGGATTCCGGAGGCCCTTATGCAGGCTGTACTCCTCCACCGTGCCGTTCCGGCGCCCTGCATAGATGTAGTTGCCGTCTGGAGACCAGCAGGCGTTCATGCACCAGGGAGGGCAGTTCTGGGGCGTGATGCGAGCAACGGCTTCTGGCTCTCTTCTATCCCACACACGAATCGTACCGTCGATAGATGCGGCCAGGAAAAGATTGTCCGTCGCAGCACCTGATTCATTGTGTGTAGGCAGGGCGCTATCTTGGGTATATATGGGACGCTCCAACTCCTCGGCATGGGGCCCGCCGTTGACTACTGGTTGAGAGAAGCCATGGAGCATCTCGCCCTCACCAGAGTCGGGCGGCTGAGTTGCTGCATTAGAATTGGCAGCTTCACCAGCAGCGACAGTACTGGGCATAGAAGCAGCAGGAGGCTCTGCAACAGCAGGTTGGCTTGGCTCCGGCTCTCCAGGTGCGTCAACGTCAGGCATGACTCCATTGGTAAGCGCTTTACCAAACTCATCATCCTCATCGATGCCGAATGCATTCTCAGGTGCCCCTGCATCTTCGCCCCCATTCGCATTCTCGTCACCAAATAACGAGTCAGCCCCGCCGAAGAGTGAGTCGGCGGGGGAGCCCGCCTGCGGGTTCGAACCAGCGCCGTTTTCACCGTCGTTCGTCGTATCCATGAAGCCGAAGCTGTCGTTTGCAGGCGCTGAATAATTGGATGAATATGTTCCGTTTGGTTGCTGGAACTCGGTGGTATCCCTGGGAACTGCCAGACTGGATTCCGGGCGGACCTCAATCGCCGATATTTGGCGGGCACTGGACCCAAATGCGCGCCGGATCTGCCCCGTGTTGAGATCCCAGTCAAAAACCCGCTTGTCCCAGCTGCCAGAGAGCAGCGACTTTTCATCTGAAGTTAAGCTCAAGACTGAGACCGCGGAGGTATGTTGTTGGAGAAGAGCAATCTCTTTGCCTTCGTCGTGACGGACCGATTGTAGTCGGATGCTACCAGATTCCAAGCCCGACAACAGCCATAGACCCTCACTGTGGCTGGCTAAAGAATATACCGGTGATAATGCGTTTCCATCCATGTTTTCCCAGTATGTCATCAGCACCCCCGCCTTGATCACGCTGTCAACAAAAGGATGTCTTTGCGCCACAGTAAGCATCAGCTTACTGTTGATGGAGTCCACCCAATTGAACTTCCGGACATATCCATCTGAGCCACCACTGAAAACCCATCTCATATCAGCCGTCGCGGTTACCGCATTAATCGATGTACTGTGGGGGGCGGCCGTCGTTGGGACGATGTCAAAGGTGGGCGCTGTCAGACATTCCGCACGCACCCTCGGATGGAACGCAGCCAGCGGATCAGACAAGGCATTCGTCGCAGTCGCCGTGGACATTTCGACAACAGGGTTAGGTTGGGTTACACCCCCAGCGCTCTCGGATATGTGACTGACATTCGACTGACTTTCTGCATCTTGATCGGCATCGGCATCGGCGTCCGGTTCGTTGTCGTGATCCCCGTCATCTGCGTTCCTAAGCGTATCGTCCATTTCGTTATCCGAGCTTCCGTCTGGGGAACCTGCAAGATCGCGATCATCGTCATCTTCTACCATCATGGAAGCCATATTTCAGTCAGACACTTGGGCTCCTCGCTACTCTAACAATAAGAGAACTTCGCGACAAAGAAACAAGGAAAGGACACAAAAAGAAAAGAAGCGAGAGAAGGGATTGATGTGTACCAGCAATACCGGTGGTAGAGATGGGGCGTGGAGATTTTGTCAAGCAAAGGCGCAGTAATTCTGAGCGATGGGGAAACCCGCAGACTAAGGGCGCATGTCTGGGTCTTTCACATATTATGTCCCGAGACAGGGCGTTACGCGGAGGAATTCGTATTTGTAGTTGATAAGGATACCAATCACGGGCGCAAAGCAATGCGGAGAGCAGTCCGCCCGTCACGTGGCTTAGTCATGTGATAATATGCCAAAGAGGGGGCCAGGCCCGGTCCCGGCCCCGGTCCCGGCTCCAAACCTACGGGCCGGTTCTAACTACTATATTATTGTTGATTTCCTGGTGTGCTTTTGCGGTCTTGTCGAGTTCTTCCTGCAAGGACATGTCCTGCGACTTTTGGGGCTTGAGGGCATTCTTACTTCTGATTCCTGCTTCACCCGGCGCGGAACATACATATATATTTAGCTAGCATCACACAGTGGGCCCCATTATTTCAGAAGAACATGGATCAAATTGAACAACTAGATACGTCGCCGATCACACGTGTCTACACTACGCAGTAATACGAGTGACGGGTACGACGGGTTAGCCGTAGCTCTCCTATTCCATTGCATTCTCGACACCCATCACGCGAAAGCCGCCAATCGATCTACATTTGGTATTAGCCAACTACTAGTGGAGAAAGGCAAGGCAACTGGGGGAGTTGTTGCCAGGCCTTGAGTCATGTCATGATATTATTTTTTAATCAGAGTTCTCGGAGTTTTTGCAGTCACGTGTGCAGCCAACTTAGCATCCGGACCTGACCTGACCTAACCTGACGAACTCAACCCCGCGAAAGTGGTCTGAGTCATCTGACAGTGGCCGGGGTATGGTAATTTGTACTACTAGTAGTGTGGAGTTGGTGCCGGCCTCGAGTTTCGCTTGGCCACAGGCGAATTCGTGCGAATTGTGGATGCCGGAAAGGATATGCCGCCCATTACCCCGTACCTACTGCACATAGATACGTACTACGTAGTGCTGCACCGATGTTCGCTTGGTGATAGGGCGGCAATTATCTGATAGCCATGCTGGAGATCGCATCACTGTGTGTGTCTTGTTCAGGTTGAGCGTATTTTGAACCAGCGAATCAATGTCAGCATGTTAGGACGGCATTTTGGAATACTGTACGGCCCGCCCCCACTAGCGGTTGCATCGGGAGCAGAAATAGGATATAGCCGATTCCATCTCCCTAGTGTGCCTTCTCCCTCCCCTGGATAAAGCACAGGGGGGAACTGGTAGGGGTCGGTAGTAATAACGACCAAAACCGTGGTGATAGTGGAGAAGAAAGAGAGAGGGTGACGGTGACGGATGATCTCGCATCCCTCGCTGCGCCTCGGCTCGTGGCTGGGGGTGGCTAGGATCTGGTTGTCCAGAAGCGGTAAGGCCCACTAACTCAGGGTTCAGGATGTTCCGAGCCGCTCCGGCCAATGATGGCGTGCGAATTCCCAGGTTGAGATGCCGAAAGCGCCGATTCCTCTTACTAGCGAAGCGCATCTTCCGGCGCGGTGCCAGGAGACCTGCCGGCGGCCTCCATTCAACTGTCCCTCTCTTGCCTCTTCAGCTCTCCTTTTTCCTGGCTGTTCTTGGATGGCCTCCTATTGCTCGGAATTGATGCACCCCTACGTCTAATGGAGCTGCCATTGTAATTATGTGTGTGTTCTGTTGATCTCAGTTCCCGGACAGACCGCACGAGAGCTCCACGGTGGGCGAAAAAAGGAAAAAGAAAAGCTAAGAATTAGGCTCGCCTCCTTTTCAATTCGCTGAGCTCGCCTTCGCTCTTAAAACCCATTGATTGTTCAACGCCCAGAGGTCTTCTTCGAAGAGCCCGAAACTCTCACAGGCCGGAACCCTGCTCAACCGCAGTGAGGGGTCTTCCAACTGCGCACAATAGGAGCACATTACGTTGGCTGTTGGGTGAGCAACCGTGGACCTGTTCGAGTAGAACTTCCCGATGATGGTATCTGCAATCAATGCGGGCCCTGGCCCCGAACGCCCGAACCCGAACGGCTCGAGAAATACGGTCCCGACAATGTCGTCACAACCTTCGGAGCGCAATGAGCATCGGAAACCACAGGTGCCAAAGGCGCTGACTGGGGGCAATGCACAAGACCAATATATAAAGGGCCTGGAACGGGAATTCAAATTCAAGCATCTGGGTGTTCTTGGTGTACTTGGGTGGATATTGTAAGCTTGCGTCGCAGCATCCATCCACTTCTCTTGGTTAGGGACAGATTTTTCTAACATATTCTGTGGGTATATAGGTGCTTGCATGTTGTTGGAATATTCTTTTTCACTAAGGGATTTCTACTGACTCGAATGGTTTTGGAGAACAAGTCATCCTGCGAAGTACTTCCCTTCGGCGACGCATCTACTGTTGGCAAGAAAGTCGACGGGTGTTGGCATCAGAAGTCATTTGACAAGGCCGTTGTGATCATAATCGACGCCCTGCGCTATGATTTTACTGTCCCCTTGTCCCCAATTGCGGAGACTGGTTCGGCACAACTGTTTCACGATAATTTGCCCGTCTTGTATGAGACGGCCGTGAATACTCCCGAAAATGCATTTTTGCTTCCTTTCATTGCGGATCCACCCACAACAACACTGCAGCGGCTCAAGGGACTGACGACTGGGACGCTACCTACATTTATCGATGCTGGCTCCAACTTTGCCGGAACAGCAATTGATGAGGACAACCTAATTGCTCAACTGCGCGCAGCCGGCAAGAATCTAGTCCAGCTTGGGGACGATACCTGGCACGCACTTTTCCCTGATTACTTCGATTCTGATCTCACACAGCCGTTTGATTCATTCAACGTGTGGGATTTGCATACGGTGGATAACGGTGTGACTGAAAACCTCCTTCCACTCCTTCACCCTGAAAATTCCACAAAATGGGATGTCATCTTCGGTCACTATCTTGGTGTCGACCACGCTGGTCACCGATATGGGCCAAACCACCCAGCTATGGCTGCGAAGCTGAAAGAAATGGATCAGACCATCCGCGATCTCATCGCGAAATTGGACGACAAGACGCTTCTGGTGGTAATGGGTGATCACGGCATGGACTCCAAGGGTGACCATGGAGGGGAATCCAATGACGAGGTGGAGGCCGCTCTTTGGATGTACTCGAAGAAAGGTATTTTCGGCCGTACGAGCACAGAGACATCCGTGCCTCCTATGTTCGCTCGGGATCGCTACGTCCCTCAGATCGACCTCGTGCCCACCCTTTCCCTTCTTCTTGGAATGCCCATCCCCTTCAACAACCTCGGTTCGCCGATCGAGGAGGCTTTCATTGGACCCAAAGGGAATGACTGGAAGAATCTTTTGACAGTGAACCGTTTGACTTCCGCTCAAATCAAGAGATATCAACACGAGTACGCAGCGACGCGAGGTGCAGACGATGACCGGGAATTCGAGTCTATGGAACTTTGGCAGGCGGCAGAAACTAACTGGCAGAAGCTTTCTAAAATTGGCAGATCAAGTCAGGCGAATTTGCGCTCCATTTCCGAGTCGTACAAGGAACACCAGCGACATACTCTTCAGGTTTGCCGTGGGCTGTGGGCCAAATTCCACGTGCCAAGCATGCTTCAGGGCGTTGCAGTACTGTTTGGTGGAATTGTTTTACTGGTGTTCTATGCACGAAACATCAGAAGGGGCCGGGCAGATCTCACAAATCCGCTGCTTACTCTTGTTGGAGTAGGCTCTGCCATCGGTGTCGTAGCCGGTGCCTCATTGTCGTTCGCAGGCACGGTGGAGATGCGAGTAGCTGAAGCATCCGCATTTGCGGCCGCCGTGGGAAGCATAGTCGGCGCCTCGTGGGCCACCTTTGTCACTTCGGAGCGCCTATCCGTGCCTATGCCAAGAAGTCTCTGGGGCTGGCTGGCAGTTATTTTCACGGTCACCCAGTCTGTCGGGTTCGCATCCAACTCCTATACGATTTGGGAAGACGAGATCCTCCTATTCTTCCTTTCGACCTTCGGTGTACTTGCTGGCGTATCCTCGATGCGGCAAAAGTCAACCGCCGACAGGGTTTTAGGTGTGTATCACTCGATCCTGTTCGTCATCCTTGGGAGGCTGGCATCCTTCTCCCGCTTGTGCCGAGAGGAGCAGATGCCTTTCTGCCGTTCTACATATTACGCCTCTGCCACTTCTTCTACTTCTGCCCCCTGGCAACTCGCCATACCATTCCTCGTTGCGCTTATCCTTCCCACCGTTGTACGGTCGTTTTACGCCGGATCCAAGTCCTACGAAGGCGCCGCCACACTCTGGATCGGAATGGGTTTTCGATTGGGGCTATTCATAACCTCCGTCTTTTGGGTGCTTGAGGGGGCTGACGATGGTGAGTGGCGGCTGCCTTTGAGCAAGGAGACCTTGAAGTCAGTCAGGGTATTCTTGGCTCAACTGGTGCTGGCGCTCGCCTTCGCTGCTGGCACAACAGCGTTCATCTATTCCAAGCCTTGCATTAGCATCAATGTCAGCCAAGGCAACGCGGAGCCCGAAAGCCAAGGCAAGTCCTCGGGTCCTGGACAGCAGGCAGGACGCACGACTGTTACAATTCTGGGATTTGGCAATGTGCATGGAACACGATACTTTCTCCTCGTGGTCAATTTCTGTTTGGGCATCACCCTAATGCAGAAGCCCATGGGTCAAGGTGCCATGGGGCTTTTGCTCTGGCAAATTCTTTCTCTGCTTGAAATTCTGGATACAAACGCGCTGGTTCTCGGCAATTCGGCCATTGGACCGGTAGTCCTGGGCCTTCTCGGGTCGTTGTACTACTTCAAAACTGGCCACCAGGCCACCCTGAGCAGCATCCAGTGGGAGACTGCCTTCATTCCTCTCTCCTCCGTCCAATATCCTTGGTCTCCGATTCTCGTGATCCTTAATAGCTTTGGCGCGCAAATCCTTACCGCAATTGCCGTCCCTCTTACAGTCCTGTGGAAACGACCTCTCCAGCTCCATGATCAGGCGTCTTCATCGTCGAAAGCCAACAACCCTGCAATCAGGCTCCTCGCTGACGTTATGCAAGCGGTGTGCACATACATCCTTTACTTCGCCACCATTAACCTGGCCACTACGATGTGGGCTGGCCATCTCCGCCGTCATCTGATGCTGTATCGAATCTTCAGTCCCCGGTTCATGATGGGTGCAGCTGTGCTGGGGGTCGTGGACGTCGTTTTGATAGTGTTCTCTGTGGCTGGGGTGCGGTGGAGCACTCTGAGTGTGGGAGAAATATTTGGGTGGTAGTGGCCCAGCTATCATCGATGGTGGACTTTGGCTATCTACAGCCAGCCTGGCTCTTTTTGCCAGACGGTCTTCGCCGGAGATAATCTTGGCCTTGGCACGGCCTGTAGTACGCCTTTCACTTTCCTGGCTCCGGGAACCTTCTCATTTCCTTTTCTTCTTCTTTTTTTACCTTGCATATATTCATATTTTGGAGATAATACATATAACGATTTCTGAGCGTACGATTCCAAGGACATATAGATACAGATGATCATGTTTACAACTTCCCCCCCGGAGTCACCTGACTGTGCGTCCGTGCCTGGTGGCGCATCATCCCACGTGCCCCGCCTTTCACAACTTACGGTGCGTGACACTACTAGGTCTCCTTGCTGCGTAACAGCTAGGTTACGTCGACCCCACATAAGCTTTATTTTTTTTTAGCCCCTGGGACCTGGACTGGCAGGTGCTACATAGTACCTGCTTGCTATCTAGTTGCTAGGGTTGGTTGCCCGCGATGGCCGCTGGCGGATCCTCTCCGCGTCGGGGCGGGCTATCTAAGCGGCCTCGAGGATTATTATCCGTTATCTGGCGATATGACTAGTACGGGGGAAGCATGGATACGCCGATAGCCACTCGCTTACGGTCATTGGCCCACAACGGGTTGATATTACGTAAGGGCGCAGCTCCGACTCCGGATGAGTCAACGACCTTCAGCGACCGCCCGATGAGCCATCGCGAACTAAACCTCCCCAGCTATCTTTTTTTTCCCAAGATCTTGTCCTTCAATCCTTCTGCTGCCCAACCTCATCCTCCTTGGAACTGACCATCAATCCTCCAATCTCATCATCACACTCATAATGGCCTCCGAAAAGCCCCGTGTCTGTCTGGCCTACTCCGGTAAGTATTCCGTCGTCCTACCCCGCATATTGGCATATTGTGTGGTTGATAAGAGCTGTGTGCGCTAACTGACGCTTTTCGATTTCAGGCGGTCTCGACACCAGCTGTATCCTGCGCTGGCTCATCGGTACATTTCTACCCTCTTCTGCAGATAGCACTGTCTCGACTAACAATTGCGGCAGAGGAGGGCTACGATGTCGTCTGTTTCCTCGCCAACGTCGGCCAGGAGGAGGACTGGGCCGCTGTCGAGGCCAAGGCCCTCCAGATCGGTGCGAAGAAGATGATCATCGAGGACTTGCGCCGTGAATTCATCACCGAGCTCTGCTTCCCTGCCATTCGTATGAATAGCCAATCTGTCTGAATGCCACGATCCCTTCGCTGACTTCTATCGCAGAGTGCAATGCCATCTACGAGGGCCGCTACCTTCTGGGTGCGTTTGATATTCTCTTTCGACGTTCCCGGAACAGCCAACTGACTCCATATAGGTACCAGTTTGGCTCGTCCTGTGATCGCCCGCGCTCAGATGCGCGCTGCCCAGCGGGAGAACTGCCAGTTCGTCAGCCACGGTGCCACTGGCAAGGGCAATGACCAGGTTCGTTTCGAACTGGCATTCTACGCTATCCAGCCCTCCATCAAGGTCATTGCCCCCTGGCGTGACCCTAAGTTCTTCAAGCGGTTCGCTGGTCGCAACGACCTCCTTGACTACGCCGCCCAGACCGGCATCCCTGTTACTTCCACCAAGGTGAGTCACACATTTCGCACCCAGCTTCGCACAAACACCCGCTAATGTGACATGATTTAGGCCAAGCCCTGGTCGATGGGTTCGTCATTATTTCGTCGCGCATGACCTGGCAACACTGAATACTGACTTCTCGGTGTAGATTCCAACTCTGCCCACTGCAGTTACGAGGCCGGTAAGTGAATCCATTGATAATGCCGCTGTAGTCTTTACTCACGAACCATCGAACAGGCGTCCTGGAGGACCCCAACCACACTCCCCCCTCTGATATGTGGACCATGACTGCCGACCCCATGACTGCCCCCGACGAGCCCACCGACCTCACTATCCACTTCGAGCAGGGTGTGCCCACCAAGCTTATCACTCCCGGAAAGGAGTACACCGACCCCGTTGAGCTTTTCTACACCCTCAACAAGATCGGTTTCACCCACGGTGTTGGCCGTATCGACATTGTCGAGAACCGTTTCATTGGCCTGAAGAGCCGTGGCTGCTACGATTGTAACTATCCCTCCGCCCCCTCAACCAAACTAATGCTAACGTACCCAAGCCCCCGCCATGACCATCCTCCGCGATGCCCACCTTGACCTTGAGGGTAAGTGTTCTCATGTGGCGTACCCCTAGACCGCGCTAATTAGTTAAATCAGGTCTCGTCCTGGACGGCCAGGTCCGCGCCCTGCGTGACCAGTTCGTCACCCACAACTGGTCCATCCAGCTCTACAACGGCTAGTATGTGATCCCCTCCCTCATATGGACCATTGAACCGCTCTAACCGGCCTACAGCTACTTCAGCCCCGAGCGTGAGTTCATCGAGAACAGTTTGAAGTTCTCCCAGCGCGTAAGAACCCTCGGCCCCTGAAGTCTATCTACCTGCATCCTCTAACCCAAGCCCACATACAGCGTGTGAACGGTGAGGTCCGCCTCCGCTGCTACAAGGGCCACGTCTACGTCCTCGGTCGCTCCTCCAGCACCGAGAAGCTCTACTCTGAACAGGAGGCCTCCATGGACTCCCTCGAGGACTTTGAGCCCACCGACACCACCGGCTTCGTTGCTATCCAGACTATCCGGTATGTTCTTCTTCTTTCCCCCCACCTGCATCATCTATCTTGTGCAGTTCTCTGCGAGCCGGGATATAAAGCTAACGTGTTCAATCCACCTTCAGTCTGAAGAAGTATGGTCTCCAGAAGGCCGAGGAGGGTGAGTCCCTCAGCCGTGCATGAATAATGAGCCTCATGGAGTGATGGATGTTTGCGGGACCAAAAAGTAATTAGACGAAACCAACCAATCAATAATGAATGAAATTGTAAATTAGATACTTTGTTTGTAGACAACAATGCTCAACTCGGTATAATCTCATTGTTCACCATTGACTTTAGGCTGGTATTGCCGGGGAAGCTTGGAGTGAGTTCTTTGGATCTGACATCTTTATCGAACGTAACACAGATGCATACCTAATGATAATTATAGTTCGAAGGATGGCATGCCTCGGGCCTCAGGCCCTGATTGTTCCTGGCGCGACGGCCTCAACCGCCGGACTTTCTCCACGACGGAACATGTCTCCGTCCCTCGCTTGTGTCGGTGGTGATGATGACGGTGCGCTATCGGGAATGACGCAGTGAGTGCGGTCTTGAGAATCCCTCGATATGACGGCGGAGTGACCGGGCCATCTCCAATGGCAAAAGTGAGTGTCAAAAATGCTGGCTGACAGTACGCGGAATGCCATCTATCCAGGCTCTTACGCGGAGCAGCATTCCTAGTGAGACCCAAAGTTGCCCCGGGATACATGAAACAAACCCCCCTTCATTCTTTTGAGCCACTGCGTTCTCAATTGTCATGAGCCATCCAAACTCCTACGCAGAACTCTTCAGCTGTAACCCGGTCAGCTGGAATGCCCGCTATGCATGCCTGGAACTCACCTCACGGCGGCCACTCGACTATAAGAACCGTCCGATCAATTCCCTCCTCTTCATCACCCATTCATTATTACCTTTCGTTGTTAGCCCAGCCTCAAGACATCTTTGGCTCGCACGGTAACCCTGCCAGGTACGCGGTCCCATTCATATCCCACCCGCACACTCGCTGACTGACTGGCTCCAGTCATATTTCCCTTCAGGCCCAGTTCCCAAAAGCCAAGCAACCACCAGTGCATCCGGATTGGGTCCCTTAGTCAAGATGAAGGGGGTTCTCATCGCATGCGGCCTACTGGCCTCCTCTGTGTCTGGACATGTCCAGATGTCCAACCCGTACCCGATTCGCAGTCCGCTCGACCCCAATGGAGATGAATCCAAGAAGGACTACTCATACACGAACCCACTGTCGAGCAGTGGCAGCGACTTCCCTTGCAAGGGATACGCCAAGGATCCCTTTCGATCAGTAGCCACTTATTCGCCTGGAGGAGAGTATGACTTGGAACTACAGGGCAGCGCGACGCACGAAGGTGGCTCCTGCCAGGTCTCGCTCTCCTATGACCAGGGAGACAACTTCCAGGTCATCCATTCCATGCTGGGTGGATGTCCCCTGACGGAGAGCTACAAGTTCACTATTCCCTCGGACGCTCCCACCGGAGATGCACTGTTGACCTGGACATGGTTCAACAAAGTGGGCAACCGCGAGATGTACATGAACTGTGCCCAGGTCACCATCGGCGACTCCGATGATAGCCACAGCGCCAAACAAAAGCGAGACAGCTTCAGCAGCCTGCCACCCATCTTCATTGCCAATGTCAACGGACCGGGCCAATGCACGACCACCGAGGGTGATGATGTCAACTTCCCTCTGCCCGGTCCATCAGTGGAGGGCAGCGTGAGCGGCACGGGCTACAACTGCACGGGCACTGCTCCTTTCCTAGGCTCTGGCAGCTCCGGCTCCGGGTCCAGCTCGAGCTCGAGCTCGGGAAGTTCACACTCGGCCGCGAGCAGTAGCTCCACCGGCCACTCCACCACTTCCACTACATCCAAATCTACCAGCTCCACAACCAAGACCGGAACAAAGGCAGCCACCCCGGCTTCCTCGTCCGCCAATGCGCCTGCCATGGTGGCATCTTCCTTTGGAAGCCAATCCGCGCGCCTTATGAGCCACCCAACTGCGGTATCAGCAGACGGCACTGAACGTTTCACACCGGGCAAGCCCTGTGTCGACGGGGCCATCATTTGCGGTCCGCAAGGAACATCCTGGTCCATGTGCAGCAACGGACGTCCAGTCCACATGGGTGCTGTGGCCGCGGGGACGTACTGCGAGCATGGTGAGATCCATGCTCTGTTCTAGTGCCGGTCATGGTATTTCCTCGCCTGGCGCGAGCACCCGTTGTTTGATGAGGGTTTTGGATGCTCAGACTCGAGGGCCAGTCGGGAATTCCCTATTCTCCTTGTTAAAGTCATTGTTCTCCGTGTAACTTGATTCCACTTTTTCTGTCGCTCATGCTGTATCTTTTTTAATCGAATCATGAACTTATTTGATGATGGAGGGTTGAAGTTGGTCAATCCGTAGCGTTCTCAGTATCCCAAGGATCAATGTAGGTAGTAAGAACAGGGATGAGGCCACTCGGGCAGGCTTGAACAGAAGATCTTGGTTTCATTAAATTTTACTTTTGATTTCTTTCTAACTCGCCGTCTATATGCCGTTGTAGGAGAAGCGATCAAAAAAAAATTTATAAGTCCCGAGATCCAGTAGCATAAGGCATGTCACATCACAGGAGGAATATATGCATCGACTGCTAGAAGATTAAATAACTTTTGTGCTCGTTTCCCGTCACCCACGGACCATTTACGCCGCAGTAACCACGGCTTCCAGAGCCTGCTCCAGAATCCTAAGGCCCGTCTTGAGTTGCTCCTCGGTGATGGTCAAGGGAGGAACGAAGCGGATGCAGCCCTCACCTGCCGTGATGATCAGCATTCCACGCTCCCGGGCAGCCGCCACCAAATCAGAGGCCTTGGCGGTGAACTCCGGGGACAGCTGGACTCCCAGGATCAAACCGCGGCCGCGGATCTCGGAGATGACGTTGGGGTACTTCTTCTGGAGAGCCTCAAATCCAGACACCAGGAAAGCCCCCTTGGCCTCAACTCCCCTCTGCAGCTCCGGTGACGCCAGGCGGTTGACGATGTGGTGAGCGACACGGCACACCAAGGGGTTACCGCCGTAAGTGGTTCCGTGGTCACCGGGCTTGATGTGGCGGGCCACGGCCTTCTCAGAGACAATGGTCGCACCAATGGGCACACCGTTACCCAGGGCCTTGGCGGAAGTCAGGATGTCGGGATGGGCCGCCTCGCCAGAGGCAGGCGCCAGGGACGGGTGGGCATGAGCCCAGAAGGTGCCTGTCCGAGAGAGACCGCACTGGATCTCGTCGAAGATCAACACGGCGCCGACCTCATCGCAGCGCTTGCGCAGAGCGGTCAGGAACTCCGGCGTGCCCACATTGATACCGCCCTCGCCCTGAATGGGCTCCACAATGACACCACAGGTCTTCTCCGTGATGAGAGTCTCGAGCTGGGCCACATCATTGTACTTGCCATACTTGAAACCGGGCAGCATGGGAGAAAAGGGAGTCTGGTACTTCGGGTTCGGGGTTGCCGAGAGCGCGCCCATGGTGCGACCATGGAAAGAGTTGTGGAAGGAGACGATTTCGTGCTTTGCGCCGGAGGGGTCATGCGAACGACCGACCTTGCGCGCAAACTTGATTGCGGCCTCGTTGGCCTCGGTTCCGGAATTGCAGATGAACACCTGGGACGCATCGCGCATGGCGCCGGACTTGTGGGTGACATCAATCAACAGCTTGCTCAGGGCTCCGGTCCATGCGTTGTAGTAGAGGTTCGAGGCGTGGACGAGCACTTCGGCCTGCTCGGAAATGATCTGGGCGACTTCGGGGTCACAGTGTCCCAGAGAGTTGACCGCAATACCGGCCGTCAAATCAAGGTATTTCCGGTTCTCCATATCCCACAGGTAAGCTCCTTGTCCCTTGACCATGACGGGTGCGGGCCGAACGTAGGTGGGCACCATGTAGGGAATCTGGTCGTTCACAAAGGCCACCGATGCGGAGTCCGCGGCGGGATCGGGGTTTGGCACCGAGGCCTTGGCCTGGGAGCTCACCTGGCGCGACACGGAGAACAATCGCTGTTGAGCCAGAGAGTCAATGCCAGGGACGAGCCTCCTGGTGACGGGCAACCGCCGGGCAGCCAGATGTATGAACGCCATTCCGCTTGCAAGAGATCGGGGTGGAGGGGGAGGTGAACGGGAAGGTAGGAGGCGGTCGGCGCCAACAGAAGGACAGGAGAATGACCAAATTCGAAAGTCGAAAGATGTTGACGGGGGGAAGTTGAGGAGGGAGGCCGACGAAGAGGTGTAGGAAATGTGCTGGCGGCGCTGGATGATGGATCCGATGCGGCATCGGCGATCCGCCATCAGGTGACTCATCTCCTTGCCATGTGACCGGTCCGGGCCTCAGGAAGCCGTACCGTATGTATGTATGTATGTACGTAACCTCGTCAGTCGTATCTACTCTGTAAACTACTCTTCCTTCTCCCCATGTTTCGCCCAGGTCGGCCATGAGTTCTATTCAATCCAGGTTCTACATGACCCTCCTTGGTACCCGAGAGACCCCTTCGTCCTCATCCATTTTTACCATCTTCCCTCTCTCCTATCTCACCACCCCCTTCATACTCTTCAGATCCATCCGTGGCGCATCTGCGGTGCAGGTGTCCCCATCGCATCGCATCCCGTCCCGTCTCGCCCGTCCCGTGGCACACCATTCCCCAGCCGTCCTTCCCCATCTCTCTCGACACTCTCACGCTCTCTCTCTCAACCATCTCGGACCGGGTCGCCATCATGTCGTCGACCGACAATGGACTCAGATCCCCGCCTCCCGTCCATAATATCCCCCTGAATGATCTTGAATACGGCCTCAATCGCCGTTCCCACGCCGCCAGTTGGTCGGACCTGGCCGACCCGGCGGCCCTCGCCCCTCACGTCAAGCAACATCTGGATCACGGCCTCGACCATCTCGATAAATTCTTCACGCAGGTGGCCATCTTCATTACCCCGAGTTACCTCCAACATTATGTCGGCGGTCGGCCTCAGCCCCCAACGAAACCCCATGCTATCGCGGCGCTGGACGGCCTGCGCGGCTGGGCCTGCTTGCTCGTCTTCAACTTCCACTTCCTCTTCACATACACCTGGAAGGTCGCCATCGGTTGGGGGTTCAACAATGAGAACTTCGGACTGCTACAGCTCCCCATATTGCATATGCTGGTGTCCGGCCATATCATGGTGGCCATCTTCTTTGTCATCTCCGGTTACGTGCTCTCCTACAAGCCACTGAAGTTGATCCGCAGTCGCTCTTGGGAACAGACATTCACCGTCTTGGCTTCGTCCACCTTCCGTCGCGCACTCCGTCTCTACATCCCATCGGTGGTCGGCATCCTTCTTGTCTTCGTCGCCGTGCGATTGGGTGTTTACAACTACTCTCAGAAAGTCCTCGTGGAGGGCCACACCATCCTGGGCACCAACGAACAACATCCCCCAATCATGCGGTCTTTCTACAAACAATACTGGGACTGGTACCTGACAATCGCCCACCTGATGGACCCCTTCAACTGGGGCCTCTACTACAACTACTATAACCCGCACCTGTGGACCATTCCGGTCGAGTTTCGCAGCTCCATCGTGCTCTTCCTCACCATCCTGGCCACCTCCCGCCTGACAACGACCGTGCGTCTCTCCCTTGTCAGCGGGCTAGTCTGGTTCTGCATGCGCTGGGGTCGCTGGGACATTGTCCTCTTCCTATTTGGCATGCTCATGGCAGAAGTGGATCTCATCAACGGCACCTGGGAGCGGCCTGCGGATGAGGGTGAGCCCTCGAAGCCCCGACCTGGCCACCGACGTTTCCTCCCCAAGCAGCAAAATACCCTTCGGCAATTACTTCCTTTCCAGCTCTCAACCCGCAACCTCTGGATTGCCCTTTTCGTCCTAGGTCTCTACCTGGGATCCGCCCCGAACACTGGCTACAAGTGGACTCCCTTCTACCGCTGGACTTGGAAGATCACGCCCAAGACCTACCCGGAACCGCACCGTTTCCCCCAGACACTTGGTGCGGTCTTCATCGTCTTCAGCATCAACCACTCCAAGGACATTCAAAAGCTCTTCACCACCTCAGTCTCTCAGTACCTCGGCAAGATCTCCTTTGCCTTCTATATTGTCCACGGCCCCATCCTCCACTCTCTGGGTTACTCACTCATGCCAAACATCTGGGCCTTGGTCGGCAAGGAGACCAACTTCCAGTACTGCCTGGGTTTCTTCATTGGCTGGCTCATCTGCCTGCCTGTCTCCCTGTGGGCTGGTGACATCTTCTGGCGTGCAGTCGATGTTCCTAGCGTCAGGTTTTCCCGCTGGCTTGAAGACAAGCTGATTGTGAAATCAACTAAAGTGGGGGCTTCAGGTGCGAATTCACACCTGCAGTGATTGACTGCCCTTTCTCGGGGAGCCAGTTCGACTCGGTCAAGCTTCAAAGCGCAAATAAGCCACATTTTGGGATCACGGCACGCTGCCCTCCGCGTCCCAGAAAAGACGAGGTGAAATCGCAGCGACCGGCAACCTATGGAGCCAATGGGTTGCCACGCACCATCCAGTCTAGAAACCCCCACCTCACAACACAGATTGAGCGGGCACTCTGGCACTAATTCAGAGACCCGTTGGCGGCAGACTGTGTTCTTTTTGCGATATACCTCTCGAGCCTGCGGCTACTGGGACCCCGCTGATATCTGGAGCTGCGCCTCTGGGAGGATGGATCTTCCAGTATATGGTTGTTGACCTCGGTTATCTCGGATGACTCCCATGGCCGACTCGCGGGCTCAGCGGGCTTCGAACATTATTTGAAGCATCTGAGGGTTTGTATAGATGCGATATTATGTATGGTCCGAGAACGTAGGGGGTGGTCTGGGGGAGGTCGTTGATAATGCCTGTCGAGGCTCACGCTGTATATAGTAGTGCATCATGGGCCGGTCCCGTATTGTCGTACCAGCCGGTGTACATGAGGAATGCAAAGCAAGGCGACGGCTGGCCCGCTTGCTTCAGCCACTCGGCCAGTAACTATGTGGGGTGACTGTACACAGTATAGGGTATATACTATGTAGGAAGTAGGAAGTAAGAAGTAAGCATCTGGGGATCAGCCGGATCATGTGCAAGCGGGCAGGAAGGCAGGCGGTGGGGCGGTGCAATAAGACGACGGGAGGGTATGACGCGGCATCACATGTCAGGCGACGGGATTAGGTTTCAGCGGAGAGCAGCAGGATTCAGTCGCTTTCACGACCGATGGTGAGACCATTCGTGATTCATGGATGTGCCCCCCGTCAGATCCTCCTTGGGCCGATGGAACGAATGGCCGACACCCGAATCCGCACGCATGTGACGGCACAGGAGGGGAGAAGGCAGGAAGAGTCGGCCGATAGATTCAGCAGTTCGAATGACCTAATCATCGCGTGGGAGTCAGTCCCTCCGGCCGGTGAAGACTGCTAGGTATTTATACTGTTATAGGATGCAATGCTGGTGTTCCAGCTCTCGTCGTGGAGTAGTGAGATCTGGCGTAATATGGATATTAGGTCGATAGATAGATAGATAGCAGATGAATGGCGCGGGATGGCCGGCTCTTCGTTGGCCCGGCTTGGGAGGTGGTTCGGGTTTTTGCACGTGAAAATCGAGCGCCCACGATCCATCTTGACGCCCCGAAAGGGATCTTCGTCCTCCTCGACGAACTTATCGACCTCCACCAAAGTTCCATGCTTTCATCCCCTCCCCCAATTTCCCCCCGCTGAAGCCAATCTCAGGTGCAGGCCATTGTTTCCTTCCCTTTCTGGCCGCCCGGGCAGCCATGAAGCCTCGTCCTAACGGCCGATCGGACCCCGACGCCACGGCACCCACCGTCCCTCTTCCTCATACTTCAGCGCCATCCTCCTCGTCAGCCTCGATCTTGCCCGCGCACTCCTCGGCCCCTTCCACTGCTTATCCCCCTTTTCAGCATGTCCCTCCCCCCATGATGGACGTCGATCATGGTACCGTGGCTGAAGATCGTTCGCGTCGAGCCACTAGCGTTCTGTCCATGGATGACCTCGAAGCCGCCCAAGCCCTCGAGGGCCTCCGTACTGGTAATTCTTTTCCGGGCCCTGTCCTCATCAATCCGCTTGAACTCCTCCCAGACAGTCGTGCAAGCGCGCTCTATATAACTGATGGTAATCTATCTAGAGTACGGCCACTCCCCTCGAACGTCGCAGACGACCTCGCTGAACCCCCCGACTCCAAGCCGCAACCCGAGCCCCTCCTGTCCCTCCTGACCTCCACCCATCCCCTGATCTCGTCCGCTATCAACGGCTCGGTGTCGGCCTACACGAACTCCAAATCCTATTCTCCGCGCTTCAAGTCGAGCGCCGAATTCATCGAGCGCAACATCGGCTCGCCGGTCGCCAACACAGTTGGCACCGTGGGTCGGAAGACGGGCGTGGAAAGTGGCCTGCGGTGGGCTTTACTGCGTCGAGCCTCCTCTTCCGCCCAATCGAGTCGGTCTAAACGCCGGAAAGTCAGTGGAGAGCAGCATCCGACCGAGGTGGACGTAGAGAAGGGTCCGGATGACACGATGGAGTCCCCGCGGATGCGCAGCCCTTCGGACCTGTCGCCAGCCGAGGTTCCTCCGCCATACGATGATGAGAAATCTCCAAACTATGACGAGGTTAATCGGAACAGTCCCTCCCGGCAGACTCCGCCCACGTGGCAGAGCCGCTTGATGATCTCTACGTCGGGATTGGGCGTGGCTATGAGCGAGGAATCGCTCCGGAGCTTGCAGTATTGTCTAACTTGGTTGCGCTGGGCGAATGGACGGCTGGACAAGGCTATCGATGCGCTGAAGACGGCCCTGAAAGAATGGGATAGCTCGAGGCAGCAGAGTGACGATGCTGCCACCGGGTCCGACGCCTCGAGCACCACCCTCCTCTCGCAGCGGATCCAGGCCGTCAAAGAGGATGTGCTGTCGACATTGAAACGTGTGGTGGACATTGTCTCGAAGTACGCCGGGGGGGCGCTCCCTGAAAATGCGCGGAATCTGGTCCGCCGGCATCTCACCTCCCTGCCGCACCGGTTCCAGGTTGCATCGACCTCCAACCCGCCGCCGGATTCGATGGCGGCTGCCTCGGATGCCACCGTAGGCGCCCACCGGATCCTCGTATTGGCTCAGGAAGGGTTGGACATGATGTCGCAGGTCAGCGGGGTAGTCAACGACACCCTCGTCAGCGCCGAACTGTGGTGCGAGAGACTGGGTCGGAAGCGCTCCGAAGGCAAAAATAGCGCGGAGGTCCAACCACCCCGAGAGCACGACGAGCCATACCCGGCGGATGTCAAGCTGCCTATTCAGGAGCCTTCTCCCCGAGATGTCTCTATGACTGGTATGGAGAAGGCCTGAGTGGGGGGTTGTTGCCACGAACCACTGGGGCCAAGTTCCGTCGGTTTGCGCCGGGCACTGCCAAGGAGACGGACGCTCCCTCGGGTGTGTTGAATGCTGATTGGACGACCCCCTTCTTTGTTTCTTTGTTGCAGGTCGGATCACCTGCCATGACTTGGTTGCGTTTAGCTGCGAACGAACGGCGTTCTTTATGGGATGATGATGGCGGTTGGGTTTTTGGATACCTGGGTTGCTTGTCTGTTTTCATGTGTCTGGTCCACCCCTGTTGATCTGGGCTTGCCTGGAACCTTGCTTTCACTACTCCTTTGGAAGAAAAGTGCATGAAATGAAAGCGTCATTCCTTCGTGATTCCCCTCTCCCCCAGCTGCCGTGTAAATCGAAAGGCCCAGCCAGACCAGTCAGGTGACGGGCACCCCACCCGGCTGCGGCCCGGCATCCAAAACAAAAACCCGCGTCTCGGTGCTTCCATCGGACCATCCATGATCACTGTTCTGTTGCCTTCTCCCACCTCCTATCAGCTCCCCCAATCGTTCCTCATCATGGCCACCCCGACTCCTTCCAACTGCTGCGCCCCGGGCTGTACGCAGCCCGGCACCCGCCGCTGCACCGGCTGCAGCTTCAGCCCCCGGTCGACCACCGCATATTGCTCCCCTGAATGCCAGAAGGCCCACTGGTAGAAGCACAAGAAGCCGTGTGCGGGGGCTCGCAAGTACAACTGTTTCTTGATTCGTGCCACGCCCCTCGACCCGGCGAAAGAGAACCCCACGGATACCGACTACATTGAGCCGTTCCCCCTGGAATCGTACGGCAACTGGGGCAGGGAAATGAATGAGTTGAAGACTCGATTGGGATGGAGGCAGCTTGACGAGCCCGGCAAGTTCTTCTCGCACCGGGACGTCGATCAATGGCACTACCATGTGTATTTCCAGGGGAAGGGCCGAGGAATGCCATTGTGAGTCGGTGTATCGGCAAGCCGGTTGTTGGGGATGTGGCGGTGGTGAGGTCGTCGAGTGTGGATGTGAACGATTACGAGGAGACGTTCTCAAAAACTGAACTGGTCCGGACTACGGAGGAGTATCGGAACAAGAATGCCCGTGTTGCCAACGAGCAGCGAGAACGCACACGCATCGCCGGGTTGTTTGGTGTGCCTGAGCAATTCCTGCCGGAACGGAAGATCATCCAAATGCCCTAGGGGAATGATTTGTTTTCATTGTTTTATCTTGCTTTGAATATGAATTCAATGGTTAATCCTTTACTATACTCTGTAGACATAGTTCCTCGTTATAGTCCTCGTTCTAAAAATAGTTATAGTTGTAGTGGAACCCGGCGAATTAAGGTCAGCACTAAGCAAGTAGCCTTGTGGCACCGCCCAGCCTTTTCGCCGCATCGTCGCAATAACCTCCGCCGCCAACCTCCTCCATCTCGTCTGCTTCATCAACTTCCCCTCGCCCATGACGCCCCCCGATCGCGACGCGACCCTCTCCGAGACCCGGGCAGTGCCCCCGACGGCCCCGGATGTCTCGCCGCGTCGGTCATGGGCAGCTGAGGACGCGCTGCCTCCCACCAGCGAGAAGCCCCCCGAGGCGCCGGTCGAATCCACGCCGCAACCGCGAGACGAACCAGTCCTGCAGCCATTATCCCACAAGGCCACGCAGTTCTACACCCTCTCCTACCTAGTCTTCTTCTCCATCTTCGGCACCCTAGCCCGCCTGGGCCTGCAAGCCCTCACCTTCTACCCGGGTGCCCCCGTCGTCACCGGCGTCCTCTGGGCCAACGTCGGCGGCTCTCTCTTGATGGGCTTCTTTCTCGAAGACAAGAACCTCTTTCGCGAAGAATGGGGCAGCCCAACTGCCAATTCCCACCCCAGTGACAACAACGAAGCCGCCAAACAGCACAAAACCGTCAAGAAAACCATCCCGCTCTACATCGGCCTCACCACCGGCTTCTGCGGCTGCTTCACCTCCTTCTCCTCCTTCATCCGCGACATCTTCCTCGCCCTAACCAACGACCTCTCCACCCCCTCTCCCTCTCCCTCCAACGACCCCATCCCCTCCCGCAATGGCGGCTACAGCTTCATGGCCCTCCTCGCCGTCATCCTCACCACCGTCGCCCTAAGCCTCGGCGCCCTCATCTTCGGCTCCCATCTCGCTCTCGCCCTCGACCCCATCACCCCCACCTTCCCCTTCCGCTTCACCCGCCGCTATCTCGATCCCCTCTTCGGCCTCCTCGGCTGGGGCTGCTGGCTCGGGGCCGTCTTCCTAGCCATCTGGCCCCCCCGATCGCCACAATCACGCCACGGAAGTCTGGCGCGGCCGAGCCGTCTTCGCCATCGTCTTCGCACCCCTAGGATGTTTCCTGCGCTTCTACCTCTCACTAGCCCTGAATGCGCGCCTCCCGGCCTTTCCCCTGGGTACCTTCGTCGTGAATATCTTCGGGACTATCATTCTGGCCATGTGCTATGATTTGCAACATGTTGGCGGTATTGGGACGGCGCTGGGAGCAGTAGCCGCTACTTCGTCCATTTTGACCAGTTGTCAGGTCTTGCAGGGCGTTATGGATGGGTTTTGTGGCTCCGCTACTACCATCAGTACTTGGGTGGCGGAGTTGAATGGGTTGAGTAAGCGGCGGTATTCGTATTTTTATGGTCTGGTGAGTGTTGCGGTGGCTTTGGGGTTTTTTGTTATTTTAGCGGGTTCGTTGGGTTGGACGAAGGGTTTTGTTGAGCCGGTTTGTGGGTGATGTAGATAGAACTCTAATGTATATATGTGTAATTAGTATAGTAATGGCCATCTGGCCTGTAATTAATTGATTCGTCTATATCGACTCGCTTCTTCCTCTCTGTCTTCTTGTCTCTGCCGTGACCTTGATTCTGCTGTGCTCGCCTACGATCTACGTGGCGTACGTGGTCTTGGGATGTGTTGGTGTTGAGGCTGCTTCTAGCCTCCCAGTCGCATCCTGTCTCTCCTGGCGGAGGCAGAGAAGTCCTCCTGCATGTGGCTGCCAGTTCAGCGTCACGGCAGTCTCGTCATGTCGGGCCTGCCTTGTAGCTGCACCGCGAAGTCAACACTCGCGGGCGCGGTGGTGCTGGCCAGACAGCCGGAAAAGTTGCTCCCTCGATAAAGCAATAGAGCTTGAAACATGAATCCCCCTTCCACGCACTACTTCACATCCATATCATCGCCCTCACGCACAGACACCTTGTCCCTCGCCGGCGACGGCCCCTGTTGCTCCCCCGTCGGAAAACTAAGATACTTCCAATCCTCAATCTCCTCGATAATGCACTTCAACCGATCCCGGATACTCTCGACGGCATACGTCCCCAGGATGAGTCTGAGCGGCGGATACGAACAATGCCCCAGCTGCCACACCAGATGAGCGGCCTTGACGGCACTAGCCGGCTGCTTATCACCCAACCACATCAGCATCCGTTTCGCGTGGGCTGCCGGCGACGTCGGAGTATTATACGGGTCACTGGGCGGCTTGACCAGGAAATGGCCGTACAGGGGCAAGGGCGAGGCCAGATTATGTTCTTGATGGTCGTTATTATTATTATTATTAGCAGTCGTAGTAGTATTGAGAAAAGGCGGGGAATCCGAGCCCAACAGATCTCCGATATCGTCACGACGCATATGACCAGGCTCCACCAGGGTGGTTTTGATATTGAAGTTGTCCACCTCGTACAACATACTCTCCATCAAACCCTCCACTGCGTACTTGGATGCACAGTAGGGACCTAGACCCGGCACGCCTAGCGCTCCTGAAGTGGAGCTGAAAATGAGGTATCGGCCGGATCTTCTTTCTCGGAAATGAGGCAGGGAAAGCTGAATCATGTTGAGGGTGCCAGTGAAGTTGGTTTCGAATTGGTCTCGGATGTCGTATTCGTCTTGGTCTTCGCAGGCACCGATGACACCGTATCCGGAGCAGTTGGCGATGATGTCGATGCGGCCGAAGCGGTCGATGGTGCGGTCGATGACGCGTTTGACGGTGTCGCGGGCGCGCACGTCACACAGGAGACCTAGGCAGTTCTCGTGGTCGGCTTCGAGCTTGCGCATGGCTTCGGGGCTGTTTTCGAAGGTGCGGCCGACGGCGGCGACGAGGTCATCGCGCGATAACGCGGTTTTGACCAGGGAGCGGCCCATGTGGCCGGTGGCGCCGAAGATGAGCCATACGAGGGGTTTGGGGGGTTCTGGGGGCCCGGCGGGTCGGTGGTGGTGGGGAGCTGGAGCTTGGGTTCGCGGGCGGTGCTGGCTGAGGGGGAGAGGGCGGACCCGGGGACCCTATGGGGGGAAGGGTAGAAGTCCATGGATTGAGGGTGTTCGTCCCCGCGTCGTCTGGGTGCTGCGCGTCTTGGAGTGGTTGTGAGCGGTGCGGAGGTGACGCTATTCAGCAGTACTGGTGTGGGGTGGCCGCGGCTACGTCGGGGATCGGTCACATGGCCGGGGTGGCACGTGAGTTGACCGGAGACATTCAATACGGTCATCTACAAGAACAGTCAATCCTTCATGCATCTCATGCAGCTCGGCTTACTATGGAACCAACGCTAGCTAGATAGCCTACCAAATGGCAGAACCCCAAAGTTATTAGTGTTGGCGCGGACTCCGGCGCAATCGCTTGGCCGGAGGTTCAGCATCCCGTTCTACACTTCCAACTAGGGCCCAATTCTCATCCTCCTCGGGGGACTGCCCACGCTCCGTCGGGGTTTTGGGCTTGCTAGTCTCGCGTTTCCGAGGATGGTATAGAGAAATGGTGAACAACTCGAGCTTCTCCGTGGACTCCTTTTTGTCGGATTTCCCGGCCTGGGATTTGTCGCTCGCCTCTTCCGATTTCGACGGCTTCTCTGGGCTTTCCTTGGGCGTAGAGGGGATCCGGGAGAAAAGGCTCCCTTGCTTACCAGCTTCAACAGGCTCCTTCGTCTCCGCATCCGCCACACCGGGATCCTCATCTTCTTCCTCCGCGTCACTGAAATCCCACATCTCGTGGACCTCCTTTCTCACTAACGCAGTCCCCCACAGCGAGAGTAGAACCCCCGGCACCAGATACAGAAGCGCCGGCTGAGGATGGTCAAAGATCTGCATGACGACTAGAGTTGCAAGCATCCCCAGCACGTATCCAATGATACTTGCGGTAAAGTAAGGCTTGGGGAACGAGCGAGCGTCATGGTACGGAGGTTCCAGCTCCGGCTCGCTTGGTGCCACCGAACGGGTCCAGAAGCGCTCGCCCCATCCTCCCGTCGCGGACTGATACACAGGCTTGACAATCTCCGAGCCGTTGCCCTCCGTTTGCACCTTGCGCATGCCCTTTCGCTTGTAGTAGAGGTAGAGGTCGAACCGGAGCGCCAGGCCCACCATCATACCGGGAATAATAATGTCGCCCAATCCTAGCATGGCCAGGGAGATGGTGTCGGGTGCTTCACCAGGTCCCGCAGGACGCGGAAACAGGAGTTTGATTGGGACGTCGAGTGTCTTCGCCACCGTCACCATCAATGGGGTGAAGTAGACAAAATAGATGTCATAGAAAAACAAAGACCCCAGGATTAGTGACCCGGTTATGAAGGTGGACGGCGACATGAACTGCAGCGTGCCGTAGCAGAAACTGAAGCCTAGGAAGTTGGTCAGCCACCACGGCTTGGTGACGAAGGTGAAGTAGCCGATTGCAGGTAAAGCCACGGCTACGCTGAGGAGGTCAAGAACGCTGAGCCAACATTCCACGTTGAACAGGCGATGTACATGGATCCGAAGTCGCGCCCGCCAATATGATACCTCACGACAAGTCCAAAGTGCTGCACGGACGGCATGTGGCAGTGGGATTGCGCCCATGATCCCTGGGAGGGGAGAATGTCGGACTTCCAAAGACTCCGAGCTGGAACCATCTTCCCGAGCACCTTGAAAGACGCGTTCAGCCGGCTTCGGCTTCCAGATCCTGCCGGAACCGCTGTATTTTCTAGGAAAGAAGAATGATCTAACGACCGCAAAGCAGTCTTTTAGGAAGGCTATGGCGAAGAGCATGCCCATCTGGGAGAAGTAGTACCCGAGAATCTTGTTCAGTAGGTCGGCACCCATGTACTTGATCACCAGGTACAGGCCCCCGAGAGTGAGACCAGCAGTCAACGGGAACATCAGAGCATCACTTGGCGCCAGACCCTCCATCTTATGGGCATCTCCCAGGCTTTCGTCCTCTTCCGTGTCCGACTCGTATCTATCCTCCTGTGATTTCTTCGGGGATTTTGCGGCCGACGATGGTTTGGAGAGGGAGGCATGAGCGCCAATGTAGATGGGAAATAGCGCAGAGACGAGCAGATGTCCGTAGGTTGGCAGGAGGGGTTTTATGAGGGTGAAATGGTAGATGGCCTGGCCCAGGACCTCGGCGAACGGGCTAACCTCGTCCATGGTGGCAGCGAAGGCCTTGTCGCGAGTCGAGCTGGGGTAGGCAGTGGTCAGGGATTGGCGGAATGAGGGTAGGTAAAACAATCAATTAGTCCATGGTTTATTGGGGTTTAGTATGGTCAGGAACCCCAGCAGTTCCGAAAGATGCGATCACCCAAGGATCGTTATTCTGTCTCGATAGATTACTTGGTTATGTTGTTGATGTTGACTAACCCGCAGTCGGGCGGTGACGTGAGTGGAAGCACGTGATAGACCCAGGTCACGTGAAGCATGCCTCCTCCCTTCTTGCATCCCTTCCTGTCAGGCTGACAAGGCTTGCATTCATTGACTGTATCATGTAGGGCCCCCGAGCCAGACTCCTGCAGGGAATGGCACTGTTTTTGACTCATTTACCGGCCTGGTGTGTGGTCTAAGCACAATTGTGCGTGCCCTGATGGATATAGGAGCAACGTCTAGAGAAGCTGACGGTCACCCTGAACGCTCCTCTGAACCACTTGCCAGCACTCTATCTACCCCAGGCCTTCTAGTTTAACCCTCCTCCCAATTCTCCGGTGTTGTCTTCTATTCTTCGAATTCAGTGAATAGCGTGAAGCACAGAGTAGGCTATTATCAGAGTTCATACCAGTTGACCAAAACGATATATCGCTTCTTCCTGGAGAACAAATAGAGAGTATTGTCCCAACAGCTAAATTTCGTTTCCAGCCAAAAGTCACCTGCATTCAAAGCATCAAAAGACAGGCTCTAGTAAATGCAGGTCAGGGTTCAATATGTGTACTGTACAGAGTAGTAATAGAAACAGATTTCATCTATAGATTGGGTAAACTCATTCATTGTTCATGGTAGTAGACCCCACAAACATTAAAAATTGTCTTTCCATTGGTACGTTCTGTGACTCCAGGCTTCCCAATCAATAATGTAAATACAATGACAGATGAGTGTATACTTCACGAACAGCCATGGATGAGAGTAGTTCAGATACCGACCAATTCATTTTCTCTTCATTTCGTATAATATTTGATATTTTCCCATCTATGTGATCAAAGCCACAGCCCTGACATTCTCCGAAGAGCCGTGTAAGCTAATTAATTCCCTTACCAGAATGATGATACAAGATTTCCTCACATGTATGATGCCTTAAATGCGCTTCATACCTGCCGTCGTTCATTGGGTTTAGATCATCGAGATGAAGTTCAAAAAGGGTTATTCCTTCAAGTCTCTCCATCACGACATTAGTCCATAACCCCGTCAGGAACCCACTCATCGGGGCTTTGGCTCTCATGCTTCGAGGCAATGTACTTGGGGGTGCATGAGCATCCAGAAATTGTCAGGGTTTGGAGTGCTTCAATCTCTAGCGAGGTTCGACCACAAATCTCCTTCTCTGATGGTTGAGAATATGTTTGGAAGGGGTTGGTCTGTATTCAAGACTACTATTGGGTATCTTACGTTATCTATCAGACAGCTGACGGTAAAAGGAGATCACACTGCATCCGAACTTTCATCATAGCCTGCGTTGAGCTTCCACTTTCTTCACAGACAAAGACACAGCTTGATTCAGAATAAAACCCTGAAGTATACGCGTCCTGTGAAAAGCGCGATTCATGCTTCAGTACTCTGTGGGATACTTTCCATGAACCTGAGGGGTTTTCGAAATGAACGGTCCGTTCTAGCCATTGGATACCAAACCAGCCTGTATCACCATCCATGTCCATGATATGGAAAATGAAGCAAAGCCTGGGAGACGAAGCAGGTGAGAGGTTTTCTCTTGTCTATCCAGGGGGATCCCCAGATTCTTTACACAGTCAACCGGTAGTCAAGTAATACAAACGTAGGAACGAAGCAAGGATCCCCCGCATTCAGTTTGCGTGGTTCTACCTTCCACACTCCATCGACCAATGAGACGCTACTGTGTCCTGCTACACAGCCTGTAGTCTGTCCTGGCAGTCCGAGAGCCTGCAATCTGCATCAATCACGTGTTATGTGAGCGACCGGGACTGTTGGTGCGTACTCATTATTTAACCATCTGTGAGCGGTCTGGGGTGCACCCGCAGCACTCAATCTAGACATTAGATAGACAGTAGGATGAATGTAAGGGAGAGAATCTGGACCGATGCTCTTTTCCATCGGCCAAATCCCCCCGCATGTCTCTAAGCCCACTTGGACCTTAGCCCATTATTCCGACAGGGTCTAGACAGCGTGGCTAGAACAATGGGAATGAAAAACATCCCGTCAGGCTGCTCTACATGCTTAGGGCAGAGCAGGAGTTCAGACGGCCAGTGAGCTAACCATCCTTCCAGGTAAGTAGATAGCTCGCACACTGACTGCCTGATGCTAGTCGGACACGAGGTCGGATTCGGGCCAAGTAAACCGGCCGAGAGGCCCATCCCAGAGCTGGCCGGAAGTTGAGAATTTGTGAGAACCGGTTTTTTCACACTCATCTGCATATTATGCGCAAACCTCTCATCCCCGCCTGCCTCTAATGGCTCAGCTGGTTGAAATCGCAGCTGCAGAGGTGTCATGTAGGCGCCTGCGGCATGCAGCCACTCACCTTCGTTGGGCTGGTTATCCCCAAGTCAGCCGGGCAGTCCATCCCTCGCTGACTTGTCCGCACCTATTGTAACACAGAGCAAGATGCATACATCAACAGCAGCTCTCACCGCAGCGATCGATGCTCTGGCGGGGTTGGGCGTGTTGGATGATACAAATTGACCTACATCCTCGCCCCAGAATCTCCCCCAACAACCTCACAGTCTGTCGGTTTGTCACTATTTCGAACAATCTTCCTCCATATAATCAACCCCTCTCAACTTCTTAGCCCGGCAACAACATGGCTCCTTTGCAGAAAGCGATCGCGGTGTACGGAGCCACTGGTGAGTCATTCTGGTGTCCCCATATAACTCAGAATACCATACACGAGCGCTGAAGCCGACCCCTAGGTGTCCAAGGAACGGCCATCGCCCTCTCTCTTCTCAAGAGCCAGCAGAACTTTGTCGTCCGGGCATTGACCCGGAATCCTCAGTCGGAGAAGGCAAAGGAACTAGCCCGCCTGGGTGCTGAAGTGGTCAAGGCCGATGGATTCAACGACAATGATATGAAAAGTGCTCTGTCTGGTGCCTGGGGCTTCTGGCTCAACACTCACCATCATGACCCAGTAAGTGACTCTGTTGATGAGGACATCTCATAAATATATGTTGTCTCCCGCGCTATTGGCCGCACGCTAATTCCCAACTTCTAGGCAGTGGAGCAACCTGGTGGTCCAACGGACGAAGATCTCGGCAACCGACTTGTCGAAATCGCGGCCGCAGCAGGCGTCAAGGTCTTTATTTACAGTACCTGCGAGTCGCCTGCGTTGTTCACCAAAGGCGTCGTGCCTGTGCCTGGCATGGATGGTATGTACATGCCTTCTCCAACTCCATGGATATGTGGGTCTGATTTCGCGCACCACAGCCAAGCACAGGGTCGAGATGTATGCCAGAACCTTTAAGGAATTCGATTCGGTCATTGGAGCCTTCCCAGGGTGGTATTTCGAGAACTACATCACCCCCGAGTATGCCCAGGCCTTTGGTGGATTTCCCATGTTCCCTGACAACGAGGGCTACCTAACCTGGAGCGCCCCCCTGGTGGGCGGCGAAGGCAAAGTCCAGACCGTTTCCATCAAGGACGATTTTGGGGAGATGGTGCACGGCATGTTCCTGAACCCATTGAAGTGGAAGAACCAAACCATCCAGTGCGTGAGTGACGCGTTCACCTATGATGACATGGTGAAGACTTTCACCGAGGGCAAGTATCCTTTTAACTCTGTGCAAGAAAGTACTCCTGTAGTATTAACCGGCTTACAGTTACCGGCAAAAAAGCGCGTCACGTACCTCTGGCCTCAGCAGAAGATCTTCCTGCTCATGGGAACAGTGTGATGATTGAGTTGCAGGACGTCTTCCGGTGGACTCAGAACAACAATGGTTGGTTCTTTGGCAATCCCGATGATTTCGAGACTTGCCAGTCTCTGAAGGACGAGGCCCGCCGGGACAAGGGTCTCGAGCCGGAGCCGGTTATCTCCATGACTAAGTACTTTATCAAGCACTATGGTCCCAACTAGGTCGATGGTACGTGGGTTTGGCTGTCGTGGTCTATTCTAGTTGGGAATTGACGAGAGATCGAATGGCCGCTCCACGATACTAGCAGTATATAGAATCACGATTATGCTTCGAATCACGCGTATTAGGCACCGAGCCATTGCTCTTTAGTAAGATTCAGGCGTGCGCTGAGAATTCCAGATTTGAGGCACCTGATAGTAGCAAAGACAACATTCTTTGATAGCGCTAAATGGGAAGGGAAAGGAAAATCCAGGAAGTAATACTGCTAATGTACGGGGGTGGAAGCCTGAGGCAGCGTGGCCAAGAACCTCATCGGAATTGCCCCGCAGATTCCCGGGCGGTGAGTTCTCAGTCAGGTGATTTTGCACTGTTTGCGCGATGACAGCGGTCTCCGAGGGCAAAACTTCCGCCGTTGTCGCGAGCGAAATCACAAGCCACTCTTTCGGTGACATTCGTTTCTCGTTCCTGCGGCGAGAGAATTGTGGATACTTGCAGCATCTTGCCATTGGGCCCTTTAACTCTCTTTTCCGGCTACCGTCGACACTCCGAGACGCCTGCCTCGACCTAAGTCAGCGGAAGTTCTCTCTCCAACTCTTCCACCCCGCCATTGCCCGCGGGGCTCGTTTATACGAAGAACTTAGAACAAAATGGTTCACTCGGCGCCAGTACCAAGCAGTGGCTTCCAAGCCTTGATTCTCTGTGGTCCTGGTGAAAGCTTGAACACAATCTCCTCCAACCCGGAAGAGAATCCGAAATGTTTAATTCCTATCGCAGTATGTGTTGGCGAATCTTCAAGCCAGCTTCAATCGCAAGCAGTCACTAACCTCAATTGATGCTCAGCTAAGGCCGATGGTTTATTACCCGCTGGATTGGTGCAAGCGCGCAGGGATAACTGGTGAGTGAGGGCAAGCTTTCTCTGTCAGCTCGTGTTTTACGGTCTAAGCATAAGGACTTACTGTTCAGATATCGTTTTGATTACGCCTCCTTCTGCTCTTACCCCCCTCAAGGCCGCTCTCCAACAGAACCCTTATCTCACGTCGCTCCATTCGCCCTCACCCACCGTGATCGCCCCGAAGGATCTCAAGATGACAACAGGAACAGCGGAACTACTTCGCCTACCGGAGGTACAAGCGTGTATCCAGTCCAATTTCTTGCTCCTGAGTTGCGATTTGTTGTGTGATATTCCCGGTGAACATTTGCTTGAGGCGTGGTTGGCCTCCCAGAGTGAGTTGGGCCCAGCTGCCCAAGGAGGCTTGTCCGTGATTTATCCCGTCAAGGGCGTCCAAGACGAGATCAAAAAAGAGCCAACCGATTTTGTGGCCATAACTTCTCTCGAGCCAGATGAGGCCCCTGCTGTCTCGCGATACGAACTCTCAAAACTGGTTCTGTCAATGCCGATGGATACTTTGAAAGAGCAGATAGAGAATGACAAGGGGCTTTTACTCCGTCATACCCTGGTTGAGAAGCATGCCTCGGTCAAAATGTTGACCAGCTACAGAGATGCACACTTGTACATTCTACCCAAGTGGGTCCGATCGCTCGCTCAGCACCAGGAGCGGTTCGAGTCCGTGAGCGAAGACTTGATTGGATATTGGGCCAAAGCGGAGTGGCAGCGTGGGCTGAGTGCAAAGCTCGGGATTGATGAGATCTTGGGCGGCCGGGACGAGACTCAAGAGGAGCAGGGAAGCAATGACGGGGATTCATTGGAGGAAGAGGTCGACCTTCGTGGCATGACCACTACCCACGCCCAGGGCTCTGAGGCCCGCAGTACAAATTCCAAGCCCTCGGTGGAAGTGCCACCGATTCTAGCATACACAGCCAAGCCATCGAAGCAGTTAATTCGCCGTGTCGACAGCTCCGCCCTGGTGTTGGCGATGTCACTGCGCCTTGCCAAACTCGAGTCGATTGAAGAGGTTGGCCGTGCGGCTGCATCGCCATTCAGCCATGCCTCGAAGATTGCGACTCCGGAAGGAGTTGCCTCGAAGTCTATTGTCACGAAAGGCGATTGCCTACTGGGATCTAACGTGACGGTAAATCCCCTAGTGTTTTGAGAATGGCACAGATTAACTAATATCTTGAAAGGTGGAGGAAAAGTGCGTCATCAAAGAGTCGTGTATCTCGGCCAACGCGAAAATCTGCAGCGGCGCTCGCTTGACGAGGTATGTGTTCTAGCTTCTATTGCTATCGAGGGTAGCTGATTTTCTAATCCGCACCAGGTGTTTGATTATGGATAATGCAGTCATCGGACCAAAGTGTGTGCTCACGGGATGTATCGGTAAGTCGTTCACAAATCGGGAAAGGACAAAGGAAAGCAGTAAGAGTTCGTCAACTGATAATGTATTAGTCGGTCGTTACAGTCAGGTCGGGCGAGACTCCGTTCTTAAGGTGCGTGTGAATTATCCTCGGAGATACGATCGACTGCTGACCTATGATTGTAGGACTGTGAGGTCCAAGATGGCGTGGTGGTTGAAGAAGATACCGACGCCAAGAACGAGCAGTTCATGAGCTTTGAGGGTCTTGACGAGGATGACGAGGACGGGATGGATGTTGGAGATGACGAGGACAGTAATGACGATGCAGGCTTCTAGGTGAAAGCCTTGATACAAAATAAATACCAACATACAGTGCAAGGGCCTCGGCGCCTCTCGACCCTTGATAATCTCCTTTATTCTTGGAACTAGAGACATGGTTACTTTACAACAGGCCCAGAATATCAAGAACCATCTAGCGAGGTGAGTCTGTTCAGGGCTGCTCTTCTGCATGGTAATGAACTGCACGCGCAATATACTTCTTGGAGCCGCGGCACCACTCGATGCTCAATAAGTACACAATCACAATTCAAGTAGCTTATCGATTGGATAGTGATCCTCGAACTCGTCCTTACCCATCGTGCACTGGCGAGTCTTGAGCCTCACCAGCTCGTTCATCTCATGCTGCTGTTCTTGGTCCAGAAGTCGTACACGGTCATCAAGAGAGGTAAAGGTGCCATGATACCGCCGATCGATAAACGTCCAATAAATCTCATCAAACATGGAGCTGTATCTTGCTGCTAGGCATACCCAGAAGAGCCCAGTCTCCATGGACCGTGCCATGCGTGGAGAGAGGCGTTGTGGCTCAGAGAGGAGATGTCGCTCTATCAGCTTATTCTCGCAGTCGCGGAGGACTTCCAGAAAGGTAGAAAGTCGGGGAGAATACCGAGTTAGAAACTCGTCAAGGTCGTCCTCCCAGTCCTCTGGACTTTGCAACAAGAGCCACCAAGGAGCTACATATGTAAACTCCCAATCAATGACTCCCGAGACACAGATCGCGCAGGAGGGGTCACTTTCTACCAGGATATTGGAGGGACGGAGGTCATCGCAGTATAGCCGAAACGGCCCTTGAGGATGCTCAGTGCTGAGGTTCTTTGTAATGTTGAGAAATAGATAACGGGCAGTGAATTTTCTCCGGCAGTCCTCTTCACTACTGACGGCATCTTGTTGCTGCAGCCGAAGATGGGAGAGATGCTGGCCAGCAAGCGCTTGAAAATAATCTATGGCTGAGCTGAAGGAGTGCGAGGGAAAGGCTTCTTCAGGCAGATTTGCAGACCCCATCAACTCATTCATGTTAAAGGTGAGAGGGCGCTCGGTGATGGAAAGCCCCAATTCATTCTCTTCCAGCGCTCCAATCGCATTGAATTCATGCCGGGACAGTTCGAGGATCAGCCCGGCCATTTCACGATAAGCCCACCTCAGGCTCTGATCGCTGATTTGAGGATTCAGGACCGGCCTTCCCTCTACAGAAGGATCTTTGAGTAGTTGTGATAGCGGTCTGCCCTCCAGGAACGACATGACTATGTAGGGCCCTGCCCAACAGATCCCGGAACCCAACACCTCCGGAACCGTGATCGACGTGGTGCGATGGATATATCTCATCGTGGCGACTTCGTTGCGGACCTTCTCCCTGCGAAGGATGGCTCTTCCAAGGGCTGCAAACCGAACAATGACATCTGGCCCCTCCTCATATCGGACCCGATAGCATATGTTGAAAGCGCCGCTTTTCCACAGGCATGCAGACACCGGTTTGCCCGGTCGATGCTTTTGGGCCAGCCCCATGGACAAGATCTCCGGGGATCGACTCGACCACAGCCTCAACCACACAGCGGCCTTCTGTTCCTGCTTCTTCACGGCAAGGTGGTCGAATTCCATGGTTGCAGTCGCTGGGAGGCCGGGTTGGGATGTGCAAGATTGGGAGTTGACATGTTGGAGTTCCTTCCCAGCGGTCCAGCCACCGATCGGTCTGGCCTGTGGCTCAGCATGTTTCGCTAGCAAAGAAGCAATCTGGAGACCGACAAGAATACGACTATTGGATCATATGGGTAAAAGATATAAGAACATGCCAAGAAAGATCAATGAAAGAAGAGTCGAGAGTTGGTACTGGATACACATATTGTCTCTTAAGTACTACTACTAGTAAATTACTAAACCACCAGAAAGCTTTGTGGAATTGCTATATTATCTGATCCCTGGAAGTCAATTTCCTAGCCTGACCGATAGTACCCACCTACTGCAGCTCGTGATATTATATACAAAGTGTGATTCCCTATCGCCACACTAGCCCCTGTCCTATTTGGCCGATTTGCAGCTTGAGCACGCAACATGATGACAGACGCGACATTGTGGCTGAATCTCGTACATCTTCCAAGGATTAGCTCCGAAATATCACTGGAGCCACACTCATCTCGGCCCTTTGGCATGGTCAATATAGACATCATATAGAGGTGTTGCAGAACACCCACCGCATTCACTCGATCTTGATGGGAGTGTAAGAGTTGATTCCTCCTGTGGATACCGGTACTGGCCGCCCATATGTGCAGTTGCTGGAGATTGTTATCCATGATTACTCTTTAGGCCACAGGCTCAGCAGATGGGAAATCGGATGACTGAACCGGTGGTCTGAGGTTATCGGGGAGTTGCTTTGCTGCTGCAGGGGGGTGTTACTGCGGGGAAATCCCATCCATCCACGATCCACCCTCCGTCCTTCCTCTCACCTCCCTTCCCAACTCGACAACGTCGTCCATCCGGACGGGATGGCGGCCCAGACCCCCTCGGCTCACCATGATTATACGGTCGGATGGATCTGTGCCTTGCCCATCGAGATGGCCGCTGCTCAGGCCGTCTTGGACCAAGTCCACGGACCGTTGCCCGTGCAGCCGACCGATCACAATGCCTATACACTCGGCGCCATTGGAGAACACAAGATCGTGATTGCGTGCTTGCCAAGCGGCGCTTATGGCACAACATCGGCCACCTCGGTAGCCATGCAGCTATTGTCAACCTTCCCCTCCATTCGCTTTGGTTTCATGGTCGGGATTGGCGGAGCGGTCCCAAGCAAAGATGCTGATATCCGCCTTGGGGACATCGTGGTCAGCAATCCAACCGACACGCATGGAGGCGTGGTGCAATACGACTACGGGAAATCCTCGAGCGGCGGTGGCTTTCGGCGGACTGGCATGCTCAACCATCCGCCCCGGATTCTTTTAACGGCCTTCTCGAAGCTGAGGGCAACTCATCTTCTGCGAGGCAGCCAGTTCATGGACTTCCTTGCCGATCTCCATCACAAGAATCCTCAGCTAGCGGTGGACTTTGCTCGTTCAGCTCTACAGGATCATTTGTACCGCGCTGATTATGACCATGAAGATCTCACCTCCAAAGCCTGCAGAGAGTGTGATGCCACGCAAACCGTTTCTCGGCCTTCTCGAACCCTAGATACACCGGTAATTCATTACGGACTTATTGCATCGGGCAACCAAGTGGTGAAGAACAGTAGACTGCGAGATAAACTGGGCCAGGAGTTGGGCGTATACTGCGTGGAGATGGAAGCCGCGGGGTTGATGAATAGCTTCCCTTGTCTGGTAATTCGCGGCATTTATGACTATGCTGACTCCCACAAGAATAAAGAATGGCAGGGATACGCTGCTGTCAATGCCGCTTCTTATGCCAAAGCTTTACTTGCGGTGGTGCCAGCGTCGGACCGCCAGATGGTTCGAACTCTCCAAGAAGCTGCGGCTGATGGTACGAATCTTCCTCTTCGAATGCCATTTGCATTAGCAACAATATACCAGGCAACTTTCAAGTCCCATTCGAGTTGACCAAGGTTCCTGCCGTGAGCAAGTTCATTGGTCGTACGGCAGATCTTGACCGGCTCTGGGGTCTCTTGCAACCCGATGCCTCAAATTTGCGGAAAGTGGTAGTCCTTCATGGTATGGGTGGTTTGGGTAAGACCCAATTAGCCATCCGTTTTGCTCGACTACATAAAACTGCATGTACAGCCATTTTTTGGATCAATGGTCAGGATGAAAACATCCTCATTCGCTCTCTCGCAGATATCGCCGCACGACTCCGCGATATGTCAATACAGCTGACTGCCATCAAGGACACGAAGCCTGAAGACACGAAGCAGGACGCACAGCAGGTCCTCAATTGGCTGTCACAGGAGGGCAACTCTAAGTGGCTGTTGATCTATGATAACGTGGACCAATCTCCCCTCCATAACAGTCTCAATGAGCAAGGAGGAGCATATGATATTCATAAATACATCCCTTCTGCAGACCACGGCTCCGTCATAATCACCACACGGTTACAGAAGTTGGCAGAGCTCGGCACATCATCATACCTACTACAGCGGCTACCCTTCAGTGAATCTTTCTGAGGAAGACCTCAGACCATGACAGGCCCGCCTCTGATAATATCACTACTGACGCCGAGATCAATGAACTAGTATATCGGCTGGATGGCCTACCTCTTGCTCTTGCACTTGCTGGCTCCTACATCCACAGTTCAGGAATGAGCTATTCGAGTTATATGAGTCATTACAACCAAGCGTGGTGCGACCTTCAAGCAGCAGCAGAAGCGCCCAGAGAGTACTCTAATGGAAACATGCTGACTGCATGGGCGCTCTCCTATCATGAGGTCAAGAAAGGGTTTCCATTAGCAGCACAGTTTCTCTATCTTCCCTCATTCCTCCATCATGGTGATATCTGGTATGAGCTACTGCGAAATGGGGTAGAGGATCATGACACACCAAGATGGTTTACTGAGATATTTCAGATGAGATTCAATTTTTAAGAACCATCAAAGTGCTGGTCGACTTTTCACTCGTGCAACGACAGTCAGGTCGAGGTGGCTACTCGTTGCACCCTGTAATCCAAGAGTGGTGCCAGTATGAGCTCCCCAGGATTTATACAGATCTTAAAGAGACAGAAGACATAACTTGGTGTATTGCTACTGCTGCTATAGGCTATAGTGTGTCGAACTCATCAGAAAGAAGTTACTGGGATTTACAACACAGACTTCTTCCACATGCAAGTCGAGTCTGTCAGTTGGTGAAGTACGAACTGGGATCATCCCAGTATCATCAAGTGCTTGCTGCAGTTCACAACCTTGGGCGCCTTTACTGGAACCAGGGCAAGCACAAAGAGGCTGAGAAGCTATACCAGCAAGTCCTTGCTGGACGCGAGAGGGTTCTCGGCCCAGATCATATATTCACTCTCGATACTGTCCACAACCTCGGGGTTGTTTATCATGACCAGGGAAACTTGAGAGAAGCTGAGGAAATGTACCAGAGAGTATTGGCAGGATATCAAAAGGCTTCAGGATCGAGTCATATCCCCAATCTTCATACTGGCCAGCTTGATACTATCCAGAATCTTGGTAGCCTCTACTGCACCCAAAAGAGATTGGAGGAGGCGGAGCAGATGTGCCTGCAAGCGCTTGCAGGCTATGAAAGAGTCCTAGGTCCTAGTCATACCTCCACTCTTGATGCAATTCACAACCTTGGAAATGTCTACTGGTCTCAACAGAAGCTAGACGAGGCAGAGCAGCTATACCTACAAGCCTTGGAAGGTAAAGAGAATGCCCTTGGTCTTAACCACACCTCTACGCTCGACACTGTTCACAATATTGGGGTTGCTTATTATGACCAGGGAAAGCTACAAGAGGCAGAGGAAATGTACCAACAAGCATTGAGTGGTAAAGAGAAAGCCTTTGGCCTCGAACATGTCTCTGTTCTTGACACTGTCTTTAATCTTGGGCGTCTGTATTGGACTCAGTCTAAGTTAGAACAAGCCGAGCAGATGTACCAGCGGGCAATGACGGGATGTGAGAAGGTCCTGGGTCCAGACCACATGTCTACTCTTCACACAGTCCATAATTTAGGGGTACTCTACTCTGCTCGAAACATGCTGCAGGAGGCTGGGAAGATGCACCAGCGGGCACTAACTGGCTATGAGAAAGCTCTTGGTCCGGATGACATTTCGACCCTTGACTTTGCTCATAATCTTGCCGTTCTTTATTGCAAACAGGGAAAGTCGGAAAAGGCAGACGCCATGTTAAAACGAGTGTTGTCTGGTAAGAAGAAGGTCTTGGGTCCGTCCTGTCCGTCTGTGCTTGCTGTTATCAATAATCTTGGAAACCTCTACAAGCAGCAAGAACGGCTAGACAAAGCAGAAGAGATGTACCAGTATACACTTGATGGTTGGCTGAAGATGTTTGGCCTAGAGCACCCCTCGACTCTGGGGATTTTGAATAATCTTGGTATCCTCTACCAAGACCAAGGCAGGGTAAAGGAGGCTGAAGAGATGTACCAAGAAGCACTTGCGGGCTATGAGAAACTGGCTGGCGTGGAGGATATATCCACAATCGACACTGTTTTGAACCTTGGGGATGTTTACAGAGATCAGAATCGGTTACGAAGAGCCAGGGGAATGTACGAGCGAGCACATGCAGGCTACGAGAAAACAATGGGACCAGATCATGAACTGACCCGAGAAGCCGCTGACAGAGTACGGCTAACAGTTGGACCCTCAAAGTCACGCTTGCGAGAGGTGATATTTGGCCACTTCCACCGAAGCTAGCCCTCTGTTCCTATTTACTAGTTGAGTATGGTCTTTCACAACTCCATGTCTCCTCCTGTGGCTCAAGTTTCACTACTTTCGTGGCGGTCCGCGTTCTCATCGGAGTTGGGGAAAAGACTCGTTCAGGGCCCGCATCTCCAACCAAACTTAACCTACAGGTCGAAACGAAGTTCGTCGTGGCGGTCTTTACTCTGCTGCTCGGTGATAGCGTGGTCTGAGATTTTCTCGGCGACCATGACTGCATCAGGTCAATACCAGGCCTCTGGGTCAACTATGGGGAATCAAAACTTACAGGCAGTAGCGAGAGGCAAAGCGGGGGGCAAGAAAGGGAAGACTGAAACATCCACAACTCTCACTGCGAGGGAAAGAGGCAACAGGTCAGTCTACTAGGACGTTAAATTTTCAGCCGAGGAGCAGCGACTCACCATTGTTCAACCCGATCACCTTGCCAGTGGGATCCACCACTGCTTTGGGATCATCCTTCCTCCCCATCCGCAGAGTACAACCGGCGTGATGCATCGACCGGTACGCCGACCTCACTGTATCCTCCAGCTCGGTCCAAGTGACAGCCTCGACGCCTGGGGAAATCTCATCGCTTGCAAGGATGTCCGCCATGGCTGGATTTTCAAAGATGGTGCGCATATACTTGACGGCCCCGACGGCGACCTCCAGGTCCGTGTGACTCGTCAGCCAGCCAGGCCTGACAAGAACTTTGTCCGTCATCTTAGAGGAAGTTAGGGTGACATTGCCGCGGGACACGACGGTCATGGGAATAGACGCGAGCGAGGCGTAGTTGCCGTCATTGGGCCAACTTTTTCCCATGGGGAAGGAAACCATAACAGCCTCCGGCCAATCTTTGGGAAAGCTTCCCAGATCTAGTACGGATAAAAATGTCAGTCTCCGGGCCCTGTTGGCTGGAGAGCTCTGGGCACGTACCCTCTCTGGCTTCCCTGGAGAAATTACGCAGTTCCTTGGGAATGTCAAAACCCAGTCCAAAATCGGGGCCTGGGTTGAACAGCAAGCCGCTCTCGTTGTTCCTGAACAGGTCCATATTCTCCTCGCTGATACCTTTATTCAGCAGGACGGATGTAGTGGGCACTTTCACCTTGTAGGTGACCGTCACGACGATGTGATCCTGCATGTGTTGCCCAACGCTCGGGCTGTCAAGGACAGGCGTGATATCGAACTTCTTCAGCTCATCAGCCGGTCCTACTCCGGAGACCATCAGCAGCTGGGGTGACAGGATAGCACCTCCTGCCAGGACCACCTCGTTCTTCGCCTTGATGGTGAATTGCTCTTTTGCCTGTTCAGGCACGCTCCGGGTGACTGCGACCCCTGTCGCGGTCTTACCATCAAAGAGGACTTTTTCTGCTAGAGTATAAGTGAATAGGTCGAGCTTCTTCTTATGTGGCTTATCCTTCACATAGGCGGTCCAGGTCGTTGCGCGCTTGCCGTCGGTACTGTTGATGAGGTCCAAGACCCAGCTGGAGCCGAAGAGTTCACCGGTTGCAAAGCTCAGGGCGTGAGAAACTCCCATAGCATCCAAGCTCTTACGGACCCATGTGCCGAAGGGGTGTGCCCACCTGGGAAAGGTGACTTCTAGGGGGCCAGTACCCTGCAGACTGGACGGATCATACTCGGGCGTAGCGTTGGCCCAGCGAGAGGTGCTATTGGGGGGCGTGAAAAAGACCGACTTGTCGAAGTACTTCTCGGTTTCTTGATACGTCCAGGACTGGTCATCGACCTCGTCGGCCCATTTCTGGAGAGAGCCGACGCTGGGGCGAAGGTATCCAAAGTAGGAGAAGTCATGACTTCCCCCAACCTAGAGAGATTGGAGATAACTGGGTCAGCAAGGGCAAGTCCCTGGGCCGCCGTGGAGGGCAATATCAACTTACCATCTTCCCGCTGGTAAAGTTCAAAGTGCGTCCGTTGGTTTCCTACCGAGGGTCAGGATCCATAATTCAGGAGTCTACTGTCGGATGGCCGTCAGGTACACTTACCGGAGTAGGAGGTACCTCCCACCAGTGCTCCGTCAAGTCCTCGGGCGGATTGTCCCAGTCCTCGTCGTATGCGGGGATTTCACTCCGATCGCGCGCCAGTTTTTCATAGTACCCACCGCGCTCGATGACGGCCACATCATAAAACTCGGCCAGACGGGCCGCCGCGATGAGGCCGGTTACGCCGCCGCCCACCACGACATAGTCATAGGGCTCAGATGGCTTGGGCGGATTCTCCTGGGTATCGGGTCCCAGGTATTGTTGGAATTGGGGACGGCGGTGGTAGACAAACGGAGAAGATACTGTCGGGGTCAGGTAGAGCGAAGAGGCGAAGAGAATGGGTAGAAGTTGGGCCCGCATAGTGACCGAGCTGGTGAGAGGATGAATCTACTTACTACCTTGCAATGAGGAAGAGGAATCTGATCCATCTCATCTCTACCTATATATGCAACCCTCTCGAGGCTACTTCACTCGATGACGCACCAGCATCCTTCAAATCCCGAGAACCAACGCTCCATGATCATCTAGATCTATTCTGTTTGCGTCTTGACATCTTCTCCGTACCCTGGAAATGAAGGAAGGGCGGGACTCGGCTTCCGCCATCCCCGAGCGTCAATCTTCCCACGACCCATGCATAACCACGGGTACCCCGGGAGTGACGGGACAGGGAGAGCACCCATATGTGGATGAGCTAGAGCACTGTTGCACCCGGAAGTGCTCCCGAGTGGAGGCCAGAGTCATGGCGTCAGCATCAAATCCGGGTTGTCCCGCATTTGGTGGCCCGAGATGGAGCAGGGTTGCAATCGGGGATGAGACTATGAGTATTCGACTCGACTCATGATCCATGAGGCGGGCTCCTCAGCCCAAGCCGTGGATTGAGAAGCGAATCAAGCAACCTCTTTTCCATCGAAAGGGGTCGGTAGCTCAGGGGTAGAGCGTGGGACTGCAGATCTTAAGGTCACGCGTTCAAATCGCGTTCGACCCTTTCCTTTTTTCCTTTTACTTTCTTTTTTTTCTCGATGCAAGTTTCATCACACTTTCTTTGCTTTTTGTGGCTTGGTTGGGGGCCAATCCAGTCCTTGGAAGACTTGGACTTTGATGGTTTCTATACATTCGAGCGGGGTTATCGGCCGGCCTTGTTGGTCCCTTGATGAAAACCCACCCAACATATATCCGACTAGGGCTTCCTTTCCGCCTACCAACACTTCTCATTCGATGCCACACCAGGAGCAATGAGGGGTTCAAACTCCATCCTAATGTCACTATGTACCTCGGTCTGCAGCAGAATGAGCTGACATGCAGCGTGGACGTGAAGCGGTACCATAGGGACTAGATGACGTGGGTGGGATAAGCACAGCTGAAGCGCAGCGGGGTCGGTGGTGGAGCCGGGCCATCTGCTACTACAGGGAGCTGCTAGATACAGGAGCATCGATGGGGGCGAAGCTTGTGGGCGAGAGGATGCGACCGCCACCTCATCTCCACCCAATCCGAAGACAAATTCAGTTCTACAGGATCGATGTGCAGAGCTAGGGTCCATAACATTTTGTCATTACTACGGCGCGTGATGCATTCCGCTTAGTGAGGCGCGGCCACTCCAGCCTCGTTGGCCTGGGAGCTGATCAGCTTCTTGTAGGCATTGACGGTGCCGTCGAACTTGTGCACGGTGCCCTTGTCACACACCCAGAGACTCCGGCAAACGTTCTGGAGCATGGTTACGTCGTGGGAGACCATTACGACACCTCCTTCAAAGTTCTGGAGCGCCTCCGACAGCGCATCCATACCTTCGATATCCAGATGGTTGGACGGTTCGTCCAGCACCAGGATGTGCGGGTTCGTCAGCGACAAGCACGCAAAGGCAACACGGGACTTCTGACCTCCGGACAGGAGCTCCATCCGCTGCAGACCAGTCATGCCCGTGATACCGAAGGCACCCAGGTGTCGGCGGTATTCCTCGTCCGTCTTTCCGGGATAGGTCTTGGCCATGAAGCTCACCGCGCTGGTCGTGAGATCCAGCGCGTCCACGTGATGTTGCGCGAAGTAACCGACTCGCAATCTGGCGTGTTGTGAAAGTAAACCGGCCGTGGGCTGCAGCTGGCCGGTGAGCAACTTCAGGACGGTGGTCTTACCAGCACCGTTGGGTCCGACGATTCCGATACGCGAATCGAGCTGCACGTCCAGGTCCACATTTCGGAGAAGGGGCTTGTCCGGCGTGTATCCGAAAGCGATGTCGGTCATCTGCACAATGGGAGGGGAAAGCTTCTCCACATCGGGGAACTTGAAATGCACGACGTAATCGCTCTCGGGGGCCTCCAGAACTGGCATTCGCTCCAGTTTCTTGATTCGGGACTGTGCTTCGGATGACTTGGCTGCGTTGTAGCGGAATTTGTCAATGAATGCTTGGAGATGGGCGCGCTCGGCCATCTGTTTCTCGTATTCGCGCTTCGCGTTCTTCTTCCGTTCCTCCTTGGTGGCGTAGAACGAATCAAAGTTGGCGCCCTTGTAGTAATCCAGTCGTTCGGAGTGTTGATGCATGATATCGGTGGCTACTTCGTTCAGGAACGCTCGATCGTGAGAAACAACCAGAATGGTACTGGGGTATGTCTGAAGGTAGTTGGAAAGGAAAGTAATAGACGGCACGTCCAACATGTTGGACGGTTCGTCCAGTAGAAGCAAGTCGGGTTCGCAGAACAGGGCTCGGGCGAGAGCCAATCTCATTCGCCAACCACCAGAGAAGGTCTTCGTGGCGAACTGCTGGCGCTCTGCCGAGAAACCCAGACCGGCCAGGATACTGGCGGCACGAGACTCTGCCTTATCCGATTCCATTTCGGCGAGCTTGGCATGAATGTCGTTCAATGTGATGTCCAGACCCTCGCGTTCATGGTCCAGTCTGGCAGCATCCTTGGACGTGTCCGCCATGGAAGATCTCTCGGCTTCGATCTCCGCCAGCTGCTTGGAGATCTTTTCCAAATCGGCAAGGAGACGCTTGCGCCACACGTCTGCATCGAGGACGGCTTGAAGTGCCGGGGTGTCATCGCCCGTGATTTCCTGCTCGACGTGGAGAATAGAGATATGGCTCGGAATAGCCACTTCTCGACGACTGAGCGCACGCAGGAGCGTACTCTTTCCGATACCGTTCTGACCCACGAGACCATAGCGACGACCATACGCCAGAGAGAGCGAAGCATCCGTCAAGATACGAAGGCCACCAACCGAGATATCAATGCTGTCCACCTTAATATCCTTACTCTTAGACTGCGAGTCCGAGCCCAATTGAAGAGGATTGACAGCCATGAAGAACTCTTCGTACGACATAGTACTATCAGGCTGGTTAAGCAGACGCGACGATTCATACTGCACCGTCTTCATCTGCTTCTTCTCCTGCTTAGCACGAATCTTGCGCTCCGCCTTCTCCAGCTTCTTGCGGTCGACCCGCGACTCGACCTTTCTGGCATTCGCCGACTCCAGATCAACATTACCTCCCGCCAGGCCCAGCGTAGAGGACATATTCCTCTGAGAGCCGACATTGATAGCCTGATCGAGCCGTTTAGCAGCGAACGGCATCTGACGACGCTCCGCATCAACCCCATCGGACGCACTCAGCGAGGAAATGAACTTCTCGACGAGATTGCGAATAGCCTTCTCATTCTCGGGGGTGAAGTCGCCCGAAGCGGAGACTAGAAGTTCGGTGACCAGATCGGCGGCCTCGGCTAGCGGCGACGGAGCATTGGCATCTTCCACATAGGCCTTGGATGCGTGAGTCAGATAGCCTACGGAGTATTGGGAGATGACGCGGTCGAGACCGGGAATCTGCGCCTGGAGTTCCGTCTCCATTGTCACGGGAGAGAAGGCGAGGGGGTCAAACTCAAGTTCAACGCCGTGTAGATACGGGGGAGGAGGCGGGGGAAAAGGGGCCTGGAAGATGCGGGGGAGATGGGAAAATATCTAGCGAGTATCCACCGCCACCGTGATGATATTTTCTCTCGATATAGATAGGTCGAGACCGAGACCGATGAGGAGGTTTGGCTGGGTTCGTTGCGTTGTCTGTAGAGTTTTTCCGAGGCCGGGCCGCCCCACGCGCACGTGATGGTGGGGTGCCCGGGGGGGGGGGACGGGTACTACATGTTCATTGTGTAGTAGTTGTCTTGTGCTAGCATCGATGATTCGGATTCTATTTGGAGATTTACAGCTAGGCGAGTGGATTCAATCATGGGAGTCAGGGCTGGTCTTCCGCGAGCTCGAATAATCGGACTACGTGATGCCCTTACGCGCCGCAGGGAGCTCAATACGAAGAGTACTACTCTGCTTATGGAGTAGATGATGGAACCCTCGGCCCCAACAGCCCTTAGAACAGCGCTTGCATACCTGGCAGTCCTGCGATGACTTATTTGCAGTGCATGGAGCATCGTCAGGTCATCCCAGGACCAACGATGCGGATGCCGGATCCGCTTCCCGCAAGAACCGATTGATGGGTCGATTGATTGATAGATTGACGGATCGACTGAGTCCTATCCGTACGAGTTAGGCCAAACTGGCGACACGTGCGGGTAGAAGCCAGTCAATCAATCAAGTCATGGCTGGCTGGTTATCCGTGAGACGGTGAAATATCAGACGGCTCGATGGTGACATTGTCTCCTTGCGCAACGGATAACGTTCCGTGGGTGGCTTTGGGGCCGATTGGCGGTGATGTTTGCACACAAGCGCAATGTATGATGTCCCAGAGGACGGGAGGATAAGAAACTCGGCGGACTGTAAGCACGAGTGAAGTCATCGAGTCACCGGATGACTGCCTCTATATACAGAACAATATCACACAAAGGGACAAACGCCATCCGTTATGGGTATATACACGTAGATAGGATCTGTCATTCAATCAACAACTCCCGTGTCGTCGGCCCAGCTCGGCTGGATACTACGACACACGCCCTCGTAATCCCGAAACTTTTGCGCATCCTCCGTCAGTCCAGGGGTGGTCCAGAACATGGTCCAGTTCGTATCGGCCAGCTTCCATGTTCCCTGCGACCGCTCGAAGTACCACTTGTTGACCGGATTGTCCTTGCGGCTGCGCCAGCACACACCGTTCGGGAAACAAGAGCGCACCATGGCATTGAACACAATGTCCGCCACGCCCCCGGCGCCTTGACTGCGCTTCAACACCGCAAACTTATCAAGATACGGAACCATGCGAGCTTGGCTCGCCTCGCTCCCGTCATCCTCGACGCCGGGAGGGAGCTCCCACGTCAATATGGCGCCTCCCTCATACTCTCCCGCAATTATGAGCCCAGCCAGGCGACCATTGACTCGATCCAGGTAGTCTTGCACGTCAAGCTTGCGATTGAAGGAGTCTTCGATCAGATGGACAAGTCGCGGCAGGTCGATGGAAGGATCATCGAGCCCCAGGCGCGGCCGATTTTGGGCCGTCCAAGCCGACACCCAAGGGTTGGGGATGATGGTAAGCGGCATGCCTCGCTTGACAAAAGTGGTATGGGAGCCATGCGCAGTAACCGAGTCCCGGCCGTTCATGGCTGCGCGTCTGCTGAGTGGTAGGGAAGACGAGAGTAATGGCTTGTCGGTCAGTAGGTTATGAATCAGTGGGTTCCTCTGTCTTCGAGTTCCGACCGCCGACACATCGGGACTGGCGCTCTCGGGACTCTGTGCTGAGCTTGCCACTTCGAGGGGGGAGGTGATGATCCCCGACGATGCCGAGGGTAGCATCGCTAGTGTGGCTTGGCTTAGTCGTAGGTTATCTATGTGACCTTCAACAACGCCCGCGTCCAACACCAGGTCCGCCGAATAGGGTTTCTGACTAGGAGGCACGGGGACGACTTCCGAGTCAGCGAACTTGGAGAACGGATTGCTGTCGGCAATCGACGGGAGGCCTTCTTCGGGGAGATTGTTCTTTGCCGACGCCGCCGACTGCCACACCCGCAGCAATTCATTTTCAATATCACCATACTCCTGTTCCATGTTGATGAAAACGTGGGACGTCTGAGGCCCACTGAAAGCAGGGATGCCTCCGAGAGGGTCCAAAAGAATCACTCGATCTAATGACACCTCCTTCTGCAGGCCGGTGATGCGCTGAGCAGTAAGTAAAGGGTCTTCATCGGGATCGGGGACTGTCGCCAAGCCGGCAAGCTCTTTCGTCAGAGCCAGGACGGCATCGTTGGCAGAGACGGTTACCGCCCGAGGAACGTCCTCGGTATAGGCAATCGGGGCCACGACAACGATCTGGCCATCTCGTAACGGCCCTAGAAGGGCCTTTCGAGATAGGACTTTTGGCATCACCGGATTTACCGAGCAGACGGACAAGACCGAGTCGACATGGGCCGATTTCGAATCCGGCTGGGCATCAATGGCCGTCGAAATGCGGTCTGCCTGCTCCGACGCAATCCTGCGCAACTCATTGGTATTGTCCGCCGCCCCCGGGTCCACCACCACACAGCAAGCCATGCCCAAGCGGTTCAACTGCGACAAGGTTTTGGCGACGCCATTGAGTGTAGGGTCATCGAGAAGCTGCGGGGTGGTGATCTTGACCAATGCGAGGTGCAGGCGTTCGGACACGTCTTGGGGAGGCGGCGTCGGGGTTGAATCGTGCCTGAAGACGGGGCTATCGTAGACGGACCGAGAGGCGCCATAGAAGGACCTGGAGTTGACGCCTGATGACGCTGGGAGCGTCACCTCGGGGACTTCTGCTTGCTTGGCAGTCGGCGTTAGCTGTGGTTTCTCTTGGTGTTGAGCTTTCAGACGGGCTAGATAGGATTTGGCCTCTCGTTTCGTTGACGCCGAATTCAACAGGCTAAGGAAGAATTCCCGATCAAGAAGCTTCTCCTTGGCGCGGCGACCCAACCGATCCTGGGTTTTGCAGCTGGAGGAGAAGTCGGCACTTTGCTGAACATGCCGACCGGAGACGGAGGAAAGGCCTCGACTCGGCGGGCCACCGCCCAGGGCGGCACGGTTGGCCGTCCGCAGCCCCGTCAAGGTCCTGGAGCTCATGGTTCAGACCTGGAGCTGAATCGGGGCACCCATGCCAGGAAGCAGGTCGAGAAAGGACAGAGGAAGAAGAAGAGAGCCGAGGGAAAGAGAAGCAAAAGAAGGAAAAGCGGCCGAAGAGTCGGAGGATAGCTAGGGAGCTAAGCCCGATGGGGAGCCGACAGCGGGGCATGGGCACGTGCCATCAATTCCCATCAGGTACGGTCGCATGCATCGCCATCTGCAGACGGCCTGACTTTGTCATGATATGACCGGGAGCGATTGATCAGAAAAGCCCGATGAAATTCCTTGAGAGTTGAGATGTTTCAAGCTCTTTCTGGACCTCGTAAGGACGGAGGAAGGGAGGACAGAGTGGATCGGATCGATCTGCCTATCTCGCTACTATCGAACGGTTACGTCAGGTGATTGTTAGGCTCTGAGTCACATGCCTCGGGCTAGGTTGATTCGGGAAGCCAGCATCAACCAACTATCGACCGAGATCGCTCCGGAATTACGCAGTAAAGAGAAAAAGAACCCCCCCCCCCCCGTCCGATTGATTCACAATGCACGATCCCCTGTTTTAGGGTACCCGGGGCCGATCGTGTACAATGAGCAAGCGTCCTCATCAAGGGTCCCTCTCCCGCCCTGACTCCCAGTCCCCCGACCTGGTGGATGACACCCCCCAGGGCCTCTCGCCGGGCCCCCCCGAGCACCCTCATCATGCATCCGGGCCCAGCAAAAAGCCCCGGAACTTCATAGCCACCGTGGTTGGTCCCCTTCCTCCGCCGGCACGTGGGCAGTAGTAATAGTAACCATTCACCCTAGGCGTGTGAGAATTGCAGGCTGAAAAAAACCAGATGCGATGAGTCGCGACCCAAATGCGGCTTGTGCAAGTCGCTGAATCTGGACTGTGTCTACAATGAGCGCAAGACCTCCAAGTAAGGCCCTTTCGCGCTCGACCAATGCCCTCGGTCGATCTGGCTAATTCTCAAGCTAGGCGAGATCATTCTCTGGGCCTAATCATGAGCACACTGCATCGACTGGAGACCAAGCTGGAGAGTGTCCCCACGGCTCTCGCCAAGGAGATCCACTCTCTTCGGAGTCAGATATCGCAAGGCTTGGGCAGTCCAGAGATGACCAACTCAATAGCGCATCATAATCGCAACACCGGCAGCTTGGGCTTACTGGAAACCCCTGGCTCCCAGATCTTCACACCAGAAGCAGTACGGCTGAATGACGTGGAACATGACGACCAAGATCCTCATCCCAATCCGGCAGAGTCCAAAGGCCTGGTCTCCATCTCATTTAGCCAGCACGGTGTAATATCCTGGCTAGGCGCGCAGGAGATCCTCCCGCGAAGGCTACTCGAGGCTCACGAGAAACTGGCCAAGAATTATGTGATTGACCTGGAAATGAAGAGACCCCATTTGCCCATGTATATCTGCCCCTTTCCCGCCCAGGCGGGGGAGAACTGGCTGGATGCCCTTCCATTGGCGATGGTAAGGGGTCTCTCGGATGCCTTCTTTACCACCTTCAACCTATATACTCCGATCATCGACAAGAACTTTTACTACGCCTTCACCCTGGGGGCGGCAATAGAGAGCAACTTTGGATACACGATCGAGAGTTGTGTGGTGCTGAATATCATGGCCCTGGGCTGCATCGCGGTTCACGCCTACCAAGAAGGCGATTATCCACTGCTAGGGACCCGGGGGACCCGATTCGAGCCACCCGACTGGATGGGGGTTGTCTACGAGACTCCCCCCGGGCTGCGCTTCTTCAACACCGCTCGGCAGCGCATTGGATTCCTAATGTGTGACAACAACATCCAAAGTTGCCAATATTACCTTCTGTCATTGTATGGCCCCCCTCAAGGCAGTCGTCAGCCAAATGCTAACAACGCGAAGTATATACTATAGCCAAATTCTGCGCCCGATGGATTCGTGGGCCATGATCCACCGTGCTGCTACATGCTGTCTCTCCATGCTCACCAAGTAAGTCATCTCTGACCGACTGTGTTATCAGACCCACGGGGCACTGACACCCCTAGCCATGACGTCCACTTCGACGAATGGGAAGGCGACATGAAATCCAGGGTGTACTGGAACTGCCTCATGAACGAAACCATCCTTGTACAAGAACTACACGTCCCGCCCAGTGGTCTCTCTCGACTGGAGGAATACGTCCCAATCCCCAAGTTCATCACCTTTGAAAGCGTCGGCTTCCCGACTTCCCGCTCGATGTCGTTAGAAGAGATAGACGATTCATTCTTCCAATATCATTTCCTCGCGCAGGTCGCCCACCGTATAATCCTGACCCGTATCCGCCATTCGTTATACTTCCACTGTGAGTCCCCCAACCCCTACATATATTCCCATCCCGGTACCCCTATGACCGGACTAATCCATCTCCGTCCCCAACCCAGCCGACTCAGGCACATTCCCTCACCCCGCAGTCAACGCCGAACTTCGTCACCAATTAGAACAATGGCGTGTCAACCTCCCAGCCGCTCTCCAATTCTCCGACAACCCTCCAGCTCCCACCACCACCACAACAGACACCAACCCATCCGACCCCTCATCACCAACCTCCCATCTACCCTTCCCCTCCACCCGCCACGCCCTATGCCCCGCAATCGCCGTATCCGAAGCCATGCTTCGCGGCCGATACATGATCGCCAATTTCCACATCGGCCGTCCCTATCTCTACAAAGCCCTACACATCCCCGACTCATTAACGGAGAACGATCTCGAGCAGATCCGACGGGGTCTTTTCAACGCCGTGAACTGGCCCGTTGTCGGGGGCATCTTCCAACGAATGAAGAGTTGCATCCCGATTAAATTCGCCTTTTGTTCCCAGTAAGTCTCATTACCCAGGTCACCTCATAAATCACCCCCATAATGCTTGCTCACTATTATTCTCCCGTCCCCTAGGTTCTTCGGTCAAATCCTCCTCTTTTATTGTATAGCTCACTCCCCCGATCGACGATTACACGAGACTTTGCCTACGGGCTGGGAACAGTGGAACCAGGAGATGTTGCAGTTTCTTGAGGATTGTGCGCAATCTAGTCCGGCTGTGGCGAAGGATCTGGAGCTTTTGCGGTTATTGTAATGTAATGAATGAATAAGTAAATAGATGATGCGCTTTGGTGGATAGGGGGTGGAGGGTTGTGTCTTGTTTTGATATGATTTATAGAGATTATGAATATACGTGCTTATAGTACTATTCGTGCCGGGTGTCTAGATATGGGGATTATTCACTAGCCAGAGTCTGTCCTGTCTGTTCTCGCTCAGGTCGACGTGATTAGATTTACGGCATTGAGAAGACGTGATGTATTCCTCATTGTTCATTTCTCCCAGGACGACCCCCTCCTTGAAAAATGGAGATAGTAAGAGATGGACCGGAATAACAACATGCCTGGAAGTGAGACGTGTATCTTGTATCATTGGAGTCGGCCCGGCCGTACTGGCTGAACCGCGCATACACGCAAGAGAAAGATGCCCTCCGGACTCATTATTAGAAGACGTACAGATTTCAGTATCTGAGAATGCCTGAAACTTGCCGCACAACAACAGGGCCCCACAATCCAGGATAGACGCGATGACTATCGGGATCAAAAGTTCCATCGTTCAAGGGTCATGGATCATGGATATCATAACAATCATAGCCTGGCATGAATGGAAAAGGACTCAGGCTTTTGGAAAGAACAGGTTGCAGCAAAGGGTCATAATGTAGGATAGAAAAGGAATAGACCTTCAAGCTCCGGCCAAAAGCAAAACAGCTGCAACTCCAGGATCAAGATTAGCGGAATCGTGAGGTCTACCAAGGCGCAAGATCTGCTTCAAGGGGCTGGGCCCGGAAGAACGTAGTTTTCTAGAAGATGAGGATCCTGCTGAAAATCCGGCGTCTGCATGAAGCGCCTGGCTGGCGACACGTCACACTCAATAATGGGGACCTTTTTGCCTGCAGGAGGCTTCGAACCATGGTATGCGTGAGTCATAAAAGCCATCAGCGACTTCAGGGCTTCCACTTGCTCCGGTCGTGACTTGCCCCGGGTAATCCTTAGCAACTCTGCAAATAGCGCGGGCATGTAATACAGAATTACAGCTGGCTGGCCGTCCAAGCCACTAATATTTAACTCATTCACAAGTTCTTCTCGCATGCTGCGTGGAAGGCCGAAAAAGGCGTCATTGAATCGCTCAGCCATATCCTCATCTGCTACTCTGCCCATTGCGCAAAGGCGAAGGAAGGCCCGATCAGTTGGGTTATCCGTGGAGAGCTCTCTGAAGCCCTGTTTGGTTATGATGATGCTGCGATTTTTCAGGACTTCATTGTAAGCCTCCTGGAGAGTAATCTGGTTTTCTATGACGCGCCGAAGGATATCAAAGGCCAGTAGAAAAGACTGACAGACCGGCTCAATCATCCGGATTGCACCACGGGCGTCGATATGGCCCCCTGCACCTGCCACATCGAACATGATTTCAAGATACTTCAATTGAAATGCCTCCGCATGTCCTTCCAGGTCCCGAAGACCCTGCAGACTCCCCGGGACATTCTCACCTTGGGTTAGTTGCGGGATATTGAGCTTTGCCCCGAGCCTCACCCCTCGCTTCACATGGTCTTGAAAAATGAACGGCAGCAATTTCAGGGACGATGACCCGATAAGATCTAGTTCAATTGCCCTCTCGAGGACAGTATCATGATTGATTTTTTCGCCCTGCTCTTTCCCTTCTTTCTCCTTCACCTCCCTCACCAGTTTCGGATCTTTGCCCACATCCCCGAGGATCAGGGACACAATCAAGGCCAGGCTGTGCTTTGGCGTCTTCAAGATCCCTTTTGTTAGAACGCGAAATTCCTGGAAGGTATCGCGGGATAACTTGACGGGCTTGGGCTGTTGGAGGGTGAAGGCATCGTAGTCATCGGCTAGAAGCCATTTCAGAGCGAGGACATTAGTGATGGTGCGATTGACCTCGGAGAAGTCTTGGTCGAAAAGGTATTGAGACGGCGTGAGGTCAGTTCGATCTGATTTCCCAGGCACGCCCACCCGGATCAAATTTCCCAGGGCAGGGGCACCGTCGCCCTCGATGTTCTGTTCGACATCTTTCAGTCTGATGATTTCCTGTTCGAACTGACGATACAAAAGCTGGACGACCTGCTCGCTGCGCAGGGATTTGAAGCGGTCCTGACGGACGACGGCTTCCAGGGAGGGATCCATGCAGGAGTTGGGGAGGTTCTGGAACCAGTTAAGGATGCGCACCACGAGGGGGATATGGTACACAATCCGTAGGAATCTGCTGGTTTGGAGAGGCCGGTCTTCCAGAGGTGGAGATGGCGGCATGGCCATGGTTGATGGGATGGAGGAGATGGGCCTTCTAAGTAGTACCCACCGCGGGGGAAGGCGGCAAGCTTATAAGTCCAGCCCCCGAGCCGCCTCTGCACCGCCTCAATTACTACGGAGTTTCCCCCCTCCATCCATCCATCAGCTAGATTTCTCTGGGACCTTTCATTCCGGACATGTCACTTACCGAAACTCTTATCGGCTGTTCATCTTCATCCGCAGTTCAGGTCATGAGGAACCAACCTAATAGTCACGACTCCAGGACCCATGACCATGACTAAGACTGCCAGCACCAGCAGGAGGGAGGCTAAGTAGTGCAGGAGATTATCCCACGTGGAAAAAAGAAAAGGAAAAATAATCAAAAGAAAAAAGAAAAAAGGAAAACAGCGCGACCACCCCTTACCTCTCAGGCGTAGCCACTAGACGCTAAGCGATTCTTTGTCTTTCAGGCATGTCCAGGCAGCCATCGCGTAATTCGGCCAAATACCGTATCGCTGCGCGGTTTCCTTGTGAAGATTTCCTTTCATCTCCTTTTCTTTTCTTGTCTTCATTTTTTCTTCACTTACTCCGGACTTCAACCTATTATATCATGTTCACGACAACAATGTTAGTATGGTAACTACCGTGTATGCTGTCAAAGTATATACTCTCAATTTGTGTCGCATGGACCCATTACCTCTGTGACATATGCCGTTGTCATAATTTTAAATGATGATCAGCGTGACAGTCTCTGCAACCTCGTTGTCCCTGCACAGAAGATCGACCCAACCACGGCGCCTATCTCCGGCTGTGATTGGGTCTGGTTGCGCCTTTCAATTTCCACTCACTAGATCTAGCCCGGCCTCCACACACTTTTGTCTTTCTACATATTTCAGAATACACATCAACTACTACTAGTGATCTGTTGTGCAAGGGCAGACCGACCCAACAAGGTTCCACACGTTGGGCTGACCTGGCCACGTAGACAGTTTCTTGGGCACCCACAGTCCGGAGTATATCTTGTATGTCTTATTACTACGTGAGTGCCCTCTACTAAACAGTCAGAATAACTACATGATGCTACTAAAAATGAGAACATGTCACCCTAAGGTCAGTACGATTCAACCCTCAGCTTAGTATCTAATTGGCTGTAAGTAGGCAAGCCTCTTGTAATCTATTCCAAGCCACAAGAGGCTGCTGCTTGAAGGAGCTGAGGTAGTGTGACAGTGATACTAACTCTCCCCAGCAAGGTTTGGTAATTATTACAGGACCCAGTGCAACGATCCTGGGTGGTGAGAATAAAACTAAGACCTTCGTATTTCGGCAGAGAGGATTGTGCTTGTTGCCGTTGAGGATAAAGACCGGGGATACTCTGTAGAACATGGCCCTATCATGATGAATAGATCATATGTTGGTACCCCGGAGATGGCAGTCGGGTGTTCATTGTGATACATACTTGAAACAAAGACAGGCTTGCCCGGGTCAGCAAAAGACCAACGAGAAGCAGATACATTATGATTGATGACTCTCGCTTCGATGAGGCATTTCAGTGAGGTGGCAAGCCACCTGTCGATAGAGGAAGCAGCAGCCGGGGATTGTTATTCTGAGCGGAAGGATTCTCCTCCAATTATCTAAAAGCCTAAGCTGTTTTCTCGGGTGCAGTCTCCTAATCATTGATCCCCTTGGTGTCTATTTAGTTAAGATCTACCTAATATCTATCTGCTACTATGTAGATATAGTAGTTGATGAAGAACCTCAAAATGCTTATCGGCCCTTTCCAGGTGGGTCCCGATCGTCCCCACTTGGACCAAGCCCAAGCCCTGCACGGATCGACATATCGACATTCATCTACCTACCACTACGGAGTAGACATCCATGTAGCCCCAAGGCACTCTGTCGGTTAAAACTTTAAGACGAAGGGGTGATCTCCTCCCAGATGGAATTCCTGGATAATGCTAGGTACCTACAAGTCAGTACTAAAGCAGACAGGCTGGCTATTCCAGACGCCCCGGAGGGGAATCACGTCCGCTCGGACCCGAAAACTGCTCCGGAGCTTGCCAGTTGGTAAACTAACCAGCCCACTTGAATGATATATAGACAGCCTGACAGGTTGGTTGAGTATTTAGAGTTACCAAGCCGTTTTGGTAAAGTCAGAAAGAGATCGGCCAAGCTGTCTCCCCTACCTTGGCTTGCTGAAGAGGCCGACTGACCTACTGCCACTGGCATCTTCATCCAGCAACATGCGCGTCCTCGTGATAGGCGGGACTAGGCGTTGCGGCAGACTGGTCATTGACGAATTACTCGGGCGAGGTAGGCACTGCATTCTACGACTCACCGGGCCATGGATAGCCTAACGTCCCCCAGGTCATCAAGTCACCACCCTGGCCCGCACGCCGGACGCGCTGGGTGGTGCGCGAGCCGGCCTGGATATTGTTCAAGGTACACCCGATGAGAGCCCAGCCGGAATATGACCACCCCAAGCTAACAGTTCCTTAGGCACTCCGACCGACCTAGCCGACGTCCGAGCTGCGTTTAAGGCTGACAAGCCTGCTGTCGTGATCGTGGCGCTGAATGCTTCCCGAGCGAGCGACAGTCCGTTTGCCAACCCGATCTCTCCGCCGCGACTGATGGCCGATAGCAACGCCAATGTAGTAGCCGCGATAAAAGAATTTAGGGTGCGCAAAACCGTAATTCTGTAGGCGTTTAGGGTAGGCGACTCGTGGGCTCGGATACACTGTTTGCTGCGCCTGTTGATGAAGACGTCCAATATGTCGCACCAGTATGACGACCACAATGACACAGAGCGGGAGGTGCGGGCCAGCGGCGTAGATTATGTGTTCGTGCGGCCATCGCGGCTCGTCGAGACGAAGGAGACGCGAGTCAAGGTGTGGCCGGAGGATGGCAAAGGGGTGCCGATGATGGCTAGCACGAGCCTGATCAGCGTGGCGTGGTAGCTGGTCGATGTGGCCGAGAGCGAGGAATGGAATAACTCGGCACCGGTGATCACCAACTGATCGATGAGTGGTGAATATGTAGTATTGTAGTTATAAGATCCTCGGAGGCATTGGGGGATGCCTTCGACAGTTGTAAAAATAATCCGAGTACTCTAAATCTCTAATTGCTGATGTTACCGGAGGGATCATCCATTCCACCGCCCCCGGATGATATTACATTGGTCATGACGAAATCGATACCCTTGCCGGTATCGCCCCGCGTATCGACCGGGGTCCAGCCCCGGCATCGGCGGTGGCGTCGGCCAATCAAGGGGGAGCTAAAAAAAAGAGTTGCGACTAACAAATGGGAAAGAAAATTGCTCTTCGCCGACGACCTGGTTGACTTTCCTCCGCAATTCCTCCAAGCTCCTGGCGCGATCATGGTGAGGCAGCTTGTTTGGCAACGGGCCTCCGCCTCTCAGAGGGTAAGTCCAATGCCCATGAGTCACGACGGATAGACGGATTAACGACTGACCTCTCCACTTCCCCGTGTCTTTAGCTGGCTCCGAAATGCCTCTCCCCGCAACGATTGTTCACTCGCCGTGGTCTGGCCACCGAGGCCTCACCCGTGACCTCCTCCCGCTTGCCTCCCTACCATAAGATTGTTCAGAACCTCGAAAACGTCCGCCGAGTTCTGGGCCAGTCCCGAAACCTGACCCTCGCTGAGAAGATCCTCTACGCCCACTTGGACAACCCGGAGGAGTCCCTCCTGACCGGCACCGATAATGGTCGCGACATTCGCGGCAAAGCCAACCTGAAGCTGAAGCCCGACCGTGTGGCAATGCAGGATGCTTCGGCCCAGATGGCCTTGTTGCAGTTTATGTCCTGTGGTCTGCCCTCCACGGCCGTGCCCGCCAGTATTCACTGTGACCACATGATCGTGGGCGAGCGCGGTGCCGACACCGATCTGCCTGCATCGATCAAGGGTAACAGCGAGGTGTTTGACTTCCTGGAGAGTGCCGCCAAGCGTTATGGCATCGAATTCTGGCCCCCGGGTGCCGGTATCATTCACCAGAGCGTGCTGGAGAACTACGCTGCCCCGGGTCTGATGATGCTGGGAACCGACAGTCACACCCCCAATGCAGGTGGTCTTGGTGCCATTGCCATCGGTGTCGGTGGCGCTGATGCCGTGGATGCGCTGGTTGACGCCCCTTGGGAGCTCAAGGCGCCCCGCGTTCTGGGTGTGCGCCTGGAGGGCAAGCTGAACGGTTGGGCCGCCCCCAAGGATATCATCCTTCACTTGGCTGGCAAGCTCACCGTCCGTGGTGGAACCGGGTTCATCATCGAGTATCATGGACCTGGTCTGGAGACCCTGAGCTGCACCGGCATGGCCACCATCTGTAACATGGGTGCCGAGGTGGGCGCCACGACTTCCGTGTTCCCCTTCTCCCCCAGTATGGTTCCTTACCTTCAGGCGACTCACCGGGCTGATGTTGCCCGTGCCGCATCGGAAATCGCTGCCTCCGGACCCAAGAACCTCCTCCGGGCTGACACAGGTGCCGAGTACGACCAGCTGATCACCATCGACCTGTCGACGTTGGAGCCGCACATCAACGGTCCCTTCACCCCTGACTTCTCGGTTCCCTTGTCTTCTTTCGCTGAAACCGTCCGCGAGAAGGGCTGGCCGGAGTCTCTCGGTGCGGGCTTGATCGGTAGCTGCACGAACAGTTCCTACGAGGACATGACCCGTGCGGAGAACCTGGTCAAGCAGGCCTCTGCCGCCGGACTTGAGCCCAAGTCCGATTTCTTCATCACCCCTGGTAGTGAGCAGATCCGGGCCACTTTGGACCGTGACCAGACTCTGTCGACCTTCTCCCAGGCGGGCGGCACTGTGCTGGCCAACGCCTGCGGTCCCTGCATTGGTCAGTGGAAGCGCACTGACGGAGTCCCCAAGGGTGAGGATAACGCCATCCTGACTTCGTACAACCGCAACTTCCCCGGTCGTAACGACGGCAACCGGAGAACCATGAACTTCCTGGCCTCCCCGGAGCTGGTCACCGCCATGGTCTACTCGGGAAGCACCACCTTCAACCCCATGAAGGACAGCCTCCAGACTCCCAGCGGCGAGGAGTTCCGGTTCCAGCCCCCTACGGGCTACGCCCTCCCCAGCGACGGCTTTGCGGACGGCAACCCATCCTTCCAGCCCACAGCAGCCGTGCCCGACGCGTCTTGCGAGGTCATTGTCTCCCCCACTTCGGACCGTCTGGCCCTGCTGGAGCCATTCACACCGTTCCCCAAGGGTGAGCTTTCTGGCCTGAAGGTTCTGTACAAGGTCCGTGGCCAGTGCACGACTGACACGATCTCGGCGGCTGGTCCGTGGTTGAAGTACAAGGGCCACCTGCCCAACATCTCCGCCAACACCCTGATCGGCGCGGTCAATGCCGCCACCGGCGAGACCAACGTTGCCTACGATGAAGCTGGCAAGCAGTACTCCATTCCGGATTTGGCAGCTCAGTGGAAGGCCGACGGAAAGGAGTGGCTGGTCGTGGCCGAGGAGAACTACGGCGAGGGTAGTGCGCGTGAGCATGCCGCCCTGCAGCCCCGGTACTTGGGCGGCCGCATCATCGTGGCGAAGAGCTTCGCTCGTATCCACGAGACGAACCTGAAGAAGCAGGGTGTGGTGCCCTTGACCTTCGCGAACCCGGCGGACTATGACCGGATCGACGCGTGCGACCAGGTCGCCACCGAGGGACTGTACGAGGTGCTGCAGGCCGGCGGACAGGGCTCGATCCAGCTGCAGGTGACCAAGCGCTCCGGCGAGACCTTTGTGATCCCCGTGAAGCACACTCTCAGCCCGGACCAGTGTGCCTTTGTCCTGGCCGGTAGTGCGTTGAACTTGCTGGCCCAGCGGGCTAACAAGAAAAGTGCGTGATTGAATTCAGCGAAGTGTACATATATATCCATCCCGTTATTCATGTTCTTTCTATTTCGAGCGTTATATTAGTAGACCTGTTGTGGGTGGGTGGACATGAGTTAATCGAATCAGAGGACAACTGTCTGGATTTGATCTTTTCTTTCTCCGATCCGTGCATATCTTCGGTTTGATTCATCAAGTCCCAGGTAGACTACATCTTGCAGGGCTATGGTTCATTATGCTGACATACCAGGTCTGACCTATGGTTGAAGTCTCGCTCAAGAGGCCCTTGTTCAAGGAAGGAGTGAGACATCGCTCTACTTATATCTATGGTGCATCGAGCAACTATATACCACACCGGTGATGAAGGGGTTCCACACGACTACCCTGATCCTCGAACACCTCGTGTCTGGGGGTCAAAATAATCTCAGTGGAACAATGATTCGTCTACTTCCCGTCATAAACCTGATCCTGGAGCAGTGAGAACTGCCCTTTCTCTAGCTCTGTCGCATCCAGTTGCTCGGGTTTGACGTGACGAGCGGTCAAGGCAAACCGCAGTCTTTTTTCTGGGATGACTGAATGCTAAAGAGAAGCAGATGGTCAGACAGGAGTTTCAGCGCGCTCATACATGATCATACCTCATAGTACTTTTGCAGATCCTTGCCATGCATTACGACCAGGTCTCCATGGTTGAGTTCCATTTTGATACATGGCGATGCTTCTCCGCCTCTGCCCTTCGTCAAGGGCCCCGAGCGGAGTTCGTCATCCGTGGTTTGGTTTATGCTGCCGTCCGTGAGCTGACTCTTGAGATCCTGGCGTCTAGCATAGTCCTCGCACCCTTCAAGCACCGGGTCTTCGGACAGGACCTTTTTTGATTTGCTATAACCATGATAGTACTTGTACTTCATACGGATGAGCATCGTGGACTTTGCACCCAGCGAAAGTGTGGCGACGGTGGGACCGAGCGATGACTCTCCGTCATCATGATACTGTCGCGGAGCATATTAGTGACGGGAAGAGAGAGACAGAGAAGGAGGCTACGCGACATACCCTGATCTTCATATCCTCGAAATAACCCAGGACCAGTAATTCGTTGGGTGGGAGAAAGCAGTCGCCGGCATTAGTTACGGCCTGCTCCGTTGCCCACGTTAACCGACCCAATGCACGCAGAATCTCATCGCAAGCTTCATCAAACCCCTTGGTTGCTACGGAGACGACGTACTTGTAGGGCATTCCCTACTGAAGTTAGCACCGAGCCTCACATGGCCTCCACTGAAAGGGACGTACATAGTTGACGGCGAAGTGGGCAGTAAGGGTCCCACCAACTATGCCATTAGCATTGGCATCCGACGAACAAGTCCGATAGTATCACTCACCTACGCTCCGCTCTAGAGGGTAGCGCCGTAACCCAAGATCCGCGACCTGCAGTTGCTTGAAGAGGTCATCGGGCCCATTAGGGCGGGTGTTGATCGCACGGTTGGAAACCAGATGGGTGATGCTGCCCACCCCGGGGATCTCATAGGTCAGCTTTCGATATGGGTACAAGGTCCGGTCATCGATCTCTGGCACCATGAACTTCGGATCAAAGCTGAGAGCCCGTTTGATTGGACTCATTTCCAATTCTTCGATAACCGACCGGAGCGACACAGGTCGCATGCCCAACATCTTCTCAAAGGTGCATTCATGAGAGACGCCTGGAGGAAAGCTGATATCTGCACATTTCCAGCCCCACCAAAACGTTCGTGAGATGCACCGAGCGCACTGAGGACATACAATTCCTTTCCATGCAATACGCCTGGACAGAACGTCTCCATCGGATTCTGTGAAGGTTGACAGCAGGTCGGGTACAAGGCTATAGTGAGGCTGTATGGACAGGTCGGGAGGGAGACGCGCTCTGAGGAAGTCTGGATGAAAGCTGAGGTTTTGCGAAGGAGTCGATGCGTTCTCATTAGTCCAGAACCTGTCGCATGATGGCCGAAGGCACATCCAACCCTCTTCGTACACCTGAGGGCTCGCTCGGCCACAGGCTGCACAACAGGCCTGTGCTGGCTGGAGGTCAAAGTCCCGTTCCTCAAGCAATGGGGGATCCTTGGTCGCCCACCAGCTTTTCTGTGACAAATCCAACTTCTGGAACCGGACTTTTGCGCCTGTCTTCCTACCAATCTTCTCGTACCAAAGATGGGTAATCCGGAAGTACGCCATCACATTATACCGATGCGGGGGCTTCCTATCAAGGAGGGTGTTACGGTCCCCTAGTTCGTCAGTTAGTGACAACAGCTAACAGCTGACTGGCCTGCGCAATACCAACCTATAATCAAACCCACCGGAACCCTCAACTTCATACTATTTGCAATACTGCTGATAGCAGAAGAATCATCATCTTGATCCTTGAGCAGGACCAGATTCCCCTCCGCATCCTTAGTACACCCTCCACCACTGTCACTATCAGCAATCGATCCAGAAAGCAAGCTCACACATGTCAACATACGCTCTGGTGATAATAATTTCCTCGTCCGCATAGGACCCAATCCCAAAGTCCGCATCAATCAGGAACCCCAAGCACAAGTTGCCACTATGGTATACACCTCCCTGAACCGCGCGAAACCAAGGAAGCGCATCACATAGTTCCGGCCGAGACTATGATCAAGATTAGTTTTCACCAGACGAAATCCATCTCAGGAACTGCGCTACGAACCATTGCCCAAGCTGGGGGTTGGCCTTCAACTGTGGCAGGACTAGTCTCTTGACTTCGACTTCGACTTCGACCCTCAACACTCGGAGTACGTCTCTGAACTCCCCCTGTACGTGGAGATGTCTTTGACCGCGTAATCCGTCCGGATATGACAGGCGGTGCTTGACGACTAGTCGCTTTGGCAGGCTTTCTGGGACCCATGGTGAAGGACGGTTCAGAATGATCCTGTAAAAGGCTAGTTCTGGCCTCAATGAAAGACAAGGACAGAGAAAGAATACTGAATAGGGATGAACGGGGTGACTTGATGATAAATATGCCCCTGTTGTGATGATCAGTTCATGATCCAGCCGTGGTGGTCAACATTATGTTGTGGGATAGGGATTCGACTGACCAAATTAAACCAGACCAGACCGGAGAATTTCGCAGACATAGTGTCATCGGCTAGGAGAAATCCGAAATTCTACTACTATAAAGAGGAAGTACTACCGAGACATTGAATCCCGATTGATACGCCCATCGCGACTTCCCGAAAAAAACGGAACGAACAGCAGAAAATATACTATTTTATGAAAACTTCCCTCGGACGGGCTACGGAACTTACCCCCCACAGAAGTCACGATTGCAAATTAATATATACATACAAAAATAGAAACCCCAACCCCATGATTGATATTCTCCCCTACTCAATCTCCGTGGTCACCGTCACTCTGGCACTATAGGTCGAGTAGGAAGTGGTCATGGTAGAGATGGGACAATTGATCAGCACCTTGATACTGGTATCATATCCCGCCAGGATATCTTCATTACAACCCAGGACGGGTCCGGTCTCGATAGCACAGGGGAGGGTGAAACCCTTGTCACAGGCGAGGGTACCGCCGTCTCCATCGCTCGGGGCGGCCGAGTTAGTGTAGACGCAGTCGGAGTACTTGGATGAGTGGACGGTGAGGACGGAGAAAAAGGAGACCCATTTGGGGATCGCAGACCAAGCGGTAGGGGTAGGTGAAGGAGCGCCGTAGTTGTACATCCAGCCGGCGCTGCAGACGTCCACGGTGGTGGAGGTTCCGACGAAGTTGAGATCGTAATCGCGGACTTCGATGTTGCGGATTTCGAGGCGCTGCTCGGCTGCAATCACGGCTGCTCCGGCGAGGGCCGAGTAGCTGGTGGTTGCGACCTTGGTGACAGTCGAGACGACGATCACTTCGGTTATGGTGCTGGTGGGCTTCGGGGCGGCCGTCACCGTGTGGGTGGTGGTCGAGGAACCTGTGCTTTCTCCAGAAGAACCCTTCCCGGAAGAACTACCCCCGCTACCAGCGCTTCCGGTGGCAGCGGTGCCTGTCGCAGTGCCTGTCGGTGCTGCTGCCGTTGTCGTTGGGGTGTCGACGCCGGTGATGGTCGTGAACTCGGAGTAGATGGCACCGGCGGCTGACCATTCGGATTCCGACAGGGCTGACCCGGATATGGCGTAGTCCGACCAGGAATCGGGCGTGCCGGTGAAGAGCGGCGCTGGGGTCCAAGTGAAGCTGTTGGAGGTGCCGGTGGTGTCACAGCCGACGACTTCCTTGCAGGTGGAGGTGCAGCTATCCGATGGGGAGGCAGTGATGCAGGCAGTGCTACAGGAACTGTACGTGGCGGTTTCACAATTGGAGGACGACGAGCTGCTGGAGTCATCCGGATCGCTGTTAGGATTGTTCGGCTCGTCGTTGGGCGCTGGGGCCAGTTAGCAATTTCGACTGAAGCACACGGATAGGGGGAATTAAGGGCACGAACAGCTAGATCCACCACAGCCAACCCAGCATGGATGGCATACATTGAAGATCCGGCCCAGCAGACCTTCATGGCACTTATGCCCGCAAAGCTTGGAGTTTAGACACGTCGGGTGCGGTGCACCTCGGTGATGGGTGATATGGTGATGGTGGTGATCGTCGTCGCTGCCACCCCCGGTGGTCTTGGACCCGGTATCGGTGGTGGAGGAAGAAGTGGTCGAGGAAGTGGTCGAGGCTGGCAGGGTGGTCACCCAGGTGGCGCCGCCACTGACCCAGGTGACGACATCCGGGCTGGTGGTCGCGACCGTCAGCGTGGGGACGTCAGTACCCGGCCAGGGGGGCGGGTAGAAGGGGTAGACTGCGGGAGGATAGGTGGTGCTATTCCACACGAAGGGGGGATAGGTGACGTTGAAGGCCGGGGCGATGATGCTGGGAGACGCGGTGATGACGGTCGAGGTGGTGCCGGAACCGATGGCGACGTTCCACTGACTGACCGTCGAGGTCGTGACGGCGGGGACGACGACGGTGATGGTGGTGGTGCTGGTGACATACTCGGTGGTGGTGGTGGTGTTACCATTGTAGACATACCACGTCGGCACCGGTTCACCGATGACAACGGGCGTGACGAGAGTGGGATAGACAAAGGTTGTGTTGGTGGGCAGGACGATGGGAGGCAGGATGTACTCGCACGGCTCCCAGCACGACACATTCACCGGGCTGCTCTCGTTCCAGATGGACGGGTCGACGTAGACACTGCCTGACGTGTTACTGGTTGTACCAATGTCCTCGCCCCCTTGAGCCAGCGCCAGCCACGCAGCGATCTCGCTGGTGTATCCATCCTGCGTGGTTGAGTTGAAGTACAGCGGCTCCAACCCCCCCTCGGGGGACACGACCTGGACGCCACCCTTGGTGAAAAGGTTGTAGAGCCAGAGCCCGTTGGCATAGTTGGTGTCCACCAGGGCCAGCTGGCATGTCGCGTCGTCCACACAGCTTTCATCATAGTCCTTGAACCACGAGTAGAAGCCAGCCGAGTAGATGAAGATGTCGGTCGAGTTGAGCACGCGCAGGGCCCAGGCGCCCCGGCAGATATCATCGGAGCAGTCGGAGAAAGTGGGATCGCCAGAGAAGAGGCCGATGGTGTAGGGGCTCAGCGCATTAGGGCTGGGCTGGTAGTAGGGGGTCTCAGTCTGCATGTGGCCCAGGTAGATGGTCGAGGCGTTGAGCAGCTCATACTGATACAGTTGCGAGTGCTCGCTGGCCGTGCCGTACAGCCAGCTGGGTCCCTGCGATTCGATCAGGATGCCCCGACCACCATAAACGGAGATGTCTGTCTCGACGTTGAGCGGTACTCCGGCGTCGCTCTCTGACGCCGCTGAATTCAGCGGGCTGTCCAGATCGTGGTCGGCCACCCACGCCCACACGTTTTCCAAATAGGCCGACGCCGAACTGGTGATATGTAGCATCAGCGACGCCGCCATGCAGTCCGTATTGACCCCGGACCCGGCCGCACACTCATTCAGCCCTAGATTTGTACCATTGGCGCCCCCAACACGAAAGTGACTATCCCACATGGCCGCTACAGTCATCGTCAGCCGACCTTTCCTGATTTCTCAATCCCCCTGGGGCTTGGGAGACACTTACCACTGCCTTGGGTGCTCTCGTGGACATTCCACTCCATCAGGACGGCGCCGGCCGTCGGACCCTGAACCGTGAACAGCATGTCGGTGATCTCAATGGTGCCTTGATCGCCCACCTCGCCCACCTGCACCACCACCTTCGGGTTCTTCTCATCTTGGAAGGCGGAGCCCGTCCCCATGATCTGGCTCCAGGCTGAACCGATGATGCGGCTGCCCACGGGAACCTTGATGGTGTCCTCGACTAGGTAGATACCGGCTGGAAAAAAGATGACTGATCCCACGTTGTCGGCTAGAAGGGTATTGATCGCCGACGCTTGGTCGCCACTCATGTCATTCGACACCCCATTCTCTGTCGCCACGATCGGGGTTTCATCCGTGTACTGCGGCTTCGCTTGCCGGAAGTATCCGCCTGAGCTATCCAGCAGTGACTCTGGCTTGTCAGGGGCCGGGTCCATGAATCCAGTCAGGATACCACCGCTCCCGTCGGGCAAATACTCGTAGCCGTTGGCCCAGGAGTTGTAGTACAAGGATCCGGAGGAGCCCTCCAGAATAGTATCGCCGCCGGATACAAGCACCACTGAGGTAGAATCTTCAACTAGCAGGTTGTCTAGGATAATATTCGGCTGCTCGTTGTCCTCCTTGGCTACTGTGATGGCATAAGGTACACCGTTGAAATGCGAGTCGATGACAGCGATCGAGCCGGTGCCTTGGTCATCGACGCCGGAGAACTCTGTGGCATCGATGGCGATATAGCATGAGAGCACGTAAATGTTCTTCCAGGTGAAGCCCCAGTTCCAGATAGACTTGATGGCGGTCAAACAGGACGTGAACTGCAGGTTGATGGCGGTAAACTGCTGGCTGCCAGCGAGAAAGCCAATATTGCTGGGGACCAGTTAGCAGAGAGCCAACCCGGATTGGAGACCGACTTACCCTCCCGTAAAGGTCAGATCCGAGACCATGCCCCCGCTGCCATTCTCCATGAAGATGCCCACGGCAGTGGCCGACTGAGAACCGCTCGAGACCGACATCTGGAAGTCGCAGTTGGTGATGCTCGTGGCCTGGCCGACTTGCCAGTGGATGCCGGCTGGAACATAGGTCTGATTGTTATCAGTGTTGGTCCAATTCATGCTTTTCATGTCGAAGACGAAGTTACGGATCTGGCGATAGAAGTTGCTTTGGTTAATGTACCATTCCGAGCCGTTGCCCCCCGGGATATAGAAGTCCGTGTCGAAGAGGGCAATGCCGGTGAAGTTCTCTGAGCCCAGGATGGTGGGCTTGTCGGTGGGATTGCCCACAAACTGCGTGTAGTAGTATTGGATGATGGGGGTGCTGATCAGATAGGTGCCTGGGGGAAAATAGACGACGGCCCCGAGAATGGAGGTCGAGCCACAGTCTTCGCCACAACGCAGACTGGTCGTATCGTCCAGCCCATAGGTGGCAGCCGCACGATTGATGGCCGCCGTGTCGTCAGTGACTCCGTCGCCTACTGCTCCGAAGTCCTTAACATTGCGGAAGAGCTGATAGTTCGACGGGGCGAGAGGCATCTATTCGAGGGAGGTCAGCATCTTCGGACGGCGACGCGGGGAACGCTCATCACTCACCACGCCAGCACTCCCCATGCTCGACAGCCAGTAATCGTCTGTGTTATCGCTGGCCTCCATCAGGCCGTGTCTCGTGGCATTTGGCGAACCCAACACGGGCCCCTTCTGCCGGCCGTGGTCAGGCGCCGTACCATAGAAGTTGTTGACATTGTCCTTCATGTACGGGGGCGGGGGCTATGGATTGCGTCAGTCGGGGTCAGGCTGGGTTCCACGGCACGCTACCTGAGGTTTCCCGGGGGGTAAGGCTGGCCGGGTGCCAGAAAGCGTCCCGTTCGTCAAGACGGTTGAAGATAAGAGGTTGAACGAATTGATATCCCGGGGATTCATTTGATGGGCCTGATGGAGATGGGCATGCTGCATACCATGATGACCATGGGATGCATGGGCCGCGATGGGGCTAACAGCCTGTACGCTGAGCCACAACAGGCCCAGGTTCTCGAGCAACCGCATCGTCGTCAATATCTGTCTGTCTTCTGCGGCGTCTTCATCTTTCTGGAGGGGGGGAGCAGAGTGCTGGTAGATAAATGGGCCCCGAGGCTCGGCTCGAGGCAGATCTTGTCCGAGTCAGGGGCTTATCAGCCGCCTCCAGGATTCCTCGTGCCTGCAGAAGATCCGCTTTAATTCAAAGGATGTTCCTGCATGCTAGCTTGTTCCTGCAGAAGGGCGTGCGCTAGTGGGGACCGGGGCGCGACCCATCGCCGTGCACGATGTGACCTGATCCCAACGAAGGATTCCGAACTAATTTCCCCCGAGGCGAGCGGAAATAGGAGGCTCGATGCAGAAAAGGCCTCCATTTCCTAGTCTGCTGCTTCTGCTCCTCAAACCCGAAAGCTTTTCTGAACGCCTTGGTCCCATCATGTGGTTGCTTCGACAGCTTCTTTCCCCTGCGCTGGTCCTTGTCGGCCATGGGGCCCTCACCTTGGCCGCCACTGCGCTCCCGATGGCTAAGCTGTTCGACGTCGTCACCGACAGCTCACTTAACGGAAACTGCGCGGCGTACAGCACGGCCACGCTGGATCAACTGGCGAGTGATGCACTGAAGTTGGCGGAGGCAGGGAGCAAGGCTTGCGATTCTTATGTCGCCGCGGATCCGGCCATGGTCCGGCTCTTCGACGCCTTTTTCCAGGGAACCGATGCCACGGCGGTGGCTGGGATGAAACGTGAGTAGCCTGGTGGAATGGACACACGGTGATGGCTAATTACTAAACTAATGAGAGTATAGTCTGGTACGACTATGTCAGCAACTGGCTGCAAAACGGGGGCGTGCTGTCGGGACGAACCAAGCTGCCGCTGCTCTTCTGTGGCGACCACAGCATCCGCCAGACGATGAGCAGTCCGTTGCGTGATGACGATGGCAACACCCACCAAAATGCCCAAAAGACAGGAGACACGCTGATCGTGCAGGATTCGTACATGAAGGACTGGTGGAAGCAAGTCGCGGTGGCGCAGCAGGTCGTGCTGACGGCGGTCTACCCCTACTGGGATCCGCAACAGCTGGTGTACTTCTTCGACCAGAAGAAGGGGTCAAGTGTGACTGATTACCAGTGCGCGGACGACAGCCTGGGCTATACGATCGCGCAGGGCCGGGGCAGCGTGACGCTATGCACGAGCTCCTTCTCGGCCGGTGGGAACCTGGGCAGCGTCGCCCCGAGCCCTATCCCGGCCAAAGACTTCGTCAACGGCAATCCGCCCTCCAACCAGGCCGCCCAGCCCATCGACGACATCATGCCCGGCGCGGCCACCCTCTTCCATGAGTTGCTCCATCTTTTCTCCGAGAACAAGTTCGTCCCCTCCACGGGCGAGGAATACAACGCCTGGCGTATCATGGGTAAGATGGTGCGCGATGACAACACCTACTTTACCGGCGACAATTCCGTCGATAACGCCGAGTCTTACACTTTCGTGGCGTGCGTATCTCTCTTCTCCTTCTTCTCCTTCTTTTCCGCTGCTAATGGTTTTCCCAGGGGCGCCGCATACTATACCCAGAATATGCCATCGAATGGCAAGGTGGTGGAGTACTATACCGGATATTGTTCGACGCAGTAGACAATGGGCTAAGGGGTGGATCCTCGTATTGGATATTATGTTGATAGTGAATAGACGGAGCATTGAGATTTACTCTGACTCAGCTTATCCGGCTAAGGATGTGTCTGCGACACCTAGCGTCATTCATCCGCTGGTAGATAGGGTAGATTTCGGATTTCTTCCTTTCAACGTTGCGTCTGGTCATCCCAGTGGACCATAATGTCTTCGCTTCTTCTGCAGCTCCCCAATGAGCTCCTCGTCGAGGTCCTTCGGCACTGCCCCGACTTCCCGACCCTCTGGAGTTTCGTCCATGTCTCCTCGCGGCTGTCAGCTATCTTCAATGCCCAGGCGGGAGAAATCGTCAACGCCGTTCTGCTCGCCAGCGTACCCCCTCCGACCCGCGACCTCATCCAAGCCGTGGTGGCAATCCGCCTCGGCTCTTTCGAGTTCCGATCGTATCTTCAATTGCTGCGCCATCCTCTGGCCGTCTGTCAGGGTTTAGACCCCGCCGTGCCCCCGCCTTTGCTCCGAAAGCTAGTGGGCCTATCAAACCGGGTTCATGCTCTGGCGCACCTGTGTCTAGACCGGTGCTTGCACCAATGCGAGTCGGTCCTGGGCCTGGAGGCATCGTCGCCTTCGTGGACAGAAGAGCAGCGGGCCGTCCTGGCAATCTGGCGCGTGCAGTTCTTCTACGAGCTCAAGACGGGCGAACGTAAGGCACAGCTGGACTGGCCGGCCCGCGATCTTGCCTCCCTACGCACCAGCACACCCAGCACGTTTCGGTTTCGACAGCCGGTGCAATGTGAGCAGGTGTGGACGGCCATTGAGCTGATCCACGAGCTCTCCGGGCAACACCCGGAAACTCAGGCGTGGACTTGCCCGCCCCATCGATTCCAGCTACCACAACTTCTTCGGGAAAGCGACTTTAATTGGGACTGTCCCCCGGCCCCGTCCCCTCAGGCATTGGCGCCAAACCGGCGGCCTCGTGAGCGAGCCCCGGACCGGGCACCCATGCCCCCACCCTTGCCTGGGCCTGGGCCACACCCCTCGACACGGTGGCCGGCGATGCCCAGTGGCACGATGCCTGCTCCTCATCCTCGGGTGACGAGGGGGTTCGGGAATTGGCCAGAGTGGAAGGATCTCGAGCGGGGCTCTGTCGGATGGGAGCTGTTTCGAACCATGGCGTCGAATCATGAGGCGGGGTCGCTGACTGCCCTTCGCTTCGACCCCTACCGCAAGTTTGGGCTCCTGTTCTGGGAAGAGCAGCGGATGGTGGATTGGGGGCTGTGGCCTCAGGAGGCTCATCTGGATCCTGCGGGGGATTGTTACCAGCGATGGCGCGAGCTACTAGGCGAGGAGGAAATTGCACGGAACTCGGGGCAGGCGCATCCGACGACCAGCCGAGCGACCAGGCGAGGCTGAGAGATGAATAATGTAAGATAGAAGCAAATCAGAGGTCATGCGCTCGCCATGTGGAGTGTGTATGTTCTGAGGATTTGATCCAGGGGTATGAGTTGGTCCGGGAGGGCGACTGCGGACCCTCGAGATAGTGGATGCCGATAATAGTACTAAGCTTGACGGACGCCATCCGAGCGAGCCGGATCCCCGAGAGGGTCCTGGATGGGATGATAATGATATGGTGATAGGGGCACTAGGGGTCCTTATCTCGGGGTTCGCTGGCTAGTGTGGGATCCGGCATCCAAGTGGAGATGAGCTGGAAATGAAAGCTTAATTTCCTTTGGCATCCTTCGCGGGTGTTTCTGCATCGGGGAATGCACTAGCCTTCAAACCGACATTATTCAAATCATGGAATCCATCCTGCGTCCAAAATACTCACGGTCATGAGTCAGTCTTACTCAGGTAATCCATCCCGAGGGGAGGTTGAAGGAATCACGAAGATGAATGCCGAGGATTCCCGTCGGCAGCCGAACGAGATCACCTGACCCTTATAGTGGTCAGATTGAAGAGGATAGACCCCCCAAAATAAAAGATGGATATACAACATATGAGTTGTATCAGTCCGACTGAGTGAGCTATTGGTAAATTAGATAACAAAGTACTGATAATAAATATATGAATGTGAAAGTGCTAGTAGCAAAGATGTTCCAAATGTAGACGTCTAAGAACTATATCTACGAAGCTACTTCCCCAAGAATCAAGATAGAGTCCCAGTCTACCGCGATGCAAAGGTGAGAACATGTACATTCTATGGTACTTTTGGTCATCATAGCATTAAGAGAACGATAATCTCTCTCCGAAGACTATTGTCCGAAAGCCGCCTTCTGTTCCGGGACCAGCGTGATCATCTTGCCTGTTTCCACGGCCGAGCGTATATTATTCAGCACCAACAGTTCCATCTCGCGCTGTGTTTCATATGTCATGGTGCCAATGTGTGGCAACAGCATCACCCGAGGGTTGTTCACCAGCCCGGGCTCTATAGCGGGCTCGTTCTCGTAGACATCCAGACCGGCGGACAAAACCTAGCAGCGTTAATCATGGCCCCCTGGGTAGAAGCTCTCAACTTACCTTGCCCGACTCCAGCGCGGCGACCAGCGCCTTCTCATCGATCAATGCCCCTCGCGCTGTGTTGACGAGCACTACGCCATCCTTCATCTTCTCAAACTCCTTCGCTCCGATGATATGGCGGGTGGACGCATTCAGGGCCAGATTCAAACTTAAGACATCTGCGTTGGCAAGCAGCTCATCAAATGAGACGTATTCGGCGCCGTCCTCAAGCTCGGCGGAGAGACGAGAGCGGTTGTGGTATTGGATCTTCATGCCGAAGGCGCGTGCGCGGGTGGCCATTTCCTACCCCCAGTGTCAGTGATGTTCAGCTCATCTGTAATCGTGGGTCTTACGCGGCCAATTCCTCCCATGCCGAGAATTCCGAGCACCTTCCCTTGGGGATCCCGACCGAGGGTGGAGTTTCCGAGCCATTGTCCTGTTCCGCGGTTATTTGGGCTGTGATTCGGGCTGGAAGGGGAGACACTCACCGGCGCGGAGGGAAGAGAGCGGGATGTACGCCTGTCGCAAAGCGCCAATCATCAGAAAGATGGCCACATCGGCGGTGGCATTGTTGACAGCGACAGGGGTGCTAGAGACGGCGATGCCTGGGAGGGTCAACTCAGGATGCTCCGGTGGGGCGTTGTCTCATTCATACCCTTCTCTGTGCATGCCGCAATATCAATGTTATCATAACCGGCGCCATTGTGGCCGATGTACTTGAGAGATGGCGGCAAAGCGGCGAGCAGCTCGGCGTCGAAGTTACCAGTGAACTGGCGCATGAATGAATTAGCCACGCGTGAGGAGGTCGAGGCGGATATCCTTGCTTACCTTGTTGGAGGCATTGGATCGATAAATGGCGACGACATCATCGTAGTGGCCGTCGCGACAATTACGGAGGAAATCCTCGCGGGTTCCGGAGGGAAATTCCTAGTGGACAACCATCCTCGATCAGCTGGGGGTGTCATGTCGATGCCGGGTCGGGAGAGGACTCACCTTCAAGGTCAGGATGGCGGACAGATCGGACCATTCCTTGATGGAATGCGCGATGGACCCGATCAGCAAGGCGGAGGGCATGACGTGATGTCAGAGCGGCGCGGGGTGAGGGATGAAGAAGACAAGGAGGAAAATATGAAGAGAGAAGGAAAGCAGAGAAAAAAGGCATGATAGGAGATGATCCGATGAGCCATTATATATCAATAGCCGAGGGGTCCACCATCCTGGCGTGGGGGGTAGATATGACGTTTATCTAAGGCCCGCCCACTAGTTAGCTGATAGCTAGCTCTGTATCCTGAGTAAAACCATGGCGATGGCAATGGCCTGAGAATCTCACATCCACGCTGATAGAAATGATGATGCGAGAGCGAGATGGAGGAAGACGAGGAAGTGGGTGAATGAGTGAGGGGAAAGAACAAGTACTAGAGAGAAAGACATAGGGAGAGGGAAGCAAAAGAAGCAAAGAGGGGTGCCTGGATGGCCTGAGGCCTGAATGCCTGGATACCGTCGGGTATTGACCCAGACCCATCAATAGCCGACGCGGAGAAGGTCCGGCTATTGGTCTTTCCCCCCCACGTCGCTTGTATATCTATCGAGTATCGATTCGTTCCATTGTCGCTATTCCCCTCTTCCACTTCACCCCTCTTTTCTTCTCACTGACCTCTCCCTCCCATCCCTCTATTTCCACTCACCATGACTGTCACAGCATCCCCATCTACCACCCAAGCCCTCGTCCTGCACGGCGCCAAAGACCTCCGTCTGGTAAGCTCCCCCGCTACTTCCCCCGCACCAGCCCATCTCCATTGCTAACCTCGTCCTCCAACCCGCCAGGAATCCCGACCTCTTTCCCCCCCAGCCGGCAACGAAGTTCAAGTTGCCGTTCGCGCCACCGGCCTCTGTGGCTCTGACCTCCACTACTACACCCACGGCCGCAATGGCGACTTTGTCGTCCGTGAACCCATGTGCCTGGGCCACGAATCCTCCGGTATCGTTACCGCCGTCGGACCCGAGGTAACCACACACGCAGTAGGCGATCGCGTCGCCCTAGAAGTCGGCCTCCCCTGTCGACAATGCGCCCTCTGCCAGCAGGGCCGCTATAACATCTGCCCCCAGATGAAATTCCGCAGCAGTGCCAAGCTCGTCCCCCACCTCGACGGAACCCTGATGGAACTCACCAACCACCCGGCCGACATGTGCCACAGACTCCCCGACTCAGTCTCCTACGCCGGAGGCGCCCTCGTCGAACCACTAGCCGTCTGTCTCCATGCCATTCGACGCTCCCGGCCCCCAACCCAGGAGGAAGTGACTCTCGCGCAATCGGTGGGCGAACCCACCTCAGCCCTGATCTTCGGGGCGGGTGCCATTGGCTTACTCCTGGCCTCTGCCCTGGCCACATCCCAGAACTTCTCCTCCATCCTGGTGGCCGACATCGATGCCTCCCGACTGGCCATTGCCGACTCGCTGGGCCTGGGCCTGAAGACGACCCTCATCCCCAAGGCCGACCCGTCCAACCCCCCACCCTCCCGAGAAGCCCCGCACGCGGAACAAACAGCCTGGGCGCTGCAGAACGCACAACGCGTGGCGGCGATCCTGAAGGAGTCGGCCAGTCTGACGTCGGGGTTTGCGCGGGTCTATGACTGCACGGGGGTGCCGGCCTGCGTGCAGGCGGGTATCTATGCTGCAGGGGCGGGAGCGGTGCTGGTCCAGATTGGAATGGGCAACCCTATCCAAACGCTGCCGGTCGGGGCAGCAGCACTGCGGGAGGTGGACATCATCGGGGTGTTCCGCTACGACGGGTATGCCTATCCGGCAGCGATTGCCTTGATGGCCAGCGGGAAGCTGGAGCGGGTAGAGCAGTTGGTGGTGACGCACCGGGTGCCACTGGCAGAGGGCGCGCGGGCCTTTTCCCTGGCGGGCCAGGGAGTAGACGAGGCGGGCAAGCCAGTGGTCAAGGTGGTGATTGAGAGCTGAGATAACTCCAACACCGAAGACATGAGAACCAAAAGAATGACTCAGACTTATGATGTTACGGAGTGTACAGTAGACAGCAAAGCATACTAGATGAGATGAGATGAGATGAAACGAATTGAATTCCCAACAAATACACACGTAGATACTACATAGCTATTCGTTTCAGCCCTCGCCCCCACTAAAGCCTGTGTGCCATCGGAGAATATCAATCACTACAGACAGAATCTACAGAGCATGGATGGATATACACCCCGACTCGGGTCAGTCATTTCATGTGCATTCATTGGTATCGGTATGTGTCCCACAGCTATCCAGCGCTAGATCAATCCCATCCATCCACCCATCCATCTCATGTACATCAATCCAGACACCCTCATTTATGTCCAAGTCTACTGAACGGCACTCTGGTTACGGTAAAAGTCGCAGGCGTGCGGATGTTGGAGACAGTACTTAGGGACCAGGGCGGTAGCCTGGACGCCATTGGCGACCAGGTACTCGCGGAAGTTCAGGATGCGTTGGGTCATCAGCGTGGTGCGCTTGTGGCCCTGCTCGTCGCGATTGCCGGACCAGACCAGCTCTGCGAGGGCGGCGGCGCGCGGCCAGAAGTGGCTCGAGACGGTCACGTCGTCGACTTGTTCGGACCATAAGGGCGCGGCTGCACCCACGATATGCTGGGCTTGTGCGTCGGTTAGGTTCTGGGTGAAGTCGTAGTCGTAGATGCGCTGCCATGTCTTGTAGGGGGCGCACCATGAGCCGCCGGCGCCGCCGTAGTTGAAGTTGGGGGTGCTGGGGTCGGGGTTGCTCATGACGTCGTATCGGGGGTCGTTGGTGACGAAGCCGCCGCCGATGCCACAATCCAGGTACATGAAGTCGGAGGAGGAGACGATGACGTCGTAGCCTTGGGCGGTTAGCTTGTCGATGTATTCTAGGCCGTTGTTCCAGTTTTGCATGACGATGTTCTTGGGCACGTCGTGGGCGTGCTCGGTCGAGAGGACGATGTCCTCCCACATGATCAGTCGGCGCGAGGTGCTGTAGTTTTGGAAGATTGGGACGGCGTGGTCCACCCAGTATTGGGCTAGGTCGTTGTAGGTGCGTGAGGGATCTTCGGCGAACCAGTTGGTGACGTAGCTGCTGAAGTTGAAGCAGTTGGGTTGGATCTCGTCCGCGCCCACGTGGAACCAGTGGTCTGGGAAGATGTCGGATAGTTCGTTGTAGACGTTGCGGACTACATCGTAGGTGCCGTTGTAGATGATGTCCATCTGGCCGGGAGGGGGCTCGACGGCGGTGTGCAAGGCCCAGTCGTCGTTGGACCACCATGAGTCCACGCAGGTCACCATGTCGGGATCAACTTGCTTCCACCCGGCGGCGGAATGGCTGGCATGTCGATCTCAGGGATGACGCGAACACCGCGCGCGCGGGCATAGGCGACGACGTTGCGCATGTCGGCGTGCGAGAAGATCTCGCGCGAGGAGAAGGCGTCGCGGACCATCTCCGGATAGGCATCGATCTGCACTGGCCACGACTGGGTGTCGTCCATGTGCCAGTGCAGGACGTTCAGCTTGGAGAGGGCCATGGCGTCCAACTGCTCGTAGATCTTGTTGACGGAGATGAAGTTCCGACCGGTGTCAATCATGATGCCGCGGTAGGGGTACAGCGGTGCATCCTGGATCTTGACCGACTGCTCGATGATCAGGCCCCCCTGGCCGTCGGAGATGATCAGCTGCTGGAGGGTGGTGAAGGCATGGAGCGCTCCCCACACGGTGGGGGCCTGAATGGTAACGATGTTGGAGTCGTCAGCCACCTCGAGCGTGTAGGACTCGTCGATGCCATGCTGCAGGTCGGCGGTGATATCGGCCACGGACACATCGACAAACTGCAGGGAGGGCAAGGCGCGCTTGGCCCGCTTGGCGACGCCTGGAGTGGCGGTGGGGAAGGGCTGGAAGGAAGGGAAGGGCGCTTCGGTCGCGGCAGGTACCCACTGCAGGGCGACAATGGTCTTCCAGGCCCGATCCCACGCATTGGCGAGGAGAAAGTCGGGGGTATCGTCGGAGGTGCGGAGAGTGACGACGCCTGCTAGATTCTTGGGACCGGATGTGGCCCAGGAGATATTGCGGGGAGCCGGCAAGGGGTTCACCTGCACGGCGCTGGACCCGACCACAAGCAGCAGCGTGAGGCACACGGGCCAGAGGCGGGAGAGGATCATGGTGGAATCCGGCCAAATGCAGGATGAGAGGATGAGAGGAGGAGAGAATGAGAGAATGAGAGAATGAGAGAATGAGAGGAGGAGGAAGAGGGGGAAAAGGATGAATTAAGAGTAGTATCTAGGGCGTAAGAATGGGATGGGGAAGGGATTGGCGGTGGCTGGGTCAAGGGGGGGGCGGAGAATGCCCCAAGAGTACCTAAGACATGGGGGCGTAAGATGATCTTAATGATCCTAGTTCAGAGTGATGTGTCTCAACGGAATCATCTCTATTAATATCTGCCTGCATATACTAGTATATACTAGTAGATAAGTAGTTCTTTGTTTAGTCGTGGCTGTGAGCCGAGCGATAAGCATCCATCCTTGTACATACATACTACATAGTAGTAGTATACTCCACATGTCAACATGTTTTTACCCGCAATTCTTAGGGTTTCCTGGAGATTAAAGTAGACCCACCGACTGGATCACCGCAGCGGCGCAGAGATGTCTTCGAAGTGCTTCAACAGCCTCCCCACCTCCTGTTTGTGTCCCTTGAGACAATCGGGGAGTGATTTCCCACCGCTGCGACGGTAGCATCTCAGCAACGAGCCCATAACCTTCCAATATTTTCTCTCCTTCGCCACGATGATACATTTCATCAACTCTGCCGTCCATCCCGCGGATCCCAGCTCTGGCCGGGAAAGAATCGCATCCACAACCTTGAAAAACCCTCTTTCGACTGCTCGCTGTAAGGCACTCTGCGCATACATCCCGACCGGAGGTGAAATCCGGATTCCCTTGCGGAGCAGTACCATTGCGTTTTGAGGTCGGCAATGCAGCACGGCTGTACTCAATGCCGTCTCGGACCCCTGGGTATGGAGGAGCTTCGGTATTGATGTTAGGACCATCTTGAGCACATTGGGGTTTCTGCATTTTACAGCATCATACAGAGGGTCCATCGCACGAATGTCCGTTCCATTGTCAAGTGCAAGCTTGAGCAGCCTGGGGCCAGATCTCATGCCACAGATGGCGTGGAATACGTGCGCCATTGTGAACCTGGCACCGTGTTTCAGAAGAGAATGGTGATAGTCTCCTGCGGGGCTCCCACACAATCCAAAACGGTGGTTGCTATTGTCGTATAACGGGGAGGTAGGTTAGGATTGGCCCCGTACTCCAGCAAGAGCCGGGTGATGTTGGCTCTCCTATAAGAACCAGCAACTTCCAATAGTCGATGGCCGTCAAGGTCAAAGGAATCGGCACTCACGCCTGCGTCCAGATATGCCTTGACAGCAACATAGGCCCTGCCAGTTTGATGTAGCGCTTGTTACAAATCTGGCAAACATGGGCTGTGGGGTGTTCTCTATCAGCAGACGAGCTTCTTGGCGCTGCCTCTCATCGTGCTGCGGTGTCGTGAGTACTAATATCTGAGCATAGACCTCATCGGGGGCTAGGGCATGCGCCTTTGCCCGCTTTTTCACCTCCTTGCGGAAGAATTGTGCGAAATACATACAGGTGCCAGACAGGTGGGCCAAACTGGTGTGATCCAGATACTCGCCCACTTCAAGTAGTAATTCCGGGGCTAGCCAATACAGAGAAGAAGCCTATGTTATTGTTGGCATCGTGGCGACTTGCTGATTGAGCGAAAATGATGGGTTGGTGAATTGACAACCATGGCTGGCTCAGAGATATTAAATATTCTTAGCCAGCCAGTCTATCCCGAGCATTGCTCGGCATGAAGCGACACGAAAGCAAGTTGATATGCTTCATTTTCCCGCAACTTGGGGGGAAAGCCTTCCATCTTAACTGACTGATAAAAGGCAAGTTGCCACGGCCAAAGGATCCTGGGCGCCTCAATAACTGCCCAAGGTCTTGAGTTTTAGAGTAAGTCTTCAAAAGGATTCCGATAGAATCCGACTTTTTTTCTGCTTCTCCCGAAATGTCCAGGAGAGTGTCTGGAAGAATGCATGGTGCCCCGCAGTGTATCCCTAACATGCATTGCCACGGAGGACCCTGTATGCATATCCTCGATGCCCCTCTGAATAGAGTGCGGGCTAAAGAAAGCGCCGGGTGCGGGGAGATGGCTTTCCCGGCCCTGGCTCGACCCCAACCGCCGCAACCACAAAGGTACATCCCTTCAATACTCACTAGTATAGATGTTTAGACGTCAATAAAAAGTCTAGAAGACGAGAAGTCTAGATAGACAAGGCAGGAGTTCACCGGGCTCTTGGCTGCATTGCCCGAGGAGATCCGCCCGAGGATCCGCCCGGGGCTTAGGGTATGGACCAGGAGGATGCATACCTAGGGTTCAGAACTGGTAGTACACCCTAGGTACATACCGAGATCTAAAGGATATTGTTCCCTTCTTATCTATCGAGTATCGATGTATCTCTCTACTATCTAGTAACAGGAAGTTCGATCGGACCCCCGGCAAGAGGGGCTCGGCCCCACCGATCAAGTCGGTCGGTTATCGGCGGGGGTCCCGATGACTCTTTCTTTCGCTCTCTTCTCTATCTCTCACTCACCTCTTCAACCTCCTTTCTCTCCCATCCGACCACCTTGTTCCCCCAGCTTCCTCTCCGGCCCATACTTCCCCCCCTATACAACCCCCCTACAGTCACCCACCATGGCGGCCCAGGAGCTCAGCCAAGAGCAGCTGGACAAGATATACACCTTTGCCGTGGATTTGGGTCGAAAGGCCGGACGGCTCCTGCTGGAGAGTATCGAGAAGCGCATCGGCGACGGCGCGGGCCAGCAATTCGAGGAAAAGGACAGCGCCGTCGACATCGTCACCCAGACCGATGAAGGTACGCTTCCGATCTCCCCCGCTCCGGCTTTCGCACGGCGCTGATGGACGTTGTTCCCCGCAGATGTCGAAGCGTTCATCAAATCCGCTATTCAGAGCGAATATCCCACCCACAAGTATGCCTCCAGGTTCTTGCAACAGCCTCCGTCCCGTCCCCCGCTGATTCCCCGCCCTCAGGTTCCTGGGCGAAGAAACTTACGCCAAAGGCCAGTCGCGCGACTACCTGATCGATGAGCACCCGACGTGGTGCATTGACCCCTTAGACGGTACTAACTGCCACGGACCCCATGATCCCCGGCCACACTGACCCCTCTGTCTAGGGACGGTCAACTTCACCCATATCTTCCCCATGTTCTGTGTCTCCATCGGCTTCCTCGTCAATCACCGTCCCGTCATCGGCGTCGTCTATGCCCCCTTCCAAGATCAGCTCTTCTCCTCGTGTCTGAACCGGGGCGCCTGGTTGAACGAAAAGCGCCGCCTCCCGCTCATCCGCAACCCCTCCATCCCTCCCATGCCCGCCAACGCGCCGAGCAAGTGCATCCTGTCCTGTGAGTGGGGCAAGGACCGCCGGGACATCCCCGACGGCAACATGTACCGCAAGATCGAGAGTTTCGTCAACTTGGCAGCCGAGGTGGGCAGTCGCGGGGGCAAGGGGGGCATGGTACACGGAGTGCGGAGTCTGGGGAGCGCCACGCTGGACCTGGCGTATACCGCCATGGGGTCATTTGATATTTGGTGGGAGGGTGGCTGTTGGGAGTGGTAAGTTGGCTTGCTTTGTGCAGTGCAGCAATCAATGTGTTGGCTGACGTGAGGGCAGGGATGTCGCAGCGGGAATTGCCATTCTGTTGGAGGCGGGCGGTCTGGTCACCACCGCCAATCCCCCGGACGATCCGGACACCGCTCCTATCGAAGATGTGCGCCTGGGCAGTCGGTTATATCTGGCGATTAGGCACGTCCATCCCCGTCCCCTTCTACTCAGTTGCCTGAACACCACTAACTAGACCAGACCGGCCGGGCCCTCGGCCACCGAAACCGGTCGTCAATCGCAGGAGCGTACGGTGCGCGAAGTCTGGAAGCGGGTGCGACAGCTGGAATACACCCGACCGGGGGCATGAGCATCAATACATAAACCATATACATATATTGATAGAACGAGAGATTTGCACTATATACAGCAGCCAGACCACGCATGCCAATCAGAGACATACGTCATGCCACCCCTCGGGCTCTCTCTAGCCTTTTTTGATAACACAAGCAATGCTCCGGGTATGCTAAAGTCTATACAGGAATCATGAAAACATGTCGTCGGAAGGAACTTCGGGAAGGAAAACAGCAAATCACAGACTGGACTTCTGGCGGTCCTCGAGGTTCTTGGCCACGACCCCCTTCACCATGTCGAGCAAGCCAGGCACAGCCACCACATCGGTTCCCGTCCACAGACGAGCCTGCTCCAGCCCCTGCCAGAGCAAGGCCTCGGAACCGACAATGACCTTCCAGCCCGCAGCCGAGGCCAACTCGGCAATCTGGGTCCAGATGACGGGGTGGTAGCACATCTCCAAGATGACGCCCTTGGGCTTCTGGTCATCCGCCGCCCCCAGCAGGGCCTGCAGGACCTGACGAGCCCGGATCTCCTCCTCCGTCTTAGGCGGGTAATTGGGGATACCCGACACAATAGCAGCGGGGGTCTCAAGCGTCTGAGCCACAGCCGGATCAGTGACATGAATCAGAGGAGCCTTATCAGCGCTCGGATTCCGCTGCTCATCCTCCTCCAGAATAGCCTGAACCTCAGCACTATCCCGGTTGACAATGTAAATCTTGCTGGCGCCCAGCCACTTGCGCATAACATAGATAGCAGAGCGCGCAGTACCCCCACCCCCAACCACCAACGCCGGCTTACCCTGAAACCCCGCCGGGTTGGGACTATTCTGCACCAGCGCCTCCCGAATACCAATACAATCAGTATTCGTCCCGACATAAGCACGCGAACCATCCTCATTCTTCCGAATGAAAATCGTATTACAAGCCCCCGCCTGTCTCGCATCCTCCGTCAAATCATCCAAATGCGGCATAATCGCCACCTTCCACGGCATCGTCACCGACGAGCCCACAAACTTGTCATTGGCACGAATCGACTCCAGGAACTTGTCGATAGGCGGCGACCGCGTATACGGAGGCGGATACGTCTCGGATGTCCCGCACACACTCGACAAAGGGATCTGAATCCAATTGCGACCCAGATGCCCGTAGATGGCGGCGTGGAGAGGCGGAGAAAGCGAATTCAGCAATGGATGGCCGTATAGGTAGGCGACGCCATCGCGATCGGCCGGGATGGTGATGGGTTCTTCGGGTTGCGTGGATGTGGATGTCATGGTGGGTTAGAAGCAATGGCTAGCAATGAGATGGATTGTATGTATGGAAATTGGAGATAATCAATTCTGCAACAGGAGGATGAGGATTGGAGAAATACGAATGTTTTAAGGCGGCGCGGGATGGCGGAGAAACGTTTGGGAGGTGGGGGAGGCAGAACGCTTTTCCCGCCCCGCTGCCCGCGGGTCTCGGCCGGCCAAGTGCTTTCCCCGATCTTACTTACTCTGTGAGTACTAGATAGTACTACTGGGGGTACTGGGTAGGATGAAGACTACGTCCGGAGACCCGCGGATCGATCTGGTCGGTAGTCCGTGCATCTCCGCAGTCTTCCGGGGTAAATACTAAATACTAGATAGAAAAAATCCAGGTAGAAAAATCTGGTTGCATTGTAGATATGGGTATTATTCGGGAGGATGTAACGGGTACAGGCACTACGGCGAGGCAACACACGCAGGCAGTTTAGTGTAGTTCAGTTCAAGCAAAAAACAAATGTGGCTTTTCGCCCCTGCACGTGCGTTAGGTACGCATCCAGCTCATGGTCCTCGTCAATGACAAAAGGGATCTCGTGGCCTTTGTCGTCGCGGTCCATGCCTTCGATTTTCGTCACCACGGCATCCGGATACTTTGCGCTGACAATTTGGTGTAATTCCACCACCGACCGCGCAGTCAACTTGTCTACCCATGTCTTTGAGTCCCCGTGTAGTGGGCTCTGGGGGTGGATGCGTAGATATACGGGGACATGCAGCATCGAGGGTGCTAGTAGCGGGTCCACGTACCCGAAGCCGTTGGCTGAATCGTGCTGGGTGGCCGTGGCGAAGGATGGGTCATTGGCTGCTTGTAGGAGGGAGGGATCGATCTGCATGTCGCTGAGGTCGCTTGTGGCACTGGCCAGCGCCTGCGAGGCTAGTGTACTGATTCCGTTGGTGATGCCGCTGCCGTAGGTGCTGCTGACTGGAGGACTTTCTGCGTCGGAGTGGGGGGCCTGCGAGCGAGGGATGGACGGTTTGCGGGAGGGGTCTCTCTTGGTCTGGTCGTCTCGAAGTCGTTTCATGACATCGCGGCAGAGGACCTCCAGGGCTTTCACCTTCGCAGCATGGTCTGGGTCTGTCGCGCCGGGGGCAAGGATCCGGCGCAAGAGCTCCGAGTTCTCGATCCACTGGTCCTTCAGTTCCTTCCAATGCTCGTCACCAGCCTCCAACTTGCTCGTAAAATGATCTGCTTTGAGGGTATTGTAGAATGCGTTGCGGATCTGCCGGCTTTCCTCCGGATTGATGCCGAGGACGTTCTTGGCCTCGGCGATGGTCATGCGCCGCTCCAAGGTCCTCATCCTCTTTGTCACATCCGTGCACAGCACGTCTAGTGCGAGGGTCTTGGCATCCAGCTGATTGGGGTCATGCCAGAACACCTGTTGGAGATGTCGCGATCCCTCGATCAGCTTGTTCTTGGCGTCCTGCCATCTCTCGGGCCCAGCAACGGTTTTCTTGATGAAGCCGGCTTCTTCACAGATCCGCTGAAACTGATCCCGGACTTGGCGATACAGCGCACTGTCTAAACCAAGGTATTTCTTGCTCTCATCAATCGTGGTCTCCGAGGGGAAGCGCGGAGGGCCCGGAGGATCAGCGGGCAGCCCAGCCCACCCGCGCGTCCGGCGGCGACGTTTCCGGCTGGCCCAGCGCTCTTCACTTTCGACTTTCAGTCGCTCCAGACGCTCCTTGCGCTTCGCCAGAACTTCGGGGGGCAACACAGGGGAGGCCGGGCCGGTCGCGGTGGTGGTGGGGAGGTTCTCGGTGTCGTCGAAGGGGGTTTCGGTTTTGTAGACTTCCTGCTGCAGCGCGAGTAGGCCCACATCTTCCGGTAATTGGACGGGGGTCTGGAGACGCGATTGTGATTTCATGCCGTTGGGAACGCGGAGTAACCAGCGGTTCTTGGCACGCACCCGCATCAGCTCTCGCTCCTTGATCTCGAATCCCTCATCATTCAGTATCCGTAGCATGTCTCGCTGACTCGTATTCTTCTCCCAGAGCTGCTTGACCCGGGCCACGAGCTCGACATTCTTATGCGCCGGGTTCTGTTTCGAAGGGAAGCCCCATCGTTTGAATTGGGTTTGGAACGCGCGTTTACTATAAGCCAACGCAAGACGTTAGCAGGAAAAATGAGGGTGATGAGGCGATTAGTACCGAGGAAAGGCCACCTACCTGGGAGCGAACTGATAGACATTCTTCATGTACTCCATAATCTCCTCCAGGGCCTTCTTGTCCTTGATGTACATCTGATAGCAGATCTCCCGCTTGCCATCCCAATCGTAGACCATGGTGAGGGATGGTCTGGGCGACACTCCCCCCGAGGCGGAGGTAGTGCCTGAGGGCGCGGAACCCAGCCAAGCTGGGGGGTTGACGACCCGACGAGGGAGTCCGGGGGAGGGAGGGGAAAGTCAGGTGGAGCTCTGGGGATAGAGGATCGATAGCCTGTCCAGACACCGGTTGTCGCTGCTGTGCCCCGTAGTAGTCGAGCCAGTCCGAAGCCCGCTGAGGGGGGCCATACAGTGCACTTGCGCAGCTTGCTTGGTCCGGTCACGTGGACCAGATAAAGTCACATGATCGTGCACGTGAACCACCGCAATACTACTATTATTGCTATTCTAGTTTGCACCAAGTAAATAGGTGTCGGAACCCGCCCGGGGTCGTCGTTGTAATAATTCCACCGGTCTATCTAGATGTGCTTCATCGCCTGCAATATGAATCTGGCTCATCTGGTAATCATGCAAAGCCTCCCCATCCCATAACGCCCACAGAAAGTGCAACCCACGCATCACCGAGAAGGCCCCCCGAGGAGAGTGAACAGAAGTAATAACCGTGAAAAATAAGATAACAGAGACATTCACGCAAAATCCAGGTCATCATCTGGCTGCCCCACGTACTGATACTTCAGAATCTGCTCGTGGTGGACATCGTGGGCTTGGGAATGTACCAGTCCCAGCGCTTCTTGATGCAGGGCTGAGGCCGAATCGGGATCGGTGGGATCATCGACCATCATATGGTAATCATGGGCCGAATGATGTCGGACGTCATTATCAAAGTTGGAGGCGTGTAAGCTGTGCGCAGCGTGGGCATATGCTTCGCTTATCGGGTCATGTGAATGGAAGCGGGGAAGTTGTTGATGAATTTCGATGATCTGCGGGTCAAGGGGCAAGCCCGTATAGTCCGCAATCGAGTCTACCGGTCCTTGCACCACCGAGTGGGCGGTCACAAATGGGTTGGAGTTATGGTGAGCATCCATGGCCGTGTGGTTCATCAGCGTATGCCCCCCCATAGGGTCGCCGGGGCCCAGGTCGGCATCGTCCTCCGGGAGGTCGACCTCCTGTGTCCCCAGTTCATCCTCATCCTCGTCGGGCGTGTCCTCGTTCATGATCCCGTTGATGATGGGGGGCTTAAGAGTCTCTTTACACTGGGGACAGTCCCGGATCACCCGACTGACCGTTTCCTTGATTCTCACCCAGTGGTATTTGACGGCAATGGCCGCCGTCGTCTTGTTGATGCCTGCATGCTGCTGCATGTGCATCTGCCGAGCAATATCATACTGCTGCTGCGGATCCGACACGACTTCCTTGTCTTTCAGCATCAGCTTCTCGCCATCGCCCTCTTTCCCACTGATTAGCTTGTAATGGGTGGCTGCACTCCGAAGCCGACTCTTCTCGGCCCGGTCTGCCCCCCTAGGATATTTGGAATGCTTCAGATAATACCGGATCTTGTCGAAGCGATCTTGCGTGACGGAATCTTCTCCTTCCGGGCCAAGATCTCGGCCGTAGATGATGGCATCTACGTACTGCCCAGGGTTAGAAATGAGTCTACCCCCTCCCGGCACCCGGCCGATCCGCTTGAAGCCTAGAGCATCCCACAGACGGCAGGATGCCACGTTACTCTCATAGACCAGGTTAAAGACCGCATATGTGTACCCCTGCTGGATGTCAGTCCCTGCGACGTCTGCGACGGGGAACCGCATCCCTCAAGTATAGAATTGTGAGAGAGATGAAGTAACGGGGAAAGGGGGGAGTTGTCTGGTCGGGCTACTGGCATCGTGGATACTGACCATCTTGGGAGCCCACTCGAGATATCCCTCCCCCATCAGTCGACCCACACCCTTATTGCGAGCAGCGTCAGTGACCAGAAACATGCCGTTGCAGACATGACTACTACGGCCGGGATAATTGGGTCGGATATTAAAGCTGCCCAGACAGATCTTGGACCAGTTGGCCCGGCCCCTGCCCAGGGCCTGGAGCTCGTGCACGCTCTTAATATCCCCCAGGAGCATGATGGCGCCGAAGTTGGAAAACCAATACGACCCAAACTGCTCCAGAGGGATTGGGTCGATCATGGCATAGGTATCACCACCCTCGATCTCCTTGTTCAATTGATCGGACAGATAGGCCAGCAGGGATCGCGGCACTGCATCCGCTGAAGTGAAAGGGACCAAGGTCGCGACCGTGACCCGATCCCTGAGCGTAACCTGGCGCGGCACGATATCTGGAGGCAACTCATTACTAGTGGGAATCACGGTGGTCATTAAATCCCCATGGACGGCAGGCATGATGATGCCGTGGGCCGGATGCGCCGGTCACGAGACTGCGTGTCCCTGTTAGTTGGGTTGGAACGCATGGTCCATGGGGGGGAATGATTGGGGAACGGCATTCTTCCGGGCAAGCAAGTATCTCCATCGTACTTGGGGATCATGACAGGCTTGCTCTAGCGCCATTGAGCCTGGAGATTCTAGGAGGAAAGGAGGGAGTAATGCAGGGGTACAGTGGTGGTGGGCTGCCCGAACGGCTAAAAACGGGGAACCCCGCCGGGAGGAGGGAATTTCCGGGAAAGAAAACCGGGGGACAGAACTGACAGGTTGATTGATTAGTAGTAGTATTATTATTGTTATGATGGCACCAGGGCTGGTCGAGAGCACTTCGAGGACCGCCGAGTATTCTCGAGTCCGGAATGATGTGAACGCAGACGAGAAATCGTCGTCCCGCTGCCGATAGCTGACTCAGCTGTTCGGCTTTCGCTCCCTCGCATCATCCTTGTTCCGGCGGTCTCACAGTTCTGCCAGCTGCTTCGGGCGGTGAGGGATCCAACCGTGGGGTCACGCCATCTGGTGCATTAGTAATCCCCCCAAAGCCCCTCCTCCGCCTCCGCCGCAATCTGGGATCTTCATCTCCAGGAGATCTTGCGTCTTCTCTAGATCCCCCTGCTTGTCAATTCCACCGTTTTACCCAGGGATCTGATTGTCTTTGGTCCGACAAGTCCTGTCTGAACCCCTTCGCAAATCCTCTCTCACAATGGCCGACTCCGTCTACTCGAATTACCCTCCCCACCTGAACCCCGCACAGAAGGAGTTTCTTGTCCGGTCCATCAAGGATTGGACCGTCCAACATGGGTTGATGATTCGCCCCGCCCCGACGTTTATCTCTAAGGAGACGGATCCTCAGGGCGTGGTCGCCACCAGCGCACCCGTCACCCTATTCCCCAGCCCTTTCCCCAAGTCTTGCTTCGAAGAGGCGCGGGCCCTCCAGACGGTCTACAACCAGCTCTACGCGGCGATAACGTGCGATGAACAATGGATTGGAGACATCATGGAAGAGTAAGAAGGCACCTGCGATCTGTTGTCTTGCTTAGAGCTTCATAAAGCGATCTGTTGCGTTCGCTGCAGTTCCTTCGGTTTCGACCTCAGTGGAAGGTGCTAAATCTTTCTTGACTGTAGCCTCATCGACGTGGACGATTTCATCTCGCACCTGTGGAAAGTCCACCTCGCGGTTAAGGAGGAAGGATACGCTCAGACGCTCTCCCTTGGCCTCTATCGTTCTGACTACATGCCCCACGTCCCGTCGACATCGACTCCCCCGTCCTTGAAGCAGGTCGAATTCAACACCATTTCCTCCTCTTTTGGTGGATTATCGTCTCTCGTCACGTCCCTCCACACCGAGCTTCTCAATTCACCACCGGGTCACCCCATTGCGTATCCCTCGCATCCTCTCCTCGATTCGAACCAACCCCCCGAGAATACTTCCGTGGAGACCCTGTCCGCGGGCTTAGCGGCAGCACACACAGCCTATGGGACATCAAAGTCATCTCCAGCCCTTCCTACCTGCATCATCTTTGTCGTCCAGGAAAACGAAAGAAACGTGTTTGATCAATTGGCTCTCTCGAGGCAGCTAACCAAGGTTCACAAGGTGCCTGTCTTCCGCCTGCTCAGCTCCGAGGTCTTCGATCACACGCACATTCCTGCCTCAAATCCCTCCCGGCCCCTGATCTACCGGCCCCCTCACGCCGACGGTGTGGAGTTCGAAGTCACAACGGTATACCTCCGCTGCTTCTATACCCCGACAGACTACAAATCCGAACGAGACTGGGAGGCCCGCACGCACCTGGAGCGTTCCGCAGCCATCAAATGCCCGACCGTCCTAAACCAGCTTGCCGGGTGTAAAGTCGTGCAGCAGGTGCTCGCGGAAGAAAAGGGGCCGGATCATCTTGCCAAGTTCCTTTCTGGAACCGATTCAACCACGATCGAGAGGCTACGCGCGACTTTCGCCCCCCAACATGACCTTTCGTCAAGTGGTCGTGGTCGGGAGCTTGCCCTGAACCCCGAAACCGCCGCGAATCATGTGCTCAAGCCCCAGCGCGAGGGAGGTGGCAACAACATATACAAGGAGGCTATCCCCGAGTTCCTGCGATCTCTCCCTGAGACCGAATGGAAGCGATGGATCCTGATGGAGCTGATCCAGCCGCCAGCTGAAGCCCAGAACGTGGCTCTGCGACCGGACGGCGAGGTGCTTAGCGGGCATGTCATTGGGGAACTGGGCATCTATGGGACGATTCTTTGGGACCAAGCTGGAGGCAAGGTCTTGCACAACGAACAGGGAGGCTGGCTCATGCGGACCAAGGCCAAGGACGTGAACGAGGGTGGTGTGGCCACCGGATTCTCCAGCTTAGACAGTGTGGTTCTGTACTAGATTCTCATCGGTCACTTAGAGCATGCTTATAGATTATATAAAAATACACCGAATCACTTTTCAGCCCAGCAACTCAAATCTGCGTATCCAAAGACATTACTAGTAATACTACTAGTACTACTCTTGGTTGCCCCACACCTCTACCGGGTATAGATATTTATCTACTCCGTAGTGGGTGCGGCACCCAACTTTGCCCCACAACTGAAGCGTTAACACTTCACATACTGCGAAACAATGAACCCTTCGCGGAGATCATAGCATCTACCAAATGGTCAAGCTTGGCACTGAACGATACCTTAAGGGCTGGCAAAAACTCTCGTCTGCAGTGTGAACCAAAAGAGGTTAAGAGAGAGCCGAATGATGCTTAGTAAGTTGGCATTCTCCCCAACGGAGTGAGGTTGTTCCTGTCTGTCTCGCCATGAGCTCACCGTTCCTCGCAACTTGATCCCGCCTGCCTTTCACTAATTTTGAGCTCCAGAAGGGCAATTATATTCCAATGGCATCTATCGTGCGAGCTTTCAGGACCAACATTCGCCGAACGCGACTGTCACCCCGAGAATACTCTACCATAGCGCCCATCATCATCCCTACAGAAACCCCGATTGAAGAAGAAACCTTACCACATTACAAAGCAGCACATTACTATTCCGTAAGAATCGGCGATGTGTATCACACCCGATACCAAGTCGTGGGAAAGCTCGGGTATGGAGCATATTCCACCAGTTGGCTGTGTCGGGATCTCAGTCCACTCGATCATAGAAGGCCGAATAACTACACCGTTCTAAAAGTCTCGACCTATTTACCAGATCATCCCACTGCGACAGATCGAGAATTGAGAGTCTACGAACACCTAGCCAACATCAATTCTTCGCATCCGGGCCAGTCCTTGATCCGCGAGCTGTATGATTCATTCGATCTCCGGGGTCCTAGAGGAACAACCCATCGATGCCTTGTTCTGCAGCCGATGAATATGACCCTCCTCGAAATGATGGGGATGAATCCCCGGCCGTTTGATCTACCTCTGTTGAAATGACCGTTAAGCGGCTTCTTTTCGCACTTGATTTCTTGCACGCGGAGGCGGAGGTTATTCACACTGGTAGAAACTTTATGCTCTGTGAATGTTAGACATTAATACTGATGCTCGTCCACTAGATCTAAAGACCGACAATCTAATGCTCAGTCTAGAAGACACCTCCATGCTAGCGGATTTCGCAACTGCAGAATCCACAAACCCAAGTCCTCGGAAGTCAATTAACCACTCACATGCTACTATTTACTGCAGTCGAAAGTTCCGCAGGCCCACGGGAGGCCGAAACTACGGTCTCCCAGTCCTATGCGACTTGGGTGAAGCAAGGATTGGCAAAATGCAGGAGTCAGGACCTTTCGTCCAACCACACATATATCGAGCGCCGGAGGTGATTTTCGAAATGCCTTGGGGGAGCGCAATTGATATTTGGAATTTGGCATGTCTTGTGAGTTCATCAGCTACTACCAGCTGTTCATATCCATACGCCTGCTTTTCTGGCTGATGATGCATTAAATTTGGGATTTATTCGAAGGACAGCATCTGTTTGGAGATATCTTCGACTCCAGAGGTGGCCATGATCCATTCAGACATCTAGCGCGTATGGTAGCTTTGGTTGGACCGCCACCGAGCGAATTCGTGCGACGTAGTGAGACGACGGAGCAGTGTTTTGACTTGAGTGGTTGGGACTCGCTTTCATATTTTATTACACCCCCTTTCTTATTAATTCCGGAACTGATATTGTTGCAGGTAACTGGATCGCTCATCAGGAAGCGTCTGTACCCTCTGTTTCGCTTAAGGTCTTGGAAAAGCGGCTGAGTGGCCCGGAGAAAGAGTTGTTTTTAGAATTCATGCGGTCGATGTTGAAATGGATGCCGGAGGAACGCAGGACAGCTAAACAGCTGCTTGAATATCCGTTCTTGGTCTAACCCCCCAGCTAACTTTCTTCTGTTCCTACGTTGGGAAATGCTCGCTGGGTGACTTTATACCCCCGAACCCATGCAATAACCCTCGTTGGCATCTAAGGTTGAGGTTTTTAAAGGTCTCATGTAGTTCGTGATCTTGGGAGTCCGCTCAAGGCGCCGAAGGAGGCGGAGGTTCTTAAACTTTCTGGCTTCCATCGACTGGCTAGTACTTTCAGAGTTGAAACGAGGTGAGCACCTCAAGAGAGATGACACTAATAAGTACTGCTTGGCGCGTGCAAAACACTGATTAGTACTGCGAAGCAGAAATTACAGGTATGGCCTCAATAGTAGATAGCTGCCCGTCATTTTCAGTGTCAGATTAACAAATCCTCACGCTTTATATGTAATCAAACTCCCTCAACCTGTTCATCTCTCACCCAATGACCACTTTTCCCACCCTTCTTTTCCAACAATCGAACCCCAACAATCACCATCCCCTTATCTACCGCCTTCAACATATCATATACCGTTAACGCGGCACCCATGGTGGCTGTCATGGCTTCCATTTCCACGCCAGTGCGACCAAGACAGCTGACTGTTGCGAGGACGCGCATTGCGCCGTGGGTTCCCACGGAGGAGTCCTCGGAGGCAGACGAGGAGGAGGAAGAGGAAGAGGTAGGTGGATCGATGAGTTCCACGTCGACTTCGACGCCCGTGAGACCGATGCCCGGATGACAGAGAGGAATGAGATCGGGGGTCTTTTTGGCGGCCATGATGCCGGCGATGCGAGCGACGCTAAAGACATCGCCTTTTTTGGTTCGGCCTTCTCGGAGGAGGGTCCAGGGACGGGGATTCGTGAATTGGACGAGACAAGTTGCTGTGGCGAGGCGGGTTGTGATGGCTTTTTCGTCGATTTTGGTCATGTGGACGTTCTGGGAGGCGTTGAGGTGGGGGAGGTCGGGGTCGGATGCGGTGGAGAGGGAGGGGGAGATTGGTTTTGTCTCATTGAGATGTTGGTCGGTAGATTTGGAGGATGGTAGATTGTGTTGACGCGAACTATGGTATTGGCTGGCTTGGGTGGTGGTTGGACCATGGCCAGAGAATATGTGGGTGGGAATTCCAAGCCATGGGCGTTTGCTGGAATTCAGTATAGTTTGATTGGAATGATGCGTTGCTCTTATCGAGCTCGGCAAGGATAGATTATCTATATCGGCTATCAGCATGGTTCACTGAACATCATAACATCACACCCATGTCTATATTTGAAAAGAAAAGAAGATTCCAGGTACATGCAAGTCATTATTCGTAGTCATCGCCTGCTATGATGCGTACGGGGCTGCGCTTACCCACCAATAAGTATCATCGGCCGATTTTTCATGTCCTTGAGCTCTCCCATGCCCGCATGCTTCGCCTTCTTCCTTTTGACTGCCATTCCAATGATGTCTAGTAGCTCCTGTTCGCGTTCGGAAACTTGGTCTCCTTCCAAACGCACCAGACCTGCTGCTTCGAGCTCCTTCATGGTGGTCTCACTAATCGGCTCCCCGTTGTTTTCCTTCCGGAGAATATCTCGCAGGGATACCTCGGCATTGCCAAACAAGCACACCTTGAGATTGCCATCACATGTAATGCGTAACCGGTTGCAGGTGCCGCAAAAATTATGCGTCATGCTGGTGATGAACCCGATCTGACCCTGGAAGCCCGGCACTTGGTAGGTTTTGCTCGTGTTGTTCTTATGGTCGGGCACTTTCTGGAGCGCCGGGTACTTTTCCCGGATGATATCCAGCATTTCTTGATAAGAGACCATCTTCCCTTGGCTCCATTTGTTGCCGTCAAACGGCATATACTCGATGAAGCGCACCTCGATGGGGCTGTCACGCCCCAGTTCAATGAAGGGGACGATTTCCCGCTCATTGAGTCCCCGCATCACCACGCAGTTGATTTTCAGCTTGATTCCGGCCCCCGCCTTGTTCAGTTCCAGGATCCGGTCAATGCTTCGCATCACGGCGTCGAAGCCCTTCCTTCTCGTCATGATTTGAAACTGGAAGGGATCCAACGTGTCCAGGCTGAGGTTGATGCCGGTCAGGCCAGCCTCGACCATGTCGTCCAGTTTGCGGTGTAATGAAATCCCGTTGGTGGTCAGGCACAGCTCGCGCAGACCGTCCTGTCGCAGCTCCCCGATAGACTGCATCAAGGGAACGATGTCTTTGCGAACCGTCGGCTCGCCGCCCGTCAATCGGATTTTGGTGACGCCCTGCGACACGAACAGCGACGATAGATAGACGATTTCCGGGGAGGTGAGGAGACGAGCCGGCGGGGATAGTTGGATGCCTTCCTCCGGCATGCAGTAGAGACAGCGGAGGTTGCAGCGTTCGGTGACGCTGATGCGGAGGTAGTCATGCTGACGGTTGAAGGTATCTGTGAGGAAGTCGGAGAAGGGCTTGGCTGATTTGATGGCGGACCATCGTGGAGGTAGCGGCTTGTAGGAGGACGGGGTATCTGGGTCGGGGATCGAGGAGGGCGTGGCCAACGAGTCGGTATTGTGCTGGCGGGTGGCCATCGTGAGCGAGCTGGCGATCGCGGATGTGCGGGGACGGCGCAGGGATGAGAGCAGAGGCGCGATCCCCCGCCGGCGCAACAGGCGTTCAGTCATGATGGGCAGAGCGACTGAAGAAAAACCGGGAGGGCAACATTCCCAAGAGGAGGGGCGGCATGAAGACAAGGGAGTGAGGGACAGTAAAGACTGGAGATCTTGATAGGCGATGCTAGCTCGCGATGGTGGAGATGCGTCTTATCAACGCGGTGACGAGGATTCGCTGACTGGTCCGCCGGTCCCTCGCCGGTCGCGTCACCTGACCGGCCCCTCGCCTCCCTGATTGGCCTCCTAGTACTGCTTGTTCTAGATACTCTGGAATGATGAATAATGCCCCTTAGATAGGCTGATAAGTTCGGAGTACCAAGGGCTCCGTAGGTCTGCATATTATGAAATCCCTAGCAGTAAACTTACTTGATTCTAAGGAACAAGACCACCTGGATCTCCTCGGACCCGGTACACCGTAGTGTAGTACTACTACTCGGTTAGTAGTCTGTACAGTCATTGTAAATAACCCCATTGGCTATGGCATTGCCACCGGGCAAAGTTTTCGCCATGCGGAACGAGCGGTGCTGCGTACCAGGCAACACGAGGGACAACGTCCAAGTCACATTCTCTGACGCTCCCAAGGAGCTGCGTCGGAGGGCAAACTGGATCCTACGGGCCTGAAGAATGGTTGGGGCGTGCATGGCAAAAAGAGGCAAACGCGTGGGGCACGTGACAGCGGTGGTTGCCGAGCGTCTCAACTCTCAACAAGGGGGGGCTGGGCCACCGGGTGAACGGGCCCCCTGTCATCCTGCACACGGCTTACCGGATGCATCCCCATCCTGATCAGGCGACCTCTCTAGGTAACATCTAGCATCTACGACAGTCTTGGATACCGAATTGCCTATCTAGGGGCGGATGCAATGTAGAATCATGACCGACAGCACCTTCAGGGTCTCCGGTGAATCCATCACGTGGGGGGGGTGTTTGTACTGTTTGCAGGGCCGGGGTGGGATTGCCGACAACAAATTCCCCCAGGTTTGCCGGCGGGGGGAAAGAAAGGGAGACACAGAGCCCTCGTCAGCACATAGGACAGAGATAGAATCCCCAGATCCCACAGCCAGTTCGAACAATCCCATCCCCGAATACCCTCAGTATCAGTGATCATGGCGACCGTCACTAGCATAGGTACGTGAGCACTTCCTCAACGGCCGCACCCTTCTTGGCGTTCCTGGATAGAATCGCAAAGCGGCGGCGGCCCACAGATTTTACCTTTCCACCCTCAACCCTCTGCCATCGTGAACCACATCCCATCTCTGCCTCACTGCCTCACTGCCTCACTGCCCTGTATTCCCTGCGATATCTTCTCTCAAGTCTTCACTGGCTTTGCACTGGGAGACGGATCGTGATTGTTGCACCTCAGCCCGTGATTTCCGGTTCCCTTTGTGTCAGGGGCACATTGACTCATCTTCCGCGTGGTTGCATTTTCCGTTCTTCCACCTGGGCAAACTTTTCCCCTCTCCTGTTTTCCTTTCCCACCACCCCTTCACACCACCATGGACTCCACAAGGCTTTTCCTGCGACTGCGGAATTTGTACCCCAAGTCGGGGATGCAGCACGGTCTTCGGGCCAGCGCTCCTCTTCCTTCCATCCGTCTCTCCCCTGACCACCCAGGGACAAGCCCATCTCGACAAACCGCCCGCTTTTCGACCACCAGGCCAACGGCATGTGCTAATCTTGCCTCTCACTCTTCAGACCGATTTACCTCTGCTCTGCATCAGAACAAGGACTGGGCAGCGCAGATTGCCAAGGAGGATCCTTCCCTGTTCCCGACGCTCGCGAACGGTCAGCATCCTGAGATCCTCTGGATTGGCTGCTCCGACTCGCGATGCCCCGAGACCACTCTTCTTGGCCTCAAGCCGGGTGACGTGTTCGTCCACCGCAACATCGCCAACATCATCCACGCGGGCGATCTCAGCTCCTCTGCTGTCATCGAGTATGCCGTCCGCCACCTGCGCGTCAAGCACGTAGTCCTCTCGGGCCATACCAGCTGCGGAGGCGTTGCCGCCGCTTTGGGCAACAAGCAGCTGGGTATCTTGGATCCCTGGCTGCTACCTCTGCGTCAGATCCGGTCGCAAAACCTGGCTCTGCTGAATTCGCTGTCGCCCGAGGCGGCCAACCTTAAGCTGGTGGAGTTGAACGTCCTAGAGGGCGTCAAGCTGTTGAAGGAGAAGAATGTGGTGTTGGAGGCGATACATGAGCGGGGGCTTCAGATCCACGGGTTGATTTATGACGTTGCGAGCGGTGTGCTTCGGGAGTTGGACACCAACGAGTCGGAGGAGGCCATCAAGGCACGTCTCACCTCGTTCAAGACCGACACCTAGGGGGTAGTTGTGTGTGTCTCTGTGTGTGTGGTTTTTGTTGTCGTTTAGTTTCCGATTTCAGCGAACAGCGAATGTTGATGTGTTTTGTGCTTCGGTCCTGTCTGCCAACCCTTATCTTTTCAGTAACGAACTGGCTTAATGAGCAGCATCCTCTTAACCTCAACCCTCCAAGAACAATCAGTAATGCTACCCATGATCCCACATTGATCCATAATCAAACCGAACGAAGTAAACCCTCCGAAGTATGCTCAAAAAACAAGAACAAGACAGAAAAACAGAGGGACCGAGAACAAGCGGGGGGAGAGAGAAAGAGAGTAAGAGTAAAGAGGAGAAGAGAGAGTATGAATGAACCATGACGGTCTTTCTCTGGGGGGAGAGGGAGAGAGAGGGGGGTCTCCGCAACCACCACCTCTCAGTTCCTGCCGTGCTGGGAAATCAGTGTGGATCCCGGGTGGGCTGGATGCGGTATAGTCCCGGCCGAAGCGGGATTGTTTCGGTCGGAGAGGACTTTCCTTTCTTTCTTACTTTCATTCTTTGAGATCTTTCCTGGTTGGGGGGATTATTTATTTTATTTTATTTTATTTTTGGGTTTGGAAGTATGCGAGAAATATGAGAATCGTGTTTAGCTGCGCAGGTAATCGAGAGGTAGATAATACTAGTTTCTGTGGTGCTGGGCAGTGTAGGTAGGTAGGTAGGTAGGTAGATGGGAAGACTGAAACAGGTGAAATGCTGGGTCTGCGCCCCGTGCCTCAGGCTTAGAGGATCAGGCTCAGGCTCAGGCTCAGGCTCAGGCATTCGCGGCTTTGCGTACCGTACCCGCTTTCTTACCTTGGCGGCGAACCGTCTTCATCTGTCTATCTATATGTGCCTTGGGCGGCTATCGAACTCTGCATACTACTAGTATGGAGTTGGCACATCAGCTACGAAATGAAGGTCAACAAACAACAAGAAATAGGTGTAATGCCTAAAACTCCAATTCCTCCACTTCCATCCCGCAATCCACGCACTTCTTCACCCCGATCCCCGTCTTCGGGTCTTCAATCGATCTCCCCCACTGATGTACATGCCTCCCACCACCACCACCACCAACCCCCAGATCATCCCCGAAATTCCCTCCAGCAGGTCCTTGGCGATTCCGCCGGTACGCATCAACCCTTGTACGTTTCTTCAGATCCTCTAGTTTACCTTTGAACTTGGCCTCCCGACGACGCTTCTTCTCAATCTCGCGTCGCTCAAACTCGGCATCCAACGCCTCAGCCGACCCCCATTTCTTCTCGGAAAAGGCATATTCCTCCACCTGATACCGCAGATACAACATCATATTATTCCAGGTCGATTTATGCGGGTTCGGACGTTCTAGATGCGGGAGGAGTTCCTCATCCTGAAGTTCGGCTGCGCGCGTGTCAGCAATGCTCAATCTCAGTGGCAAATATCCCACCCAAGTCAAGTCAAAACTCACGATTAGTCAAAAGATAATCCTCCCTCGCCTCGGTCTTCGTAAGAAGACTATATTTCTCGGGAAACTTATCCTTGCACGCATGACATATACAACACCGGAGCGACTCCTCCCACTTCCAATCAATCTCAAGGGTACCACACTCACGACACTTCTTCTGCTGGGCTCGATCATCCAACACACTAAGCCCGGGTTCAAACGGCCCCGTACGGTCCCGATGAAGTGTCTTCAAGAGCTGCTGTCGTTCCCATTCCTTCTGTGTCATATGGGGTGGTTTCTGCTCTTTGCCATCCCTCACATGCAGGGCCTTGTTATTCCGATCGTCTTCCTCCGTCAGGAACCCTCCCTTCGTATCGGTGATTTTGGAGAAGTCGTACTCGACGAATTTCGTAAAATTGCGCGCCGGTCGGATGGAATCGAGCGGGCGAGTGGCTGTTGATGTAGCGGTCGCATCGCGAACGGTCGTGGGGGTGTCGGAGGCAGTCATGGAGGAGTAGGTTCGTTTGACGCCTGTGGTAGATTGAGATGGTCCATTCCCAATGCTTCCTGCAGCCCGGGCTTGTTCTGCTATACGTTGCTCTCGGATGGCTTTGGCCTTCATGCGGTTGAGTTCCTAGAGCAGATAGATCCAAGGTTAGTGCCAGACTGGGACATCTCAGGCCATTCTTTGGACGTACAATTCTCCGCAACTGCTCCGGGGTCAGGGGAGCACGAGGGGCGCTGGCCCCGGTCTGGGGCGGTGGGGTGGACTGTCGGTCTGTCGCCATACTTGTAGTGACATGAGAGGCGTAAGCAAAAGACCGAAGAGCCCAGAGGCGTGCTCAGCACCTGGAGATCTACGCAGTAGGCAGTAGAGACTAGTGTTATCGGCCGGGGATGATCGGCGCCACTTATCGCCTCCGGCAGGGAAGCACGTGACAGGTCTCACGCGTCACCGAGTATCTCTTCCTTAGCCGCCATAGTATGCTCGCCTACTTTCCCATGCGCGATGCTACGACTACGAAAATGACCGACAGCCCAGCTGATATCTGACACCAACTAACCCTTCGGTCAAAAGCACATGTGTTCTACCAGATCAACCTATCAGTGGTTGATCCCCAATCTACCAACCGATTCGCATAAGGTTCCAATTTAATCGCCAACAACAGCACGTACGATATCAGTGTGATGATCCAAGTCATTCATTCAGATGACGCTAATATATATACATAGGATTACATTATGACAGACAGTGATTATATCCAGAGAGGAAGTAAATGTTCATGCACAGCGGTGTCATAACACCGCATCGTAAATGCGTTCAGGGTTTGGAAAGCTGCTCTTTCCGGAAGAAGAGGATGAAGCCAGCACTAAACAGACGTTAGACACGATTCCACAAGACATCAAGGAGGAAGAGTCACTTACCACACCAGCAGCTGACAGATCAGGGCGGCCCAGAACCATCCATTTGCGACGGAACTCCCGCCAAAGGTAGGGTCCGGGGACACCGGCCCAGGCCCAATGTTGTTGGGGGCAAAGGCACGGGCGCAAATGGTGGCGATGGAACCAAGCACCTGAGAACAGATCAGGGTGAAGAGCATGTGCATTCGAGTGAGGGTCTGCAGCAGGATGATACCGAATCCGAGACCCTGAATCGAATCCAACACACCCAGCCAAAGCCAGAGACTACGCGATGCCAGGGCACCGCCGACATAGCCTCCAGAGACCCAGGGAAGGAAATAGCCGATGCCGGAGACACCCCACCAGATCTGCGCCCAGCGAGGTGCCCCGAGACCGCATGCAAATACAGGGAGGAACCAACTGTGGGCCTTGAAATAGCGGCTGACGATGAACAAGAAACCGGCCCACACGAATCCGTAGAAGACAATGCAAAGGATGACAATCTGCCAGTCCTTGGCGTGGTTGGAAGTCCAAAGGACTGGATAAACGGACAACGGTTAGTTCGGTCTGATATGCTGGGGCGTAGATGCCAGAACCCGGCAGAGTGAAAACTTACAGCTCCAGTTGCGGCCGTACGGCGCGCTGAGGAAGAAATTCTGAAGGATGACGGCCACAAAGTTCCACAGGACGATCTTGCGGCGGAACACGGACTTGTAAAAGGACGCAACCTTGCCAGGGGTTTGACGGTAATAGTTGGGAAGTCCAAAGAGCAAGAGCAATCCGACGGCACAAAGGAAGACAGCAATCGGGTAACAGATGGCACTAGAGGAGTCTCAGTAAAATCAGACGACGAAGCGCTATCGGGTTACTCACGTCATCTTCCAGGAGTTGGCGATGTTGTTCGTCGAGGTCAACAGGCCCTCGCTGGACGCTTTGGTCAGCGTCGAACCCCAGTACCACAGCGCAATGATATAAGCCGATTGGATGCCCTGAATGAGGCAGGCCCGGAAGATCCAGGTTTCCACCGGGGCACCGCCCTCGTCACCGAAGTTCAAGGCGAAGAAGATGGACCCGCTGGACGAAGCAGCAGCGTAGAAGCCACTGCCAACGTTCTGGATCCAGCCCCGATTGAACGAGTTGCTATCCCAATGGGCAGAACCGATGAGGATAAAAGCGATGGCATAGAGGAACCAGGGAGCCGAGAGGCACACCACCGATTTGCAGTACCGGAACACCAGCCACCAGAGGATGGACGTGATGAGGTAGGTGGTGGCAATTCCATACAGTTTCTCGGCGGTCTCACCAACCTCGCCCGTCAGCAAGGTGATTTGGTACGAGTTGGCAGCAATGATCTGGCCCAGGGCGAGGAACAACGAGTAGACCGGCCAGTCGCCGACACGAAGTTGCATCCATTTCTTCAGGCCCGTTGGGGGAACATAATCCTTACCCAGGAGGAACTCGTCGTCTTCCGTGTCGCGGGACTCACTATTATCGTCCCCACTCACGTGGGAGCCGGCGTCATCGTAGTACGAGCCAACGGGGGATGCGCCATGCTTGTCACGGAAGATGGACGAGGCCGGGGACTTGAGGCGACCGAGTCTCGCATCACGGAACTTGTCGAACCATTCCTTTTCACTCTTGATCAGGTATTCTTCAATGCACAGCTGCGACTCGGAATTCGCTCCGTTCAGGCCCACCAGCCTCTTGTCGAAAGCCTTGTAGTACTCGCCGGTCGAATCGGTAAAGAAGGGGTCCACCTTCTGCAGCTTGAAGTCCGTCTTTGTACCAACCACGGAATCCAGGGAGAGGACCGAGGCGCTACTGAGACGGTTGCCCGCCTCGAGCAGCCGGGGAGGAGGAAGAAGACTCTGGGAGGGCGTGGGAACGGGACCCGGGCTGACGGGGGGCTGGTTGAATCGGGGATGCATCGAGTCTTGACTATACCGGTTGGCACCGGGAGGACTCGTCGGCATTCCCAGCTCATTTTGCTGAACAGCCTGCAGGCGGCGGCCTTCCTCGACCTGAGCGGCGGTCAGAGTATACTCATCGTCGGGATGCTCGGGGATGTCATCGTCCCGATCTTCTTCAACATCGGTCATCACGGCGGCGTCCTCGTGTTCCGGGATGCTGTCGCGTTGCCGGCCACGACGGCCACGGCGGTCTTGATGACCGGGACCCGAGCGAACACCAAGGGACAGTTGCCGGTGCAGGCCCGACTTGGGCTTTTCCGTGCCACTGGGGCTGACGTCTCGGCTGTAGTTGGTCTTGGGGTCGGCAACGTATTCACTCAAGCGGTTCAGGTTCGAATAGCTGCTGTCTCGAGAATGCGCCATCGGAGTCTGGATTCCGGGCGGCATCAGCGGGCTTGCGGGCTGGCTCATGATGCCACCGGGCGTCGTGGTTCCCGACGGGGTGAAGGGGCGACCGTGAGACTTGACCAATTCCTTGTTGTGCACCTGGATGGCCGTGGTTTGCAAGATTTCCAAATCTTCGACCCACTGAGCGACGGGGAAACGTTGCTTGGCCGACCGGGCTCGCATCATGGCGCGGGTTTCCGTTTTCGAACTCAGCGCCGCATCAATCGCCAGCTTGAACTGGACGAGCAGATGGGAGGTGGCGGTGGATTCGACATTGTACCACCAACCGGGCATCTGACCTAGACCACCGACCCGGGCACCGATACCCAGGGCTCCTTTACGACCGAACTCGACAGCAACCAAACCAAAGGGCTCGTCACGAGAGGGGATCAGTGCGAATTCCGCGCCGGAGAAGATGTAGGGAGGCAGTGCCGTGAACTCAGGCCTGGAAAACACCCGTCCAGGATAGACCTTCATCATGTGGTCCAGCTTGAGAGCCGCGAATTTACCGTAGAGATCGATGACGGGACCAACGCAAATGACCTGGACATTGGGGCGCGATTCGAGGACCGCAGGCATGACATCGGCAATCAGATCCACACCCTTCTGCATCGACCAACGACCAACAAAGACCAGTAGGTCGGCGTCGGGATTCTGTTCGAGGCCGGCCCATTCCTGGGCCTGCCGCTTGAGCTCCCCACGGCCCGCTTCGTAATCCTGATCCACATTCACATCGTTACTCATGGCGGCGGCCTGTTCCTTACTCCATTCACCCACATCCGAGGGATCCGGGTTGGGCAGGTTACCGACCTTGCGGAGACCCCAGAAAATGGGGTAACGCGCGTAGGACCGCTTGCCGTACTTCTTAGACACACCCACAGCACCGAAACCTTGCTGGTGAACCCGAAGGTAACTTGCACCCGCGTGGAGCAGGTTGAAAACCTCTCCGAACTGCACATAATGCCGAACGTGTTCGATATCCAGATTGAATACGGAGCAAACTTCCTCCTTTTCCTTTTGCGTACGCATCGGCCAGAGACCTTGGAATTCGGCGTTATGCAGGGAAAGACAAGCCGGGACGGTGTCGGGAAGGAGATACAATGGGGCCAGGGAACCGTGATAATCGTTGATATGGTAGAGGTCGATGGGGAATCGCTTGCATGCTTCCGCAATACACTGATTCCAGGCGGAATAGTAAATGGCACTGTTGAGGTCATCCATGCGAGCGGGGTAGGGTTCCGACTTGGACTGCTGACGGAACACGGGCGCATCGAGCAGGACGTAGGTGATGTTGCCCAAGATATGGTACTGAACCTGAACCTCATAAGAGTTTCCTAGAATGGTCACATTCATGGGCTCGGCCGGTTTGTCCACGGGGTAATCGATGCCTCCAACGCAGGGGACGACCCAGATCAGGTCTTGATGACCCAAAGTCTTACCCATGAGTTGCGCCATGACACCAAGACCACCAATTTTGATCTTGATGGCCCAATCCTCAATGTCGTATTCCATGGTGGCGATCAGAACCATGCGTCGCTTGCCGCTCGCAGCACCGCCGATGGCAGTGGTAGCCTGCAGGAAGCCGGACTTGTTCGCCAGGCGCATCAGCGGGTTGGAGTTTTCCTCATCGCCCTTGCGGGATCGCTTAAACTTGCGACGTAAAGCCAACGGGATCATCTGGTGTTTCTCGCTCACTCCGACCTGATTGAATTTGACCTTGTAGAAAGACTTCATGAACACCCACACGCCGAGACAGCCCGTGACGACCGGTACGATCCAGAAAAGGACAAACATGGCAATCTGGGTGTTCTGATGGCCGACCGGGAAGAGCTGGAATCGCATGGTACCATCATCGATGAAGACGTTCCAAGAGATGTAGGGCGAGGGCGGATGCTCCGTGATGTTGATCAGCGTTGCGGACAGAGAGGAGGGCGGCATGCGGTCAAGAACCGAATCGTTATCGGCGTCACCCAGCACCCAGCTTTGATCGGGCTTTCCGTTGGGATTCATGCCCCAGATGTTCAGCTGGGCTTGGGCCGGCCATTCAGCGGTAAAGTGATATTTCCAGATGCCGTCCACGCTGTCCTGGCGGACCACATTATCGAGGCCGGCGTCATATCCGTACTGGTTGAAGGGTCCGTTGAAGAAGACATGGGGGAACCGGCGCGGGACCTTCCCATTCCAATTCGAATCGCCCTCCTGGACGTAATCACTGCTGCCAGTCCAGCGGTTCCAGTACTCCACGCGGACGTGGTTTCCCTTCCACTCTTGTTTCTTGGTTCCCGACCATGGGAGCACCTCGATGGTGTCATTGCCACCCTGGTAGGGCATCCAGTTCGAAAATGTGGTGCCCCAATTAGTCGAATACCGATATTTGTCAGCACCGGCCGCGTGGTGTTGGATGAACAGAGTGCCGTTGGGTTCCTCGTGAAGCAGACTGGTGGAGTAGTTGGCGCTGGTAAAGATCATGGGGTTATCAATCTGACCAATCCGGAAGAGGAGATGGTCGACGGCATTGGTAGACGCGTTCCCACTGGCGGTGCTGACGTTGCTCACAGTGATGCGATGGACGCCGTTGTAAACTCCCGTCAGATTCGCCGTCCACATCCACACACTGGGGATCTGTCCCGTGTACGTGGTGTTGGTGGCGGAGATTGTCTTGCAGCTAACCGTGTTCGAATCCAAGGAGGGGGCCTTCCCGATCTCAGTCGACGAGTTGATGGTGATGGACTTGGTCACGGACTCGCACTCCATTTCTTCGGAGAAATAGAGTTCAATGTTCACGTCTTCATCCGCGTTGGGGGCCACCGTCGACCGGAGAGGGTAGTCATGGCCCGGAGTGAATTTGGTGAGCATCGGGCCAGCCTTGGCGAAGCGAGTCTTGGGCACGTAGGCACGGAACTCATAGGCTTCCATGGTCATGTTGGCCAAACAGCCATTGTACTCAGTGGATCCATTCAGGCCGAGCTTGACGGGACTGTCGATCAGCTGGTGCTCGTCATACGGGTGAAACAAGTTCTTGACCCAGGTGCCCGTGGGAAATGCAGAAATGAGCGCGGTGTCATTATCCGAACAATCAAACTTATAGTCGATCGTGCGGTTGGTGTTGTGGTAGACCAACCAGACCGGCTGGTTCTTTGCATCCGAGCCCAGATCCTGCACATCTGCATTGACGTCGCGGAGGATGGACCACAGGCCGGTCTCCGTCGCAGTACCGTTGGAACCGGTGTAGTACACATCTTCCGTCATGTTGGAGAGTTTTTGAATCGAGTAGCCATCATTGAGAACCGGGAACTGCTCACGCATTTGATACATGTGTTTGATGATGTTGCGCACCGGATGCGACGGGTCGCGGTGATCGTAGGCAACCGTGGGGTCATGGCATCCATTCCGGCCGGCGTCGATGGGCCAGTTGTAGTATTGCGACGATTCCAACGAAAAGCAGCCATGATCCCTCCATGCCGTGGCGGGCGACATCGCCTGTCGGCCGTAGATATAATTCGCGGCCGTAGCATCGAGGACGTAAAAGGCCTGTTCTTCACCCCAGAGGAGGAGGGGTACACCGGGGAGCAGGAGCGTGGTGATATACTGGCCCAGCAACTGTCTCTCGACACCCTTCTCCACCGTAGGCCAACGGAACACATCCTGGTTGGTAGCCCCATACATGTGGCGGGGGTCAAACTTGCCCGTGTTGGCATTGACCAGATCGTTCGACTGCAGCATGAGGTTCCAGGCATCCACCCAGTCGACCGGCACATCGTAACCAGCAGCCAAATTACCGTCCATGCCCAGGAAACGGGTCAGGGCACGGTAGATGGAGTAGTGAAAGGCCGCGCCGTCAATTGCCTCATGTCCGGCCTCGCGCAGGAAATATTGAGCATCCGAGGTGTTGGTGAGTTTCATGGCCGCCTCGGCCGTGTCCGGATACTGGTTAGGCTGCCGGCCCCGACCCAGATAGATGGAGCCGAAGGTGTTACCACCCGTGATTTCGCCGGCGATGAAGAAGTTCTCTTTTCCCACGGCCCGGGCACACTCGCGATATGCGCTGGACATGTCTCCGAGAGCGTCCACGGTCGCCTGGGTGGCCTTATCGTACCGGAAGCCGTCAATATCGAGCGACTGGATGATGATACAAGAGTGACGAATCAACCGCTCCCGCACCGAGGGGTTCCATTCGCGCAGACGATCCTGCACGGAAGCGAATTTGGCCAACTGACGTTGCCAATCCGGGAACACACCGAAGGCCTCGATATCACCATATTGATCGAAGTCGCTGTCATAGCACCCAACGAGTTCCTCGGTGACAGACGCTTGGACCGGGTAGCCGTTTTCAAACCAGAAGGTGGGATAGTCACATGTGTCGTTGTACGTGTTGCCAATTTCGAAATCAACATAGTGGCGGTCAGTCTTCCATTCCACCTTATGTTCCTTGACCGAAAACGGGGTGGTGGTGTTCAGATAACCCTCGAAACCGATCAAGTCACCCATCCTGCGGTGGACCGTTAGCACAGGTGCGGGGGGAGCCGGGGAGGGGGCTGCTCAAGACTTACGTTGCGATGGTGTTGTCGAGAATGACATACATGCCGCGCTTGTGGATTTCAGTGATGGCATCGCGCCAGGTTTGCAGATCACCATAGTGTTGGTCCAGCAAGGTCGTATCCAGCGCCGAATAACCGTCGAAACCCCACGGCTGGTTCATTAATACCGTTCCTGCGAGATACAGGGCCTATCCATCGTCAGCAGTGATTCCAGCCGCGTGCACGCACGAGACCGACAGACCTTGATTCCCATGCCCTGCAAATAGTCCAATGTATCCACCAAGCCGGCGACATCGCCACCATGGCGCATCTGGTTGGAGGAAATATCGTGCTCGAACAAGGTTCCGTTGATGTTGTCATTGGTCGGGTCACCGTTGACGAAGCGGTCGAGGAAGAGAGTATAGACGGGGAAGCGCCAGTTTTCCGGGGAGGGGAAGTAGTCCCCTGTGTGGTTCGGCCATGTTCCCGAGTATTCGGCGGGGTTGGTAGCTGCCTGGTTCTGATTGAAGTTGTAGTCGACGAGAGCTTCGTCGTAGGGCCAGGCCGTTGCAGTGGTTGCGAACCAGGCGAGCAGCGTGCCGGAGAAAGCCCACTTCATGCTGGGTGGGAAGGTCGGGTCGACCCTGGAGAACCACCGGCCGGCAAACCAGGAAGAAGACACCCCGTATCAATGGCAAGAATAATAATAGTAATAATAATATAGAATAAAGAACAAAAAAATTAAAATCTTGCCGTCAGACCAGGGTTGGTTGTGTTGTCGGTCACTCGGTTGGGATCGACCGAGGTATGGACTGATAACGAGTGATAGGTAGAGATCAGATAACGAGAGGCACAGAACCGTGTTCAAACGAGAGTGAAATCTATAGGGCCAAACACAACGACAAAAACAGGGAAGGACGCATGAGGGGAGAGGGAGAGGGAGGGAGGGAGGGGATGGAGAGAGAGGGAAAGTGAGAAAGATGATACGAGGAAGAGAGAAAGAGAGAGAGAGAGAGAGAGAGAGAGAGGAAGAGAGTCAGCGGGACAAAGAAAGGACAAAATTGAAAAAGCTAATCAAATCAACTAGCAAAGCAGCTGAGGCTCAGCATGCGACAGGACAGCAGCGATAGAGTGGATCAATCGGGGGAAGGAGAGACGAGACGTCTCTGCTAATAATAACCCGGTGCTGACTAGAGGGAAGAGGGAGGAGGAGGGAGGAGGGAGGAAGGGCCACCGGCCAGCTCACTTAAACTCTTAGTCCTTAGTAGATACTTGGTAAGTATCGAGTAGTAAATAGATAGGTAGTAGTCGGTCGTGCTGGGTATACTACTACTGGAATAACTGGAGATACATCCCCCCCTTTGATGAGATATAAGAAGTTAGTAGCCACACCGGTGTCTTCTAGGCTCATCCACCGTCCGGATTTGTGGGGGGAGGTTCCTTTTTGGTGAGATCCAAGTTAAGAAGGCTGAGTCTCCCTTTCTCCCCAGAATCCGATGATGATGGTGGCCAAACGGACAGCTCGAATGAGCGAAGGCAAAAAGCGAGCGAGCGTTGCCCAACCATGAATGGCGACTTGGAGAGCTGCTCGTATATCCGGGAACCGTTAAGTTTCCTCTCGGACCGGGTGGAGCCCAACCTACCTAGGGGCTGGAGGGATGTCTTGATTTCCACCCACTTGATACCGCCGCGCCCCTCCCCTGTTCGGTCCCTTTCTTTCCCTTTCAGCCAATCCCCCGTCGGCATCCGTTGCGTCCCTGGACAACTCCATGATTCCATCAGGAGTACAGTAGTATTGTTGAGGAGGGAATAAAACTTGGAAATATTGATTGAAACTTGAAAGGGGGGGATGCTACGCCGCAGGAAATACGGAACCGCCCCTCTCTCTTTGGGAGGGTCGTATTCCCCGTTTCCACGCCTGTAACCTAAAAACCCGATCAATACATCATACATGATACTGACTTCTCTGTTACTAGGTACTTGATACCGGATACCACCAGTGGCTGGTAGCCAATCTCGGTAACGAAAAGTTTATTGGCCCTCCCAAGACCCTTAGTGCATGATATGTCTTACTGGCATTTGTACCGGAAGATACGGCGCATGCAGATTCTGTGAATTCTGATAAGGACGGGCCCTCCCGATTGGTCCGAGTGGGGGGCCGAGGCCCAGGCTACTTCCTGACTAAGGATCATAGTAACCGTCATGTATAGTGTCGTATACGCCATACCGCAGTCATACCACACATCGGGACTTGACACCGCAGGGCAGGGGGTGCTTCAGCCTTGATGCATGCCGCAGGTCAGTGGACAGGTGGTGGGTGGTTGGTTTGGAGATCCATTGGGGCAGATTGCGATTTATTCCCTGGTCAGCCCAACTCAAGTTGCACAGTTGCAAATTCCACGATTCCAGAACGCTGTCATTGACCGAGTGGGGGTCCCTGCACCCCGGCCCAGACCCGATCGGGTCTACGCTGGGCTATTTTGGCACTCCGGGAAGGGTCCGGTCGGCTTCACAGTTCACACACTTCAGTCGGTCGGGGTTTGCCCCTCGCAGCAAACCTTGCCACTTACTTGTAAATCGGCCGGAGTGTGACGACGGAATTCCCAGCTGCAGGAGTCTGCCTCGTCTCACCTCTCTCATTTCTGATGATGGTCATTTTACATTTTACATTTCACATTTCATCAATCATATGGATTTCTCACCACCGGGTGGGATCAATCACGCCGCCCCAACCCTGCTTGCTGGCCATCGGGGCCCAAGCCTGGGTCGTGTGTCAGAGCTGGCGGGCGTTTGTGCCAATCCGCGCCCGTTAACACCAGGCGGAAGTGGGTCGCCAGCAAAGGATTACGGGATCGCAGCCTATTTGGGGGCGGTGGGGTTCTTAGGACCCTTGGCGGTGGCACTAGACCCTGAAGGGTCTGATCGGATAAAAGAAGGCCCAGCGGGTGCCAATAGGGCCATGCATGTCTTACCTCTCCCATCCCTCGCCGTCCAATTATCACCATTAAATTGATTTTCACCCAGGGCAAATTCTACGATGAGCGGACTGCTCCAAAGTCCAAAGTCCCCTACTTCTGCTCGCCCACCCCACTTAGGGGTATTATTATTATTCCCGTACGATACCTCCGAAACTTGCAGGACGGGTGTTTCCCAATTTCAGGCCAAGTCCGCTGCCAAGACCACCGGGCTGTGTGTGTGTGTATTATTAGCTCAGCAGAAAATTAAATGATTGCATGTTGGCCCAGGGCACATTCCAGGGCACCAACTAATCATAATCATTATAATAATAATAATAATAATAACCATCCAGTGGGGGACCTGTCTCGCATGTTCATATGAATGTTACTATTGTCATGATGAACATGATCATATACTAGTCAGTACCAGTGCCTCCCGGGAGACGCCACCAGTCAGTCCTTCTTATCATCTCGATCCAACACCGATAACAGGCAATTTTCTCTCTGCCAAGGCCCGCCATCCCGTTGGTTCCTGGTCGATAGATAGGAGATAGTCGAGAGATAGTCCGGGCAAAGCTGAGGCCAAGCTTTGCCCTCCTCGTTCCCTCTTGGTCTGTTGGTCGACCATGCGATCAGCGCCCTAAATCTGAGCAGTACCACTGTACCTGACTGTCTCACTCTCACATTATTATCTAATAACTAATAGTTCAGGGGATCCCCCATGGATTCTTTACAATTGCGGTCCCGGAGAGGGTCTCGGGTTTTTCTATTGGAAGACCCATTCTAACCAACGTCCTAGTGTTCTCTAGTACTGAGTAGTAGGGCCGAAAGACCCTAAGGTAGGAACATGTCTCACCACTCTCCCATTGGGCCCATCGGAATGCCCGGTTCTTTCCTCTTGCCGCTCTTTGTTCCTGGTGGCAGTCTTAGCGTCAGCTTTGGGGGGGGTTATGGCCGCATGACACCATGGCATGGAGGAGCCATTTTCCTCGACAACGGGTCGTGCTAAGGCCGATGTGACATCTGCAGGGGGAGCCAGAGAGCTCGGGACCAATGAGCCAATGAGGGGCAAAAGTTGGCAAACATTAAGCCGAGAAAATGCATCGAGGAACGTGATGGGATGGTTCCCCTCAGGTACGGGGAGAAGTGATCGATGGTTCACGGGGATTTGCGCGGGACCGACCTTGGCTGGGGGGGTTCCGGAAAATCGGACCGTGGCCTCGAGGGAGGACAAGAATGATAATGATTGTGCTTCCACATGGCACAGAGGCACCGAGGAGACATGCATCAATTAGCAGCCTTGCTCTTCCGACTTTAATTTGCCCGGTAGGTAGATAGTGCTCACTAAGGCTGTTAATTCAAGACATGGGTGATTGATGGCCGCATCTATCGCGGGACCCGGAGTTAGGGCTCTCCTTACTGCCTCGTTTGCTCCACCGGCATCGAAGGCAGCCGATCGTGCTGTTGTTCTGCTGTTCTGCTGTTCTGCTGTTGTTCCCCAGAACTCATTCTCCTTTCTTTCCCCTCTCTTCCCTTCGCCCATCCTTTCCTATCTATCTATCTACCCCTTCTCTTCGCCCATGTGCCATTCACTGACTTGACCTGTCCTCACTTTCGGGCTTTTTCTTGCCATCCGTCCTTCCTTTGGTTTAACCATCGCCATTCCTTTGCCATTCTTGTCATTCCTTCACCTCTGGTCGAACCCGCATCATTCCTTTTGCGCGGACGGCATTCGATTCTCCCCCCGGCAATCCACCCACTACTTCCTAGTAGTACATATCTTCCGCTTATCGCATCCAAGGCTTCGCTCGGGTGGTCGCTAATTCCCCAAGTACATTCATTCCTTTTCAACCCGGGTGCGCATCATTGTAACCATGGGTTCAATATCGTCCCTGAGGACGCTCGTGATGGCTGGCTTGCTGGGCACGTCGCTGGCCGCCACCACCGAGCAATGGAAGTCGCGCACCATCTATCAGACCATGACCGATCGGTTCGCGCGCACCGATGGATCGACCACGTCCCCCTGCAACACCACCGAGGGAGTGTATTGCGGCGGTACGTGGAAAGGCACCATCGACAAACTCGATTACATCCAGGGCATGGGCTTTGATGCCATCATGATCTCCCCCGTCATTGAAAACCTCGAGGGCCGCGTGTCATACGGTGAGGCCTACCACGGCTATTGGCCCTTGGATTTGTACTCGCTGAACTCGCACTTTGGAACGCATCAGGATCTGCTGGATCTGAGCAAGGCCCTGCATGACCGCGGCATGTATCTCATGATGGATACCGTCCTCAACAACATGGCCTACATGACCAATGGCTCGGACCCAGCCACCCATATTGACTATTCAGCCCTCACCCCCTTCAACAGCTCATCGTACTACCACCCCTACTGTAAGATCACGGACTGGAATAACTACACCAACGCTCAGCTGTGCCAGACCGGAGACAACATTGTGGCGCTGCCCGATCTCTACACCGAGCATAGCGAAGTCCAGGAGATGCTCGAGAACTGGGCCAAGGAAATCATGTCCACCTACTCGATCGATGGCCTTCGGATCGACGCGGCCAAGCACGTGACCCCCAGCTTTCTGAAGAATTTCGGGGACGCCGTGAACACGTTCATGACCGGTGAGGTGATGCAGCAGGAAGTTTCCACGATCTGCGAGTACCAGAACAACTACATCGGCAGTCTTCCGAACTATCCGATCTATTATGCGCTCCTGAATGCGTTTACTCTGGGTAATACCACTGCCTTGGCCACGCAGGTTCAGGCGATGAAGAGCGCGTGCAGCGATGTGACGGCCCTGGCGTCGTTCTCGGAAAACCACGATGTTGCGCGATTTGCCAGCATGACCAAGGACATGGCGGTAGGAGCCGCCCCTTGCTTGACCCTCCGACCCCTCGCTAACCCTTCCCCAGCTTGCTAAGAATGTGCTCACGTTCACCCTGTTGTTTGACGGGGTTCCCATCGTCTACCAAGGCCAAGAGCACCATCTTGATGGCGGCTACTCGCCCGTCAACCGCGAGGCCATTTGGCTTACCGAATACAAGACGGACGCCGAGCTCTACAAGCTGATCTCCAAGCTGAACGCCATCCGGAAGCACGCCGCCCGACTGGACCCTCAGTATGTGAACATGCAAACGTACACCGTGTTCGAGGGGGGCAGTGAGCTGGGCTTCCGCAAAGGCGTCGATGGCCGGCAGGTGATCATGCTGTTGTCCACGCAGGGCACGGAGGGCGGCCCGTACAACCTGTCGATGCCAGTGAGTTTCACGGGCGGCACGGTGGCGACGGAGGTTCTCAACTGCGTGAACTACACGGTCAATGAACTGAGTGAGCTCGTTGTCCCGATGGACAAGGGAGAGCCCAGGGTGTTCTTCCCGGCGGAGCTCATGCCCGGCAGTGGGCTGTGTGGCTTCCCTGTCTCGAACGTCTCCTATGCGACACTGAAGACGAAGGCTGCCAGCACGAAGGCGGCGGCGGCAGCGTCGCTTGGAGTCAAGACGATGGGAAACATTGCCTACAGCGCCTTGTTCTCTCTGGGCCTGTCGGTGGTGGCCAGCGTGGTGGTGGGAGTGTTGTAAATTCCCTAGTGGGAGGTATAATCGTGATTATGCTTGTTCTGTTGTATATTCTTCCGTACTCTGTCCGTCTTACTTCTCTGTACGATACCCTTTTCTCCTTTTTCCAAGCCTGCGTGACCATGGTGGTTGCGCTGCGGCAACTGAGCCTGACTCTATTTTGGTAGGGTTGGGGCCGGACCCGCATCAAATATATATATAGTGCTTAAACATGATGAAAGTTAAATAAATCAATAGCATAGTACATACTACTACTACTAGTGGATGTCTCATTTCATGGTAGTAGTATTACTGTGTAGACATATGTACACTGTACACTGTGCAGGAGATTCCACTTCTTTTCCTTTTTAATAATGTTTTCTGGATTTTTGCCTTTCCCGCCGCCTGTTTGCCTCCGACGTTAGAATGATCTGCTCCGGAGGGAAAGTCGGCAGGGCTCCGAGCCTAAGGCCAGGCTAAAACAAAACAAAAAAAAAAAAAGGTCGCCTTGGGGGGCGAGGCCCACTCTTTCTTCCGAACGCCTCCTGAGGCTCCGGCTGATGGATGGAGCTGAGCTGCAACTGCTGTCATCCACCCTGGGCTTCCCTATTCTTAGAGTTGATATTCCATCATCGCTGCTTGGCACTGTCGCCCTGCCAGCCCCTCCTCTCCCAGTTGAAAGCTTCTGCACGACCCCCGAGCCCTCCAATCAGACATCTCTGACCGGGTAGCTTTCACTCGTCACCATTCACCATGTTCTCCTTTTTCTCCTGCACGCGTTCCCGACGAAGCAAGGGACAGCAGGTAGATTGGAAGCAAATCGAGGGTCAGCTTGCCCCGAGCTCCCCACCTTCCCCCGGATTCTAACGGAAATGGTATATATCAACAGACGCCGCAAATGGCCTCGAGACGCGACCTTCCTGGAACGCGCCCGACAATACCCTGCTCATGCAGGCGTTTGAATGGCACGTTCCCGACGACAAATACCATTGGCGTCGGATCCAGCACGCCCTGCCGGGGCTAAAGGCCATTGGGGTCGACAATCTCTGGATTCCGCCCGGTTGTAAAGCCATGAACCCGTCTGGGAACGGCTATGATATCTATGACTTGTATGACCTCGGCGAGTTTGATCAAAAGGGCTCGCGGACTACCAAATGGGGTACGCGTCAGGAGCTGGAAGAGCTCGCTGCCGAAGCACAGGCGCTGGGCATCGGACTGTACTGGGATGCAGTGCTCAATCATAAGGCCGGCGCGGATTATCCGGAGCTGTTTGAGGCGGTTAAAGTAGATCCTATACGTATGGTTTTTGTCCTCTTTCTCCTAGGTATTGTTGATTGAGTTTGTCTCTCTGCACAGGACGAGATATCGAGATTGGTAAACCGGTCGATGTGAATGGCTGGGTTGGGTTCAATTTCGATGGTCGAGGTGACCTGTACAGTCCGATGAAATACCACTGGCAGCATTTCAGTGGTGTGGATTGGGATGACACGAGCAAGGAGAACGCTATCTACAAGATCTGTGGTCCTAACAAGGACTGGGCGCAGGATGTTGGTAAGGACAATGGGAACTACGACTATCTGATGTTTGCAGACCTGGACTACTCGAACCCTGAGGTGCGGGAGGATGTCTTGCGATGGGGAACGTGGCTCCGGTCTGTGTTGCCACTGAAGGGGATGAGACTGGATGCAGCCAAGCATTTCTCGACGGGCTTCCAGAAGGAGTTTATCGACCACATGCGCGAGACAGCTGAGGGCAAGTTCTTCGTGATTGGTGAGTATTGGTCGTCGGATGTACGGATTCTGATGAAGTACCTCGAGGAGATGGAGTATCGAGTGTCGGCCGTGGATGTGCCTTTGGTGGAGAAGTTCTCGCGCATGTCCAAGGCCAGAGGAGCCGACCTTCGTCAGGTGTTCAAGGGGACGTTGGTGCAGAGCAAGCCGGATAATGCGTTGGTAAGTCTAGATGCCTCAAGCGATGTACCGAGGCTGACATTGACAATGCAGACATTCGTTGCGAATCATGACACCGTGAGTGCCTCCATGTCTTCAGTCAGCACATACTAACACCAACAAGCAAGCCGGTCAAATGCTCGAAGTAAGCCCCAGTCCATCTAACACATAACCAACCAAGCTCAGCCACAATTGCAGAACGTAGTCGAACCCTACTTCAAACCCCTGGCATACGCCCTGATCCTTCTGCGTCAAGGTGGACACCCCTGTGTCTTCTACGGCGATCTGTACGGCATCAACCATGGCGAGAAACCCATGACGCCGGCGTGTTCGGGCAAACTCCCGATCCTGATGCAAGCGCGCAAACTATATGCCTACGGCGAACAACAAGACTACTTTGACCAGCCCAACTGCGTGGGTAAGTTTCATGCCGCCCCTTCTTTCTTTCACTCAACATAATTCCTAATCCATAAATGATGTAGGATTCATCCGCTACGGCAACGCTCTCCACCCCTCCGGCCTCGCCTGCGTGCTGAGCAACGGAGGACCGGCGCAAAAGCGCATGTACGTCGGACCGAAACACGCCCGAGAAGAGTGGACGGATCTACTCGGCGACGATCCAGCCGCTGTCACGGTCACCATCGACGAAGCGGGTTACGGGGTGTTCCCGGTTCAGGGTGGGAAGGTGAGTGTTTGGGTGAATCGCGCGGCACCTGGCCGAGACTGTCTCGAACTGCCGTTGTAAGTCACCCCCACTTTTTTCAAGCTGAAGCTTCTACTCTCCTTCGATATTATTCCATTCCATAGAGGGTTAAACTAACAGAGATTGAATAGTGACGTCAACATTTACTCTACTACCACTACTACCTACTAGATAGGTACTATCCAAGTATGTACCTAGATCCAAGACATATACCATATACCATGTACTATAGCTATTAGCCCAAACTCAATAAATTAAATTAAATCCACCATCCACCCCCTCAAATAACATTACTCCAAGACATAAACACAGACACGAAAACAATACTCTTACCCATTCAAGAAAATCCTCCCAAATAAACCCCCCCAAGATTAAGACCCCGTAAATCCCGCCCGGATCGAGCAATCCCGATTACTACTTCTTACTAAGTACTATGGTACTACTAACTAACTACTAGTAGTAGGTAAGTAAGTCAGTCCCTGGCTGGGTGGAGGCGGCACCACCCGACAATAATCTCCTGTAGTGGTTGGTGGTGGGTAGGTAGGTAATTTTGCAAAACTTGGTAATGGGGTTACATCGCTTCTCCTTACCTACCCTCCCTTCTGGTTCTGGTTTACATGTGCTACCAACAAGTAGATAGCTACTAGCTACCTAAGTAGTCAAGTAGATAGATAGTAGTAGCTGGCTGCTGGACAGGGTCTTCCCCCCAACGAACCAGAAAATCCTTCCTTGGACTTTCATTCTTTGGTTGGTTGGTTGGTTGAATCTTACTAATACTAATCGTAGGGAGAATCTAGGGAATCCCTTACATCATCTTTCAATCTCACGGAGATAATGAGGGTTCTTACTTCTTAAGTAGCTAGTAATATGCCATCTATTATTCAAGGGCATAAACGTCTGACTATATTCATAGTAGTGGTATACTACTGTATCACTGTAAATAGTAGGGCAGGGCGTGTAAATACCGACCCACTCACCAGACATATAGGTTCTGTACTGTGTATGTATGTATGTATGTAGATCATCGCCACGGGCGGCGGCAGCGCATCGTTCGGTTCGCCAAGAATCAAATCTGTCCCTGTTCCGATAAGGCTATTGTGGGAACTTACCAAGGTAGGTCACTTTTATTATTATTATGATATGTATGGGATGCTCAGTATAAGGGATGAATGTATGTGATGCGATATCATTAAGGTACTATATAGATAGGTAAGGTATGTGGATAAGCTAGCTATAATACACACAAGCGCGACCACAGAATAGTATTGTTGTTATTGTTGTTATTGTTGAAGGGGAATCAATTTCAGTAGACTATAAGTCTTCGGTTGCAATTCGGACCGCTCCTCATGTCGGTATTTACAAGTTAATGGCCAACAGACCCATCAACAAGCCGGCAGCAGCGGAGATAGGAGCGGAGAGAGAGGCAGCAGCGCCGGTAGACTGAGGGGCGGTGGTGGAGGTGCCGTTGGCGGAGGAGCTGGCGGTGGCGGAAGCACGAGCAGAGGACCCTGTGGTCGAGAGCGTGTTAGTGCCCGTGGGAGTAGATGTCGAGGATTCGGTGGTGATCTCCGTGGAGGAAGAGGTGGTGGCGGAGCCAGTGGAGGAGGAGGAAGAAGAAGAAGAAGAGGCAGTAGTACCAGTAGTAGAGATAGTGGTGGCGGTGGTGGTGCCGGTGGAGGAGGAAGAGGAAGAAGTGGAAGCGCTGGTGGTGGAAGCGCTAGCAGTCGAGGAAGAAGAGCTGGATCCCTCGACGTTGAATTGCTGGGATTGCGCAAGGATACCGCTGTTCTGGGTGGAATCGGAAAGAAGGTTGATCTGGTAACCCTTGCTGTAGATAGGGTTAGTTATCTATGTAGTAGTAGATACTATCTGCGATAGGGTGCAGGCATGGGAAAAGGTTTACCCGTCGCTAATGCCCGACAGACCGGTCACGGTGTAGGATCCCTTGGAGGTGTCCACGTCGGAAGCAATCTTCTGCTCAACACTGGGGTAGACGGCGTTGTTGACCAGGTAGAGATCGAAGGTAGAGGGATCGGTCGAGACAGAACTCCACTTCACAGTGAAAGAGTCGGACAGGTCGACATCCTCACCCTTGGTGGGGGAAGTCACCTCGAGGGCTGCCAGACGTTAGTGACCTAGTTCGATCGGATCAGATAACACGGGTTGGAAGGGGAGACAAACCGCCAACGAAAGCAGCCAGAGGCAGGAGAGACACGGCATAGGTGAAACGCATGATGGCAGATGATTTGCAAAAGCGAGGGAATAATACTAGCGATTGAGCGGGATGGGGAAAAAGAGTGATGGTTGGAAATGAAGGACTAGAGGGAGACCCCGGAGGAAGCGCGGGTTAAATAGTAGGTTGGCAGGGTTGATGTCTCACAATGGGTGGCCAGGTTCTATCCGAGATAACCACGATTCCTACGGCTTACTGACTGGTGACTACTGACTAGGTACAGCACGATAGCCGCCGCAAAGAAAATTCTGGGGTTTGACCGTGTACCACCACCACTACCGGGGCAGTTACTATAATTGTCCGACTACGTGGATTCCATCACTATATATAGCCTGAGTCAAGAACCAGGGAACCAGACATGCGCACTGCTGAGTGCTGAGGATGGTGAGGTTTCTAATGACAGGAGAAGATGGCCCTCATCCACGCCGGGATTGGGCCAGTTTCAGCCGGAAGGACTCCGGTCGAAGCCCGTCGTCCAATGAGTGGCGGAGTGACAGCGCATGAGACCCTCGCTATCGGACTTGGGTTGGGCTGATAATTTGGACTAGTTTCTAGTTCTCACTCTTTAGCTCGTTTTCTTTCTTACGAGCAGTCGAGCACCGCCACTAGTGTCATCTTGGCAGGGCAAAAAAGCCTGCGGGCAATAAAGAACCCGACCGGTGCAAAATGATTGGGGCCAGCAGCCCAAACTCAAACTTTTACGCAGCGTTTTCATTATCGAATCTATCTATCCCTCGAAAGGTCGCACATTATGGTCAGTGAGGTCATACTAGAGATCATATATCGTTCTCTGTGCACATCGGTGGGAGTTATTGTATCATCCCCCGCCGATGACTCCTCAGGCCACCGTCGGTTAGATGCAAGGGGCCCAAACTCTGCTTCGGCTCGGAGATGCTGACTGGCTCTCCGTCGCCGGCTCGTATTACCAAACTGCATTTCCCTATGCTGTCTGCACAATGTCAATTCCGGTGTTCCGAACCTACACAGTACAACCCTGGCACTGCAGGAACCGGTAATTTGTCCCCTCTTTCTGACCGTTTCTTGTACTCTGTATTACGGGATACAACAGACTGCACCACTCTGCACAAACCCGCCCTATTCAGAATATTGATAGACTGATAGAGGGGCACCCTCCATCAATTAAGTATTGCTATGTCGTCGCATCTGCTCAGGCGATGGCTTTGTTAAATTGGCTGCCCATGAAATGACAGGTCACATCGCTTTCAATAAGTCGTGGTGGCAAGACGCAGTGTTCTGTATCTGTATCTTCCCCGTGCTTTATTACCCATTAAGGCTGTACCCATCTTGGGGAAATTCCTGCGATCTATCTACACATGCATCTGAAAATGATTGTACCTGCAGTAACTTCTGTAATCTTAGCCCAAAAATAGCCTAGGTTTGGGTGTAGGTTTGTAGCTAGCCTGTAGCTAGCCTGTAGCTTGACGCAAAATGGCGACACTCAGAGGCAGGAGAGAAGGATCACCCAGCCCCATCCAATGACATTTTGGACCTTGCAGTTGCAGTTGGGGGTAACTTGCAGGATCTGTAACAAGGCTAGTCTGTAATGGATATCGGGCTGTACCTGGGGTCATGCGCCCTCGACAGATGGGTGATGGTGAATGGCAAATACAAAGTGTTTGATAACAAACACACCACGTTACTCCATACAGCATCTGTGAATAAGGCTGCAGTATTTGATTTTGAATACGGAGCGTTTCTGGTTCCGGAGGGTGTCGTGACTATTGTGATATCAATCGTGGTTGTTGTGATCAATATATCCTGTCGATATTTATTCGCTTACCGGGGGTATAGTGGTGCCTCTCGGCAGCGTTGCGTAGTTGCTCAAAGTTGGGTTTCAATATTTGGTAAATATCATAAGCCCTCTGGCTTAACTCCGAACACTCTTTGCATACTGATTAATGTGAGGGCAGGATTAGTTTGGCCTCATAAGAGAGGGTTTCTCGCTTTCCCGCCCTGGGGCTGTCCTAGAGCAGGCCAGCCACGACCAAATCTCTGCAATACTGGCTTCCACAGGAAATTTGATTAACAGTGTCATCGATGCTAAAAGCTAGCGATCCGCTCAGGACAGCAGAGCCCAGCCCTCGCCGTTGAGATGCATCGCAGGGAGCACTCTGCAGCCTAGTCTGACTGCAACTTTAATTATCAGATCGACTACACTGTCTCCTGACTAATAGGAAAACGAGTGACTATTTTGGTCCATCGCCTGCCGATACCTCTTCTTAATGGTAGGGTTTAGCATACAATTATGCTTGGTGCGGTGCTACATGCAGTTTGCATAGTACGAGGGTATACCCCTACAAGATATAAACCTGCCTACTGTCAAAGTGGATTTCGCATGTGCATCCTAATTTCACCTTCATACGGTGTCATCAGTATAGCCTGGCAATGTGTGGTTCGATGGAAAACCACGTGTTTCCCGGTATCCAGTAAATTCTATCTGATGTAAGACTACACGTCCTCTCTATGGCTCTTCGACGCGTCTCTGCGCAGCTGCAGGAAATTCGGATCGAACGCTATGGTCGACATGAACAGTGAAAAGCCTCGCAGCTTCGACCTTAACAAGGTATTTGATCAAGCATTGGTAACGCTAGAATATCGCTGGCATGAAGTTTTTAGTTAGTGCTTTCCCCTTGCAGGCCCCGGTTAATAGACCACGCACTGATCTCCAACCAGGGATATAGGCACTTACAGGCAGCATTCTTCGTCATTTCTGAGCCGCATTATGATCCTGACGAAGGTGTTCGGGACCTGAAATTGTCAACAAACAGATCCCTGGGATTTTAGTGGGTTCAATTGCAGCAACAAGGCTGCTCAATCTGGCATATTGAGGGCATGCAGCGATCCGAGAGATAAGGAGATTAAAATCGCGCTTGCAGGAAGCAGTGTGATAATCTGCATGCCTCATGTGTTATATATCCCAGTGGTTAAGTGCGTGAGTAATACTAACGATGTCCAACTAATGCTTGCTACCAACCTGATGGGTTCCGCCTGAGTTGAATATGCCTTTGACGAGTCAACGGGTATTCATGATCCTTAGCATCCATGCGTGAGCATGGATCAAAGACTATGCTTTATTCACGATGATTATGCAGAACATATCTGGTGTCAGGGAAGGGAAAAAAGACAAACATCCAAACAAACATGTAAACAATGCTGTAGTCAATCACCTGACCCCTTTCCTTTTCCCTCCTTTGACTTGATTCATCACATAATCCGTCTTGCGATGAACACTTATCACGACACCGGACCTTCTCACTAATTATAGATCACAAAGGGAAAAGACTACACACGAGGATAGTCGGACAGGGTTGATAGCACCGACAAGTCAAATGAGACGAGTCTATACCCATCCGCCACATATGCCTGTGTGGAAAGACAGCTGAAAACATCTCTCCCCACGTCACCTCGACGGGTGCTATCCATGGAAAGATCGCTCCACTGAGCTAGCGGTGCGAGCCGTCCGCACTGGGGATCCATTGATACCTGCTTCGTGACTTGATGTAATACGGGCTGGTCGTTGAGGATGATTGCATAAAGACCTGGGATTCCTCTCTCAGGTGGCGATCGGTCGGAGGAGACGGGCGCGGTCGGCCAGGTCGGTATGTACGATCTCGGTAGGGAGAATCAGGGCAGGAGAGAGAGCCGAGACGGTCTCAGCAGAGTGCATATCTCTCTCCTCCAAAACGATGAATATAATGCTGGTTAGAATGAAGGGTTGGATGCATGCACTGCGCAGAATTGACAGTCCCGAGGGCATCTGATGTCTAATGCTTACACTTACGAGCTGGGACTTCGTACATACTATGAGTCCCACGGTGGAGGACTAGTGGAGAGGCGAGGAATGTAGTCTGCAAGTCCCCCGATCAGGTCTACAGAGTACGGAGAACAACAAGATGTGTGTACAGCCATCCTCAAAGGAGAAGAGAAAAGAGCAAAATTGATGCGGAAATCAAGAAGAGTGGTCGTTTTCGGAGGAGACTTCACGTGTGGCTGCCCGAATCCGATGGCGGCCAACCAGATGGGCCAACATTCCTCATTCCTCCTCGCCAAACCTGGCTGGTGGATGCCTCCATCGCTATCGGCGGGCGCTAGTCTATCTCTCTACCGCATTCCTCTGCATTCCGTTCTGCAGGCCGGCATTGTTGAACGAGTTCGGTAAACATCCGCTCGGTTCGTCCGGAGAGCTGCCAAATCCACCATAACAATAACAATAACATTGACCACAACAATGGCAAGCATAAGTCAGATCCCCTGTATATAAGTCTCGGCTCGACCGGGTGAGATGGAAGGTTCGTATCCATCGACATCTCGACAACTTCGACAGCCACAGTGTTTTATTCCGCCAACCATCCGCCTCTTCCAGCATGAAGTGGTCCCACGCCAATGGGCTGGCCCTGCCAGTTCTCTCTACTCTCGTCCAATGGGCATCCTGCCGGGTCGTCGACTTCAGACTCGACCTGACGTGGGAAGATAGCAATGTCGCTGGCATCTCCCGCAAAGCCATCTTCACCAATGGTCAAGTTCCAGGCCCTGCTCTACGCGTGCTCCAGGGCGACCAAGTGAGAGTCATGGTCAACAACTCGATGCCATTCGCAACAACCATCCACTGGCATGGTACGTGAAGCTTACATCTTTCCTTAAATCTAGTCTGGCTGCTAACCAACTCAGGTATCGGCCAGTATGGCACTCCCTGGTCAGATGGTGTCCCTGGGCTCAACCAAGCAATGATTGAACCGGGCGAGGAGTTTGGCTACGAGTGGACAGCGGTTGATTACGGATCATATGCCTACCACGCCCACACGAGGGCTCAAATGGATGATGGTCTCTATGGAGCCATCTATGTGGAACCGAGCGCAGACGTGGAGAGACCCTTCAGTCTAATCAGCAGCCTCCCGGAGGACCAGGACGCGATGTTGCAGGCCGAAAAGAACACCCATCCAATCATGCTCTCCGATTGGCGGTCGTTCACTTCGGATGAGACTCTGCAGATTGAGGAAGACTCGGGGGTTCAGGCGTACTGTGCTAACTCCATTCTAATCAATGGCAAAGGCTCGGTCATCTGCCCCCCGCAGGATCATATCAACGACCTGACCCGCTCAGGAGAGCAGACTGCGCTAGGAAACCAGACCATGTCAGATATGGGGTAAGGCCGTCACTTGACCTTTGCTGCTGTGTTGATCACTGACCGTGTATCAGATGTATGCCACCTCTCCCGGCCCGCTTGGGCTTCTTTCCGTTCGACATCACCAAGATCCCGACAGGCTACTATCAGGGTTGCGTGCCCACCGAAGGGCAGCAGGAAGCGTTCTTCGTCGACCCGGCTTCCGGCTATGTCAGCTACGACGTGATCAGCATGACCGGCACGTCCAACCTCGTGTTCTCCATTGATGAGCATCCCCTGTATATCTATGCGGTTGATGGTCAATACATCGAGCCCCTGATGGTCGATGCCGTCAACGTGTACGCAGGAGCCAGGTTCTCTGTTCTCGTGAAGCTTGACCAACCGGTTGCCCAATACACTGTTCGTGCCGCCAACAAGTTTGCCAACCAGATCATCAACGGCACGGCAGTTATGTCCTACGATGGAGCGGATCCTACCAAGACGAACACATCTACCCCTTATATCAATGAGCTCGGTACGGCCAACAATCATGATCGTTCCATTGTCATTCTGGATGAGGCCAACATTGTCCCATTCGCTCCGAACCCGCCTGCTCAGGTTCCCGACCAAACCCACATCCTCAACGTCAACTTGTACAACGCCTCCTATCGCTGGGTCCTCGGCGAGGCCAGCTACCCGATGTCCAATGAAGACCTCTCCCCGGTGATTTTCAACTATAGCTCAATCCCTGCACAATATACCATCACCACCAACAATGACACCTGGGTGGATCTCATCTTCAACATGACTACGGTTGGGCAGCCGCAGCATCCGATCCACAAACACTCCAACAAGTTCTACGTCCTGGGCTGGGGCGATAGCGCATGGAACTACTCTTCTGTGGCCGAGGCAATGGAGTACATCCCGGACAGCTTCAACCTGAAGAACCCCCAATATCGCGACACCTTCCAGACGCCCCCGTCCACACCGAACAAGAGTTGGCTGGCACTCCGCTATCACGTGGTGAACCCCGGACCGTTCTTCATCCATTGCCACCTGTCGATGCATGAGATGGGCGGGTTAGCATTAGCCATCCTGGACGGAGTGGACGCCTGGCCCACCGTGCCAGACCGGTACCAACTGCCTGCTGTGGCGGATGACACCACGCATTCACTGATCGACCATCCCAGATTCAACTAGCATGATGTTAGCATTCGTCCACCATTGCATCAAGCCGGCTCGTACGCAGGCGTCAGCGGCTATCTCATTTTCCGCATCATATCCATATTCATTTCCGTTGCATTTCAGGACGTATCTCTTATTTGCATCTTCCTCATAAAAGATTGCTTGTATGGCGTTGGGCTTGAATTTCGGGGTTTCGGTTAAGTTACTTCAAGGCGTTATTTCATCCATCCCTGCATTTTAGTATCCTTTAATACCATGCTTTCATATATTCACTAAGAAAAGCCCTTGTAGCATCCATATTCTTCAAATAGACCAGAGAGTCATTAGCTATACCCACTAATCCCCTTACCCCCAACGAAGAGCAACTAATTGAGCAAACAACCAACCAAACCAAAACAAACAAATAAACAACCACATCCCCCCTGATGTGGTGTCATCCCGGTGTCAAACCCAAACCCAAACCCAATCTATCCCCTCGGGATTCGAAAGCATACCAGACCCCGCTGACACACATACCGATTCAGCCAGGGATAGGCAGGTAGGCTTGCGATGATCTTAACTACCCTATATAGATAAGTACGTACTAGATACTACCTACCTAAATAATAAATCCCCCAGAATGACAATAGAAATAGCCCTGCAGCCTGGCCCATATCCCCTACTTCGCATAGTTGACCATAAACACCTGAACTGAGCAAACACTAACAGTAACCCCCCAATCCGAATACATTTCTCGATGATGTTCTCAATAGTGCAAATACAATAATATCTTCCGCAAACCTCCAGAATGCTGATAACAACCAAAGCAAATACCTAAGATAATGTAATAAACCTAGACTCCAGATCCAGGGCCTCACCATCCATCAGTCCATCCACGTAGCATTCTCCAACGAGGACGTATTCCGGGCCCGGGTTAACCTCCTGTGCCGGTGATAGTAGATACCCAGATAACTGATGATACCAGTATGTGTATACAAGCGAGAGCTTTCCCGACCCCTCCTCAGTCCTTGGTCGGATCACATAAGGTACCGTAGCGCCATCGAAGATACAAATCAAATCTCCTGGTCGGGCACGATCAGGAACCCAGCCCAGTCGTCCCTCCGTGGTGGAGCAAAAGCGTTTGTGGATAATCCCGCCCCAGTATTGATGCATCAAGCGTCTCGTTTTCATTATTTCCGAGTTTTCTATGCTGATTGCTGGTGGACTAATGGGTGGATTTCCCTCATGGCGGGCAACTACCGTTCCCGGGCTTGGAGGGGCCCAGTGCTTGCCGTCGCGGACTAGATTCAGGAAGTGGAGGTATTCGTCGAATATCTTTCCAGAGTTGCGGGGTGTCTTTTCCTCGCCCAGGACTGTTCGGTTTCTGATCATGGTCCGCCAGAAGGAATCAAAGCGGGCGCGTGAGATAGGGCTCATGCCCTGCGTGGCGATCGCTTTGCAGTTCTCTATCCATATCACGTCTACTAACATATGTGTGGGTCCCTTGACCGGACCGTATCTGGAGACTGTCTGTTGGGCTTCTTGGAGACCTTGTAGTAAGCGTGTACTGAATGGGAATAGACGAGCGACGAGCTTCAGGAACAAGGGTACCTCGTACTTCTGGGCCGGGGAATGAACAGATCGAATGTAATACTCGAGCAAGTCTGCGCGGGTTACTGCCACCTCGGCAACGGCGTCAACCACTCGTCCTTTGATAGAGAGTAATCGAGGCTGATTCGGGTTCCAAACGATGGTCGGGTCTAAGGCTGACCCGGCTTTGTATGGCTCGGGAGCAGCTGAAAGAGTATGTTGAAACCCTACTCTTACTACTCGAGTCCAGTCCGCGACCCAGCTGGGGAAGTCTCCAATGAGAGGAGGGCCTTCATGTTGGTCTGGGAGACCTGCGTAGCTCAGGTAGGCCAGATTCTTCTTCTTGAGCAAACACCACCTTGCGAAGCGGGAATAGACTTCCTCGACTGAGGCGTCGTAGTCAGGGAGGAGCTCCCAGTCCGACAGGTCGTGATCAGTTGACACGCTGCGAAATGCGTAAATCCGATCTCTAGGGTTTGTTGCGCCTCTTGTAGTGGCATGGGCAGCGACCATATGGAGGAGTGGTTTTACTTGATAGCTCATCATGTTCTCGAATCCAGCAACGGTAAAATTCTGGATGGTTTCTATAGAAGCTCCCGTGTTGCTGTAATGCGCAGCGATTTCCGGGCCTTGGACCGCGCACACGACATAAGTCAACGGGCGAAAGAAGTCCCAAGCAGGGATACTTTGCCTTCCATGGACCATGATCGCTGCTGGGGCTTTTGCCATTTCTTGAAGTGTCCACACACGACGGGGCCAAGGGTGCTTTAACAAGGTGAATATCGAGGCCCAGTCATACTGACATAGTTGTTGTAGCTCCCCTTGGCTGAACCGTGGTGCATACTGGGGCCGGAGCCAGTCAAAAGAGCCATCTTTATAACCTCTAGCAATTCGCTTCAAGTACCTGTCAACTTCTCTCAGGGCTTCGAGTGCACCATCCGTCCGACTAGTCGGTACCCCCAGCCAAATCAAGACATGCTGACTGCTAGCATAGATACCCCCCATAATGTCAACCTGCTTTCCTTTCTCAATGTTATCGCCCTGGTTAATGCACAGCGCGTCGGCCCAGATAACCCGCTCACGATCTGATTCCCTCAGCGACCCAAGTGCATTGAAGAGCTCTTTTCCGATTCTCACTCGTTTCCCGTCGCAGTAGATGTAGCCTTGCTTGTTGGGATTCCCCCAAACATACGACAACGCCTCATACTTGGGGTTGTCCGAGAGCGATACATGTTTCAACCGGCACCGGATGGCGTCGTTGCCTTTCCCGGGCTCCAGTATCAACAGGCGAATCTCGTCCGCTGTCTGGATGGGTAGATATGATGGTTGGAATAGCGTGCCATCTAGTCTGCGATACAGCGACATGACCATGTTGTCCCTGTGCTGATAGGACAGGTAGGCGCCCCATCCCAGAACACCGAGTCCAATAACGCTAGAGGCAATGAAGACTTTTGAAAGCCGGTCGGGTATCTTGTTATCTGATGTAGTGGTTGACGAGGGTGATGACTTGGCTTTTTGTGACTCTCGGGCCATCGCGTATCGCCTGGAAGGGACGGCGACACGAGCCTTCCACCGCGACCGACGGATAATCTGTAACATGATAGATGTTTTGTTTGATTGTCTTGAAGCATTTCAGACTGAGATGGAATTGAGATGGCCCCTCATTTTGAAGGCGGATGGCAGGATGTTTGCCAGATGACCGACACGTAAGCAGCCAGTGGAGCCGGCTTCCCATTGCGATTTGTCGGTTGCAATGTCGATGTTGTTTGTTGCTCAACCTGTAGGCAAGTGGCGAGGTCCCTGCTGGTGGGTGTTCATTCACTGGGAAGCCGATCTCAGCTGGCAATTAGATACTTATACATGCTGGTGAATTCACCTGTCCAATTAATACATACTATTAATCTCATTATTACAATACAATTTGTGCGCTGCACCCGCCCATGGCATTAGCAATTTACCACGCAACTGTTGAGCTCAGCCCGTCCAGCTCGCGCTTATAGTTCCGATGCTGTGCGATCTGGTAGAAGAACATGCCGACAAAGTCCTTGGCGTCCTTGATGATCTGTACACTTTCCTGGAAGCTCTCTGGCTTCTGGATTCCACCGGCCGTGACGACTCCGTACCAATCCACAGGCTGCGGGTTGGATGCAGTTGCGACGTGTACATCCAGTACGCTACCCAATGCCTCTTTGATTAGCTCGGCTGCTTCGCCCGTGCCTGCCAGTGGCTTCAGGTGGCCAAAGGTTTCCGCGATCCAGTACCGCAATTGTCCGATTTGTCGGAGCGTCTTCACGTGCGGTCCTCCAGGGATGAACGTCGCATCAAACATGGTCGACCGCTGTCCGTCGTACTGGTGGTCTGCGATGACTCCCTTGGACGTCTCCTTTGATTCTCCATCCGCGTAGATGGGTGACCGCTTGGTGCCAATGACGAAGGGCAAGGCACCTGCCGCCTTCACGGCGGTCTGGATGCCCTTGAACGCCACCGGGTCATATCCATCGCCGATCACGATGGCAATGCGCCGACTGGCGATGGTAGGAGACTTAGGTGGGAACTCCGTCTGGGACAGATGGATGGTCTGCCGGCCGTGGTTGGCCATCAGGGCCTTCTCGGGAATTGGGGCTCCAACTGCTTCAGCCACCTTCTGAGCCAGTGCGAGGTCGATCTCTGCAAGGCGCCGGCCGGCCAGGCGCTCGTAGACGATGGGGTCATCGCAGTGGTCCAGCTCGAAACTGAAAGCCTTGATCATGTGCAGCTTCTCATGCTCCGACATGGAGTTGAAGAAGAGTTGGGCCTGAGAGTGGTGCTCGCGGAACTTGGGGCCCAGCGCGCGTTTCTTTCGGCCGGTGACTGGCTCTGGGTAGGACTCGAAGCCGCCGCCCTGTGGAGCAGGATCATCTGGCTTGGCTGCCTCGAACCGATTGGGCCAGTAGTTGACGGTGCCCTTGGTGATCCGGTGGCGCATGGCACCGTCGCGGTTGTGGTTCAGCACGGGGCAGACAGATCGGTTGATGGGAAGCTCCTCCCAGTTGACACCGAGACGGCTAATCTGGGTGTCAAAATAAGAAAAGTTCCGTCCCTGAAGGAGAGGGTCGTCGGAGAAGTCGAGCCCGGGCACGATGTGCGAGGTACAGAAGGCGACTTGCTCCGTCTGCGGGAAGAACTCATCGACGTTGCGGTTAAGCTCCAGCACACCGATGGTACGAGGTGGGACCAGATCCTCCGGCCAGATCTTGGTGGCGTCGAGGATGTCAAAGTCAAAGTCATCCTGCTTTTCCTCAGGGATGGTCTGGATTGACAGGTCCCATTTCGGAAAGGCGCCGTTGTCGATGGCCTCCATCAGATCTTTGCGGTGGAAGTCCGGGTCCTGACCCGCGAGCTTCAAGGCTTCGTCCCAGACGAATGAGTGCACACCGAGATGGGGAGTCCAAATAAACTTGACAAAGTGACGCTTGCCTTCCTTGTTAATGAGCGAAAAGGTGTTGACACCAAAGCCTTGCATCATACGGTAGGACCGGGGGATGGCGCGGTCCGACATAGCCCACATGAACATATGGGTGGCTTCGGGGTGGAGATAGCAAAAATCCCAGAAGTTGTTGTGGGCTGTCTGGGCTTGAGGGACTTCATTGTGAGGCTCAGGCTTAACCGCATGGACTGCATCATATTAGCGACGTCGCGGCATTAGGCTTTGCAGTAACTGAGACATACCAAAATCAGTAAACTTAATGGCATCCTGGATGAAGAAGACAGGGATGTTATTTCCAACCAGGTCCCAGATCCCCTCATCGGTGTAGAACTTGGTTGCGAATCCACGGACATCGCGCACCGTATCGGCACTTCCCTTGCTGCCCTGCACGGTGGAAAAACGAACAAAGACTGGGGTATTGCGCGACGTATCCGTCAAGACACCAGCATAGGTGACGTCTTCACAGCTCTCGAGCAGTTTAAAGTTGCCGAAAGCACCGGTGCCACGTGCGTGGACGACACGCTCGGGAATCCGCTCATGGTCGAATCGGTGGATCTGGCCCAAAGGTTATCAGCCATGTTCTATGTATGATAAAGGAGCTCCATCTTCTGCGCACCTTCTCTCGCGCGATTTGATCCTCCAGCAGGGATGGTCCGGTGCGACGGTCGTCAACCGACCGCAGCCATTGGTCGGTATTGCTGATAGGGACGCCATGATCGGTGGTCTGACGCTGGTTGGTGGTGACATCCACCATGTCGCGTTCCAGATCGACACTTTTCTTGTTCTTCGAGGCAGCACTTTTGACCGCCTCGTGGGCCTTTTCAAGCCCCTCTGCAACAACGGTGGCCATGATGGAAATTCGGGAATGCTATGCAAGGAAGTATCGGAGTCCGCGGAATTGGGGCAAATAGAGAACACAGAGCGACCGGGGATATGACGGATCCCATATATAACATATAACAAGGTGATGATATACATTAGAATTCATGGGTAATGGTGGGCATCTGGTTGGCTGGTGGTTGCACGTAACCATGACGTCGGAACTGAGACGTCACAGTGACCGAGAACCCAACCGATGGTGTAAACACTACTGTGGGATCATGGCGCCAAAGCGGGATCAACAAGCCCCTGGACACCACGTGAACCAATTGCTCAATTGCCAAATTGCTCCCGGTGAGCTCAATGGCAGGTGGAGGGGACGTTGTACATTGTAGATACTATAGGGCTGTTGGCGGAACCCGCTCAGCCCTAGGATCAAGGTTAGATGAGACCGTGACGCATTCCCCATTCCCCATCACGCATCTGCGGCTAGGGACTGCATGCACCAACGGACCCCGAATCTGGACCCTGCCCCTTGTACGGAGTAGATAGTGATGCTATGTAGGTATGGTCTTGCTCGGAATCCTTTCCTATAGTGGGTTTGAAGGCCTCCGGTATGTGGCGTCTGTAAATCCCCAAAGCTCCTCCTCCATTTCCGACCCCCAGGTTCGGATCCCAGTGGAAATGTCATCAGGTGCACATCCAGTGCACACCCCCCAGAACATAGTCTAGGCCTTCTCCAGACCCGGCCGGCCACGGCGGGTCGCAGGCAGCGAGATTAAACCAAACTTGATGTCGTCGCCGCTGTCTTTGCATTAGCCTCTCGTTGGCACAAGCTAAATGACTTAGCTCTCAACTAATCCCAGACGCTAGCGTTAGAATATGACTCGGGAGACGGGAACGTCGGCAACCGGCGTAGCGTCATGAGTAGGTCAATTGATAAAATATCACAATATAGGTGAATATAAATATGTGGCGTGGTTCCTTTGTTCTGTGAACCAGATAAGCCGCCGACCGACCGACCGATTGCACGGACCCTTTCCATTCAGCATCTACGCAGTACGCACAAGCTGGTCGAGATAATGCGGCGAACGATCCAGCAGCTCGACTTAGACGGTCGGCAAGGCCACGATGCCATCTTCGACGCTTCTTATCTCGAGGATATTTCCGCTGCCCTCGCCGAATGGGGAGCATCCCGCATCCTCCTAGTCGTGAGCACGACCCTCGACACGAAGACAACCCTGATCAAAGACTTGGAGGATCGTCTGTCGCATTGTTCGCTACAGAAGAAAACGGGTGTGGGTAGCCACTCCCCATACCGGGATATCATCGACATTGCACACACAGTCCAGAACCATGACATTGAAGTCGTTGTCTCCATCGGATCAGGATCATACTCCGACGCGTGCAAAATCGCCGTCATGCTCAGTGCCACTCTACCCGCTGGCTTTGGTGAAGACGACATGGAAGCTCTGGTCGATCAGGCCCACGGCCTTGCTGGCCCCGAGGGAATCAATGCACCCACCACTAAATTGATCTGCGTGCCAACCAGTCTCAGTGCGGGAGAGTGGAACATGTTTGCCAGTGCCACAAATTCCCAGGGCAAAAAGCAGCACTTCGTACACCGCGACGGATCACCAACATTGATCCTGATGGATCCCCGGGTCGCGAGTACCATGCCACCCCACCTGTGGCTGGCGTCTGGGGTACGTGCCGTGGATCATTTCGTGGAGACCCTCTGCAATCCCCAGTGCCATGAGGAAGCAGCGGCGCATGTCAAAAAAGGGCTACCAATCTTAGTCCAGGGCCTGAAGGATTATCACACGGGTCAGGAGAACCATAACGAAGAGGCGTTGCTGAAAGGAATCTCCGAGTGTCAGCGTGGGTCTAAAGATGCTCTCATGCCGTTCATTAAATGGAAGATCACCATGGGACCAAGCCATGCGATTGGCCATCAACTGGTAAGTTCAGGGGTTGACCATCATGATGTCTGCTGCGACGAGGGATTCTGCTGATCGCCGACTTTTACCAACAGGGAAGTGTCGCTGGCGTGCAGCATGGTAAGTAAGCCCCCTCATCCTCAAGCAACAAGATTGAGAGATTCGTTAACCACTCTACGTATAGGAGTGACGGTAATCTACCCCATGACAGTTCAGCATCGGCAATTGCTGTGGTCTTACCTAGACTAACTGATCATGTAGAGTTGCATCATCTTACCACCCACGCTGCGAGTCACCCAGCCTCGAACCAAAGCTGCCCAGGATGAGATCCTTAGCATTCTCAGCGAGGTGCTCGGGTTCCAGGAAACAGAAGCCGCTGACGCCATGTTACGATTCGTCCAACTGCTGGGCCTGCCATCCCGACTGTCCGAGGTCAACGTTACCAGTGACGAACAGTTGCACAAGATCGCCGACATGGCTTTGACTGACGTCTTGGCCAAGCAAACGAGCCTTCTCCCAGATAAGGATGCGGTTATGCGAATTCTTGAAATGGCGAGGTGAGGGATTAGTGTTCTGAGGCCTGAATTCGGCGACTTTTGCAAGCTCATGTCCTTTATTGTAGCGACAATTTTAACCAGAGAACCAAATCCTTCTCACAGTCTCTTGTTCTCATTCCGTTCTTGACTTCGTTCCTCACTCTTGTGGGTTTCCCCAGGTGTCCCTTTACGGGTATCGCTGTGCGGTTGGAACACTGGTCATTCATTTCTTGTATGACCTGTAGATAGACAGAGGATAACATGGAAACAGTCTAACTGTCTGAAAATGTCAGTGGACGCGCGTCAAGGGAGCTCAGGGAAGAGAAGGGTACACCAGTTCCAACTCTCCGCACTGACGTCATGGGTCTTTGAACCCCGACACCACTAGATATAACAAGGCTCCGTAGGGGTTTGCAAATTGATAGACACCAACCTTTCTGCTAGCCGTTTCTTCTTCAAACGCAACGGCTCTTCAGGTGAGTATCTATTAGTCAGACCAACCGAAGTGGAGGTCGATACTGACCCATCCAGTCCCACATAGCTAAGCGTCCGCTCTTCACCAGTCCTGTCTTCCTCCAAATATCTACTACAACTGTAGTATACCCGACCCGCAACTGTCAGGCCACCCGTTCAACACCGAGAAAACAATCGAAAATGCCTTCTTCCCAGGATTCAGGGGTGACTGGCGCCGCCAAGTTCGTCACCTCGACCCTCGGCAACACGGTCGGTGGGGTCTCTCGCACCGTCGGCGGGGTGACGGGGGCCGCCGGGCGAGGCGTCGGCGACACCATTACGGGGGCGACGGGGAGCGCAGGCAAGCCCGTCGGGGATGCGTTGGGTAGCGTGGGAACTGGAGTCGAGGACGGGGCCCGGAGGATTGCACGGGGAATCGAGGATGCTGGACAGTGGAAATGATCGCGGAGGTTGATTGTTGTTGACATTTGACAACGGTCGGTCGGCGGGCGGTGTGCCACGTGCTGCATTTTGCTCTTGATGTTTTGCTTTCTTATATAGTACGATGGTCGGCATACGGTTATTGATAATTCAATTTGGTTAGTACTGTTATCCATCGAAGCCTAGTAGTATGTACAGAGGTAGCATCCCTTTCACTCTGCATACCCCCGAAAGTTGTCGATTCCATTACGGAGTACCTAGCTGGATGACACTTCTGCAGAAGCAAAAGCAGCGATAGTACTGCCTTCAAAAGAGGTACACAGGAAGTCCAGTCCAAGATGATGGCAAACTTTCCATCCACATACCACAGTTAACCTTGATTACGGAGTGCAGAAGGCAGACAGGTCCCATATGCAGGTGTTGCATCCAAGGCCACAGCCCCGTGACATGCTATGCAGCATGCATAATCTGGCACATAGACGGATACTAGCATTACCAGGAAGTTAATAGAAAAATGAAGATGCCACTGTCTAGTATAGGCCAGAGCACCCCTTCTTCCCGCCTTTCCTCTCCTGCCGCGGATATATGTTACTGATCAGGCACGCTACCTGAGCGAGGCGCACCCCATGCTTGAGAAACGAGGCTATGCTATTCTGCTAGTACCCTTGGTTGACCAGGACCGTGAGATTACAATCTGAACTGCACTTTTACAGCCACCTTAATTCCGACCAGATAGCTTGTCTTCAGAGGATGGAATGTTGTGTTTGTTTGGAGGCGGAGCAGCCCAGTCACGTGCATTTATGTGCATAAGCGAGGTGTCTGTAAGGTGCTGTCGACATGCTTAATTATTGGCACATAGTGCTATGCCAAGTCCGCATGGTTCGTAAGAGGTAAGATGAAAGGGCCCACAGCCCGGTTGAGATTGATAAGCAAGTCGTGAGCAATGCTGAGCCATGGAATCAAAGTCAATCTTTTACTTCGGAGCTCCCACTCCGCCAGTGATAAGAATAGTAAGGAACAAAAGAAGGAAGGGTGACGACAGAGCTTAGCTAAGCTGAAGAACAGGAGGAGGAGAAAAAGACGGCAGAAAAGCGCCCTACTATGACGCCCTACTCAAAACCACTCAAAAGAGGAGAAAAAAGAAGGGCGGCTGAGTCAGGCATGGACCAGATGGAGGGCTGTGAGTGGTCCGAGGGATCCGCGGGCGGGTTGCCTTGAAGCGGAATCCGCGAATGGCAGCCGGCCGCTCCCGGCACAGGCGGACGGCGAAGCTCGCCTCTCATCCAGCCTTGCCAGCCATTCTGCATCTCTCATTCTCTTCCCCTCCGCATTCCGCCCTCCTGGCAACTCGCTGCTGTGGTCTGACTGCCCCTCTGACGTCCGCGTCCACTGGCCCGCCCTTGATCGTTTCGACCTGTCTAGCTAGCTACATTGTTTCCTTTCTGACTTCGCCCGAAATCTCCCTCTATTCCTCCGATCGTCGCGATCACGCCCATCACATACTCACCCTCCCCCCCGTTCGCCGGATTCGGATACCGACGTGATTGGAGCGGACGACGGCTGCCAGACATCGATTCTTCGAACCATATCGACCTCTTTTCCCAATACCAATCGATCGCGCGGCCGGCCTTCACCTGCCCCGAAGGCCTGCGAGGCCGCCTCGCGCAGGGTCCCTCCGTCCCAGCCGGTCCGATGGTTGCCATCTGTAGCTGAGGATAGTCGGGGAAAAACCCATTGCTTATGGATGCGATACAAAGAAAAGGGGAGGAGGGCATGAGTCGCGCCTCAGATGAGGTTCCTCCGATCCCAACTGACGATGCGAAGGCGACCAAGCGCGCGCGATGGGCGACGAAGCGGATGACCGCCGCCAGCGGTCTCCGGAAGAGGGTTTCCATCTTGGAACGTGGCCACCGGCGAGGCGCTCAAGACTCCACGGCGAATGCGACATCAGGGATGCCGGAGGGCGATACTACGGAGTCATCATCGCGAAAAGTCTACTTCAATCTTCCCATTCCCGACAGCGAGCGGGACGAGGAAGGCAATCTCAAAGCCGTTTACCCCCGCAATAAGATCCGCACCTCCATCTACACGCCGTTGACATTCGTGCCGAAGAACCTCTGGTTACAGTTCCACAACATTGCAAACCTTTACTTTTTGTTCGTCATCATCCTGCAGTGTTTCTCGATCTTTGGAGATGCCGACCCCGGCCTGAGTGCCGTCCCACTGATCATTATCGTCGCCGTCACTTCGATCAAGGATGCCATCGAGGATTGGAGGCGAACGGTCTCCGATAACGAGCTCAACAACTCTCCTGTCTACCGTCTTACCGAATGGCACAATGTCAATGTTACTGCCGACAATGTGTCTACCTGGCGAAAGTTCAAAAAGGCCTGTACGCGTGCCACCATCGCCACATACCGTGCCATGAAGAGGCTCGGACGGCGCAAGTCCGCCGACAAAGACGTGGCGGGAGATGTTGAGATGGCGGATTCCCGACCATCGGTGGAACCCTCTTCCCCGATCGAGATGACGACTGTGTCCGCGGACCTTGATGCCCGTGCTTCTGGGGATTGGCCGGATCCTGCCGGTGGTCATCTACAATCAGGTCAGCCCGGCGATCCCTCATGGGGGCGGGTAAAGGGCAACATCCTTAGTCCCACCAAGTCCGCTACGGGGCAGGCTCGTTTCAAACGCCAGCACTGGAAAGACGTCAATGTCGGGGACTTCGTGCGGCTGTATAATGGCGATCAGATCCCAGCCGACATGGTCATTCTCTCAACGTCTGATCCGGACGGCGCCTGCTATGTGGAAACCAAGAACCTGGACGGCGAGACAAATCTCAAGGTCCGCCATGCCCTCAATTGCGGTCGCGCAGTGAGAAACGCCCGGGACTGCGAGAGAGCGGAGTTTACCATCGAGAGCCCCCCCGCTCATGCAAATCTGTACGCGTTCAGTGGTGCCATCTACTGGAACCAACAGGATGATCCTCAGGCATCGCCCCGAGAACGAGTGGAGCCCATCACCATCAACAACATCCTCCTCCGTGGCTGTAGTCTTCAGAACACGGAATGGGCATTGGGGGTGGTGTTATTTACGGGCTCGGAATCCAAGATCATGTTGAACCAGGGCATCACCCCAACCAAGCGACCACAAATGGCGCGCAATATGAATTGGAACGTTCTTTACAATTTTGCTATCCTCTTCATCATGTGTTTAATCTCGGGTTTCATCAATGGCTTCGCCTGGGGACTCAAGGACGCCTCCCTGGCTTTCTTTGAATACGGTTCTTATGGCGGGTCGGCCGCCGTGGAAGGTGTGGTTGCCTTCTGGGTGGGTGTGGTCCTGTTCCAGAACTTGGTCCCCATCGCCCTGTACATCTCGTTGGAAATCGTCCGATGGATCCAAGCGCTCTTCATATTTTTCGACCAGTACATGTACTACGAGCGGTTGGAGATGTCTTGTGTTCCCAAGGCTTGGAACATCTCGGATGACATTGGGCAAATCGAGTACATCTTCTCGGACAAGACTGGTACACTGACGCAAAATGTCATGGAGTTTAAAAAATGCACAGTCAATGGGGTCGCTTATGGTGAGGCCTATACGGAAGCCCAGTTGGGGATGCAGAGACGGCAGGGCTTGGTGAATGTCGAGGAGGAAGCCGCCAAGGCTCGCCAACACATCAGCGACAGCCGGGTGGAAATGTTGCAGCAGCTGCGCCAGCTGCATGATAACCCGTACCTCATTGATGACAACCTGACCTTCGTCTCACCTCAGTATGCTGCCGATCTTGGTGGTGCATCAGGCGATGCTCAGAAGCAGGCCACGGAAAGTTTCATGGCAGCGCTGGCCTTATGCCATACGGTGGTTTCGGAACGTACTCCAGGCGACCCCCCGCAGATTGAGTTTAAAGCCCAGTCCCCCGATGAGGCTGCTTTGGTAGCTACTGCTCGTGACTGTGGCTTCACGGCCTTAGGTCGGTCCGGAGATAGCCTAACCGTCAATATCATGGGCGAAGAACGCAGTTACCGGATTTTGAACATCTTGGAGTTCAACTCGACGCGTAAGAGAATGAGTGTGGTCGTCCAAATGCCGGATGGAACGATTCGCCTGCTGTGTAAGGGTGCCGATACGGTCATCAACTCCCGCCTGGCCCCCGGTCAACAACGGGAGCTCAGGAATATCACCGCGCAACACCTTGAAACATTCGCCCAAGAAGGTCTCCGAGTGCTCTGCATCGCAGAACGTGTTCTTGATGAGGAATATTACCGCGAGTGGAGTCTCAAGCACGACGTGGCTGCCGCGGCCATCGTGGATCGCGAAGAGAAGCTGGAGGAGGTCGCTAGTGCTATTGAACAGGATCTGTTACTTTTAGGTGGCACTGCTATCGAAGATAGGTTACAGGATGGCGTTCCAGATACCATTTCCTTGTTGGCCGAGGCTGGTATAAAGCTTTGGGTCTTGACAGGTGATAAGGTGGAAACTGCCATCAATATCGGCTACTCCTGCAACCTTCTCAACAACGACATGGAGATTATGATCCTGAGTGCTCCGGACGCCGACATGGCCGCAAAAGAGCTGGACAGCAAGCTGGAAATATTCGGGATCACTGGCTCTGATGAGGAATTAACCGCTGCACGCAAGGACCACTCGCCGCCCCCTTCAACACATGCCCTTGTCCTCGACGGGGATTGTCTCCGATTGATGTTGGACGATGCCTTGAGGCAGAAGTTCCTTTTGCTTTGCCGGAAATGTAAATCAGTCCTCTGTTGCCGTGTCAGCCCGGCCCAAAAGGCGGCAGTTGTTGACATGGTAAGGACCGGCTTGAACGTGATGGCTTTGTCGATTGGAGACGGCGCCAACGATGTCGCCATGATTCAGAAGGCAGATGTCGGGGTGGGAATTGCTGGAGAAGAAGGTCGCCAGGCGGTCATGTCAGCAGATTACGCCATCGGTCAGTTCCGATTTCTGCAGCGTCTCATCCTCGTGCATGGGCGTTGGGCGTACCGGCGGCTCGGCGAGACCACCGCCAATTTCTTCTACAAGGTCAGTCTATCCTTCCGCTCGGTGAATGGTTGGGGGTGGGAGTAGAGGTACGAGGGGATTCTGATGCTGACCGTGGTCTTAGAACTTGGTTTGGACGTTCGCGCTGTTTTGGTATTCTATATACGACAATTTCGACGGCTCCTACCTTTTCGAATACACATACATTACCTTGGTGAACGTCGCCTTCACCTCCCTGCCTGTCATCTTTATGGGAATTTTTGATCAGGATGTCGACGATAGGGTGTCCCTGGCAGTACCCCAGCTCTACATGCGAGGCATTGAGCGCAAAGAGTGGACGCAGTTCAAATTCTGGTAAGTAACATCGCTTCTTGCTGTGCACTGAGTCGGTTTTGTGGGACTAGAACCAAGGCTAATGAACGCGACCAGGATCTACATGCTGGATGGCTTTTACCAATCGATCATATGTTTCTTCATGCCATATGAGCTGTATTCGGCGGCCAATTTCCAGACGGAAAACGGGCTCAGCATTGATGACCGGTACCGCATGGGTGTACTCGTTGCCACCTGTGCTGTGGTTGCCAGCAACACCTACGTGATGATGAACATGTATCGATGGGATTGGTTGACGACCTTGATCAATGCGATCAGTTCATTGCTGATCTTCTTCTGGACCGGTATTTACTCGTCCTTCGAGTCCTCTGCGACCTTCTATGGCGCTGCCAAGCAGGTCTACGGCGCCCTGTCGTTCTGGGTGGTTCTTTTTCTCACTGTAGTGATGTGTCTCATCCCACGATTCGTCATCAAGTGCATCCAGAAGGTCTACTTCCCGCTGGATGTGGACATTGTCCGAGAACAAGTGATCATGGGCCAGTTTGACCACCTGAAGAAATACGAAGCCTATGTGCCCCCCGATGCCGCAAAGCTGGCACCTTCGTCCGAGAGCGAAGCATCGACCACTCCTTCGGCCCGCAGCGATACCCCGCAACCTAATTTCACGCGCGATTATCCTGTGAATCACGGAATTGATCGCACGGCAGATTCCACTCCCGTTGCACCTCTGGTCGATTCACAGGGCGCTCCAACCTATCTGGGTAGCAATGTCACCAGCGCCAACAACAGTGTTGCCTTTGGGCTCCAGCGACGCTCGTCATCGGAGAGCATAGGTCGGGAACAATCCGCCTTTTCGAGTCAACTCCTAACAGTCGAGTCAACCAGCATGGAACCCCAAATGCCTCACAGTCCACTAAAAAGCCGGAGTGACCCCTCGACATACCCTGTATAGATACAGTTGTTTTACCTGCTTTCTAGCGGCCTTTTTCTCTCGATTTGTTAATATCTACACCTTCTATATCCGTTGCGATTTGATCAAAAGCTCTTCAGCAACCGTGCTTTTTTCCCACCTATTACGCCCTGATCATGCATGCTTTTCGCCCCTTTATCTTTCTTTGTGATTACCCTTTTCATCCCCCCCGGAGTTTGACGGGTGTCATTCGAAGTCATTTTTTCTACTTTGGTATTCCCAACTTCAAGGTGCAAATGCTCCTTTATATTTCCCCCCCGGGCTATCAATATCGGAGACCGCTGCTTTGGCTCGCTCTGCCTTACTTATCCCAGCGTTTGCCTGTTGGCATCGCCGGTATTCCCAATCCCTCCATATAATGTCTGAATCATCTCACGATCGTGAATACCTAGTTTGTTTGGTTTTTTCTTTGGCCCTGTTTATACCATCATCGAATATATACGCACATGCAGTGTTGTAATATAGACCGCCTTCTATTTAGTGAATTGTTGAATTTCGTGTCCCGAGATCCCTCTGGCGAAGTAGTATACCATCGATGCTTGTTTGCTTGCATGGCCATCTGAAATACGTAGAGCTTTTCAAAACAACAACTTTCAAATACAAATAATAATTTGCATTAATCGATAGAGAGTAGTACCTGTCTCATACTCTGCACATAGAATAGGGAATACACTCTTCAGAGATAGATAGATAGATAGATAGATAGATAGATAGATAGATAGATACCATCTACATCATAGCATCTATAGTGATTACATCCAATCCATTATACTACCCCCGCAAAAGGGTACCCTGCACTCGCAAAACTACCTCAAATTGACTCAACATCCTTCTTCTGCGTAAGCACATCATCACTCGCCCCCGCGCCGGACAATTTCGCCGCGACATCATTCGTGAAGTGATCATCAACGGGGGCCGAAAACAACGAGGTGATTACGGACAGCCCACCAAAGGCAATACTAACTAGGAAGACCGTCCGGAAGGACTGCGAGTAAGCGGTCTTGACTGCGTCCATGACGGCAGATAGGATGGTGGTGGTCATGCCGGGGACGGCGTCGTAGGCGGCGGTGGTGCCGGCGGAGACGGCCTCGAGAAGATCGGTCACGGAGGAGAAGGGTAAGCCGGCTTTCATGGCGGCGGCGGAGACATCTTTGGGGATGTCTGCGGCGATGCGGTTGTCGAGAATGGCGACGTAGATGGCGGCTGGAAGGGGGTGTGAGTGGTGAGTCAATAGATCGGTCTCTTTTGTGTGCTGGGTGAGGATCGTGACTTACTGGCAATCGTGCCGGCGACTTGCTTGGCTGAGCCGAGGAAACCGCTGGCGAGACCGATATCCTCGGGTTTGCAGTAGAGAGGGCACATGATGATGGTGATGAGTTCGAGGTAGCCGACCCAGAAGCCGCCGATAGCGGTGAACTGGCCTATATTAGATTTGTAGGAATGGGGAAACTGTTTGGGATGAGGACTTACCGCGATGCCATACGATTGTCGGTGTTGGTTGACGGCGGCTAGGGCTCCTGAGAAGGCAGTGATCATCACAGTCGTCACGATGAGTTGGTACTTGGTGTAGCCAATTGGCTTCATCAGCAGACCGGCAGCAACTTCACCGACAAGAACACCGGCACCGGTAGAGATCTACAGGGGTGTTAGAGTAGCTTGTCTGGGGGATATCTTTTAAGAGACACTCACCGAGAGCCAACCGGCTTTGATGGTGTTGGTGGTGAATAGGGCGGAAATGGCTGTCGGCCAGAGCAGACTAGGGCTATGTGAGTCGACAGTAGTGCGCCTTGGGAGATAGTCCTACCTCATGGAGAAGTATACCATGTTTCCAACCAGAGCAGAGCACACGGCTCCGGCGTACCCGCGGTTTCGGAGCAGCGACATGGGCAAGAGCGGCTGCTCAAGGGGGACGAAGATTTCTATGGGGGTCCGAGTGAGTTAGTAAGCCCGGGTTGGGTACGTATTTCTGGGCTGACGTACCGTAGAGGGCAAAGGCAATCAAGCAGACGAATCCAATTACCAGGACGGCGACGACGTGTGCCGAATGCCACGCATAAGAGGTACCGCCCCATGCTGAGGGATAAGGTTAGCATCGAGGGGGAAGGAAGAAGGAAACCCCAGGAGACTTACAGAGGCCGAGCAACACCAGAATCAGCCCGCTGGCATACAAGATGAAGCCGATGTAGTCAAAATTCTTGAGACCAGCGATGCGACTCTCGGTTCCGCGTTTGGCATCCCAGCCCGGAGGAAAGTAGAACAGCACCAGCAAAATGACGGACAGGCCGCAGGTGATGATGTTGAGATAGTAGGTCCAGCGCCAGGAGCGAGCTGTGTTGGCGATGAACAGATCGGCGATCACGGCTCCAAAGGCGGAGAAAGGCAGGGTCGTGATGAAAATACAGGCGTTGACAGCCGGACGAGCCTGGTTGGGGACCAGCTCAGCTATCACAAAGCTGAAGGTCAATTGCACTGCAGCAGCCAGTCCACAGAGAACACTACCACCGATAACCGTGGGAACGGTCTTGGCTGTCGCGCAGACAATGGCGCCGATGAGGCCGAGCACCTGGCCTCCAATGAGGATATACCGGCGCCCGAACAGGTCGCCCAAACGACCCACAAGCAGGAGGCCGACCTAGGGTATGTTCGTCAGCATGGAAGGGGTATGTCTCTTCTCGTCCAGGCAAGGATGCTCATACCCCAGAGATTAGCGTAAAGACGGTCGATATTAAGGTATAGCTGGGGTCTGGCCCTACATGCGGACAGACATACAATCAGCAACGGTTAGATAGCCCAGCCCGAACGGAGTGGATGATGCAGCAGAAATGGGGATGAGCTCGACATACCCAAATCGGCATTGATCGCGCTCAAACTGTTCACCTGTTCAATAGTCAGCGGGGGCTGCCCAAACGAGAGCAAAGATGAGAAAGACCGACCGGCAAAACATAACCCAGGTAGAGGCTAATGGCCATCAAACAGACGGCTATAAGCGAGCCGATAAAGTTCTTACTGCAGTAGTAATCTGCCGGCAGCTCATCGAGGTCGACAGGGGTAGCCTTTAGCTGCCTGCCATGCTTGTGGTCCGTCATCCTGGCTCGGAGAATATCTAGGGGGAGTGGGTATGTCGGGCAAGGGCGAGAAGGAAAAGAACAGGGGTGAGAGGAGACGACACCAAGAGAAAAAAAGAGAAAAGAAAAAGAAAGGCAGGAAGGGAACCTGTCGATGAAGAAGCAGCAGCACGAAGCGCCGGGCTTATGGCGGAAAGGAAGCCATGACGAATCAGATGGTGAACGCGAGAAACTAGATCTCTATCGACCCAGCCAAGAAATTTTGAGTGAGTCGATAACACAGAAGAACATGCCACCATTGATGATTGATGATTGATTGACCATGCAATTTAGGCGGGGGCCGCAAGACGGAGGATTAGGGCACATCACAATCCCTGCCTAGCGCCACCGTGAACAACGACGGCGTCCCGGCGCCAGATTAATTGTTCGATAGCGGGCGGAGCATGGAAATTATTGTTGTTTGTCGGATTCCTTGCGGCTGAGACCTTTCTTGCACAGGATGCAGGATTCAGGATTCCTACCTAACCAGAGAGCCAGACAGGACCCCTTGCAACACCCCTTCCATCTATCCATCCGTGCATGTGCCATCTCTTCCCACTCCCAGGACCCCCAACCAGATGTAGGCTCTCCGTGAATTTCACGTGGACTGCAATTCCTCTCGCCTCTTTCCCTTGCATGCCGGGCCAGACGAACAGTCTTCAATGGATGTGGTGTGGAAGGAAGTATTCTCGCCCGACAACACAGTCGACTTGAGTGCATCCCGGGTGCCATCGATCATTGTATGTAACACGGTGCTCCTGGTCATCGCGACCGGTGGGCTGCTGGTACGCCTGTTCGTGCGGATCCGATACCTCGCAGGGATCAATCTCGATGATCTGCTATGCGTGATAAGCTGGGTAAGCCCCCCCTGCCTTGCAAGTCGGAAAAATTCTCCCATACTGACACATGGTTGCCCCGTTCAGGTCTTTACCTTTGTCCTGTGCTTTGTGTGCCTCTGGAGTAAGCCTTAGGGGTATCAATGTATGATCCCATTGATGATATTGACGAGTCCTCTCCCGTAGTGACCCGATATGGCTATGGAAAGCACATTCAAACGGTGGTTGAGGAGGGGGACTTGGAGATGTTCCTCAAGGTATGGGCTCTACTGGGATGATTATCAAACGCTGCCATTTGCTGATATCAACCAACTGCTTCCCAGCTGGATTTCGTCACCGAAATCGCCTACCTCTTGGCCCTTGGCACCATTAAAGCCTCCTTCTGCCTCCTATACCTGCAGATTTTCCCGGGAAAAAGGTTCCGCATCACTTGCTGGAGCCTATTGGCTCTGCTTGTGGGCGAAACCATCGAAGAGACCTTCGTCGTGATTTTCCAATGCTCACCCATCCACAAAGCCTGGGACGCCGGTGGCACTGTGAAGGGAAAATGTCTATCTCTCACGGCTTTTTACTACATATCTTTTGGGATCCGCCTGGCCACCGACCTGGCGCTCTTTGCCCTCCCCCTTCCGAAATTGGTGCAGTTGAACATGACGATGGGTAAACGAGCTGGGCTGGTGGTCATGTTTGGTCTGGGAGTCTTGTATGCTAGCTCCCCCTCCTTGCTCGATTCACCCGGGACCGTCATAACAGTGCATGTTAGGGTCTCCGTGACTAGCATCATCCGCGCGACCTACATAAACAACTTCTCCGAGGACCACACTTGTATGCCACCCCTCATTCTGGTCTTTTTTTATTTGGGAGAGGTAGCTGACGCATCGATACTCTTGAATAGGGATGCTTGTGGATACGCTCAACTGGTCTAGTGTCGAAGTCGCCGTCGCCATCTTCATTGCTTGCATCCCCTCTTTCAAGTCGCTTATCACCTTCCGCTTCCCCGGGCTGCAACGGCTACTTGGATTTTCCAGCAAGGGCGATTCGACCGGTCGGTCGAGAATGTACGGCACTTCGACTCGTCGGACCAACCATGGGCGCTCCACCATGGGGCATCATAGCATCAAGCTAAATACGGTGAATACTGTGACGGCTCAGAGTCGGGTGGATGTGGAGGCCAGTCGCAACGGCTCGGAGGAGCGCATCATTCCCACTGACACTGGTATCCACATCACCACCGACGTGAGTGTCAATGAGAGTGACTGACACGTTGATTTTAACTTTCTTCCCCCCTCATGTATATAACCCACGCTTGCTAATTCTCAATAAATATAATTTTGAATCCTGTCTGCCCTGCACAATGGGTAAATTCCAGATATGGTCGACGCATATTTCCTAGCCGTCCTAGATAAATCTCTAGGGGAGTTGAGTATGAACGATCCAAATCACGCCATGGATTTAGTAGAGCGGACTAGATAGTCTTCCGTCGTCCGCAGATAGATGAAAGGGATTTCTACCTAGTTGACGTTAGGGAGACGCGCCAAGACTTAGGGTAGGGGAAGTGGGCCCGGATGAGCAACCGGGGGGAATCCATTAATCATTCCGAGCCGTTGGTCCCAAGGCTTGGCTACCAACTAGATTGGAAGATAATGAATCAAGACTATCCGTGGAGCGCCGCAGACGGGAATGCGTGTGGCCTTCCAAGGGGTAGGAATACATCATATGTGAAGAAGATTGGAATGCTGTCGCCGAGTGGTAGTCTGGAACATGTTGCTCAAAAGCAACGTTCATTTCCGAGACCTGTCCGGTTCGTGGGTGGATCTGTTTATCTTCTCCGAAACCTGCTGCGAATTAAATGATCTTGTTCGAGCTAAGGATTCTGAAGGATCCTAAGTGCGAAAACCTCGGTGTAGTAGCCCCCGGTGGTGTAGGTAGGAGGTGTAGTGATTTCCAGGGACCGTGAAGACCCTTCTCCCATGCAGCATGTCGCGCCATCTCCTTTGCTTTCCCTTCCTGGCCTGACGTGCAAAGTTCCGTTGTAGTCTTATTTGTCACCATCCATTATTGGCATTAGGCCGAGTGACAAGGAAGGTGGCAATCTCTCCTTAGCCTGCTGTGGGAGTCCTACTTCAAAACGCCGCCGGACTTAGTCCGAGATCTAGTGCCGCGGAGGCACGAGCCGGTTCCCGTCCCCCCACAATGACCTGATGTTAATGGTCGAGTGTCGACATCCAAGTTGCTCAACAGTAGTCAGTAAGATAAGCCATCCAGTCAGTCCGCTGGGCCTAGTAGCATGCCCTCTCCCTTGATCCCTGCAGCTTTTTTGGTGCCCCCTCGTCAGCACTCAATCCTACTCCAGACGCCCCCAAGACAGACTTACTATGCAGCAATCACCACAATCGCCCGACCGCCATGCCATTGTATTTGGCTGCTCCGGCATCAACGGCTGGGCCCTAGTCAACCAGCTGTTATCTGACTATCCTGCCCCTGGTACCTTCTCCAAAGTCACCGCTGTTGCGAACCGTGCGTTCACACCCGATGAGGCCCAGTGGCCAACAGACGACCGTCTCCAGGTCGTCTCTGGCGTGGACCTCCTGGTGGGCGACGATTCAGTGCTGGGGAAGACTTTGACGGAGAAGATCCCTTCCGTCGAGACGATCAGCCATGTTTACTATGCGGGTGAGGCCGTCGATCACTGTTCATTTTGTCCCGTGGTTCCTGGTCGGTGCACTAACCGTGCTCGATTTCAGCATATCGCGCCAGCGATGTCCCTGCAGACGAATGCCGTCTGAACAAGGAGATGCTTCGTGCCGCCGTTCGGACGCTGGAGGCGCTATCGTCCAAGCTGTCGTTTGTCACGCTCATCACAGGCACTAAGGCAAATAACCCTGGGCCCTACGTTTAAAGCGAGCTTCCATGTTAACGAACAGGGTTCACCAGGCTTACGGCGTCTACTTACTCGACAAATTCCCTTTCCGGGGCCAGGTCCCCTTGAAAGAAGACCTTCCCCGCGTACCCGCGAAATACGCCAAAGACCTGTTTTACTACCATGAAGTTGACCTTCTACAGGAGCTATCCACCGGAAAGCCCTGGTCATGGTGTGAAGTCCGTCCGGACGTGATTGTATGCCCCCATACTGGCGTGCATCTTGTCACTCTAGAGCGCGCACTAACCAGTCTCCAGGTTGGAGTTGCCCCATTCGGCAATGCCAACTGCATGGCTCAAACTATGGGTATATATCTCGGTCTCTACCGGGAGCTTGAAGGCGAGGGCGCGCGGGTCCCTTTCCCCGGTAACGAGACCACCTGGCGGTTACTGTCCACAGACTCGAACCAGGATATCATCGCCCGGTTCTGTATTCATGCCTCGATGCAGCCGCGGGAGAAGGTTCATGCCCGCGCGTTCAATATTGCCGATAGTGCCAGGCCCGTGTCGTGGTCGGAGCGGTGGCCGGCCCTAGCGGCGTTCTTCGGACTGGAAGGCGTTGGACCAGACGAGTCCAGTCTGCACCCGACAGTGTATATGGATCAGAATTGGGAGAAACTCCAGGCACTGTGTCAGGATCGGGGCTTGAAAGAGGACGTCATCTACCGCAGCATGCACAACACGGGAGCTCGGATGGGGAGTCTGCGGTTGATGGACTTTGATCGGCCATTTGACTTGACTCGCGCGCGGGCGTTGGGATTTGAGGAAGAGATGGACACAACCATGTCGTGGCATACGGCCTTTGATCGGGTACGAAAGGCGAAGATTATGCTCTAGTCGACTCTGAAGGCATCCTGGGGGTATGCAAGAAGTTTTGCGAGTCAGTGACAAGTCAATTAGAACATGTCTAGAATGGCATCGGGCCTGGTAACCTAGGCACAGAATATTTCCATATGAAATGGTGAAGGATGGTGAGGATAGGAAGGATAACAAGGACGACACGTAGGCAGAAGCGAAGGCAAGCTGCGGGTCAGGTGACTGGTCTGCCTCAGGCGAAGGGACCCAGGCCGGGATGCCAATTCCTCTTCCAAGGCCTTGGACGCTGTCACTGCCTCGACAAGACCAGACGCGGAGCCTGGTGCAACGGCGGCCTACGACTGGGTGACTACAAAATTGATGCTCATGACCTTGATCGAGTACAATAGGTTCCCCCTCAGAGGAAAGAGACAGTCTATAGACTGACTGCATAGTTGCCAATTAGATCGCCTCTGCTGCCGGCCGCTTCTTGATTGTCATCCACATATCCCGCCAGAAACCAACGCCTCCCTTGATCACGAACCGGGCGGAGGGCTTGTCTGGGACAACTTGAAGCTTGTAATGGCGGAAGAGCTGCGAGATGTGTCAGTCGGATATCAGACAGATCCATGGCTTTAGGATCGAGGGAGGGGAAGAGAGAAGGAGGCATACCTGCAAGGGGCCCTTGAATAGCTCCATCATGGCGATATCCTTGCCTAAACACACCCGGGTCCCGTACCCGAAGGTGAAGATATACTTGTTCAACACCTTTGCCCGCTCTGGATCCAACCATCTTTCAGGACAGAACTCGTTCGCATCATCTCCGAAAACCCCCGGATCCCGCTGGACAATCCACGGATTGGCGGAGATTTCAGTTCCTGCGGGCGCGAACTGACCGTACAGTTCGATGCCGGGTTCCGACACATACCGAGGGAAGATATTTGGAGCAGGCGGGTTGGTGCGCAGAGTCTCGCGCACACACGCAACATAGTAGGGCAGGTGATCGACGATTTCGTTGTACTGAGGCATGGTGCTGATAAGGCCCTTTTGGGCAGCATCGTCGATCTCTGCTATCATCCTTTCATATACCTCTGGGTGTGTCAGGAGATTGTGCACCAGGGCCTGGAAGACTGTGCCTGTCGTATCGGCCCCCGCCAGCAAGACAAGTAGAACCTCCGCCCGGATATACTCCATGTCCAGGGGCTTACCCTCCTCAGTCCGGGCCTCCAGGAAGGTCTGTAGCAGATCGACACGGCCGATATCCTTTTTCTGCTCAATGTCACGCAACCGTTGGTCGATGAGTCGGTCGCGGAAGCGCATGAGGACGCCAATGCCCGAGTCGTCTTCGGGAGTCGCAACCAGGTACTTTTTCATGAAGGTCGTCTTCATCCAGCTGGTGAAGGGATGGAGGCGCGCCAGGAACCCAAACGCCGGCAGTCCATCATGGAATCCTTGGACCAGCCCACCAACATCTTGTCCCTGCTCGACAAAGCCGAAGGGCGCTCCAAAGCCAACCTCGCTGATGATGTCGTATGCCATGTAGCTGGGATGGCAAGGCTTCATTAGCACAACTGGTGGGATGTGATCTTCGGCCGGGGTCCACTTACACGGCCCACCATGAGAAGTCGAAGGCGGCCCCCGTGCGGGCGTACCTTTCGTCAATCTTCTGCAGCCAATGATCAATGTGGGCGTCAAGCAACGGTTCCATTCTCTTGATGCTGGTGAAACTGTACTGTTTGGCTATCAGCCGAGTGGTTTCTCAGGGAGGCATGGAGACGAGCATACCGGACCCGCGACGTGCTTTCGAAACGCCGCGTGCGTCTTGTGCGAGCGCATATTAAATAATGACTCGGTTTCGCCAAAGGACCCGGTAATATAGTGACCTGTTTTGTCGGCATTGCGATGGTAGATATCCGGAAGCTTCTTGGGATCGCTGACCAGCAGAAGGGTGGGTGTGATTCGTACTACGGGGCCTGAATGCGACCGAGTCAAGCTTTAGACATGTCATCACGTTTCAGCCTTGAGATCGAACGGTCCTGCATACCATATTTTTTCGTCAGATCATAGACCGTCTGTAATTCGGTCGATCGCAAGTTATGCCATGCGATCCAGAGTCGGGTCACCCCGCCCCAGAACGGCCCTGGGAATTTGGATAACGGATGGAAAAAGTGGTAATGGACGATCTGGCGCACGAATTGAAGGATGACATAGGCCAGCAGACCTAAGATCACGTTGGTCACCGTGACCTTGGCCAGAAGGTCTTCGCCGATGCCCATTGTTGCGGTTAACAAGCAAGCAGGCGACGAGAAGACCGAACGGAAATTGAAGAGAGGCCCGGAGCTCTTAAGCACACGCCCATCTTCCTCCCGAAGGGGGCCTCTGTCTTAGATCCGTCCTAGCCTCAGCACCGCCATCTGGTCGCCCTTTCTCCTGAGGGTGGATAGACAGCGAATCAGATAGCCTTGAAAGTTGGCACCGGTGGACAGCTTGCGCCATCTGAGATTTTCCCGGGACTCCAACCGAGCTGGACATGAGCTAGACTACTGAATTGAGGTGGGTGGACGATGGCCGAGTGTCGATCCAACCAGGCCGGAGCCATTGGCAAGCGTCTTGGGACTTGGGAGCCATTCTCAAGTCCAGATGGGGTGTCCGTCCGTGATGGAGACTGCTGATGCGGGGAGAGAAGGTGGTTTGGCTTTGCTGAACCGGAAAAAAAGAACCTGGACGAGGGTTTAGGGCCCCAACGGCTCTCTTGCTTAGGCTCTCCTAGTGTCTGGAACGGAGGGGTTGCCTTGACACTATTGGACTGTCTGAACACCATTGGCCACAATTAAGCTCTCGGTGGCAGTTGTCACTTGTCAGCGACTGTTAGAGACTGCTACTTGAGCCGTCATGGCCGGCCGATGTCATCATGTCATGAGCCCAGACCGTCCATGGCGAAGTGAAAGCTTCCGCCATGCTTACGTATTCTTCAGCCTCTCAGGCTCGCATTCCGACTCCATTGGGGTTATCTACTCCCCGATCAGGCGTCAGAGCCAAAATGATGCACCTCTCTCCCTCATCGATTGACTGGGTTCCCGTACTTTGTGTCTGACGGTCTTCAATCTTGGTGAAATTGCGGTCCACCGGGGAGGAGTCGGCCGGGCGTCCGATCCACACCGGGCAGCCCCTAACAGGCCTAACACAGACTGACTCTCGCACCGGCCCTCATCTGGGCCGCGATCGGCACCATCCATGACCCTCGCCTACACTGGCAGATTGCACATTTAAGAATACAGAGAGGGTCAGAAGTACGACCGACGGAGCCCTCCGTGGGAAATTAGTCTCGAGTCCTATTAATGTGAATACTTTACGGAGTAGGTCTAATCAAGTCTGCTAATAATGATGGTCCATTGCCTTGGGTCAATTCTTAGCCACATACACTATCGACTGCTTCCGGGTGTGCCCGGGGAGGTTGGCGGGTGCGAAATTAACCCGCTGAGAAGGACAACAAAGCGTTTGTTTAGAGTTGATACGTACATTGTTTGATGACTGATACATTGGATTGACTCTTTATGGCTATAGGTGATGCGGACATTATTATTGTCCATTCTCTATCGAACATCTACCCCGTATTCCAGCCAAGTACGGAGATTCTTACCTTGGATCCCACGCAGTTTTACCGTTTCAATTGATGGCTGCAACAAATACAATGGGTCGAGGGCACGGCTGATAATTAGTTGGTGGGACTCCCCCCTAAGCCAAGTTCATTTTAGTCTCTTCCCAGGTACGAGTCCATGCGTGACTTAATCAAGTCAATGCAAAGATACCTATGTGGAAAACTTTCCTCGAAATCAGGGAAACCCCCTGGTACTTGGATCTATTGATTTAAAGTACATGCTTCCGAGAGCCAGGGCATCCAATAAAGGAATACCCTAACTACCCAGGAAGATTACGAGGGACCAGGATTTGATCCTGCGCACATTGGCCATGCATGCAGTCCGGGCCCCGGAGTAGACTATTCGCCATCTAGGGAATTCTGGACTTGGCCACCCAGCAGTGGGTCAAAGTCGCGCTCAGGACCAGCCAGCCCTTAGTTCGTACCCTAACCCGGTTGGAGAAAAGCCCGCAGCAACGCGCCCTGCGCAGACTCAGACACCGGTCGTTTACTGAGCGAATAACGACGGAATCTACTTCCACTCTATCCATCCGGATTGCTGACCTGATAGTGATGGTGGTAGCTGTCAGAGTCCAAATTGGCCATTATCATATTCATACATATCACTGTCGCAGCAGCCGATGATAACGTGGTCGTCAACCATGCAATTGATAGGATCTCACGCACCATGTTATTTGTCGGGATCTCCCTCCGGAAATATGACCCGTCAGTGACGATCGCGCCCGAGTGCTATTCTTGTCGGCGATGGCCAATGATAGACTAAAACACTTTAGTACAAAGTACATACCTGGGGGGACAGACGGCCCAATGGCACTTTCGGGATTCTGAAGCGCTAGGTTCGTCGATGCATTTTCTGTATCAGATTCGACAAGCGGAGGCGACCAATGCGCATCCGGACGGGTGGCCACCCGGGATGTGGGCTACGAACTGTCACCATTCCATGCATCACCAGACCCAAATGTTCGTCGCTGGGTGTCTTGCTTTTTTCTCCTTTTCTTCCAATATCGCTAGCGAAATCTTGGTGCGCCTGAGAATCTCCCTCTCGGTTTCCCCTTTTGGGAAACGCCACTGTTAATCAGTCCCCCCGACATGGGAGGGATACTGGGCTGCGAGGGGCACCCGATGCAGCGATGATCGCGATGGTACATGTGCAAGATCGCCTCCCGCTTAAATCGCAACTCAATCGTCGACTCAAACTCTGGAGCCCCCCAGAAGTGTGTGTAAGAATGTGCATGAGAGATCGCATGAGACGCGCAGCAACCGATAAATAAGACCTTGGACTCCCGAGCCACCCTCCTTGCGCATTGCCCATTGCTGTCCGTTTGGACTGTGAATATGACCGAATCAAAGGGTCCAGTAATAGCTGGTGTTGCTATCAGCTTCGCTATTCTGAGCTTTGTGGTCATCTGTCTGCGCCTGTTTGCTCGGATCTATGTCTTGAAGCGAATGGGTTTGGATGACTGTAAGTATATGCGCACTCGACTGCTATTGAGTGTGTGACTGACCTATTTCTGCAGATCTGATCATTGGCGCTTGCGTAAGAAATTGGTTTCAGATTGATTTGACACAGCTGACCCTCATCTAGCTTCTCTCATGGGCATTTACATCTGTCACAATAGTCGGTAAGGGTTACTCAACATTTTGTTTGTGAGGTAGCGCTATCTAACAATAGACAGCCGTCAAATATGGCATGGGAAAGCACTTGGAGGATGTGAATCCAGATGGTCTGGTAACATATGCTTTCGTAAGTTACACTCACCCTATTTTCATTGAATACTGGTTGATCCTCCGGACCAGGTCGTCTGGCTGAGCTCGATGTTTTACTTGGCCTGTCTGGGCTTTGTCAAGACCTCGGTCTGCTGGTTCTACACCCGACTAGGAGACAAGCAGCTCACGCGCCTGTCTCTCATTATGATGTGCGTTGTAGGCTGCCAGGCAACCTCCTTTGTCCTGACTGCCGCTTTCCAGTGCCATCCCATTGCCCGGGCCTGGAACACTAGCATCCCTGGTCGTTGCGTGACGATCAATGTTTTCTACCTCGCCAATGCGGCGTTGAACATCGTCACGGATCTGATCACCTACTCCCTCCCGATCCGGGTTATCTTAAACCTGCACATGCCGGCAAAGCAGAAGCTGGCCCTCGGCGGCATTCTCTGTCTGGGTCTATTGTAAGTGAATATGATGTCCTCTATCTACTCACCACCCTGTGTTTCTCACAGCTTCTTTCCAGCGCCTGCGTCTCTTCTATTATCCGAATCACCTACATCCCCGCAATGCTGACCTCATCCGACTCCACCTTCGCCATCAGCAATGCCATGTACTGGTCGGCAATCGAGATCAACGTCGGCATTCTGGCCTCCTCCATCCCCTCCTTCAAGGCCATCGCTTCCCGGTTCCTCCCCCGTTTGATTGGCGAGTACAGCTCGAACAAGGGCTACAGTGGATGGTCAAGCGACAATGGAGCGAAGCGGTACGCATCGGGATTTTCCCGGGTGCGCGAACATGTGTTCGGCATGAGCGTGCTGGAAACCCGAGGAGAGGCAGACACGGTGACGGGCACCCAGATCGAAAGAAACACCAGCGAGGAGCGAATTATTGTTCCCGAGGGGAAGATTTTCGCTCATACGCAAATCGAGACCAACGTTGAAGTCAGTCCGGATTATCTCCGGGCAGCGCATTCCTTTGATCACCCTCGTTCCGTAGCGACCGTGGGTTCTGCTTGAAGCCGCTCAAATACCCTATACTCGACGTCTGTTCTTTCCTTTCTTCCTTTCTATATATATCTTCCTGTAACACTATATTCCCTTCTCTTCTTTTTTGACACTTATCCTCTTCCTTTTATCAAAACGTTTTCTTTTCCATCGACGATACATATCCGACCTGCCTACATTGATATCCCCAACCAAGAGAAGTACCAGCACCGACTCCCCATACTCCAACGAGGCGGGGTTCAACGTCCAGAGCACTAAACAGAACCATACATACAATCACGATCGCCTCAGAATGACAATGTATGATCAAAAGCTTAATCGACTACAACTTCACGCCACTGTATCTATCACATGCATGCTTCCTACAGCACATACATAGACCAAAGGGATAATAATCGCTGTCGATCCGCTACATATCCACTACATAGCAAGGCCAAAAACCTTCACAACCAAGACATTCACATAACTAGCGGTTTCAAATCCCGAATCACCAAGGCACCCGATGTGATATATCAATACATACACGTGCCTGATTGGCCGGGATACCTCCTTGATTAGCTCGTAACCAGGCCCGGATGTTTTCGGCTTTAATCGGATTAGTTTACCAAGGCTGCCTATCCTATCTATCTAGCTAGTGTGCTAGAAGGATCATCCGAGTGGCTAAGTATTTGTATTCCCTCGGGGGATACTGCATAGCCTTTTGGGATAGTGTAATAGGGGCTAGAGGCTATTCACTGACTATTGCAGCTCTAGCCTCTAGCATCGCGGATGGTTGCATTATCTGCCTGAAATGACACCATCGTGTCATTCTACCTACTGTACGTAGGTAGACGGCGGAGATGACCGTCTTACGAATATCTATCTACCTACACGGAGTATCTACGGAGTACTTAGGTAAGACACAGTACCCCGTATGTAGACTACTTATGCATGGCTTCTGCACGACAATGCAGGAGAAGTGGGCTAGCTCCATTGCCTGAAAAAGAGGAACAAGGCTACCTTACCTACTACCTACCTAGTACCTACCAGACGCTTGGCCTCAAATAAGTACGAAGGATTCGCCACTCATTTTGTTTATTCCTCTACCCCGAATGCCATGCTTTCCGTGGAAATGCAAATGTTTTGGGCCCGCACCTGGGTATGCGATTTGCATCTTGTCAGCTGCACATGGCTAATGTTCACTTCATCCTAAAGTTCAACTTGATTGCGGTTCAGCTAACCCACGAGGATGATGACTATCGCGATACCATCTACCAGTTTCAAACACGGAAATGCTTTTTTTCCGGACGCTGTTCGCGTGACAGTGTCTCCGCCAAAGCTTTGTTTTACTTTGTGTTGATTACTGACAGAATTTCCCAACTAGACCAAAAGGGATACCTCTTAGGTTAGTGGAACAGTTCCAAGGTGAATAGGTCCCAACAATTACTACTGGACGCTTAACAGTGAGCAACGTCCCATTGATTTCCCCCATTAGTTTATACAGTCACTACTTCGTCATACACCCAAAACGTTCTATCATCGCCAACGATCGTACACAATGAGACTTGCTGGAGACTGGGGCAGGAAAGTGCTCTGAGCGCCCGACTCAGTCTGGCTAATATGGAATCAACTGTACATGCGTGGGAGAGCCGCCTCGTAGCGCGGCAGCAGTTGCATTAACGCGCGTGATGAGATCAAACCCATGCAGATACCGGTTCAGCGAGATGATGTACGCCTAAATCGAGAACAAGACCGGCCGACCGACATTCTTCGTGATCCAGTTTCTGATGCCAGGACAACTCTAGGCAGAATAATTCGGAAGAGAATCTCGCAAGAATACAAACACTACAGAGGCTCTGCAGAAATCAACTTACTTATTCAGTACTTCACTATGCGAAGTGTCCCAGTCGGCAGTCAATCTTACACATGGGTGCGAAAATGGAAGGTCGTCCCCAATTGTTCGATATATTCACGGCCATATGGCACTGTGTCTAGGTACCGCCGATTCTCCGCCACAGCTGAGGGCACGAGCCTTACAAGCGCGATAATTATTTTTGAAAGTCCGCGCGCGAGAAGGTGGTGCATGCCTCGGTCGGCGTCGTCTGCATACCAAGTCAGCTGCAGGTGGGGGATCGAGAGTATACGGCCTGAGCTCGAGATCGGGAGAGGCCTAGATCCCTGGATCAGTGGAAGCGAAGCTGGCCTTGGCTGTTACGGCTGGAGTGATGATACGGACATACCAGACGAGCATCCTGTTTGAACAGGCCTGGAGACTAGCGATCAGGATGGCACAGCAAAGGTTTACTCTGGTCAACATACCTGTTCTGATCGTGGTAACTCCAACAGGCTTGTTGAGAGTAGGATTAATCCCCAGGCGGAAGGCTACTCTAGAGAGTACTGTCAGGATCGAGGGACAAGTTAGATCGAGAGGGAAACAGGTCTGCGAAGGGCCCTTGAGTAGCAGATGGATGCAGTTACGTCAAGGCCATCGCTGGCATCCAAAGGTGGTGATTCCCCAATCGTGATGATGCAATACTCTAGATGGAAGACACGGGCTGACAGTGTCCAGAATATATCTGTCTGTATCGCAGTGGTTTGTGATATCCAGAAACGAACCTGGCGCCCAGTTGATAGTACTGGAATTAGAGTCAAGGAGACCTTGGAACAGGGCAGGTGGAAAGCCTAATCAACTGGTCGCCGGAAGTATATCTAGAAACTCTCGATTGGTCACCACCAGCGTGATATGCCAAGTTTTCACAAAGGTTAATCTTGATGGAAAGGCAGTGTTTTGACATATAGTCGTCTTGTTGCGCATGGTGTTCTCTGTCAACCCTGGACCAGTACCAGACAATCACCCCTCCTGTTTCGACTTGTGATCCATGGCTCCTCCTTCAGATAAAACCAAGGCGAAATTCAGCCAGTATCTGTCTGAGGTTGAACATATCACCAGGCACGATCAAGATCCTTTTCAAGTAAAAATCGAAAACTTCATCGGCTACACGCATGTCCCCATTGGACTGGCCGGGCCTCTACATGTTCGATCGCCCGCCGGGTCTGACAAGGAGATATGTGCGCCCATGGCAACCACTGAAGCGGCCCTGGTTGCCAGCTGCTGCCGAGGATGCAAAACCATTAATGCGTGCGGTGGTGTTGAGTTCGTGACAGGAGAAGGCTTTATGAAACGCTGTCCGTTCTTTCGCTTCCAAAGCCCTGGGGATGCGTTTAAATTTGTGCACGCACTCCCCCAAATCAAAGAGCCCCTGACAAAGGTCGCTGAAACCACCAGCAAGCACCTCCGCCTTCAAAGCCTGACCCCGCATACGATCGGACGCTGTGTCCATCTTCTTCTCAGCTTCGCCTGTGGGGATGCAGCGGGACAGAACATGGTGACGATAGCTACGGAGCATGTCTGCGCCTGGGTGTCGAGAGTCCTGGGAAGCGAATATGGGATTGTGGATTCCTACGTGGAAGGCCAAATGTCGTCGGATAAGAAGCCATCCTGGGGCAATGTGACGATGTCACGAGGGGTTGAGGTCACGGCCTGGACATCACTATCCGAGTCGACTTGTCAGCAGACATTAGGCTGCTCGTCTGCATATCTCCATGACTGGCTCCAGATGGTGCAGGAAGGCGCTATTCGAAACGGACAGCATGGCAGCAGCATCAACGTCGCCAATGTCTTGGCTGCCATCTTTATTGCCACAGGCCAAGATGCGGCGAGTATCACGGACGCTTGCTGGGCCCATCTGACCCCGGAATACGATCGTGAATCGCAGCGAGTGACCTTGAGCCTCTATCTCCCCTCACTTCCGGTGGGGGTGGTGGGAGGGGGAACTGCATACGCTACCCAGCGGGAAGCGTTGCGGATCATGCAGTGCGATGGGCCCGGGGGCAAGCAGCAGTTGGCCGGGTGCATTGCCGCGTTTGCTCTGGCGCTGGAGATCAGTACGACTTCATCCATCATGACGAAAACCTTTGCTCAAAGTCATGAGCGGTTGGCGCGATGGGAGGCCGAATTAAGACCGAGACCTAGGATGTAAAACAGATAGGTAGATAGGTAGAAGAGGGGTAGCCCTCAGATGCTGAGACTGATGAATGAATGAATATATCTTCAATGTGGTGTTGGGAGTAGGCGTAGAGAAGAGTAGATCGCGAGAATGTGAGGGAGATCAACATGACATGCCTGAGGCCCCATTGGCGGGTGCTGACTCAGCCAGGCAACCAGGCTCAGCGAACGGACCAATCAGCGGGGCATGATCATCCACGCACATCTGAAAGTCTAGTGACTAGCGGTCGACATCATTGTTCTTTCTTGTTAGTTCTTGTTACTTCTCGCCTCCTGTTTCTTCTCTCCCACACACACGACTACTGCCGTCTCCCCCTTGGCAACTCTCGCACGGCCTTGACTGCCGAACAATGCTTGCAGCTTCCCCCATCCCCGGCTCCAACTGACCCCTTCCTTCCCCTTCCCCTTGTCTAGTCCCTTTCCCCATGGCAGACCTCTCCACTTCTCCCGGTCGGAATCCCGACTCCGACCCAAGGGAGGCTAGCAACAATAACACCAACGAGGACAACAACCACATTCTGTCCCAACATCTCCATCCTCAGTTCACTGCTTCATTACAAGATGAACTGGTCCCACCTCCCGGAGACGCGCCAGCCGAGCAGAGCAGCGGGGAGGCTCCATCCGAGCCCCAGTCCTCGTTGAAGCTGCAAGGCGGCGACATCCATCGGGATCTCTACCGCATCGATGCCAAATCGAAGCAGGCTCGCCTGGACAAACGGGCGGCCACCTTCTCCTTTCTTCCAAGACACGCAGATGATGCCGTGGAAGAAGGTGTCGCCTCCCTGGAGCCAGGGAGCTTCCGCCGTCATTTCATCCAGAACAAGTACGGTCGTCTCGATCAGCCCGGCGTAACCTCTTCCTTCCTCGATTTCCTCGACATTTACGGTAACTTTGCAGGGGAAGACCTCGCCGATACCGAGGAGGAATCCGCCATCGTCGAAGAAGAGGACGAGAGAGAGATTTCCGAGCGGACTGCCCTCTTGCGGCGACAAAAGAGCTCGCGAGCCAGTCGCCCAGGCGATGCGTCCAACGTCAAGACCTTCTTTACTCTCCTCAAGGCCTTTGTCGGGACGGGAATCATTTTCTTGCCCAAGGCCTTCCGCAACGGCGGTATCCTCTTCTCCTCCATCACCCTCGTAACGGTCGCGTTGATTAGCACGTTGTGTTTCCATCTGCTGCTCGAGTGTCGGAGACAGCACGGCGGTGGCTATGGCGACATCGGCGAGCGGATTGCTGGTCCCCGACTTCGGACCCTGATCCTCGCGTCCATCGTAATCTCGCAATTGGGCTTTGTGTGTGCCTGCATCATTTTCACGGCTGAAAACATTCACGCCTTTGTGGAGGCAGTGACAAAGAATCAGACGACCGCCGTCTCGATCGGTGGGTTGATCGCTCTCCAACTGCTGGTACTCATTCCATTGTCCTTGATCCGAAACATCTCCAAGCTTGGTCCGATCGCGTTGCTGGCGGATGTGTTCATCCTGGTGGGGCTGGCATACATCTACTGCTATGACATTGCTAGTCTCGTGTCCCGTGGCATGGCGTCGACAGTAGAACTCTTCAACCGGCAGTCGTTCACCCTGACGATCGGCTCGTGCATCTTCACGTTTGAGGGCATTGGACTGATCCTGCCCATCCAGTCGTCCATGAAACGGCCAGAGCACTTTGACAAACTCCTATATACTGTCATGGCCATCATTACCGTTCTTTTCACGGCGGTTGGGGCTCTGTCGTATGCTACCTTTGGCGACGAGACTAAAACCGAGATTATCAGTAACCTGCCGCGCACAGACCGCTTTGTCAACGCTCTCCAGTTCTTCTACTCGCTCGCCATCTTAGTGAGCACACCCATTCAACTCTTCCCCGCTGTCCGCATTCTGGAGGGCAAGCTGTTCGGTCAGGGATCTGGCAAGCGCGATCCGATGATCAAGTGGAAGAAGAACGTGTTCCGGACAGGGGCCGTTGTGTGTTGCGGACTGATTGCGGCCGTAGGAGCAGGGGATCTCGACAAGTTCGTGTCCTTGATCGGATCCTTCGCATGTGTGCCGTTGGTGTATATCTACCCGGCGTACCTGCATTGGAAGGGGGTGGCCGAGTCGCCATGGGTCAAACGGGGGGATATCGCGATGATGGTGCTGGGGGTGGTGTTTATGGTGTACACGACTAGTGCCACCGTATCTGTCTGGCTGGAGGGATCTTCTTAGAGTGGCCATCGACATGGCATGCGTAGGGTCCGGCGTCTTGGTTTTGCATCTTTCGTTGGAGGGGTTCGGCGCCCTGGCTCAGTTTGTCAGTCACTCATCACAATTGCTTGCCCGGCTTGCCCGCAACTAACCCCAGCGTCCAGGCTTTTGCTCAATCCATCCACCAGGGAGCTAACGGCTTGAACAGCGGTAGAGAAAATCGACATCCCAGTGCTCAGCAGAGTAGTGCAGCGGAGCAAAAGTAATCCACCTTGGCTTGTGAATTCGTTTTGCTTTTGCTGCGTTGATTGTGATCCGTGAGGGGTTTTGTCCTCTCTTGATGAGGAACGAATGAATGAAACACCTGACTCATACCCCACCTGTTCTTCTCTAGAGCTGTATCACTCTTGCACCGTAGTCATCGGCTCTTCGGGGACACCTGTGAAACAAACCCACCCGACAAACCACCCTCACACTACTTTACGCGATGAGACAAACCCCATCAATACAACCCTAGATGCCATGCCCATCTACAAAACACCTGATCCATAACAGACACAGACTGCCACATAAATGCATAAACCTTGATTGAGCCGGTTTACAATATGCTAAATCCGCTGATCCACAGCATCAGAAGCAAGAAGATACTAGATAGTGATACTATACATTCACATTCCTACCCCCGAGAAATTCCTAAGGACATCCGCTGGACGGGTAGTTGCAGCTGTCATCGCTACCACCGGTGATGTCCACATCGGTGAAGACAAAGTTGGAGCAGCTGCCGTCACCGCAGAGGATGTAGTAGTCCTTGCCGTCGCTCATGGTACCGGTGACGTCGACGAAAGTGATGTTTTCGATCTTGACGCCGTTGGTCGGGTCGCCGGTGGCACCACCGTTCTCGTAGTCCTGCTGGATGTCGATACCGTAGTCGGTGATGCCGGACATGGTGATGTTCTCGTAGCGGACGTTGTAGACCTGCTTCTGTCAGACAAGACGAAGTGAGGATTTCGAGGACAGGGGGGGAAGCACGGACCTCGCCTGTGTCACCGGCATTGCTCTTGATGCGGCAGCCGTTCTCGCTGTCTACGACCTGAGAGTTGGAAAATGTGACGCCGTTGACGGTGTTGTCGCTCTTGCCGCCGATGGAGCCGATGCTCAGACCGTGTCCACCGTAGCAGTAGAGGTTGTCGATGACGATCTCGGTACCACTGGTGACGGCCACACAGTCGTCCTGGTTGTGTACCCAGCTGTTGGAGAGAGTCAGGTAGTCGCTCTGCTTGATGTCAAAGCCATCGGTGTTGTGGGCGGCCGGGTCGCCGTCGCTCTTGCTGTTGGCGGCATCGCCGGCCGAGTTGTTGAGGGTCAGGCCGGAGATGGTGAGGTGCTCGGTGTTTTCGATCTCGAAGCAGTGGACGGGCCAGTTCAGGATGTAGAGGTTCTCGATGCTGGAGTTATACATGTCTTTGATGACGATGAAGTGGTCCGGCCTGGTAGCATGTTAGCATAACAAGCCGGGTGACCTTTGCTGGTAAGAAGATTACTTGTCCTGTCCACCGTTGGATCCCTCGCCGTCCCAGTATGCTTCACCGTTACCATTGATGACATGTCCTTCCTCGCCAGTGATGGTCAGGTCGGTACCAGAGATGACAATGGGATCGAAGTCATCGTCATAGGTGTCACCGAAGGTCTATTGATTTGGTGAGCATCGTAACTGACTGTACGGCAGCAGGGATAGCTTACGGTTTCACCAGCGAAGATGACTGCCGCACCGGTTTGCAGACCTGTGAGATCGATGGTGCTGGATGCCGGGGCGTAGACGTTGGACAAGAGGATGTTGGAGCAGGATGCGACAGCGGAGGAGATCGAGGCGTATTCGGTCACCGTGCAGGTCGTGCCTCCGTTGCCCGCGACGGAGCTCTGCACTGGTACGGGGGCCTGGGTGGTCGCCGCGGCCGCCGAGGTAGACACCGCCACACGAACGGCGGTGGTTTGGAAGGTAGTCGCCGCCGCAGAGGTTCGAGTAGCTGCTACCGGAGGCGCCTTGCCCTAGGTTTGTTCAGCGGTTAGAGTACAATTGTAGCAGTGGTCCACGGCTATAGCTGGTACTCACCTGACTGCTGGAGGAAGCTGCCGAGGTCGATGCGGGAGAAGATCCATCAACTGTGCCCAGGCAGCTGCAGGCACTTGACAGATGCTTGGTCTTGTAGTCGCAGTTGGAGAGGAAAACATCCGGCACGTCGGTGGTAGCAGTCACCGAACTAGCCGTGAAGGTGGCACAGAAGCTAGCAGCTGCGGCGGACGAGACTGAGTAGACGGAGGCGCAAGCATGGCTCTCGGGGCTTTCGCAACCCAAGGCGAGGGGAAGGAAGGAAAGGAGGAGCGCGCTGCGCTTCATGATGGCGAAAGGAGCGAAAGACTGAAAGAGAGTGTAGAGCAAGAAACAAAAGAAGAAAGAGGGGAAAGGAAAGACAGCTGTGGCGATGGATTCCCAGATACTTCCATCTCGACGGCGGTTAGAGGTGCAGCGTTTTATGTACTCTGGGTGTACTACTATGGGCCCAGAAGCGCCAGGCCATCACCATAAAGGTCGGAGTTAAGAATCAACAAGCTAAAGCTCAGCCACCTCCTCCGGGAGCTTGGCATGGCTTAGGCTTCGAGTGGAGACGTGAAGAATTCATATCCGGCTCATTGGCACCGTCGGCAGCCACGTCCCGTAGCCGAGCTCGATACGAGTTGACGACGGGCCATCTTGATGAAGGGATCCCTCGAAGTGTTTCATCAACTGCAGGGTGGGTGGAGAGCCGTTGATGGTAAGAGCCACTCCACTTATCTGAGACTCCGACGCGTCACCCTCAGGGCCCCTGCGCGAGTCATGGCTGGCCAGGAACCATGGGGATGATTCGGATCTCTCGGATCTCCGAGTCTCGGGGTCAATTCTCTTTCCCCTGTGACGCACTATGCCTATAACGCTTGGACTTCATTGTAAACTAGTAGGTGGATGACTGTCATCGTGTATCCGGCACAGTTGGTCCATTCATAGCGTGGTTACCGAGTGGTTCGGGTGGGTCACAGTGGCCAGAGCAGATGTTAAATCAAGCAACTGGGGGCTAGGGAGGAGACATCGTTACTTGTCAGGACCCCTTCCCCAATGCATTCATTTCCGTCGGAAGCAGCATTGTTATGCCGGATCGTGCTATCGGGTCCATCCACTCGCGCGGAAGGGACTAGCTTTCATCCCCGATGGTCGGTTTGCTAAAATTTGTCGACATATTCTTTTCGAGGTTGGCTATCCATGGCCTAGATTGGTAATTGTGATCAAGCTTCTCACACTTAGCGTGAGCGTGCCTCGCTTCCCGAGACAATACTGGAGCAGGGGTGGCAGAGATTGGAAACAAGATAATCAATCCATCGCCAGGCCTTCCCCTGAACCTACATATCGAAATGTTAGAATGTTAGTCTGTTTGCGGACATGCTAGACTTGATCTTTTCTTTCTTGTCTAGAGGTTTTTGTCAGATAGTGGGTGACCACAAGTGAACCTGGCCGTAGTATCTCGACCTTTACAAATCCTTTCAAGTGAGCCCCTTCAATGTTGATAGCTGGAAAAAGGTCCTCAGCGCAATAAAGATAGACCCCATATAGCCATACAACAAGGACTTATCGGCTACAAATCCCTGCATTGTGACGACTGCACCGTATAGCGTTGTGTCTAGAAAGCTGACCTAAATTTACATTGATGACTTTCTTCAGTAACCGTTTCCAAATCTGTCCTTCAAACCACTTCAGTTGTTAGCAATCCCGGCCTCCTAAAACAAGTTTATGGACCTTCCTCACGAATTTCCCCAAGACTAATATAAGTGATGGTCATCAAATGAGCATCCAGGCTTATTATCAGAACAAAGTCCTGGCAGTCTCTCATTCCGGTAGCTGCCAATTGATTATAAGTAATACGATCGACTCTCTTTGTGGAGGCATCTGATATGCGCGGTTTAAGACAACCTGGGTCACAGATGCAAACGCCAAGCTCGTTGACAATGGACATGACTTTCGATGATTATCGGCCATCAAATATGCAATCCTTCTCCTGTTCCACTTTATCGGTGCTTCGACTACACAAGATGTCATGCCTGCCGCATTCATGTCTTGGATAGTTGTCAGCATGTATATACCGATGGCGACCAACATGATTTGATCTGGATATGAACGAATTTTGTTACTTTCACGTTCCTCGTCCACAACTCTGGAACTTACCGGTCAACCTCGACTCTCTCCGAGCAGATGGTCACCGACATGCCGAGTAAGGTATCGGGCGATGCGAAACAAATCGTTCTGGTGATGTAGTTCGACAGGGCCCCAAAGAAAGACATGTCTAACAGATGGGATGCCATGCTTGAGCATCAGCTTGGCCATGACACAAAAAGTGAGGAGCAGAAAGGTGAGGCGGTGGATGGGGAAGGGAAGTTGCGGAGTTAAGAGGCGCGGGGGGGGGGGGGGGGCTTATACTCATGGAACACCGACACGAGCCGTCCGCGGGATGCCCCAGGCCAAATACAATGAGCAGACTTCTGACTACAGTGACAATGTCACCGAGACTGACAGACGAGACACTGAGCAGCAACAGGCAAGATGATCTCCAATGGTCCGTGCCCCTCGTAATCCCTACCCAAATGGTCCGAACTTCGACCAGCACGGCTCCACCACACGCTAGCTGAACATGGTGTACAGTACGAGATACGACCGAGAATCCCAATGGCATCAATTGCCATGGAAGTTTTCTGCCCAGCCATGGACTATTTCAGGAGTCTCCGCCACTTAAGAAGCCCAATGCCCCAGTTCCATTCATTCGTTTCTTCACCCCAGATGCTACCATGGCTACCGGCTGGACCGCATACGCCTACTATCCCTCCGTGGGAGGGGCAGCCGTCATGATTATGATGTTTCTGGGTGGTGTTGCCATTTTTACTTACCAGCTTATTCGAACGCGCGCATGGTTGACGATTGCAGCCTTGATTGGGGGCATGTGTATGTTGGCTGAACTTCCACCTCAAGTCTTTCTTCAGCCTACAGAACTGACATTGGAGACTTGATCTTCCAGTTGAAACGGTAGGCTATATCGGTCGAGCGATGTCCGGCAATCAGTCCCCCAATTGGACTCTAGGCCCTTATATAATCCAGAGCACGCTTCTCCTGGTTGCCCCGGCCTTGTTTGCCGCCACCATCTACATGGTCCTGGGCCGGATCATTGCCCTCGTGAACGGAGAGCATCATTCGATCATTAGACTCAGATGGTTGACTAAGATATTCGTGCTGGGAGATTGTCTGTCGTTTCTGATGCAGTCATCTGGTCTGTCTCCCCAGGCCTCCGCTGTCTGCCCTATACTTACCTCCCACAGGCGCCGGAATCATGGTACAGTCGAAGTCCGCGACGGATAACACAGGCCAGAATGTCATCATCGGTGGTCTCTTTGTCCAGATCCTGTTCTTCTGCTTCTTCCTTGTGGTCGCCGGCATATTTCAGCGTCGCATCTACCGACACCCTACTGTTCGCTCCGAGTCGCCTTCGATTCCGTGGCGCAAACATTTCTTCTCGCTATACGCGTCCAGCTTCCTGATCCTCGTTCGGTCAATCGTACGCTTCATCGAATACGTCCAGGGACAAAACGGATATGTAATCACGCACGAAGCTTTCATCTACGTTTTTGACGCCGTGCCCATGTTCCTGGTGCTGTGTATTCTCATTCGAGTCCACCCCAGTGAAATCAACGGGCTGTTGGGCAAGTCCCGGGTGGCCGCCGTGGGCAACGGCCTGAAGTTTGTTGATATATCTCCTGCGCTTTAATGACTGAGGGGTGGGATGGTTAGAGTAGATGGATAGCCTGTTGTATATATTGATTGGAGATAAGATTTGCTGCTTTGCTTTCCCCTATTTTGTTTAAAGGAAAAAATAGAAACCCCCAACTGAAAAGCGGCGGACCCACTTGGGGTGTCTCCTTCGGGGTATCAGAACGAATACGACGATCGATCCAGTAGATATCTACTAGGCGATGACATGAGATGCGCCACTCATCTCCGGCAATGCCCTGGCATTGAACTACTGGTGAATCGAAATGCTCTCTTAAATAGCTGGAGATTCCCGGAATGGTTCGTTCACTGCCCGCCCTGAAAAGCCCATCGGTTACCTGGGACAACAAGACTTCACCCCCAACCATGATTCTAATCATCTTCGTGGCCTGCCTCGCATGGACAGCCTACATCCTCGCATGCACGTATCGCAATTGCCGATCGGTCTGGGCGACTAGCCCAGATGTCCCCGTCCTCCTCAGCGTCATCTACCTCGGCCAGCCGCTCTGGCACTGCCTCCAATACTTCCGCCCAGCCACATACAACGACCGTGTCTCGATCTTCTTCCAGCTCCACAGATTCCAGAAGTATTCTTGGAATTTCTCCGATAAATATGCCCTTCACGCGCGATACGGAAAGTCGTTCTACTTGATAACACCCACTCAATGTGAGTTCGTTACCGCGGATGGTACCGTGGCTAGGGAGATCCTAAGTCGGAGCCAGAGCTTTGCGAAACCGGTTGGCCTACTGAGTAAGTGGCCCAGTCTTGCTTTCATACCTGTACCCAGATTTGCTAAAAGCGATAGGATAGGGAAACTCGATGTGTTCGGCAAGAGTCTCGCCTCAGTAAGATCTCCACCGCGTCCTCACCACGTCGCCCAGACGGGCATCACAATCATAGCTGACGAGCTCCTCGGCAGGCGGAAGGGCTGGACTGGAAACGCCACCGGAGACTTACGGCGGGTGCATTCAATGGTCAGACTGATAAAGCAGCGTGGGACGAGGCATTGAACCGGGCAGCCGGTGCTCTATCGACATGGCTGGAAGCAGAGGCCGTCACAAGCACCAGCTCTGACATGGCCCATATCAGCATGGGCGTACTTTTCCAGGCCTGTCTCGACCTCAACGACGAAAGTGGACTCCACCATCCGAATATATCTGTGGATGGGTGCAAGTCTAGTCTGATCACCTTTCTGGATATCATCTCGCTGGCCAAAAAGCCATTCCTCGCTCGCTGTCTAAGAATACGGCATAGAAATGGAATCACCTCTGCTGTGCGACGTTTAGGGTGCACATTGACTGAACTCGTGGAATTTCGCAGACAGTGTCCCACAGTCGATCGCACGGACTTGATCTCCTTGATGTTGAAATGCGAATGCCAGACGGACGCTGTGCCAGAGAAACCAAGTGGCAAGCACTACCTCACTCCGGAGGAAATCCGGGGTAATCTTTTCTTGTTCCTTTTCGCGGGCCACGAGACTACAGCCAATACTCTGGTGGCTATTGTATATCTGCTCGCGATATTCCCCTCGTGGCAGGAGTGGGTCTTGCAAGAAGTCGATAGCCTCTTGCGGGACATCAGGATGGATGAGCCTCCCAGCTATACGCTATTCCGTTCTACGAAGCGTCTCAGAGCTGTTATGGTACGTTTGCGCAGCGTTGAGTCATTCACATCTTAGACTAATGAGATCGCCAGCTCGAAACACTAAGGCTTTACGGACCTGTATTAAACATCCTAAGGGAGACTAAGCATCAGGGCCAGACTGTGAGTATGAGAAACGAACAGTTACTCATTCCTAAGAACACCAAGATACATATCAACAGTATTGCGTTGCATACTGACCCCGACACATGGGGTCCTGACTCTCTGGAGTGGAGGCCGAGTCGGTGGATCTCAGACGATCCACCTGAACCTACCAGCCACGACGGCTCAGTTCTTGTAGATGAATCGAACCATGCCAGCATGGAAAGAAAGCTTTTTGCCTGGTCCGATGGAGGGAGGGTATGTCCGGGGAAGAAATTTTCGCAGGTAGAAATCGTGGCTGTCTTGATCCAGCTTTTTCGAAATCATCGGGTCAGCATCATTGCTCAGCCCGGGCAAACACTTGAGCAGGCGAGAATGGATGCGTATGCGCGTGTCCAAAATAGCGTTCAGACTCTTACATTGCTCATTGCAGACCCTGAAGCTGTTCATCTTTGGTGGGACAAACGACGATAAACTGATATAACAGTAAATAGTAAGAAACATATAGATCGCATAGCGCTGAGATATATCTCCGACACGTTCATTCTAGTCTCAGTTTCAGGTTCAATCCAGATTGTCAACCTAGACTGCCCAATGTACTTTATGAGAGTAACTGAGGAAGTCCATGACTCCTCATCTGCAATCAAAGCGCAGACTCTTCAACATTAAAGCATTGGCCATATATGATGGGGCACATGAACGGCCATTATCTGTTACGCCATGTAGTAGCCATGGAAACCACTTCTCTTGTCCACACTTATTCTACATCAGCAGCAGGTACCCCACTAGATCTACAGCCAGCCAGTGGTGGCCAGCCTATTGCCCTAACTGCCTAGATAGGTCATGAACACGAAAACGAACCCGAATGCGACATCCACCAGCCACCCCATCGTTATCAACTAACGCAGCAAACTGCCCTATATGCACGGTTCACAACTATAAAGCCATCATGCGCCTATCACTCCATACTCTCAACACCAAATCATCCCAAGACTTCAACCATGGTAGTAGGAAACTATCAACTCTACTTATACGCACCATCCCTCGCCGCCGCCATCGCAGCAACAGCCTGCTTTGCACTCATCACAACATGTCACATAATCCACTACATCGCCCAGCAAACATGGTCCTTCACACCATTCGTCATTGGAGGCATATGTACGTTGCCACCCCTCCCCGCTTCCAAAAGAAACCCCTCTCACAACCCCAGTCGAAACAATCGGCTACATACGCCGAATCCTCAACAGCCAACAAACCCCCAACTGGAGCACAGGACCCTACATCATGCAAGAGCTTCTTCTCCTCGTCGCCCCCTCCCTCTTCGCAGCCTCCATCTACATGATCCTCGGCCGCATCATCCTTGCCACAAAAGGCGACTCCCGATCCCTCATCCCCGGACGCTGGATAACCCGCATCTTCGTAATCGGGGACATCATTGCCTTTATAGCCCAAACCGGCGGTACGTCCATCCCCTCCCCTGCACTCCCAGTATAACCCAACCCAACCATTAATATAAACGTCCAGGCGGCGGCATCCTCTCGCAAGCGACAACGCCCTCCCGAGAACGACTCGGCAATTGGGTCATCATCGGGGGTCTTTTTGTCCAGATCGGTTTCTTTGTGTTGTTTATCTTTGTCTCGGGGGGGTTTCATCTTCGGATGAGGAAGTATCCGACGCGACAGGCGCGGAAAACTCGTGTTCCGTGGGATCGGTTCCTGGGCGTGTTGTATATCACGAATGGGTTGATTTGGCGCGTTCGGTGTTTAGGGTAGTGGAGTTTGCGGGGGGGGGGGGATGGGACGTTGCAGAGGAGGGAGGTGTGGTTGTATGTTTTTGATGGGTTGTTGATGGGGTTGGTTATGGTTGTTTTGTTGGTTTGGCATCCGAGTCGACTTGTTGGGGGGAGGGGGAGGGGGGAAGAGGTGATAGAGGTGGAAGGGAGAAGAAAAGGAGAAGGAGGGGAAGAACTAGGAGAATGTCGAGCTCAAGACGTCGTTTAGGGCGAGAGGAGGAGGAGGTGGTTTATGTTGTTTGATGATGCTATGAGATAAGACCTCTGGGATGATTGAATGCGCTCAAGGATAATGACCTACTACTTAAATGTATGGAAAAGAGAAGGTCCGAGAAAGACACTTCAGTGAATGACAATTATTTATGTAACAAGTATTCAGCAATTGCATTCTACAACATCAAACAATAATATCATTCACGACCACCAATCCACAATAAGCCATTTCTCACGGATCGTGTACACCATACAGCTTGATAAAAAAGCCACCCCCCATAAATCCTACACAACAAGCAAAATACAAACCAAGAACATACCCAAATCGGCTCAACCCTACACACCCGCCTCGAAACAACCCTACCAACAACAACAGAACCCCCAAGAGTCCGGAATCTTCCCACCAGCCTTCAACACACCCCACACATCCACACACAGCAACGACCCCTCCCTCCATCCCTCAATCAAACAAGGAACCATCCTACCTACCTACAGACCACCACCACCACCCCATCACCCAAGAACAAACACCCTATATCCACCCCAACCCACCAAACCACAATCCTCCAAAATGACAGCCCCCTCAATATTCAACACAATCTTCGTCCTCTGGGCAAGCTGGCTACTTCTCATATTCGTCATGACTGCATTACTCTATCTCACGGAGTCGCTACGGAATTGGGTATTTAGGGCTTCTGATGATGATTGAGTACGTTGCTAGTGGTGTTGAGATGCAAGGTTTTTGTTGATTGGTGAGGTGGAAGGTGGAGGGGTGGTATTTGGATATGGATGTTTTGGTGGTGGGTGCAGGGGAGGGGAGGGGTTGATCTTTGACTAATTATCTATAGATGGGGAAAGGATGGAGGTTGGGTTGAGTTGAAGGATGGTTTTGGCGTGAGGATTTGGGGTATTCGATGTGTGTGTGGATGGGAGGGAGATTATTGGTCATAGTACGGGTTTTTGCAAGGATGTGATGTTTATACATGGGATGGTTTTGTGGGGGGTTGGATTCGAGGTTTTGGTCTACTACGAAGAGGAAGTTTGCTTCTGTATGTAGGAGGATATACATTATGTGATGAATAGAATTGTTTCGGCGTGCAAGGGCTGATAATAGCTTGGTTTTGTGTTTATGAAGTGGAACGGTTGCCAACGGTTTCAGGCATCGTGCTAGTTATCTCTTTCTGCAAGTCGCAGTGGCTGGAGATGCCTGCGTAGCTGCAATGTATAATATAGCTAATGCGACCCATGTTCTTATAAACGAACCTGGCCCATGGAGCGAACTCCCTGCTGCCACAATTCCCAGAATGCCGGGACTTGACGGATTGCTTCAGCCAGTTTGCGAAGACCTGTGATGCCCCGTTCGGCATGAACAGCAGCGACATCTTGACCCGGCACATTTAATGAATTGTTAAATACCTCCAGCGACATCGGACCCTGGTATCCTGTCGCCACAACAGCGGCAGCAACCAGGTGTACCGGCATATACCCCCCACGCTGCGACTCAAATGGATACAATCGATGTCCGCGCGACCACGGCAACAGTGCAGGTACCTCTGGGTCTGTTGGGGGACGGAATGTATTTGGATCCATGAGCTCGGCATCACCCACCTGGAAGAAAAATATACGGTCGCCAGGCACAGAAGCCACAAGAGACGCCAATGATGCACACAGTACGTCTGTGGACTCTTCCAGTGTCGGGTAAATGCGGCCATGACCAGCGGGATTATATGGATCGGCAAATTCCACAGCCAACATGTTGAATACATCGATAATGATTCCAACGTTGGAACGATTGGCCATTCGCACGACTTCCCAGGTGGACGCCCAGGTGTTGCGTGTCGCCCACGATAGGCCCTCGTAGCCGATGCGCAGCATGGGACCACCATCTGCGTCCGAGTATGCCCTGGCCATGTCACCTAGCTCCGCAAGATCGCGTGCTACTGTCCTCAGGTCAGACGTGACTCCATTGTCGGTGCGGATGTTGGCACACATGAACACGAGGTCGGTGTCAAATGCGCGCATGAACGGGAAGCGCTTGGCGACCAGGTCCAACGAGGCTCGCCGCTCAGCAGGGTCCTTGATGCCTTCGATCTTGCGCAGAGGCTGTGTGCATGCGATACGCATTCCAAGTGACTTGACTAAGTCGCCGAATTTACGGGCGATCCGCAGGTTTTCGGTGGTTGCTTCCCAGAGCTGGTCACCGGAAAGTCCATTTTCCTCGAGGTACGCGGCCCAGCATTCGTCAAACAGGTCGATCCAGCGGTAGCCGGCTTTGGCGGCTGCTTCGAGACGGGGTTGGAGTCGATGGTGAATGGCGTTTCCGAGGGAGAGAGTGGCGATGCCAAACTCATTGGGAATAGAAGTAGGTGGCCAGGGTATGGGCATGATTAAGTTATAGCGTGGTGAATAAAGGTGTGGGTTGCTAGGATCGTTGAGGGGAGCGACGGCTCATTGCATCAACCGGTCAATCATTCTGTACGAAGATGCGGGGTGAAGACTTTCCCGTCTTGGGGAGGGATAACCCTACCCCCGACGATCATTCAATGTATCTGGGGATTTCATGGGGTAAGGGGATCGTGCCTCTGCGCCTGGCATATGAAATCCTCTGACGTAGGCGATGAATTGAAACCATGGGTCGTGGAGAGTATGTCCGATGCACACCAAGAGGCGACATGGTGCATCCAATTGTCCCGGTTGCGACGGAAGAGGATGATGATGGGAAACACTGGTTTTCCCCTTGACGGCAGGTAAGGCCGAAGGTTGGTAGCGTCGACAGGGGCTGTCGGCAGCTTCCGCTGTCTCCGGATGACGTGGGGAGTAGACTTTATCCCCGCATTGTATCGGTCATCGAGATGATTATGCTCGCACAGATGACGATCGCTGCCCGACTCGATACCGGGGCAACCGAGCACTTTCCACCTCGCTTTCTACCCAGCAGGTCGACGACTCAAGCAAGGCACATCGCGCTTACTGAGACCATTCATCGTCTAGACTCGGAGCAATTGGACGAGGCGAAGAGCAATCGGGGTCGGAACAGCCGGTACTGCAGGATCCCCAGTGCGACCGATGCAAGGACACGTCAGATCTGCATGCCCGGGCTGGAGATTCCCCGCCAGCCTGGAGGGAACAATCCCGGCGGGATGCCATGATTATTATGGTCCAAGCCACAGACTGCCTCGGCCAGCTCGGCTGCCAGTGTTCGGAATGAGTTCTAATCGCCGGGTTGGGTCAGGCATGAAGATGAAGTCCGGTTTGAACTTCTGAAGTCTAAAGACCAACCATCGCCGTGGAGGGAGGGAATGCAGCCCTTTCCCTGACCGGGGGAGTCAGACCCTGGTGGCTCAATCTATCGATTTCCCCGGCGAGGGTCCCAACAATGTGGATCCAACATTCTCTCCGCACCGGTCCATCCCCGTCATCCCCGACTAGCATCTCCCACCGTCCCATCACTACTGCATCTCGCGTCGTACCACCCCCCAAATTTCCCCCCAATGATGCCCTGTTCATTGACCGAGATTAGCAATTAGCCTAATAGGCTAAAATCTCTAGATGTCTATATAAATCGTCGCCGACGAGACGGATAGCTGTAGCGCATACCGATCGAAACCACGCATTCTCCATCCGCCCAGATAATGAATGCGAGGTAGAAGGCGAAACATGTATTTCTCCTCCATCCTCGCCCTGGGCGCTTTGGTCCAGGCCGCAGCAGCCTCCTACATTACCCCCAACTCGACCGGCCTCCGTCTCCAGCATGGCTTTGAGACCATCCTCATCCAACCGTTTGGGTACGACGGGTTCCGCGTGCGCGCATGGCCCTTCCGTCCTCCCTCGGGCAACGAGATCAGCTTCATCTATGACCCCCCGTTAGAAGGCTTCGAAGACTCCGCGCATGGCATGAGTTATGACACCGCTACCACCGGCTCGGAGCCCCGCACTCTGCGCAACGGCAACATGATCCTTCGCACCACCGGCTGGGGGGGTGAAACGGGTGGATACAGACTGTCCTTCTCCCGCGTCAATGAGGATGGGAGCGAGACCCTCCTCACGAACGAGTACGCCCCTCTCAAATCTCTCAACCCCCGGTCCTACCAATGGCCAGGTCTGGGGCCGGAATTCTCTGCCGAATTCTCCTTCAGTGCAACGCCGGATGAGCAGATCTATGGCACCGGAACGCAACAGGACCATATGATCAACAAGAAGGGCCAGGTGATTGATATGGTAAACTTCAACACGCACATCCCGACTCCTGTGTTCATGAGCAATAAAGGTTACGCCTTTATCTGGAACATGCCTGCCGAGGGGCGCATGGAGTTTGGGCCCCTCCGGACCAGGTTCACCGCCGCGACAACGACGTTGGTCGACTATGTGATTGTGGCCTCTGCGCCTGGCGACTACGATACCCTGCAGCAGAGGATTTCGGCCCTGACGGGGCGGGCACCGGTCCCGCCAGACTTTGCCCTCGGGTACATCCAGTCGAAGCTGCGGTACGAGAACGAAACCGAAGTTGAGCTCCTGGCGCAGAACTTCCACGACCGCGGGATCCCGGTGGCCATGATTGTTATTGATTATCAGTCGTGGGCACACCAGGGCGACTGGGCACTCGACCCGCGCCTCTGGCCAAATGTCGGGCAGATGTCGGCGCGGGTCAAGAACCTCACTGGTGCCGAGATGATGGCATCGCTGTGGCCCAGTGTTGCTGATAATAGTGTCAATTATGCGGCACTGCAGGCGAACGGGCTGCTCTCAGCCACGCGTGACGGCCCCGGCACCACTGACTCGTGGAACGGATCATACATTCGCAACTATGACTCGACAAATCCCTCGGCGCGGAAGTTCCTCTGGAGCATGCTGAAGAAGAACTACTACGACAAAGGCATTAAGAACTTCTGGATTGACCAGGCTGATGGCGGAGCTCTCGGCGAGGCGTATGAGAATAACGGGCAGAGTACATATATCGAATCGGTCCCGTTTGCCCTGCCGAATGTACTGTATGCCGCCGGGACGCAGCTCAGCGTAGGAAAATTGTACCCCTGGGCGCATCAGCAGGCGATCGAAGAAGGGTTCCGAAATGCGACAGACACGGAGGAAGGGAGCGCCTGCGCCCATGTCTCGCTGAGTCGGTCCGGGTACATCGGGTCCCAGAGATTCTGCAGCATGATCTGGTCAGGAGACACCACGTCCGTGTGGGATACACTGGCAGTGCAGGTAGCCAGTGGTCTGTCAGCCGCAGCGACTGGCTGGGGCTGGTGGACAGTCGATGCAGGCGGCTTTCAGGCTGATCCAACGGTCTGGTGGAGTGGCAACATCGACACCCCCGAATTCCGGGAGTTGTATGTGCGCTGGCTATCCTGGACGACCTTTTTGCCCTTCATGCGCACCCACGGCAGTCGGGCCTGCTACTTCCAGGACGCCTACACCTGTGCTAACGAGCCATGGTCGTATGGCGAAGCCAACACACCCATTATTGTTTCGTATATCCATCTGCGCTACCAGCTAGGTGCCTACCTGCGCTCCATCTTCAAGCAATTCCACCTCACTGGTCGGAGTATCATGCGTCCGTTGTATATGGACTTTGAGAAGACAGACCCGAAGATCTCCACGCTCACTGCATCGAACAGCAACTACACGACGCAGCAATACATGTTTGGGCCACGCCTGTTGGTCTCCCCGGTGACCTTGCCGAATGTGACCGAGTGGCCAGTGTATCTGCCACAGACGGGCGACAACAGCACCAAGCCATGGACGTACTGGTGGACGAACGAGACGTATGCAGGAGGGCAAGTGGTGACGGTTTCAGCCCCGGTGCAACACATTCCAGTGTTCCATTTGGGATCGAGGGAGGAGCTCCTCATAGGCGATGTGTTCTAAAGCCCCTAAATATTAGACCTAGAGAGAAATAGGAAGCCATGTTGAGCACGAAGGGCTTGCCTGTGATTAAAGTCATTCCACATATGTTTCATGCTCGCGTTCCGCCAATGGAGGCGCCGTCAAGAACGGTGTCTGCAAAATCCATAAAAAATAAACTCAAGGTCCGGAAAAGAGAAAGGGGAGGCGACGAAGAGAAAGGGAGTAGAGTTCCAGTAGTCAGGCGGGCGAGGGGCACATGTACGGCGGACGATAGCCGCCATAAGGAAAAAACGCGTTTTGGTGTTTTTGAATTTTACATTTCATGATTTACTCTCCCATTCTGCCGGCAGATTCAACTTGCCTAATCTACGCAGGTTGAATCTACGCAGGCAGGTCAAATCTACACAGGTCAAGTCTACGCAGGTTGAATCTATGCAGGTCGAATCTACGCAGGTTAAGTTTATGTAGGTAAGTCAAATCTACGCAGGTCAAGTCTATGTAGGTCAAATCTACACAGGCAGGCAGGCAGGCAGGTTTTAGATATCTAAACCGGGTATGTTTGGATACCTCGTATTTGATTATAAAGAGATAGATTACTTAATTTTATAATCTCATAAAATACGAGCTACCTGTGTAGATCTGATATTCTTATTTGCCTGCGTAGATTTGACCTACCTGCGTAGACTTGACCTGCGTAGATTTGATCTGTGTAGATTTGATCTGCGTAGATTCAACCTGCATAGACTTGACCTGCCTGTGTAGACTTAATCTGCGTAGACTTGACTTATATAGACTTGACCTGCGTAGATTTGACCTGCATAGATTTAACCTGCGTAGACTTGACCTGTATAAACTTGATCTGTATAGATTTAACCTACATAGATTTGACTTGCATAGACTTGACCTGCGTAGATTTGATATGTATAGATTCAACCTGCGTAGACTTGATCTGTGTAGACTTAACCTGCATAGATTTGACCTGTGTAGATTTAATCTGTGTACACTTGACCTGCGTAGATTCAGAATGAAGACTGGCAGGCGGTGATTAATGCGGTCAAAGGTCAAAACACAAAAAACGCTTTTTCCTTATGGCGGCTATCGTCTGCCGTAGAGTACGTGTCTTCGCCTTGGTTTTCCGCCTGGCTTCACCTACGCTGGAACCATCAACTTCACCCCGCGAGGACTTCCAAGGCCCCCAAATGCGAGCGATCGCTAAGTGCTGTACAATGACAAGAGCTGATATATACAGCTGGACTGACTACGAGATTGAACAGTCGGGGTTTCAGCGAACACCAAAAAACAGAGTATTCTCAAGAAGCGCTATGGATGCAATGCAGCAAGCACGCTGTGAAGCACGATATACTGGTACAGGTAAAGAGAGAAACATTGAAGACAAGCACATAAGAGCACAGGCAAGCAATACTTATGAGCCTCAGATGTTCAGTCACATCCTACCAGTGGCTTTTCCTCTGCCGACTCGGAACGCGGCATACGGCAACGTGCATGGTATCGCAGAATTTCAATCAGGATATACGTGGTGCACAGGGCCTGTAACACCGCCGCTGTCCAGGACATCCCCAGAAATGACGTCCCTGTAGTCGCTGAGACCCCATAATCATTGCCCGACTTGTTGATCAATTTCACGAACTCGGTAGTGATGACGCTGGCAATGACGGAAGCGATCCCGAAGCTGAGCAGGCTCACCTGCAGGATAGATATATCAGATGGATGCTGGCTTCAAGGACCAGTGGCCTGGGGAGCTAACACTTACCAAGAAGATGACAAATTCCACTAGAGACGGAGGGCTCTCAGAGTCAAAGCGAGGGGATGGATCCCCGGTGTAGCTGGGAGGTCTGCTATTCTCCGATGCTCGTGCGCAGGCAATTGACCAGATCCGGGCTCCGATGGCGAGAGCTGCGGTTGCGGTACCGAAAATGAAAAACACGACCATGGTTGTGTTGGTTGGACCTAACGCTTCAAAGTCGTCCGTTATGCATGAAGGCCAACTGTCCGGGGATAAGCTTCCAGACGGCGTTCCCAGGGCTTTCAGAATGGCGTCGCTCGGGTTGAAGGTAAACAGCACGCTGCGGTCGGAGCAGCCGATGATCTCGTTGGTGGTTGTCGTGGAATTGGTGGTCTCATCCGATACGACTGTTTCTTGAAAACCGGTGCAGTATGACATGGTGTAGACGGAAAAATAATCGGGGGCCCCCGCACCACCAGCCCCTCCGGTATATAACTAGCAAAGATGGCATGAGTTGGGCACTTCGATCAACGACATCACCACTTACAGTTAAAAGATCTGCCTGAGGCAGAATCTGGCGCTGACTGCCAGCGAAAAGACAAAGGATGCCCAGCAGAAAGGCAACGCAGGAGCCCACGATGGGCAGCAGGGCACGGAAACAACTCATTGTGTCTGGTTGATCCTATCGAGGCTGATTTACCACTGAGAACGAGGGTGGATATGATTGCAGATACTCCTCTGCTGAAGCATATAAGAATAGGCGAGTCTCTGCATGGGGCATCAAATACAGAACAGAGGCTAAATCATGATTTGGAACAAAATGATGGAAGAGAGAAGAGAGAACTTATACACTGGAAAGCACATCCAGGCGTGTCGTACGCCATCGACCAGACCATATTCCACTGCCGCCTGCGGTGACCAGCCGCCAAATCCTGAGAATGCTTAACCCTGCCTTAAGCTCGTTTCAAGACTGCGCCGCCAGGTTAGGTTAAGCTCGTGGCTTTCCTTCCGTGGCATGTTCCAATTCCTGGTGATGTCGCCGTAGACGGACGGCTTTACCTGGGTCTCCATCAAGGAGCAGGAGCACGCTTAGACCTCTGTCTCCGGGCACAGTCCCAGCCTCGCGATTTATAGTGCTCCATCAAGAGCTCCCTGTGTTGTGGCGTTCCACCAAACTAGATCCTGTTACTCCTGCTGCTACAGGAGATGCTGGAGTGAATGCCGATCAGTGCGGGAGATAATCTGATCATCCGCAATTAATTCATCACCTGTGTTTTATTTGAACACAGGACAACTTTGTGAAGTGATCTCCAACCATGATCAGGGGATCAGAAGTCTGAAGGAATGAAGGTTATTACTATTATTTGGGGTTACCTATCCGGCCCGGCAAATTGTCTTGGGGTGGATATTTTCTCCAGGCGACTTCCCATTCCCCACCCACCACCGGCTGGTATGCGAGACTCGCGTTGCACAAGATTCTTCAGTCCTCAACCAAATATTTCATGCAGAAGGAAAAGGATGTTTCACTTCATAATGATTCGTACCGCTGTGTGAGTGGACGGTCCTTCTTCCTGGGTTGCACAATAGGCTGCAGGCCAATACCTCAAAAGAACAAACAACAATGATATCAGTTTTCCGGAAATTGCTTCGAGCATCGCTGCCAATCGGCCCATCGAGGCCATATCTGAGACCGTCTAGGCAGCGATGACATCGGCATACGCAGATCGCAGAGACATACACGTAAAGACAGGACTTGAAGCGTCGATCCACAGACTAACATTCGTATTGCGAAAAGTTGCAAGCATCAGAAAGGGGGTGATAATTATGGACCCAATGTGCCATTGATCTGCTCAGTCCCGTGGGCACTCGACTACATTCATTCTAGGGGATCCAAATGAAAAAAGGATGAGTCCGTTGTGCTTCGATCATGGATGGTGACCATAATCGCACGTGGAATGAAGCTTGCGCGCGATGGTACCGGACATGGGTTACAAAGTCTTGTCTAATTGACTCCAATTGATCATGGTAATTGGAGAAATTTGCTTTTTCGAATCACGAAGCACCGCCTCCTTTATCTAGTGAAGACTTCGCGCCCGACTCAAGCCGTGAAATCGGTCGCTTCTTCTTGAATCACTAGCCATCCGTGAAGGAAGCCAGGAATCGAGGTAAGAATGTATTGAGCGGTATAACCTTTTAACTATGTCTATCTTTATGGTCATACTTACAGCAATGCCTTCTTTTATAGTGCTTCATTATGCCTGTTTGATCTCTTCCTCGACAAGCTCCATCGCAGGGGCCAATTTACTCTTCTGCCGGATACGGCCACCATAGAGGTAGAACATCACCGGGATTGGGATCATCACCACGGCAATGCATCCTAGCAGCGTACCTGCCCATTGAATACCGAGGTTGTTGAACATCTGTCGCGTGAAAAGAGGGAAGACGGCACCCACCATGGATCGCATCATGGTGTTGGCCGCAAAGGCCGACGCAGCACTACATCATTAGCATGCAGCCCGGTCCGTATGGGAGAAGAAAATAAGAAAGGCGGAAAACGGAGTGCACTCACAACTTCGAGTAAGTGTCCAGAATATAGTTGAAGCACTGCATGAAAATGGAAGTTAAGCCAAATCCCACTGCCACTCCGGCAGCCGTGGGAGCCATCCAATGGATTGAACTATCCCAGCCAGTCCATCCAAACCTGCCCTCACTCGTCAGTATTGCACCAGGCTTGGCGTGCGCCCGAGGGAGGGAGAGCCATACCAAAATAGCCCACCAGCAAACGCGGCGCCACCAACAATGCAAGGGGGAAGACGCCATTCCGGCACCGACACATCGTTGTTGGCCACCAACTTCCGCGAATAGGATCCCGACAGCGATAAGACAAATGTACTGCCTGCGATTTCGCCAATGATAAGGCCAATGAAGGGTAACCCTGCAACACCACCAGTCATGCCATAGGTGCCTTCGAAGACGATCGGGTACGCCTCCAGCAGTGCATAGGCCAATCCATAGATGAACGACATGTAGAGGGTGAGTAGAAACGCAATCGGCTCGGTGAACAAAATTAAGAATGGACGCGCCAAATTCTTGGTGACCATCTCGCGGAACGTAACTTCGAGTTCGTCTTGACGAGCGTGGATACCCCAGTTCCGCGTCTGGCGTCGGAGGATGGCCGCCTTCTGAACCAGGATAATAGGCGCGTATGTCTCTTCGGTGAAGAGAACTATCAACGCGAGGCAAAAGAACCCAACAATGGCGGGGACATACAGCGTCCACCGCCAGCCTAGATGGCTTGATGCCGTAAAGCCGCCAATGAACGGGGCCGTGAACGGACCGGTGAACACCGACATGGTATACATGGCGATGGCGACTCCACGCTGGTGATTGTTGAAGACATCAGACAGGCTGGCGGGAACCAGGGCAATGATGCTGGCAGCGAAGAAGCCCGCAAAGAAGCGGCACAGCATTAGGGTCTGTGTATCCTTGGCAGTGGCACAGGCTATGGTAAAAAGATCGAAGCCAAACATCCCGATCAACAGTGGCCATCGCCGGCCGAGCAGCTCCGAGCCAGGTGCCCACACCGTTGGCCCCGCCGAGAAGCCCAAGACGTAGAGAGTCGTTCCCAGTGCCGCAACCTCTTCACCAAAGCCAAACTCCTTCATGGCACCCGAAGCAGCAGTCGCAAATACTGCACTGCCGTAGGCAGTTACCAGGGCACATGAGGTGAGAAGCGACCCCAGAATGACTCTGCAGGGGCATCAACGACCATCCCGATGCAATATAGGTCCGATAAATGGGGGCCATCATTTCTTACCTTCTCTTCATGGGCCAGTTGTGGGGATGCATCGGATCATCTGCTCCTTCGAACTCGACCACATACGCTTCCGAATCTGGGAGAGGCGGTGGGTAGGGTTTCCCGGCCCCGAGGGGTAGCCACTGGTCTTGCGGTATGCGACTGCGACTGGATCCTATAGTGAGTTGTTGCTGAAGACGATAGGTGTTAATCCGCTCTATCTCGATACTGTCATGGAGGCCGGAGGCCCCGACCTGCGAGCCGCGACGGTGGGAGACAACAGATATGCGTTCCGCTATAGAGGAGGCGTCGTCACCTTTGGCCTCGTATGTATCATGATGAAGTCGGTCCATGGGCACGGATCAGCTTCTGCACCTTGTTAAGCGAAGCAAAGAGACGATGATGGTGAGAGGAGAATAGTCAGCTACGAAGAGAAGGTTAATACGGAAATGCATGCATTAATATCAGCCTGTTGGCCCCAAGCTGGCCCTCCAAATTTTCGTTTCTCACTTTTCTTTTGCTCAGCTTTGGGCGGGAGCCAATGCTCTGGTGGGTCATGGAAGAATGGGCATCGTCCACTCAGCCAGAGGCTCTAGATCCACTGGCTCGGTGGATACAGGATCCCCCTGGGGTGTCCCGGATAAGACGGAGCAAGCATCACCCTAAGGACATGCGGCCTGACCCTGGGTCACAATGCCACATAAACAGGCTGGCTGGCCACCATTGTATCTGGATCATCCCGAGACTGCGACCCAGTGTTGGAGGTTCGGGGTTGCGGAGTCGGAAGGGTAATCGGGAGGGCAGTCCCGGTGTCGGTTGAGGCCTCTTTGCCATGGTTACGTCTCCGGATGCCGGGGCTTGGACTTTGGACGCATCTGGGATACTCCGGAGTGGAGATTGAGATGTCGTTAGCAGGAACCAAACCGCGGCATAGGCAGGTACGAGATATGTATGGAGTACTCCGTAGGTGCTAGATATGGCATGGGAGGTAGATACTGCCTATGGAGCCGAGCCGAACCCGACTGTTGACCACGGGAATTATCCGCTATGGGGGGAGGGGCAGAAGGGAGGAGGGAGATGATACCCATCCTTCCATTTTGCCGGCATATGCCACGAGTATAGACCAACATCCATGCCTTGCAGACAGTCGGTCTCTTTGGTCAATCGCATCATCATCATACGATGGTGCCTGAAGGCGGGGTGGTGAAATCATGGATGTAGGAGGCGTGATTGATGATTGCCTCGGAAAGAAAAGCGGAAGCAGTAGAGGAGCGGAATGCTTTCCGCTGCCGGCCGGGAATCGGCATCTCACCCCAGGCTGACCGAAGGAGAGAGGGAACAAAACAAAAGATAGATAGAGGCCAAATTCCCTACTCTTTCCCCAGCCTGTGCAAATCTTTGGTGAATGAAACCACTTGCAAGTAGTACTTGCAGAGTCCACAAATCACCACTCCGGGAGCGAGTTCGCGAACCCCACCATGGTCCCTGCAGGCGTGGACTCAATACTAATCACTAATCACTAATCACAGATAGGAAAGGCGGGGTCGCAAAGGACACTCTCCGACTATCCCCAGAAATGCAAGGGAAATCAAGAAGTCGCGAACATTTCCCCCGAGTCTCTAAATTTCACCCCGCGTAGGAACGACCCCTCACCACCGGCAGCCAGGAAATCAGATTCCGACCCCGTCGGGAAATAACACCGAGCCTCAGTTAGCGGGATCTTCATCGTGATCTTTATCTACCCTTCCCCTCCTCTTGTCTCCCTGTGTCTAAAGATCGACGTCAACGAGCTACAATCGAGAAGCAGAGTTAAAATGATCACCGGTCTTGCGCACGTCAACATTCTCGTCCCGGAAGGGACCCTGGACCTGGCAGAAGATTTCTACACCAACACGCTGGGTCTCCCATCCGCCCCAGTTCCCCACCTACAAAAAGGAACCCTTATGTGGTGAGCAACTTCCACGCTGAAGCCTTGCTCTGAGAAGATACAGTCGAAATTGATTGCGAATAGGTTCAATCTCACACCGGACGGCAGTCAGCAAATCCATGTGGCCTTTGGAAAGAACCGCGAGCTGGATTCCAGGCGCCATGCTTGCCTAAGGGTCGGATCACCGGAGGCATTGGTGACCCTGCAGCAGCGCATCTGGGAGCATCATCAGAGAGGCGGTGCCGCCGCTCCTTTGCACGCCGATCAGCCCGGCGAGCAGAACTCGGGTATGTCCTTACCTTTCGTCATCCCCGATTTCATGGGAGTATTACCTAGCTACCTAAGTGGCTGCTGTTGTGATATGTCTTGTTATCCGAATCCGTCTCCCTTTAATTGGTCTTGATGTTGTATCTGCTCTACTGATCACTATGAATCCGGCTGTAGGGGCCAAAGGTGTCGAATATCCGGATCGATTTTTCGCGAGGGATTACGCGGGCAACAGGCTGGAGTTCACACTATGACATCGATAAACGAGTCTATGAATCAATGTTTGTCAGTATATAATGAGCGGAGGCCATTTGGTCATGGTCCAATAAATACCTATGCATCTTTCGATTTCCTAATCGGGTCACACCACATGCCACATATTTAACTGCCCTGCGGACACCCTGAAAGGTTGAGCTTTTACATGGAAGCTACTACAAGCCTTGTGGGCACTGCTTTTTAGCCTATGTATCTTCACCCACAGACTATATACTTCACAAACCCAGTCTGATTGAATGAGAACCTCTGCTGCATGCCCTCGGATCTCAGGTTCACCCAAGGCAGCTCTGCCATGTGCAGCTTGTTACTGCCATATGGATTGAGGTCACTCAATGCTTTCTTCATTACCTTAGAGGAGGCGGGGTTGCATTGGGTCAATTTGGCACATGCTGTGATGTGAGATCGTGGATGATCGGCACAGCATACAGCAAAGCACCATGGTAAATGGACACGGTATCGTTGACTCGTGATTCCGCTGGGATACTGGCACTCATATTTACATAGACATATCGTATTAACTCACGTACTGTGGTTGATACTAGAGTTACTCGCGTGTGATGAAAGTAGTCCACGATAGTATTATAGACGGAATGCGCGTGTAGATGAAGATCTCTTGCTGAGGAGATGATATATGTAAAGACCCAGTTGCGGCTTTTCTCCATAGCGAAGATAGATTTTCTCCTGCTAGAGATTTCGATGTGTCAGTAGTGATACCATTTGATTAATTCACATGCCGATAATGAACTGGATGATCACTTCTAATCCGGGTCTCGAATTACTCGTCAGGCAGTAAGGCAGTCTGGCATCAAGGCATCAAGGTATAAAGGTATCAAGGCAGCAAAACGGCACGCCGGATGGCATACTGACCGCCTACCTAACGCAGCCCGCGGCTTATGCAGGAAGGGGAGCGGGTTTGCTGCTTTTGCTGCCCAGCACCGCACCGGCAACCACCGAACCACCAACTTATTACTATTACTCCAAGACCAGATCATCAATCCCCTCCTCCGTTCCCCCTTATTCTTCCCTCGCTTCCTCCTCCTCCCCTCCCCTCCCTCCTCCTTCATTCCCTTTCTAGCGAGCCTCTTTCCGACCGCGGGACCTTCCCCTCCCCCTTGTCTCCTGGGGTATGCCTAGAGGTGGATCTCTTTTCCCCGGACCTCCTTGTTATTGTGGTCGGCCGACGTCCGGATGAGGCTCGACCTTCTATCTGTACCAACAATACGCTGTTGGTGGTAACTGGTTCTTCAATCAGTTTTCGCTTTTTTATCGCGGGCCTGATACTAGTCTGGAGCTTAATCCGGAGATCCGGTTGTCTCTCTTCGTGCCTTGAGCGATCTATCCTTACTCACCCGGTGGGAATCCTTCCCAGACCGTGCCCGAACCTCGCTTTGCACATCTCCCCTGTCGCGTGCGGCCAGCCTTGTCCATCCCGCCATCAAACCCCCGCCGAGGCCCCTTAACAACAATGGCGCACTATCAGAACGGATATCCGACCTACAACCAGTCCACCAATTCCCCACCGGGGTCGACTCAGCCAAACCGCTATGACCTCTATGCCACCCAGCCGACGAGCCCGCAGTTGCGAAGGATGCCAAGTTATAACGTGGGGGACGATGCGGGTATCTTGGGCTCCCCCCATTCCCAGGACACTAGGACCACCGAGGCGAATGCTCGCTATACTGGTTGGAATGCACCAGCAGAGGGCCAATCTAGCTACAACCTCATCAACACTGGGCGCGATGAATATGCAGACCCTCGATATGCGCACATCCCTGCGCCTACCTCTCCACAATTGTCGCGCACCCGGGCTTCCTCGCAATCAAGCTACCAATACCAGTATACCTCGTCGGTTCCTGCTCCCACATCACCCACCCAGCTTGCGTACAATCCCCAACAATATGCCTTGCCTCCCACACCCTCGCAGCAACAGGTAGGCTTCAGTCCACTCGCATATACAGGACCTGGGGCTTCGTATGGCAGCGCAACAACACCCGGTCACCAGCCTTATAATCCAGCCGCCTACCAACCTGCTAGTTTTGGCTCCTCCCCAGTGCAGAGGCAGCCATCCACCGCTTATGCACAGGCTCCTCCCACACCTCAGTCTTTTGGACCTCCTCACCCGCAGTTACCGCCGCCTCCGCCGCCTCGGGGACCGGATCATCCGTATGGAAGTCGTCCGTCACCCCAGTATGGAAATGTTTCGCCAGGTACGCACTATGGGTTCACAACCCAGCAGACATCGTCTTCGTCCACACTATCGGGTTCTTTGTCATATGGTACAGCATCCCCATCGACACCCAATGCTACTTATGTGTCCACAAACAGCTCTTTTACCACCGGTGGTGCGAACCCCGCTGCGACCCACCCGTACGCTGGAGGTGCGCAAATTCCGGCCTACATTCCACACTCATCTTCCCATTCTGAAGGTGGTCTTGCCTCTCCTTTCGATGAACAACCTCCTGCACCCCCGGCTCACTCGACATCGACCGAGGACGCCTTTGGGAAGCGGTCTAGCCTGACGCGTCCCGGATCTGGAAGATCCCTTCCAACACCGCCCATTTATAAAACGCAAACACAAATGTCGCCACGTAGAACAGATACTTTGACTCGACATCCCCAGTCGCGGCCTTTGCCTGGCCCTCCTGTCGATGCAGATGCGGATTCGAATCCTTACATGGCGTCCAACGGGCTTGACAGCCTGGATGGTCGGTCAGATATGAGAACTGGCTATGATGAGCTGATTGAGGAGGTCGAGGCTGCGGTTGCGGACCGGCGAGCCGGCGGCGAGCCGGGTTACACCTTGGATCCATTACGCGTGGACCCACACGACGCGCTGGTATTGGAACCGCCAACCAGCGTCTCACCAGGCCCACGGCTGTCTCCCGACGAGAGACATACTCACACCAATGGTAGTATTGCCACCGGTACAGGTCAGTATGTGAATTACGATGCATACAGTGATGACAGTGATGCGGAGGCTGCTGCGGGCTTGGCTATGTTGCAAATGGCAGACGAAGAGGAAAAGGCTCAAGCCGAGCGCCTTCAAGAACGTGCGCGGCGGGAGACGACTGCCTCCATTATCAGTGCATATGGAGCACGATCGGAAAATCGCGCTCCGTCTCCCCATCAGGATTGGCCCCAGGATGAGCTGGAACCGTACAGTGAAAGCTATCATCGGGCCTCCAACTATGAGATGGATCCCCACACGAATGGTTATGGTGATGACTTAGACCATGCCAGGCTTGCGCCTACATCGGGCTCGAGGCATTCCAACCCTTTCGCAGACAGCCGCAGGGAGTTCTCGGATGACTATGACTACCCACCTACAGCGCTCGATGCTTCTGGGTATCCCTATACAGACTCGCAGCATCATGCACGAGTGGATGCTGCCGGCACTGGGGGTTTAGCGGAGCCAGGAGCGTATGAACGTCGGATGAGTTTCGATTACGGCGATGAGACCGATGGGCCCTTGTCTCAGGCTCATCACTTGCAACATTCGGGAAGTGAAAGCTCAGACAGGGGAGAGGAACCTGGAGACCTCTTCTTCCACCCAGGCATGCGGCCGCTTCCACCGGCTCCTGTGGAGCCGGCAAGCAACCCAAGCTTAATGTCGCATTTGATGCCGGCAGGGACGTACCGGCACCAGGAGCAGGGTGACGTGCAGGGCTCTACCCAGTATACACCCTCCTATTTCCCTACTGCTCCAGACTCGTATACTTCGACCGTGTCCAGCCCCACCCAAGTCCCACGGTCGACGTCTTTGTCGAGTCATCCAATTGGACCTCGTACTGACCCCCCTATCAGATCGAAAACCGATGCAGACCGGGCGAAGTATAAACAGCAACAGGAACTTCTGCGGCAACAGCAGCATGGCGGCGTCAAATTTGATGCTTCTCCGGATGCTACAGCTGCCATGACGCTCGATCTACCTACGATCCCTGCTGGGCGTCGTAAGAAGTTCAACCCGACTAAATTGTCGTCAGAACAATTCCGACGCTGCACGGAGCCGTGGGCATTAAGTGCCATTTTATCCTGGGTTCGGGAGCTTAGCGAGGACGAAACGGACCTGAAGGAGCATACGATCGTTGAGGCTATCGTTGCTTTGTTTACCCATAAAGTACCGACAATGAATATCGCTGATGCGGAAACGCTAGCTGCGCGTGTCGTCAAGAATATGATGCAGGAAGAAGCCTTGGTGAAGGATGAGGAATGGGTCAAATTCAGCACCGGGACATTGTCGGGAGTCTTATTCCAGATCACCGGTACTGGATGCTACTCCCCTCGGCTTCATGAGCAAGGAGCAGAAGTGTTCGGGCGTTGCTATTCCCATCATTGTATGCGGACGCTCAAGAAAGTCAATCTGAAAGCGCAGATGATGGAGGCAGACAAAAATGCAGAGGACTGGGTGACGTTTTACAAGGTCCCTAAGGAACTTTGGGAGACTTACCCCAAGAAGGAGATCGACCGACAGAACAATCTACACGAGATTGTAACCACCGAGGATTCCTTCATATCCCAACTCGATGTTTTGCGTGATCTATATCGGGATCAGCTGGCGAAAATGCAACCGTCAGTAATTGCGCCAAAACGTCTGAACAAGTTTTTGAACGATGTGTTTGGAAAAGTAGATCCTGTCAAGAAGGTGAACGAAGATCATCTCCTGGCTCAGCTCAAGTATCGCCAGAAAGAACAGGGCCCATTCATTGCTGGGTTCAGTGATATCTTCCGCGAATGGATTCGAAAGGCGAAGTCCGTCTATATTGACTACGCGGCGACATTTCCCAGCGCGAATTACTTGGTGCGCAAAGAAGCAGAGAGAAATATTCACTTCCGCCAGTTCCTCAACCAGGCCCGTGATCACAAGCTGTCAAATCGCCTCAGCTGGGACACCTATCTCAAGGCCCCCATCACCCGGATTCAGCGGTACACGTTGCTACTGTCTACAGTTCACAAGAACATGCCCAAAGATTCCGAGGAAAAAGCAAATCTAGCACAAGCCATTGAAGAAATCAAGCTGGTTGCACTCGAGTGTGATAACAAAGTGGGCGAAATGAGCAGGAAGGTTGATCTCATGGAACTTTCGTCCAAGCTGCAGCTCCGCCCAGAAATGAAGAAGGAAGTTGAGCTGAATTTAGAACACCTGGGACGCGAAATCATTTTCCGAGGCGACCTGCAGCGGCCAGGAACACGAACAAGGTTTTTGGTGGATACACATGCCATACTTTTCGACCATTACCTGGTGCTAGCAAAAGCCTTCACCGCTCGAGATCCATCGAGAACCGTGAAGTATGAGAGCTATGATGTGTCCAAGTTGCCAATCCCCATGGACCTTTTGGTCCTCGAAAGTGATAATGAAGACCCTGTCGTGAAGTCTGCGGTCCGGGGAGTAGTAGCTCAACCACAGGCCGTCGTTGGCCGTGGTGTCGGCGGCGGGCCTTTAACTCATACCGCCAGTGGAAACTCTGCTAGTTCCGGCAACTCGAATCAAGGAAAGACTTTGGTGCCCACCACTGTTCTGGAGAGTTCTAAGGATGACAAGATCCTTTACCCGTTCAAGATCAAGCACCTTGGGAAGAACGGAACATATACTCTCTATGCCTTTTCTGCCCAAAACCGGCAAGACTGGTGTGACAAGATCACTGTGGCGAAGACCAAACATGCTGCCGCCTTATTTACACAGAATGCCGAGCCGTTTAGGCTCCGCGTACTCGCTGACACCGCATTTGCAACCCCTGACAATTCGTCAATTCCCACGGGCGTCACTATCGACGGCACGCCTCTTGATCGTGCGATCAAGGACGTGGAGGAGCGTTATGGCCCGTCAACACCACGGCCAGCACCAGTTTGCAGAACTGCTGTCCACTGTGCTACTGTCTTTCAACAACCGGCTGGTCGGATGATGTGCGCCATTGGTACTGATTATGGCGTATACATATCCGAATACAATGACCCTCGCGGCTGGACTCGGGTAAGTAGCTTCTCTCTTCCGGTTACAGCCCTTGTTTCTTGCCAGGCGCATTCGGACTAACCACGAGTCTAAAGGCTATACCTATTGTGCGCGTGACACAAATTGCAGTGTTCGAAGAATTTAATGTCTTCCTGCTCATAGCAGACAAGTCCTTGATTGCTTACCATCTGGATGTTGTGTGTCCTCCGAGTGGGGTGGCAGCCCAGACAACAGATTCTTCCCGGCGAGCGCCGCAGAAACTGTCTGGCAGTCGAGAAGTAGGCTTCTTTGCTGCAGGACACATGAAGGACAGAACCTTGGTCATGTATAAAAAGAGAGATGGCTTGTCGTCCACATTCAAGGTTCGTGTTGCGAGATTTCCTTGCATACTTACATACTTATTCGAGTTATAGATTCTCGAGCCAGTCGTACAGAAGTCGTCCAGTAGCAGGAGCCGGCTTTTCAGTTCCCGTCGTTCACAGACGGAGTTCTTCCGAGAGTACGACGAGTTCTATATCCCTGCCGAAAGTTATGGCATGAACCTCTTCCATTCTTCTCTAGCAATCTCGACTCATCGAGGCATCGAGATCCTTACCATTGACAAGAAACATACATGGTCCGTTCCTGATTTCCGATCCGAAGCTCCCCCTGAAGCGCAAGCCCAGCTTAGCAGTATCGCTCATCGGATTGGGACTTTACGTCCGTTGGGCATGTTCCGCCTCAGCGACAGCGAGTTCCTGGTTGTATACACCGAATGTGCGGTGTATGTGAACAAACACGGTGATGTGTCACGCAGTGTGGTCATGGAATTCGTGGGGCATGCTCATTCTGCGTGTCTTTATGGAAAATTCCTAATATTATTCAATGAGGACTTTGTCGAGGTGCGAAACGCCATGAACGGCCGCCTACGCCAGGTCATCCCAGGCCACGGGGTCGTCTGCCTAGATGATGGCAGCAGCATGCCAGGCTCTGGTGCGAACAGTATCCCTACTAGCGCAGGGGGCGCTGTCAACCTTTCCAGTGGATTATCCAACGGTACCTCCCTGGCGAACAATGGCCACACAGTGAAGATATGCATGCAGCATCCCGAATATGAGCGGAGCCAGATCATCCTCGAGTTGATCGAGAACGAAGGGCAAAAGGATTAATCCGCATGCCTATCTCCCAGTTGACAAGTACCACAATCGCTCGTGCGGGGTTCCCTATGCCAGAGTCCAATTATTCTCAACCCCCTCTTTTGTTTTCCCCGATCTCCTCCCATTCTATCATTCTGACTTTATACCCCATTTTTCATTCTTGATATTCTATGGTGAATACTTTTCTATCTCCATGTTCTAAGCCATCACCGTCCTTTGTGGACCATTGTCAAGCCGGTGGATATGGGTTTATTTGTACATAGTTGGCACTGTCAGACATACATATCTTCGCATTGTAATGCATAAAGCCCTTTCTCGACCCGTTATATCTCACACAAGTGCACGCAAGATAGACAAGTCACTCCCATACTCCAGCAGCTTGATGCCATGTTCGCTTACAACAAAGCCTCATACGCTTAACTCCTGTCATGTCCCATGCACCCACCCACACACTTGGCATACCCAAAAAGAAAATATCAGACACAATTCACGCATTATCCAAATGAATTACAAACTTACGACACTGACCCTCACTACTATGACATACGATAAGACAATGGATGATGCTTGATGTGGGTTGGACCGGGAAAAATCATAGCAGAAGAGAGATACTTAGTTCACGATAGCTACTTAGTATATATGTAGGATCATTGAAGAGTTGGTGTTAGTTGATATTGCTAAATACAATTCTGCGCTGTGGGGGGGAGGGATTGAACTGGTGAATGATTGGTGTGTCGAGTGACGGATAATGGCCTTGGTGCTACGTTGTGAAATGCTCTGTCTACATCAGTGAGGGGAAGTTGGAAGGAAGTAAATAGAAGATCAAGGTTTATATTGTCTGGTTTAGGGCTGATGGAACAGGATACATGCATAGATACATACAATGGATCTTCCAGAAAGGGACAGCAGTCGTCTAAGAAAGTATAGACAGCGGTTGTATGGTGATGATGGGTGGGTCGATGGGTGTAGTGAGTGCAAATGATGAGGCAGACAATGTTGGCGATGAAAATGTAGAATGAGATGGGAAGGATCTGCGGGGAAAGAAGGAGGCAGACTTGGGCTCTATGATTCGAATTCAACCTTGCTGACGAGGGTCTGATCGGACTGGCTTGGATTGTGGGGGTTTTGATCTCCTCGTTCTTGTTTGTTGTCGTCTTCATCGTCAAGAAGTGAGGCGTCATCCTTGCCGCTGATGACCTCGGCCCCTTCAAGTAGATCGCGATCTGCATCTCTGACGCTACGCCGTTCGGGGTCGGCGCCGTAAGCACCTGCACCCCAGCTAGAGATGCCACCGACCATCGCTGATGTGGTGGCCACACCGGCGCGAGGATCGTACTCTTCCTCCTCCTCGTCCTCCTCTTCATCGTGGCGGTTAAGGGCGCTGCGCTCCAGTTCACGTTGTGCTTCGTCCATTCTCTTCTTGACCTCTGCAGCCATACGGATGCCGTCCGATACAATGTTGTCCAGCACCCCGCGGAGACCCTTGCCCGGAGGAACGATACCGCCTGAAGCTCCCGCTACCGAGGCACCGGTTGCCGGGCTAGATTGGGGTTTGGCAGCACCGATATTGGAGAATGTGGTGAGGTTCGACGAGAGAGACGAGGAAACCAAGGCTTCCAATCCATGATCTGAGAGGCGGAACGATTGTGGGAAATATGAATCGAAGAATTGCTCCAGCATTTCGTCAGCTAGGATCACCATGCGGAAGGTAGGAAGGGTGATGTGTAGAGGATTATTGGGATCAAGTGCAGGGTTTGCGGATTCTGAAAAGGCTCGGTTGTGATGCGCGTCGGACTTGTCTTCAGGCACCTGCTTCGCGGCCTTTTCTGTTTCAGTCGAATCAGTTGATTTTGCATCGTCACCCACATCGATGAGGTCTTCCTCATCGTCTCCAATGCTAAAAGACCCGAGCTTATCAGCTGTTCCCGCCGCATCGTCGTCCTTCTGTTCTTCGGCTGCTCTATCCGGATGGCTGGGATCGGCATACTCGAAACAACGACGTATGAAAGAACTGACGCTCCCCAAGAATCTTTCGTCGGTACTGAGTTTGTCTTGGTCATTTTCCTTTGCTCGGACGTCCTCCACGGACTGCGTGGGAGTAATAGCGCCTTCAAAGCCTCGCCGAGAAAGGAAGAGAAGCGCCTCTGACATGCGAAGAATACCTTCTCGATCCACCTGACCAGTCCCGTGGTCATCATAGAGATCGAAAAAGTAACTAATGTTGTTCATGATGTCACGCGGTCCTTTCAGTCGTGCAAGACCGTTGACTACGTTCTGTAGGCTCAGACCTTCATCTGGATCTGTAGCCCACTGGCGGAAGAGCCGTCGTGTGAACTCATGATCTGCTGGTTCAGGCTTATTATTCCACAATGCGGAAGATTTGCCCCAGCCTCTGAAACTGTTGAACCCCTGTTCCGCTGTTGAATCCTTGCGTGATGATCCGGGCGAGTCCGCAACTGCCCATTTTGCTGTTGCTGCGAGGAAATGCCGAAAGGCGTCATAGTCCATGTGAGTGGGACTAGGACCAAGTCCAACCCGGCCAACCTCTCTATCAACTGGAGGCCCAAGGATGGATGTCCTTTCCACCCTCTTCTTTTCCTGGCGCCTTCTCTCCTCTTCTAGGAGCTTCTCCCTCTGTTGACGGTCATATAGAACCTCGTAGTAGCGGTCGTAGATTACACCTAAATCATCCATGCTGAGCTTTTTACTATCTGGCCCCAGGTTCCGGATGGACGTGCGTTTGGCGAAACTTTCAATATTCTCCAGAACAGCGTCTTTGTGTTTCTCGCGCTGTTCCGTAATTGTCTGGTGGGTAATCTGAGAGAATTCTTTGAAAGCGACAACCATAAGCTCCTGAAACCGAGTGATAGCCCTCAGCTTTGGATTCTCAGATCTAGGGTGGGCTGACTCATCGAGGCGAGAGAAGTACGCCTTCAAAACGGAGATGAAAGAGCCATCATCCTGTATATCCAAAAGTTCCTCGCCATTGATCCTGAGGATGGCTAGGCCGACCTGGAAAAGAACCTTGGGGCCCTCGAGGAAGAACACGTCCAATACACGGAAAGCAAAAACCAGCGGCATAGAGTTAATATAAAGCGAGAGGAACCATGGAAGGGACACAACGGATAGCTGCACATCGGATTTCGTAAGATGGTCCCAAAGCACAGGCATAGTTTTCTCCACAAGGGATTCAAACACTTTTTGATCGAGCAACGTGCCGTACATTGTTGTTGAATAGTAGCCCGGCAGAAGGCGATCGCAAAGGACAGACAGCAAAAAGAAGGCTTGTGCCTCCGACATATAACTGGAAGGGTTAGCTTCATTCAAAAGGACGGTATGATCGGACAACGCACATCAACAGAGCTGCAACGACAATATTCATAGCCTGGCAGTACCCAATCTCTGCGTTGGTCCAACTGTAGGCTGTAAGAACCCTTCGAAGGCGACCAATGCCTTCTTCACTCTGGAACCCGGCATATTCGGGCAAGCTGCGGTTTAGGTCCTTCTCGATCTCGTCGATCGCCAGGGACTCTTGTCCGGAAAACTTCGATAGCGTCTCCGTATATAGAGTTGGAGATCTCAAGTGAAGGTAAAGCGAACCCGATGTCACCTCCCAGACCTCTCCCCGCAGACGATTGGGGAGACCAACTCGGATTAATTTATGGAAGGTAGGTTGACGGATGAGCGTCGCGTTGCGGCCATTCTCTATAGAACGACTCAGTATACGTTCCAGTCAATATAATTCCATAATGGGGTCGCATACCTCTAAAGTACTCCCCCCATAACCTCATCTTACTTCGGTCTCGAAGTTTGCGAGCATCACCGGGATATCGGAATATCATTCCCAGCCCGGCATCGGGTGGCTGACGCACTTCAAGGGCCTCTCCATTCTGAGATTTAGATTTGGCCCCGGATAGTAAGTATTCCGAGTAGCAATTATTTACGACTATTCGCAGGTTCTCGATTTCTTTCATGCATTCCCGCAGCCCCTTCTTCAAGCCGTCGCAAAAGCGTTCGCAGGCCTGCCTGCTTCCAGCCAGCTGGATAGTGAACCTTTGTGGAAAAAATTCGGAATTTTGTTGCTTCCCCAGTGCACCGTTCCATGTCGTTAACGCGAGGGAGAAAACATGGCTGAGACTGTTGAGTCGTTCCACCCTCCGGATGCAGCACAGCGGAATGGTAAACCCATTTCCAGACGGGCCTGTGCCGTTGGTTTGACCAGCCCAATGCGTCGACGCACCAAGGCTAGCGGATGGTGTGAAGCTTGTAGGCTGGGTCGAGAAGCAGAGGAACCGTTCGCTCAGATGGAGCCTGCCGGCGTAGCGGTTCCCGGCGCGGTCAACAAGATTGCGGGAGGGTTCGCCGTGGGATGTAGAGGACGGTGTATGCGGTATGGGAAGAATCAGCTCCGCTGTGATCTCTTGCAACGGATTCTGGGAATCCGGAAGACGGAACTGCTGGCGAAACAAGGAGGCCTTGGACGGGTTGCGATCGGAGGAAGAGAGGGTAGGAAGACTGAAGTTGGCCGGGTCAATGAAGGACTGGGCTTTCTGAACGAACGACGTCCACTGCATCATGGTGCTAGTGGAGGGAGAGGAGCTTGCCGAGGTGGCCTGGGACTTATGAGCAGGTGTATCCTCCTGCGTCTGGGTTGAGTATAAGGCTGACGGCCGACCCGGGCGGGAGCGGGAGCTGGATGGAGCTGCTGAAGCTCACACGGCAGTCAGGGTTCGGCGAAGAAGATGCACAGAAGCCCACGGATGATTCACGGCGGGATTCAGGGTCATCGTAGGAAGCTAGCGCAACATCGTTCGGCGAGGGCTTCTGGCGGCGGCAGACAGAAGGACCTGGAGTGTGACGACGGTCGGCATGGGAGAGAGGAGAGGAGGGGAACGTCGCCGGCGACCGTTCCGGGCAGGCTTCCGGGCAGGCTTCCGGGACGGCCCTCACGTGACAAGGCATCTGAGACAGTCTCCCTTCTACGATTGCAGTATTGTTCGACTACAGTGGTTTTGGTACGGAACAAGATCCATGCTTGCGCTACATAAGGAAAAGCAGCGGAGTTGGTGCAGTACCTAGACTGGTACAGCCGACAAGAAAGCCGAAAGAGCGAACTAGATCCCAGCGGACAAAAATAATAAAAAGGGAGGAACGGGGGTTTCGAAAATGGTAAAGAAAGGAAATAGGAACGAGAGTTTGCTTTACAGAATCACCCCGAAAGGAACAAGGAGAAGCTCAAATATATTCATCTCCGGCGAATTTGCCGGCAAGTCTTGCCAATGCCACCCCTCCGTAGATGTCCAGGTCGTTGTGCAGTGTCTCAACTTGCATTGTCCAGGGGAACGACGAGATTAGCAGCGCTTAAAGACTGGTTCAGTTCTTAGTCAAAGGCACTTCCTCAGTCATGGGCTCTTCATCACTATACGCAGGAGGGAGCTCATCGGAAGACTCGGTCATCAGACCCTGTTTTTCAGCCATAGTACCCTGTTCCAAAGAATCCTTGGGAGTAGAGCGGCGGAAACGCTGCCACATGAAGACCACGATCTGGCCGACCAGCATACCGAGAGCGCTAGCGGCCAAACCTGCCAAAACACCCAGCACAGCTGGAACCACGATGAAGCGGACCACGCGGTGGACAGTGCGTTCCCACTGGCCATGGTGTATGTGGTTCATGTGGTGGTGATGGTGGGGACGGTCAAACTTGCCCATGTGGCCCATGTGGCCCATGAAGCCGGCATCTTCTCCTTCCATGGGAGGGGGAGCAATGCGCTCGGGGTCAAACTCATCATTATCATCATGATGGTGGTGGTGATGGTGAGGCGGGGGTGGGCGAGGGTGATCCAAGCCATGGGGACCACCGCAATGCGAGCCCTTCGGCTTGGGACCCATTCCAAGCATACGGGCCTTGGCCGCTGCGAACAAGGACCGCATCCGGTCAAACAACAGTTTCCTCAGACAATTCGGCTTTCCACGGCACTGTCTCCAGGAGACACGGTCGGGTGTTGCCTCTTCAATCTCGGTCTTGGCCATGTACAGCTCACCGCTGTTAGGATCGTGGATAAGCGTCAAAGCCACGGTGTCCAAGGGAACAGGGCGACTGTCGAGATCGAGGACAGTGAAGCGCACAGCCACGAGCTCCATAGGGTCCTCGGGCGGGGTTGGCAGTGGCATTTCCTCTACAGCGTATCCCAAGGGAATCGGTTCCGTTTCCACGCCATCAGACGCCCGGCGCTGCACGGCAGTAATGAGAGTGGGAGGGGGTGGAGGGAAGATTTGGCGACCGTTGGCCAGAAGGAAGCCATTTTCAGTGGAGAATTCCAACGACTGAGCCATGTGTTAGCATTTTGTGTCCTCTTGCTCTACGGGTCGTCCTGAACTCCAAGGCGGGTCCACTCACCAGAGACGTTTGGAAGCCATCAGTCCAGCTGACCTTCCCATCCTCACCAACTTCGGGGAATGGACACTCGGTGCAGGGAAGCTCAACCTGCTGCTTCTTGGCAGCATAAACCTCCAGCGGATGGAAGGGGGGGAAATCGCTCTCAGGGGCGATGGCTTCATCGACTTCGGGGATAACTAGCAAGGCGTTGGCGCCTAGAGCGAGAACGCTCCCCACAAGGCACGAACGGAGGTGCATGGTGGCCGAGACGGATCTAGAACAGGCACATATGAGAGGGTCGGAAAGTGGCTGCAGGTGAGAGAAGAAGGGAGTATTCGCTGATAAAGGGAGATAGAAAATGGAAGAAGATGATGATGACGATGATAATCCGTTGTAGTAAAAATAAAGAAATGAAGGCTTGATGATCTGGATGCGACCGGGCGCTTGGTTCTTGAATGTCCGTCAGGAGGGGACAAAGGCGAATCGCTGCATGGCCGGGCCGCGTCGCTGGTTGGCTGGCTGGGGCGCGCCGGTGGAGCAGGTGACGCAGTAAAGGCCCACCGCCTACTGCATTGGGGGGAAGCTGACGCATCCGCCACCAAATCCTCTATCACATGATCTCCGCCTCCTAAAATAGACATTGTCATTATTATTATGGTTACTATTGTCTTGCTACTAGATACTATGTATCATACACTCCATATTATGCGATTAGTCCTGACAAGAATCATCATACATGGTATATTTACATCAGCTGTCTATATACATCTATACCATTCCCAATCACTAAGTCCGCCGTGCCACCAGGGCCGACAGACTCGTACCTGCATCGTCATCCAAGCAAGCCCGATTTGATGTCTACAAGTCTGGCCAGATTATAGTCTATCTTTCGCACCCACAGCCACCCAGGGCGTTTTCTACCGCGCACCATTCTCAAGACGTCTTCGGGTACCTCGTTGTAATGCATCCATTTTAGTGTTATAAATAACCATCGGATTAGACGACCAAGTAGGGCCCAAACAACCAGGAGCACCCCAAGGCTGAAGAGGGCCACCAGTACCATCATCCAGATGGGGATCGGTGGTTCCTCGTGAACCTTCTTTGGGGCCGTCTGTGTGACCCTATTTGCGATTCTTTTCCTAGGTACAATGTGCGTTTGCAGAGCACCCGTGGCAGGCAGCTGGTCGGTCGACAGGTTGGTCCAGGCCTTTGGTGTCGTTCGGGATGGTTTTATCTCCAAAGGATGCGACTCATACTTCTTTGGGAGATATACTGGCCCTGAGTAATTCGGTCCACATGACAGGGATCTCTTTAGCTTTCGTTCAGGCTCGCTCGGCTGTTTGACAGATATGATCGTAGCTGTCGGTTGGGGTTTGAGAGAATTATCCAGCGTCTGGACACCTGCAGTCCGATATGTACGACCCCAAAGTTTCCGCGAAGTCGCCGGGTTGAACAGTGGGAACTCAAAGCGATTATCATAACCCACATTGCCTTGGATCTGCTCTAGCTGGCTCTGACCGGCAGCAATGCGAATCTTCTTACCCCGTGCGAACGCGTTATCCACCTCATGGAAGCCATCTGCGTTCTCCAACTCAGACAGAGGCCGCTTTCGATTCGTGTTGGATAGATCCCCGAGGAATGGAATCACACCTGCATGGGCTGCTTGCTCCACATTGCCCCAGTCCATAGGAGCCACTTCGGCAGCCGGGGCCAGGCTTTGACCAAATAGCGATGGCGCGTCAGGAAGACTGGCCGGGTCTGTCTCGCGATCCAGTTGCGCCTGCTGCCCATAAAGTGTCGCTAAACTCGACCGACTCGCTGTGCCTTCAGACAGGCTATATAGGGTATTCTGTAATTCCTCGCTCAGTGACAAAAGCGTTTGATTGGCACCAGAGGGAATCATCTGCCCACTGTCGCTCGAGGGGGCCAGCTCGGGCCAGGTGACACCGGGATGCTGCACAGTTTCTAACATCGCGTGCTCAGCAATATCCTCCGTCTCAATAGCCCTGTGAACCCGCTCCAATAGAAACAATTTATTTCTGTCTGCCTCTGTCATCCTAGCCTGATATTCCGTTCTCATGCTTGTAATCTCCCATTGTTGTGTGGTAAGCTGATGCTTGAGTTTTTTCATCTCTTCTTCATTGTCATTTAACTTGTCCTGTTGCGACTTGATTATTCTATCGATTTCATCTTTGTCTCGTGCGATCTTCTTATTCTGTTCCTGAAGCTGGTTGATCCTTCCTTTCTGGACCTCGGTCTTCTTTTGGAGCTGCTCGTTGACTTCCTCGGCTGCTTTGATAGTTTTCTCTCTTGCATCGCTTAACTTTTCAGCCAGAATACGAGCTGCATCTGCATTTACCGTGGCTTTGTGTTGCTCTTCAAGCGATTGTTTCGAGATGTGGAGTTTTTGTGCTAGTTCATCATTCAGTTTTGCTAGTTCCACATTTCGGTCCTCAACTTCCTTGGCTTTTCGCTGGGCTGCTTGAAGCTCCTCCAAATCATCGGTAAGGTATTCTGGTTTGGCATCTGGTGGCGGATCAAATTCAACTCGTTCTTTGAAAGACGCCCTGCGACTGCGTGGTCCCTTATTCGGCATCGTGGATACTGATGGTTGGTATACCGTTCTTTTCGGTGTTGACACGCTTGAAGCTGGAGTTGATGGATAGTTGTTTGTAGTAGGGACAGTTGATGGGAAGGTTGGATCTTGAACATGGTCCTCAAATGCCGATCCGCAGCTAAGCGCATTTATAAGGTTATTGATACACTCCTTTCTTTCAATGCTTTCAGCATGGCACAGGAGTTTCCCACAAGAAGACTGCCTATATCTAAGCACAGGGCAGGATCGCCATATAGCATTACTCAGCACTGGGCCTTTATTCGAATCTATTGATAGTTCCCTGAAACTTTCTCAAATTTCGGATTTCGCCTGAGGGGCAGTTTTGTCAATCCCGGGCATTGTCTTGATATTTCATCGGTTTCTTTGTTGTCTTGTTCGATGTAGCATGACACGTGGAGTTTCGACAGAGCTGGAGAACACTGTGAAACGAATGGGGTCTTTGAAATTGTAAGGGCCTCTTTGTCCGCAAAGCACAAGTGCTGCCCTTCTTAACAATACTTGCTATGGAAGTTGACGACGAATTCTATACTGAGCAAAGCATAAACAGAAAAATTATTACTCAACTGGGGGTGCACCATCAAAGTTTGGATGTCTTCTGGCCTTTCACGTTGGGAACTGCGTCGCCTGAAAGGAGGAAATCAGGATACGAAAGCTTTCCATAGGCTGCACCACCGGCCGACATCCTCCAGGATGCGCCATCAACTAGGTCACTTTGTCAACAAATCATTGATCGTAACCTCTGCCATGAAGGACTCACCAACTAGAGTTTGACCACTGACATAACTGCCAGTGTCTGCAAAGACATACACGGTGGCGTCAGCGATGTCACGCACAGAGCCGAATCGGCCTAGCGGCTGCGACTTAGTGTAAGCCTCCATACTGTCACTCGGGAGGAGACGGTCGAGACCCTGAGATCATCAGTCAACTGTTCCCATATAGTAGATGGAACAAGGGCAAACCTCTGTCGAAGCAATGGGTCCAGGTGCAATAATATTGGAGGTGATGCCCAGAGGGCCAAACTCAATAGCAACACTGTGCGACAGTGCATCCACGCCTGCCTTGGCAACTGACACGTGCGTTTGGAAAGGCATCGTCCTATAATGAATGGTAGCACTGACAAAAATGATACGTCCTCCGGTACCTGCCGCAGAAGGCTTGACTGATGGTCGAGTAAGTATGAATCCCTTTCCGGGTACTCTGTCAACCGTCGACTTACGCGTTTTCGAGTCCACTCTGTGCTTTTTGGCCGACTCAACTAGGTACGGTAGAGTCGCCTTGAGGGTATTGTAAGACCCCAGGACGTCAATGTCCATGACCGATTTGAAAGCGTTCGCTGAGAGCTGGTTGATAGAGGCGAGGAAATTACCGGCCGCTCCGGCGCTTCACCCAGCCAAGATTAGCGAGGTGTCACCTCGAAAAGATGTGGCCCATACATGACAAAATCAATCCCACCAAGTTCTCGGACGCAGCGATCCACCGCATCTTGAAGGCTATCCAGTTTTCGTACGTCCACGGCGCCAATGCCGATGACCTTGGAACCAGGACGGGCGGTCGCAATGTCCTGGGCTGCTTTCTCGGTCTTATCAACATTTCTGCCGACGATGCAAGCATTGGCACCTAGATGAACCAGAGCGCGGACCTGAGCGCTACAAATAGTTCCTGCACCTCCCGTGCAAAAAACGACTTTGTTCGCTGCCGAGAGTCAGTGTCGATGGGGATTGGGTGTGCTTTGGCTAGGGTAAGCCGACTCACTAAACAGGCCATCCTTCCAGGAATCACTCAGGTAGGCTTCTTTTGATAGGGGCATATTGGGAGGTGAATTTGAGGGAAGTGAATGACCGGAGTGTGCGATGTGGTGCGTGTTACTGTGGAGGATAGTATGAAGAACGGAGTAGCTTAATGATGATCCTCAGGCGGGTGGCTGAATACCCCCGTATGAGCCTTGGTTTCTCCGCAGTTCCGCGTGAGGAGCAGCAGACTAGCAGAGATGCCTCGGCTTGTCCCAGCTCCCTAAGCTAATCTAAGTAAAGCGCCCGGTCGGAGTACTCTAACCGTACGGGGACTAGTGTATTTTGGCTAGTCGCAGCCTCGGAGGATTACTAAGTGCTACTCAGTAACTAACACCGATCCGGTGATTGGCTGACAGGGTGGCTCTACGCCTCAGGCTTGCAACAACGTCACTTGTCGGCTCGCCATCGCGAACTTTTCTAATGGCTTCTAGTGGTGCTAGTACCTTCGAGTCCTAATCCCTCTACGCATTCAACATACCTCTCATCCTAGGGGGCTTATAGGATTTTATTTACACCCTTACCCTGAGAGACAAGGCTTATCCCCCATTGCAGTCCCCTCCCTGTGCCAGCGCTACGGTCGCGTTGTCGACTCCCATCTCACGACCGTCATGGCGTGCCCCATCACTGTCTCCAAGTTTGTGGGCACAGTCTCCCTTGGGCTGCTCACAGTACGATCCCTATCTATTTTCTCATTTGCACTAAGTTTACCTGCCGCAAGGGTGTCAAATGTTCCTCGGCCCAGGCAGGTCAGTCTATCCCAGCCCAACTAACGCGACCTCGATCATCTATAGGGCCTGTCATACTCTGCTTCCAGTGTCGCCATTCCATCCTTGAGCCTTCTTCCTACTGCCACAACTGCCTCCCGGTCCCTCGGCGAAGTCAAGCGCTTGAATCGCAAACACGGTCTGCGACTGACTAACATCGCGAATGGGTGTCTTCTCTTCGCATATTGCGTCTCTCCCAAGCACCGCAAGCATCCTTATTTGATCTGGATGTGCGTCACTTCCACTCTTGGCTCATATGGTATGGATTACTGGTTCCACCGACAGGACGGCTTGGTGGTCTGGGTCCAGGACGTTCTGCACGACATGGGATGCAGCCGCAAGACCGTTCAGAAGCAGAAGAAAGAAGAGGATATCGTAGTGGTCGAGGCGGAGGAGAACATCAATGGCGAGAGTGTCCAGAAGGAGATGGACACGGAACGTCGTCTCCAGCGGGTGCGGGCCATATTCTCCGGTTTTGCACTCGCGATGGGTATCGTGGGGCTTTGGGGCGATCGTCGGCCTTGATCATGGGCCGAAAGCAGACTCCGATAGAGGTGTGCCCGAATGACGCCCGCATTAGCTTCGTCCTCTCCCCTCCCATCGTTTTCGATTCTTGTAGTGTCTTTCTTCTTTGCTCTAAGAATCTTTGGTCCTCAAATATGCCCGTCATGATGCATTCGGTGTATGTATACGGGTTCAAACATTTGCCCATGAGGTCCCAGCTATCACGATTGAGCGTTTCATATGTATCCAGTTAGGAACGGAGTTATGGATCTTCCATGATATTAATGAAGCCGGACAAACTGCACGCTCGGGCCGAAAGTCTCCTGGGCTGCACACTAGAGACATTGGTACATAATAGGCGCATGACAATTTCCCCGCACCGCCAAATATCAGACTTCATTCAACCAAGATAGATACAGCGGAACCACCACCAGCCCCCAAACATGCACCCTCTTATGCTCTTGATCCTTCCCTTCATCCTGTATACCGCGACCTGTCTCGCCCGTCTGATACACGCAGCCCTTACCAACCCCTCATTGCTGGCTATCCCTGGTCCCTTTCTCGCTCGCTTCACACGGCTTTGGTACTTTAGCCACGTCCGGAAAGGTCGTTTCGAATGGGACAATATCAACCTCCATGATCGTTATGGCCCCGTCATCCGTATCACGCCAGATCATTACAGTATCAGTGATAGGGCGGCCATGAAGACCATCTACGGCCCGGGAAGCCAGTTTGCCAAGTCAGCTTGGTACGATGGATGGGGTCATCCGGACCCCAGCAAGACGAGTCTATTTTCAGATCGGAATGTTAAGAGACATGGTGTGTATCCATCCAAGCTGTATAGATTTGGATGGTCGCAAGCCAACTAACATATGCGCAACCCCAGCCGAAAACAAGAAACGTTACTCCAGCCTCTATTCAATGACTTCCCTCATTCACTACGAGGAATTTGTTGACCGATGCGCCGATATCTTCTCGCAACGTCTGACTGAGTTCGCTCAGCGAGGGGAGTCCTTCAACCTCGGCCATTGGTTCCAGTGCTACGCATTTGATGTCATTGGGGATATCACTTTTGGACAGCGGTTCGGTAAGAAAAGCCCTGGTATATAGTCTCCCATTGTCTAGCATACTACTAACATGCACAGGGTTCTTGGACCAAGGACAGGATGTCGAAGGTGCGATCAACGCCGTCGAGAAAGTGATGGACTTCAGCACCTTGGCTGGCATCTATCCGGAGTGGCATTCGGCTCTGTATCATACCCTTGGCCGCCTCAATTTGTCCGGACCGGGTGGACGGTCGTTGATTATGCGATATGTCGAAGACAAGATCCAACAGTTCAATAGCCGATCTAATCGTAAACCCGAGCAAGATCAAGGCACTTTGAAGACACAGGCGTTTATGGAAAAGATGGTTTTAGCACGGAACAAAGACCCAGAGAAGGTCAACGACCGTCATTTACTAATGATGGGGGTATCAAATTTGACCGCCGGGTCGGACACTACATCAGTCAGCCTTTCCTCCATTATATATGAACTTCTGCGGAACCCAGCAGCACTCCGGCGACTCCGCCATGAGATCAATGAATTTGAAGAGCAAGGCCGTTGCAGCAACCGGGTGACGTTCAAGGAAAGCCAAGATATGCCTTATCTTCAGGCCGTGATGAAGGAGGCCATCCGCATGCACAGTGCCACCGGTCTGCCATTATGGAGGGTGGTCCCCGCTGGTGGTGCGGAGATCAGCGGTCATTTCTTTCCTGGGGGAACAGTTGTTGGAATCAACACCTGGGTGGCACATTACGATGAAAGTGTGTTTCCCGATGCCAAATCATTTCGTCCTGAACGTTGGATCGAGGCGGAGAGCAATCCGGAGAAACTGAAAGTTATGAATGAGATGTACATGCCCGTAAGTGCGCCAAAACTTCCGTCTCCCCTCATAGCATGACCACTAACTTCAGCAGTTCGGTCTAGGTTCCAGAACATGTATCGGCAAACATATCTCGATTCTGGAAATGTCTAAACTGATTCCCCGAGTTGTTCGCGACTTTGACTTTGAACTGGAAAACCAGACATGGACGACACGGAATATGTGGTTCGTGAAACCGACCGACTTTGTAGTCAAGGCGCACTTGCGAGCGAAATCCCCGTAAACGACACTGTCTTTGATGCCATAAAACAATCCGCATAAGATTCTTCAATATATACATCCAGAAGAGAACCCAAAAAAGCATCATATCTCAATATAAACCCACCACCAAATCCCTACTATCTCGCACCAACTCCCTCCTAGCCCATAATAATCCCCATAACCATCCCCAGCACCACCCAACCCTTCACTCCCAACCGATACCTACTCCCACCACTAGTACTACCAGCATCTCCCCCACCCCCAGCACTACTAGTACTAGTACTCGCAGAAGACGACCCCCCAACCCAAGGCTGCCCCGGCAGCGAATCATTACTAGCAGCGACAACCTCCCACGTCACCCACTCATTCTCCACCACCGCACAATCAACCCTCTCATCCGACTCACCAACAGAATTCGACACCGAGACAGGGAGATCAAAAACCGTATAATAATCCGTCCCCTTCCACCGGAAAGACTGATGCATGGAGACATTATACTCTCCACGGGCAGAACCCTTCTCCTTCTCATCACCACTGCCCACGAAACAAGCAGGCCAGATCCAATTGACGTGTTTCACTGTGGAAGAGGGTTCGAGATCGAGGACGGGACCGACATAGGTGTTGTTGGTGGTGGGGACGGTGCCGTTGGAGATGGTGAAGTTCTTGCCTGTGGAGGTGGAGGTGAGGAAGAGGGTGATGTCGTGGAATTGGGTCGAGGCGTCGTGTTTGGGGGAGGTGGAGAGTTGGCCGTCGCCGGAGATGTCGATGGCGATTTGGAGAGTATCTGGGGGGAATGGGATGTTAGGTTTGATATGATTCTTGTAAGGTGGAGGAGGGCGAGGGGGATCAGATGGGTAGATGGGTAGGTAGATGGGTAGTGGTGTGTACCTCCTCCGAGTGGAGTATAGGGCTGGGGAGCATCGACGATGGCCAGTCCCGGAGTGTAGATCTGCCCGTTGACGATGGTGAAGTTCATGATGTAGGTACTGGTTTGGCTGGTGGTTGCTACCTTGACCAGGGTGCTTTTCGGATCAGGGGGGGCAGCAGGGAGTTCATTTGCCTATATCTATTTAACTGGTCGAGCTATGCTGGACCCTATCTATCTACTACTACTAGATAGTGCTAGGGGCATAATTTCCGAAGCTCCGGGCGCAGGGACCCTGACCTGCTCTCCCCACCTGCCAGGCACCGGATTTAACCGAAATGAACAGCTGGTGGGGTTTCAGGGTCAAGGGCAGTCTCGAAGATCGAGTGGACTGTTTGTTAATTTGTTTGGGTCTTGGTGGTCTCGGTTGGTCTCAGTTGGTAATAACTTTCCGATATAATGATCGCTTCCTGTTCCCCTCCCATGATATACGGAATACGACAGCATGTATGAAATGTCTACAAAGCCTCTAGGCAGCAACAAGCCTATGCAAAAACCGGCCGGATTTTCCCTGCTGCGCGATCGGCTAGCCTCTCCGGCAATATGGTTTGGTACACATGCTGCGCCCATGCGCAACAGACCCGCCTAGTATCTTTCGGGTCGATGATTTCTTCGACGCCAAATGCATTCGCTGTCCGCACTGGGTTCATCAACCGCCGATACTCCTCCTCGAGTTCGCTGTACCGGGCTTCTTTTAGCCCTGACTTGTCTGCCTCGCGCAGCTCGTGGCGATGTGCGACTTCGATTCCACCTTCCAATGGCAGAGAGCCCCATTGGCCTGACGGCCAAGCCACTTGCATGACCGGATCACGAGCACCGAGCATCAGTCCTCCGGCCACACCATAGGCTCGTCGTGTAATGACGTTGAACAATGGGATCGTGGTAGTGAAGTAAGTCTTGCCTAGTTCCACTCCCCAACGCATGGTGGCGGTGCGTTCTGCAACTGTGCCAATAGCATAGCCCGCTGTATACCAAGTCAGTGAGTGAAGTGCCTAAGTTTTGGGAAGGGAAGAAGCGCATGGGTTCGCATCTGGAAATACTACGTACGAACATCGATGAACTGCAAAACAGGCAGATTCATCACATCACAGAGCTTCAATAGGCGGGCAAGTTTCTGACTCCCCGCCGCATCCAGGGCTCCTCCATTCACCTCGCAGTTGAGTGAGATTACGCCCACTGGTCGCCCTCCCATACGCGCCAAACCCCCGATGGCAGTGTGACCCCAGAGCGCACCAATCTCAAACCATGAGCCATCATCAACGACGCTGGTGATGATCTTCCACGGGTTGTACATGCGTGTCTGTCGCCGGGGGATGACTTGGCGCAGTGCCTCGTCCTCTCGATCTTCAGGGTCGTCCGTGGCAATTACTGGAGGTGCCTCCCGGCCAGAATTAGGCAGGTAGCTCAACACAGTGCGCAGCTGTTCGTAGCACTCGGCTTCGTTGGCAGCAAGATTATCGATAGTCCCGTTCGTGCAGTGGATCATTGGGCCGCCGAGAGTCTGGAAATCCAGCCCTTCCTCGAAAGTGGCCCCTTTGACCACTTCCGGGCCTGCGTTGAAGAGCGATCCCACGTCTGCGGCCATGACGGAGAAATGGCAGGATACGACACGCGCAGCTCCCAGCCCAATCTACAACCGATCAGCAGCTATCTAGCACCCCTCCGCTCGAGGGCAGTATCGGCATGGTCTCAAACAAACACCCTATGGCAGGGGGGTACCTACAGCCGGCCCGACAACCGCCCCCAGATTTGGGATTCCCTGGTTCAATTGCTCGACGACATGTTTGTACATCGACACATATGGCAGATAGCTCCAGCCCGCCGTGCGGATGGTAGTAACGCTGCCTCCACCCGAGCTTCCATCAACCAGTTTTATTACCGGCAATTTCAACGCCAGTGCTAGCTTCTCTAGATATATTGTTTTCTCATGCGAAGCGCCATCGGCATGTCCGCTGCGGAGAGTAAAATCATCCGCTGTCAGAAGGATTCGCCGACCCTGCAGTTTCCCCATCCCCTGGACGTTATTACTCGGCACAAAAGAAACGGGTTTCTCGCGCATTGGTCCCGTTTTCTCCCATGTCACTGTACCGGAGAGTGAGCCAATTTCTCGAAAACTGTTGCAATCCAGAAGCTGTTCAAGACGCTCGCGCACCCACAGCTTCCCGGCTTGCTTCTGGCGGATATACCCTCGACGGGAAGGATCTGGCGTTGCAGCCAGCGTGCGAAGAGTGTTGATCTGAAAGAGCACATCCGAGTAATCGGGGGGCAGATGCGAGGAAATCTGGCGGAGTCGCTTAGATGCTTGTCCAGACTGCCCGGCATCTTTACTCTTAGGGCCGCCGTCGTCAGACATGATGTACCGATCATACCAAGTCCTGTGGCATGAGTCGAGTCACGATTGCTGGGCCTGATTCCCACTGTAGTGTGGCCTGCTGCTGCTGTGAGGGGAAGATAGCGCTTACGTGTCGGTTCCGAGGTCCGAGGCAGCGAACTCAATGCAACCCGGCCATACAACCATCCAAGTCGATAGAAATTATGCAATTGATCGCTCTTCAACCGTGGAGATAATGAAGTCTTCTAGTAAACCGTTTCGGCGGCTTCTTGTCGCCAACAGGTACGGCGTTTCTTTGGCCTAGAAGTGCGCACACGGATCCTTGGACTGACGAAACAGAGGCGAAATCGCCGTCCGCATCATCCAAGCCGCTCGCGAGCTTTCCCCTCCTTTAGAGGTGTTTGCTATATATACGGATGATGATCGCTCTCACTGCGAAATCGGTCATCCCGATCGGGCTTTGCTCATCCCGTCTGTGGCTACATATCTGGACATCTCGTTCTTAGTCCGTCTGTCTCAGGAGCATGCAATTGACGCTGTGCACCCTGGATACGGCTTTCTGAGCGAAAGTGCCGACTTTTCCGCTCACATGCAGAATGCTGGGATTGCCGTTGTAGGGCCCGGGAGGGAGGCTCTGGCTCGTACAAGCAACAAGCTTCAAGCAAAACAACTAGCTATAGAGTGTGATGTCCCTGTTTTGCCAGCAATGGCGCAGCCCACTGCAGATATAGCAATGGTTCAAGCCTTCGCAAAGCAAGTCCAGTATCCTGTCATTGTCAAGGCAGTTGATGGTGGTGGTGGGCGAGGAATACGGCTTGTGCGACAGGACGACCAGTTGGAGAGAGCGGTCCGGGGAGCGGCCAATGAGTCGCCGTCGCAGACTGTCTTCGCGGAGAAAGCAGCCGTGACCGGATTCCGCCATATAGAGGTGCAGATCTTAGGCGATGGGGCAGACGTGTGCCATCTGTGGGAACGCGACTGCAGCATACAACGGCGCTTTCAGAAGGTGGTTGAGCAGGCACCATCGTTGATCAACAACCGAATTCTCGTGCAGCAAGTAGTGGATGCGGCATTACGGATGGCTAAAACTATCCGTTACCGATCTCTGGGGACCGTTGAGTTTCTGGTCAATGAACAGCAAGGAGAATTCTATTTCCTTGAGATAAACCCCCGTCTACAAGTGGAACATACCATCACCGAAGCTATTACCGGTGTGGATCTCGTACAAGCACAGCTGCGGCTGGCTCAAGGGTACACTCTTGCACAGCTTGGTATTCCGGCTGCGCAATCGGCTACCCCCCGCCTACATTCGATCCAGCTCCGATTATGCGCCGAAGATCCACGCAATCAATTTGCCCTGAGCATAGGCAAAGTGAGCGAGTTGGTCGTTCCCGGCGGTCATGGGGTTCGACTTGATACCCATGTTGGTACAACAGCAACAGGCCCTGTTGTGGTAGGCGCGCAGTTAGATAACTTGCTGGCCAAAATTATTGTCACGGCATCTACCCGAGAGGGGGCAGTGCTCAAGGCTCGACGAGTACTTGCAGACACAAGAGTAACCGGTGTCCGGACTAACTTGGAATTACTGCGAGGAATCGTCAGCCATGAAGACTTCGTCGCTGGTAGTATAGACACACAATGGCTGGAAACCAGCCTGGAACAAGTACTGCAACGAGGGGCGGTTCGTATCCAGCAGCCCACACAGGGGCCCCGTCCCTCTACGCTGCCCAGTATACCTTCTTCAACTCTGTTATTTCGGCGGGGAGATGCATGGTCTATCAGCCTTGCGCCAGTCGACTCACCTGAGCAGTCACAGCCACATCAGCATCATCTCCAGCTCACACGCGTGCTCCGGAACGACTTCCCAACCTCGCTTGCCGCAGAGATCAAGTACCAGACACCCACCTTTTCCACGGTCTATCGACTACAGCTGGCAGCTACCTCAACCGCAGCATCTGCTCTCCTCTCATCGTCGCATCGGCGTGGAGATCTGAGCAATCCACAACATATCGTCCTCCCTCTGTCTGGAAAACTCACTGAAGTCCTTGTTTCTGCCGGGGATACAGTGGCTGAGAACCAGGTGATAGCATTCGTGAAGCAGATGAAGATGGAAGTTGAGGTGCGCAGTCCGCGGGCGGGCCGAGCACAATGGGTGTATGAGATGGATGATGAAGAGGAGGATGTAGCGGAAGGGATGCTGTTGGTTGAGTTGACCGACGGGTTGCAAGGGAAATTGTAGGATGGAATGTATATATCTCTCACCCCCGCCCCCGGAACAATGAGCCCACACCAAAGGAAACTAATTGGATCCACTGAAGGTCCAGAAACCGAGAAAGATGCATATATCACATTGTAGTCTGGGAACAGATATATGAATTCTCTGCTGCTTAAATGTAGCCACCTCGAAAGTCGAGATAGTGAGGAATAGTGATGGTGGTAGTGGTGGTCAATAACTAATGATCTCACCTTCCCCGGAAACGGATCCACTGATCGTCACATGTTCCCAGCTCTTCTCTCGTCGCCCTCCAAGAACTTCCACTTCACATTCTACGATTATTTCCAAGCGAACTTTTTTTGACTTCCACCCTTGGGCATTTCTAGCGGTCAGGAATAACCTCAATCTCTCGGACCTTCTGCAATAATGGATTCCTTTACCATCTACCTTCTCACCTTCAACTGCGCGCGGAACCCCGTCGATGTCGACCGCTTCTCCCGACATTTCTTCGATGCCTTGCCCCTCACCGATGATTCCAGCTCCTCCGCAGCCCCCGACTTTATCGTGCTCTCCCTGCAAGAAATCGCTCCAATCGCATACGCATTCCTTGGAGGCTCGTTCCTGGCTCCGTACTTCTCATCTCTGACACAAGTGGTGGATCGCGCGGTGGCCCAACGCTGGGATGTCCATTACGTCAACCTTCTGACCGACAACTCTGGCATGACAGGGTTAATGGTCTTCGCTCGGTCGGACGTGGCCGGACATGTTTCGTCTGTCGATACGGCCCGCGTAGGCTTTGGTGTTCAAGAGATGGGCAACAAGGGCGCCGTGGGGGCACGGGTTGCCTACACAGCCGCGAATCCGGCCGAGGAACCAATAGACCTCACCTTTGTCGCTGCGCACCTCGCCCCCAAGGAACATGCGGTCGAGCGGAGAAATGCTGACTGGCGCAGCTTGGTTGAAAGACTGGTCTTTCGCTGCTCGCCCTCTGCGGATCGGGAAATTGGCGAAAGGGGCAACGGGTCGGAAAATGCGCCCTTGCTACATGAAGGGCAGCGGGGCATCTATATGTCTACGAGCTACCTGTTCCTAGCGGGCGACCTCAATTACCGTACCTCCAGTGTATCGCCACGGCAAGATGACCATAGCCGATTCCCGCGCGCGAATGTAGACCCTTCCGACCCTCAACACTACTCGCACTTTTTCAAACAAGATCAGCTTTCCCGCGAAATGGGCCAGTCTCGGTGTTTCCATGGTCTATCAGAAGCCCCGATTACCTTCCCTCCGACATACAAATATACGTTGGCAGCACGCCAGGCTGCAAGTGATTCGACAGCGGATGATGCAAGTCTGAATTGGCAGTGGACGAGTACCCGCTGGCCCAGTTGGTGTGACCGTGTGTTGTATCTTGATTCCCCACCTGGCATGAGCAAACAAGGTCAGGTCAGACCTTTGAAGTATGATGCTCTGCCGTTGTTTCCAACTTCTGACCATCGCGCCGTCGCCCTGACTGTATCTATCCCTGTGCAGTCAGTGCGCCTAGAAGATGCGGCGCAGCCGGATCCACCCTTCCTGATCGACCCGGAATGGGAGACTAAACGCGATATAGCGCGGAGAAAGGAGCTTGTGGTGGGCTGTTTGGCGTATTTGGCCGGGACCTGGGAGGGAAACGGCCTGTTGCTCGCATCGACCGTAGGATTTTTGGGGGCATGGCTCGTGCTTCGATCGTTGTTTAACGTCTGAACTCTGAAAATGCGTTGCAGACATGCAGCTCTGCGGGTTTCGAAACTGTGCCCCGTGTCGATCACATCGATCTCCGGCACCAGGTGCAAAGCCGACATGAACTGTGATTCCCCTGGTACCCCACGGTGTTCAGGTTTCATGCTCAAACAATGCACACCTTCTGTATGCCGGTTCCTAGTGCCCACATCGTCTCCAATGTTTCCTGCGCGACAACAGCTTTCCATCGGGCAGGCAGCAGTCTGAGGCGACGGCGTCGCATTCAAGGTGACTTGGGATTGGATCCATACCTGCAGTGGGACCGGACAAGCTATGGCTATGTGCTGGGTCAGCTGACTGGAAACCGATCTAGAACGGTCGGTAACCGATGGCGGCGGCGGACAGGAACTGGACGAGGGCGGGCGAACACGAAGAGGCTCAATCCGGCCCAGATCATCCTAGACAACAATTCCTTTCCAGGGCCGGAGGGTTTTTCGGGCTGGGTGGTTACTGGTTGCAGTGTTGCACGTGTATAAGCCAAGGCTTAGGCTTCTGATTGAGGTTGCCCAATTTCTGGCCCGGAGACACAACCACAACCTAGTACCTAGTGACCAGGCAAGGCTCGGCGGACCCGAATGGGCGACGATGGAGCCGTTACAGAAGAAAGTTTGGCCCCGGTTAGATCGGGTCACTGACCGTCTGACGGGCTTGGTCGTAGCCTTGCGACCCAGTGGGTATGGATTCAGATGTGCATCCAGACTAGTGGATAGTGTAGGTATTTTCGTCATAAGTGGTGTGGGAATGGCACGGTTGATACTCAAGTCCTACCTAGCCTAAGTAGGTGATGCGATGGCTGATGACATGCTTAGTAGCTATATATACGATGGGCTGCTAGATAAATAAATAGTAGGTAAGTAGGAATCAGTAGAGCGGATTAGTAGGACGGGCTAGTTTCAGGTAATTATGGCATTCAGAAACAAGGTCAAGGCGATCCAGACGGAGGGACGGGTGCCCGCTCCAGAGAAGCGAAGCGGGAGCAGGTGAGACTGTGAGAGGGCACTAAAGAAAGGGTTTTTCTTCCACTGGTACATAGTAGTCTGGTAGAGCCTAGAGGGCCCGCTCTGCTCACTGGTGAAACCGATTAATGACCAACACCGTTGGCCGACCGGATTCGGTTCTTGTGTTGCTGCTGCTGCTGCTGTTGATGGTGGTGGTGATTATCATTACTATTTTATGAGTATTATTGAATTATTAAGGCCCTGGACGGGAAGATTTAATATATTGAAAGGCAATAATTTGCTGCTCATTAGCAGGATTAATTGGCAATAATTTACCGTGCCGGGACCAGAGGGACGTGTCATACGGTGTACGTCGTAGTATATAGACCTGGCCTGGTAGTAGTTGGAACTATAGCCATATGTAGATAGGAATGGAGTGCGGTCAGAGTAGCCAAGCCTTGTCCAACAAACCCAGTCATGGCAGGAAGCAGAATGGCTGGTTAGTCTTACCGAATGGTGATAGGAGGGATAGACCGAGTGCATCGCGTTGCCCGTAGAACTGCATCGAAAACCTTTCAAGCGGTCAACGGAGTATCTAGAAGTCGGTCATACCTGTAGGAAAATGCGGCAATCGGGTGGTGGCCTGCAGGCACATGATCCCTTGGAGGTCAAGTGACCGCAAGGTCTGATTATTCCCGGTGCCTCCATTTCCCCTCCCCTTCCTCTTCCTCCATCCGTCATCTCCATGCTCAGCCATGCACCATGCCGCCAGCGCCCAGCTGCGCAGCTACACAGCGCAAAAACGGCCCAGGTCTGGGCCTCCGGGCCGGCATGTCTGGATCGGCCCTGGACAGACAGGCCTCACTGCCTACTGTCAGGTCCGCTGAAACCGATGGCTGGGCACGGAGTACTGCGCAAGCGGGCCAATCGCTGAAGGGAAGAACCCGAACCAAAGCTCACCTGACATGATTCCCTTGGGTCTGCCTCACAAATGATGGTGGACAGACCCAAGCCCGACAGGTGCTTGACAAGGCTGAGTTGCTGATCGTATTATTATTCTATGGGCTGGACTGGACTGCGTGACAATAGTAATGCCCCGTCATTTGGCAGGGTTTACGGATTTACCGTCCACGGCTTTGCGGCAGTCGTCAATATATGTCTCCCCCACTTTTTCTAACCTAGTGGTGCGGAACTTTGGCGACTTCCACTTACTACTAGATACACAGGTACGGTGTACTGCGCGAAAAGAAACAGAAACGTCAAGATACCGGACGACAGCGGAGTGAATCCGAAGGCCAATAATGACCGCCGAAACAAGGCAATTGAGAATGAAATGCAGAGGTAACACAGGATACAAGGATGCGGGCATGGAAGAGGAAACAGTTCGGTGTCATTCAGACCTACCTAGGTTGTCTTCTGACGCACCCGATCAAAGTAACAATGAATGGCATGGGATTTTATTATGGCAATGCCAGGGCGAGGACAAAGACCAGACAGTAAACCCCCTTCGATTGGTCACATTTCCCGCGTCTTCCGACAGCCGACTACGCACTAAAGAGGACAAAAGGGGTGAGTGAGGAAAGAGAGGGGTTGGCCCCTCCTAAGGAGAAAAAAAGAATAAAAAATGAAATAAGGCGGAAAGAAGAAAAGGAGAAGAAGCTCAGTCGACGTTCCAGAAACTGTGGAAACTTTCTTGGTGCGACGGTTCGGGCCCAAGATCCAGACTCTGGTGCTACGGCTCTATTACCCTCGTCTATCCGAAACTCCAGTGGCTACTAGGATGCCGGCTGTTAGCAATAGTGGGCCACCCAATAATTATCTTCTTGTTCAACTTAAGCGACCGAGTCGACAACACCGGCAGCATTGCTGTACATGGTTGAGCCGTGAAAATCGCTTTTCTGACAGGGCCCACGCCGCCCTGCAATCAAGTCATCCATCATCCACTCAATCAGGGGCCAAAACTGCGAGTCATTCGGGCGATCAGGTTGTTACATGGGGGGCAGGCTGTAAGGTGTGTTCGGGAGTTTTTGATTTTATTTCTATTTTTTTTTTCTGCCCCTCCTTTCCTCCCATTCTGGATCACTCGAAAACAACCAGCCGGAAATCACGGAGCCCACTGTTGAACATTCGAAGAACCAATGATCGGTTGAAAACCTATAAACATCACAAGGAACAAAATAATTTGCGCCGAGGCCAGCAGTCGGTGATGCCCAGGATTACAAGCGAAGGCCGCCTTGTGGTTCCCTAGAAATTACGAATGCTGAGTGATAGTAAGTCTCGGTGTCTATGATTTGTTTATTAGTATCCATCATCGCCACCATTGTCACCAGCACCACAAGGTAGTGATCATTGACCATAGGGTACCTAGTCAAATCTGATTCCAATTCGAGGGCTGCATCAGAACAATATACACACGGGCTCCATCTTGCCCCGTCCCGTGGCCCGTTGAATGCCATGGAACCCAAAATTAATATTTTTCTTGCCTATTACGACCATTCGTATAGCTTGCTTTATATTATTTGATGTTTTTTCTGATTTTATTATCATTAATGCTCACCCGTTCTTCGACGACCCTTTACCCCGATCTTCTTTGAGGGCGTTTCGCATAGATCTCCATTACTGATATAAATCTGAGATCCCTCAAATTTGCCTCCTTTTCTTCTTACTTAGGTCCCCTCGACGTTACCTCTCTCCGCTTCCTCTGCGTGATAATTGACCGTTGATCGATCGATTGATCTCCTTGCACTCCTTTTATCATCCATTCCTTTGCTGCTGCACGTCTTCACTTTTTGTCTCTCTTCGCCCCATCCACCACCCACTTTAGTGGCGCAGCCCAACCTCAGCGCTAGAACCTCAACGGACCCCGGCCGGCGCGCCTAAGTACGCTTCCTTTTTCCTCCTCCTGCTGGTGCCGCTGCAAGACAACGGCCTTGCGATCTTGACGTAATTGCCCCGTGGCTTGCGATTGGGGCTATTTTTTTTTTTTTTTTTTTTTTTACCCTCCTTCATTATTATCCATTATCACCAGCGCTTTTTGACGCTTAAATTTTTTTTTACCTTTCTCTTTTCCCCTTCTTGCTCCGCTCCGAGACAGCAAGCCCCAGCCCTAGAAAAGCTCCCTTGACGGGATTTATCTTCTTCACTCGAACCGCGGCTCCTACCAGCAACTGCGCACTTCCAACCACCACAATCGTCATGTACTCCTGTGCCAACTATCCTCGCGGTTGCCGCGGCCGCGTCAACATCCAAGGAGGCAAATGCGCCGACTGCGTGGTATGTCATCGGCCCTAGACTGGATTTCCAGATCTCACTCGCATTATATGTGAATTCAACCCTGACAATGTGATTTTTAGCAATTGAAGCTGCGTCGGCCGCTATCGTCATCTCCCTTTGCCCAGCCCAGGGACTACCGGAGAGCCCTGCCGTCTGAGCTCCTCAATGACTCACCATTCAAGGAGATTGAGCGCTGCATATGACGACTTTGCTACGATCACATGGCGCTTTGATTTAAGAAGGGCACAGAGGTCCCCCGGGGCCTCCGATCAGATTCCTTAGGGGTCCTGCAGGTTGGGACCCAACCCAGGAAATCTGAGTGCCTCTCTCGCCTACCCTTCGCTTCGCTTCTCGCTTACCATGTGCGGCTTGATGCTCTGACCTGATGCATTGCTGGGAGTTTGATCGATCATCTGTTTATACCACGCAAGGGCGGCTTTGTCGATTTCATTTTATGCCTGGCGGTCTGGCACTGTCCCGCTCTCGCACCCATTCATTCTCCCCCGATCCCGCGGAATCTGGATAGGGCAGTATGTGTGGGGGCGGACGAGTAGGTTGGTGCATATGTGGGGGTGTTTATTTAATAGGAACGGCATCGGGTTATCTATATCTTATTAATGGGCTACTGGGTGGAATACTGGTTGGCTATGATCTGGGCTTGGAAGGGACAATGGCGAGATAGGTGCGATCTTGATGCTTGGTTGTGCAGGATGATGGCCCTCGGCCCAGCAGGGACGGCGCACCTCCGGGAATCTCTGCCGGGAATCTCTGCTGGGGAGGGGAAAAGCCGTGGCGCGCGCCGGCGGAGATCTTTCTCGCTCTTGTCCTTTCTTCTGTCCTTCTTTTCCTTTCCTCCCCCTTCCTCTTTCTTCCTGTCTTTGTCTGGTTCCGACACCGCCGTGTACTTTTTCTTTGTCATGTCATGTGTGCTCTGTGATATCGTTGGTCGATTTCCATACCCATTCGGCTAATTGTACGATCTATTAACTCATCTTGGATACTGAATATTCTATACCCTTGGAATCCATTTTTCTTTGTTCCCAGATGTCCCTAGCAGAAGCATGGGAAGTGATCGGCTGACGGGGGCCGGGCGTTCTTCTGCCCACTCCAAGCTCCAACACCAACTCCGGACTCCGGCAATGAATGCAGATTGTTGGTCCTTGGTTCGCAGGGTTCCACCTGGCTGGCTGGCTGGCTGGCTGCTGCTGGCGGTGGCCTGTGTGACCCCGGCCCAGAACCCTGCCGAACGAGGCCCATCCCATTTGTTTTTCCTCGTTGACTCACTCTATTTTACCTTCTATCCCACTTTTATTGGGGGGTGGGAGGGGTTTTTCTTTCTTTTTTTTTTTTTTTTGTTAATGTTACTGTGGTTATACACGCTGTTGGCGACGCATGCGTCCCCAGAACTTCCGGAGATGAAGAGCAACGCGGCCACCGGCAGGCCGGGGGATCATCGAAGTGGATGATTGGTGCGGCTTCGTCATCGCTGGACAACCAGGACCACTCGGCCAAGCAATTACTTAAGTCTTACTGCTACGAAGTACGACGTTTCTTGGACGGCTCGGATCCTTGGTCGACACTTTTCCGCGCGCGCTGTCAAGGAATTCCTTCTCCGTCTACTCCGTACTACGGGGTAGCACATACTACTAGTAGTAGTATCTATTAGTGGCCAGCCCCGGCATTTACCTAAGTGCTACTGTGCAACCAACCTACCTGGATGGCTCCTGATTGGCCATCGGCTCGCCCTATCAATGTAAGTACTAGGTAGGGTAATCCTCTTGATTGATTGATCGCCCCGGTCCCACATTGTAAACGGCTTATCTGCTGCCAGAAGCCCAGAACGCCCATGTCAATCAACCAGACCCAGTCCTATCCATTTCAGGCATGCAGGCACGGTCCTTTACAACCCCCTGGGTCTTGAAATAAGTGGAGTTTCACCTTTCCCAGCCGCCTCTCATTGTGGAACCAAGTGCCTGACAATGGGAAGCCTTGATAGTGTGCTTAGACTGGGCACCAATGCCGGTGACACAAGGCTATACCACAGCTGCCATACCGAACTCCGGTAGTACAGAACCCCCCCGCCACCATTTGTGATGTCTGTCTGCAGTGATGGGCCTTGGCTGAACGCGATATATAGACCAATGGTGTTGCCCAAATGATTTCTTGCCTCCAAGGTTAACCGATTAGTGCAACGGCGAAGCAGTCAGGGGTGAACCTCCTGGCGATCGGTGGCTTCCCTGCTGCAAATTGAATTGACCTTGACTACGGCCTATATGGAGACCTTTCATCTCAATATCGGGCTGTGCCTGGCTCATCCTGACGCTTCATTGCGGAATCGATATAGTACCAGATGAAGAAGAGTGAAGTGGACACACCATGGCCTCTATGTGGTCTTCTCTAGATGCTGTAATAGGGCCTTAAACTCACTAGGCTTCCAGTTCTTTGACAGCACTACTTCTAGTAGCAATGGCGTCCTATAAATGCCGAGATAGTATCTATGGTAATACTGGGTGCTCTGAGCTGTGGTTTACAGATTGAAAATAGCGAAATGCATACTTTGGGGCTTGGACCGACCACCCGATAGGTACAGCGGTTGAAGGGATGGAGCAATCAGTGAAGGCCAGCCTCAAATCCACCAGTATACTAATCCGACTATATGACGCTGGAGAAGGAGCAGTACTTGGCCTAGTTTAATGGACGCCCATCAGGGAAGCTGCAACCAAGGCGAATCCAACGGTATATCCACAAGTGGCAGGAGCCTGCTCCTTCCCCGGGCTCTACCAGCGATGGCAATCATCGACTTGAATGCCCCGTTGCAGAGGGAGCACCATCCCTACATCTATATCACCTATCTATCATATGTCCAGTCCTGGATACGGGCCTCCCTCTGATCTGATACTAGCACCATGGAACATCTGCGGAGATCCCGGTCGTCTCGATCTATCAGGAGAAGCCATCACAGTTCCCAATCCACTGAACCCTTCGACCCGGAGCTTGCGAGACTTCATGCTACTACTGCAGCTTCTCGAGCTATGCTACGCTCCAAATGCTCATATGATGCTTTGGGTGGCCCCAGTAATATGGCCGTGCCTCAGAGGAAACATCTCCCTGCTGAACCCCCACAAAAGCCTAACAATGTGCCCATTGGTCCTGGGAATCCTCATTATCGATATACGGCCGATAATATGGATACCTCCAATACAGACCCGTCTTTATCAGCCGCTCTGCCTTCCATAAGCGAGTTTCGGGGACTCGACGCCGGGGTTGCTGCTTTGCCTTCTTCCTATCGACGACTCCGCAAAACTCGATCGATGTTCTCGACTGGGCAGCGCTACTCTCGTGGATCCTTCGGAATGCCATCGCCCGAGTCCTTCAATAAAGGCCTTGCGGGGAAGGCTGACTCCCAGGATGGTCCACGAGCATGTGGCACGTTGAGACGCTCCATGTCATTTTTCCGAGGGGACAGCCGAGCCTCTGATGCTCTCCGGCATGCAAAGAGTCACGACGCTGCGATTGAACTGGCACGCAGCCACTATCAACAGTCAGGAGATCATCCGTACCAACCCAGAAAATCATCACTCTCAATCCCCAAGCTGAGACGAGAGCACAAGCCGTTCAGAAAAACGCTCCGTAGCGCCGTGTCGGATGCAGATGCAGCAAGTACGCCATCATCGACACAGCGGACTACTACCTCATCTTATGGAAAAGCTAGGTCACTGTCTTCGTCTATCAAGAAAGGGATCAAAAAGGTGTTGGGGCTTTCTAAGCCTCCAGTCCACCTACATGCGGAGAGATCATCATCTTTTGATCAGAAACGAACTCAGGACATACACTCGACTGTATCCGGAATGCATACGGACTCCTTGAAGAATAATGTCGGGACAGCTGACTTGACACGTTTGGGAGGTTCTGAAGGTCCTGTTACACACCACGAAGTTAAGAGAACTGGAAGCTCCGAAAGCCTTGCCACAAGCCGCTCTCGGGTGACGAGCTGGGCGGACTCAACCATAGCAAATACTATTGTAACACCAAAAGCCGGTGACCGCAGCTCCTTATCTATAATCGATGAACGAGAGAGCTCAATTCCCCAACCCGAATCGTCTGGAGATAATTCTATCACCACATGGAGCCCCCCCAGACCCGACGGTATGATTGACAGCCAGCGATTATATTCTGCACTGATGAAGCGCATTGATGGGAATAATAAGCAAAATGCAAGCGAGGAAATCATCCTTGGCCACGTCAAGGAGCACCGCGCGATTCCGACTCCAGCGCCCTCCATGTATACACGCCGTAGCAGACAGACAATTCGTCTGATCGCTAGTGATGAGTCTATCCAATCTCCAGGATCGTATACGACAGCATATGCGGGTACGACAACCCCTCGCCAGTCGTCACAACGCGTGGTTCAGCGCACTCAGGGACCACAGCACTTGCAGAAAAGTGAAGTTTGCAACCCTTACGCCTCTGGTGAACTGGATCCTTCAATTCGTGCAACTAAGGAGACCCTTGGAGAAGACGCCAAGGGTGTGAGTTTGGAAAGACCACGAAGCCCAGATACGGAGCTCGATTCCCCTAGCGTATATTCGCGTACAACTAGTGGGAACTCGCCCAGTACGATGGATCTGAAAATAGACGCCAATGGCCCTGATGCAACAGAGGAGCCAGGCATGGCAACCATTTTTGCAAGCCAGCGGGCGGCTTATAGCTCCCCGAAACGTAGCCTTGGTCAAGGCCCCGTGGGATCCCAACGACCGAGTGCCGATTGGCAACAATGGATGCATACTCAGATGGCGAGAATTGAGAGAACTGAGAACCTTGCACCGACAAGATGCCATTATCGAGAAGATGCACAAATCCATGACGAAGGAACGGCCTTTGCTTACCGAACCCCAGCCCGCGATACAGGGGACTTTCGGCATGGATTGCTTGAAGATGATATGTGGACGACTTGCAAAGTATCCGCAAAAAACAACTTTTCCCGTCCGTTTAGCCGGTCGTCAAGTATACGCACAACAGTGGCAGCCCCAAGGGAGCGGTCCAATACCCCTCTTCCTCCCCCTCCCCCTCCAATCTCAACCTCGCCAAAGATATCAAGCAGTTCCAGTGGACATAGCTTCTTGATTAATCAAATCGAGACACGACCCAACAGCATCGCATTATCGCCAGTACACCTGCTATCAAATAGTCGATCTCGAGCACCAGAGTCACCGACTCCAAGAAGAGACGCAGCCGACAAAAATCAGTGGCAAGCAACCAGCAGAAAACAAGGGAGGTATTCTTCTAGACAGCTTCCGGGAACCCGAGACTTGAAAGCTTTCCAGGGAAGATCTGCACGTGCCGTCCGCGACAATAGAAGATTGACAGATGAGAACCTGAGAGCCGAAAATGGGTATCGTGATGACACGAACCAAGATAGCCCGCTTCAGAGCACGTATTCGCCAATTTCTAGCAAGCGTATGGTAGAAATGTTCTTAGAAAGCCGCCGCCAGAGGGGGACAGAGGTGCCCGATGAAGCAGCATCCGAGGGCGCGTTTATTTAACGACGTTAGGGTAGCAGGCAGGTCCACATTGGTATCTCCGTTGGGGAAAGAGTATCTATATCTCCCCTTTTTTTTCTGGCCAGGGGTGGCGCTTTAATGATCAAACAGATGTCTATGGCTGCAGATGATAGCATCACGTATCAAATTAGTCTGATAGTGATAGTGACTATGGCAGCAAGCATATCAGATTATTGTAAAATTGGCATCGCTCTCATGCAGTAGCCATCCGCTGTATCAGGATGGAGTACAGTAGACAGGCGTCAAATTTCCAACGAGGCCCAGCATTTGGCAACGAGCAGCTCTCAGTGGGCGATATGCATTATTACTAGTACTAGATATAGGTATGATTCTTCACTTTCCTCGACTACGCCAGTTTGCAAAATGCAAACCCACCCACTCATTACTCGACATAATTAGCCGGAAAGCTTCCCTTCACACCTCTCAGCTCGCCTTCCCACCAGTCATCGGTGCTATCTGTCTTCTTGAGAACACGAATCCGGTCTCCTTCTCGAAAGGCGAGGTCGCCAGCGCTTTGGCCCCGAAGTCGTACAAGGCCGTCACAAACAAAGCGGTGCTTGAGTTCGCCCGCGGCGGGGGAGGAGGCGGAGGCTTTCTCTTGCCGGCTACCAAGGCACTAACCCCGGGAGATGTCGCTCTCGTGACGCTGGAAGGGTGTTGGTTCCGACTGAAGTAGTCTGTGCGTGCAGCAACGCTGGAGAGACCGGGGGAAGGAGGATGGGCATTCTCGCTGGCGGAAACGTACGACTCGGCGCCTGGGGACGAAGCTGATGTGTGGGGAGAGAAGTAATTCGAAGGCACGGTGAGATTGGACGAGGCGGGGGAAGAAGCCATGTCCGTGAGTCGAGGTTTCGTGTCGTATACTGGCGATGGCTTCCTGTCGTAGGCGGGTTTTGGTGGAGGGAGCTTATGGACGGGTGAGATCGGGCGCTGTTGGATTGGTGGGGTGTGGCCGCTGGAAGGACGACGATAGGAAGCAGAAGATCCGTTTGCTGGACGGCTGGTGATGCGAGGGCCGTTGCGTTGGTCGTCGGGGACTTGGGACAGTTTCACGGTTCTTCCGTTAACGATGCAGCCGAATGCTTCCACTTCTTGTTGGACGGGTAGGCAGAGGCGTTCCCATTCTTGCACGACTCTTTCCATTGGTGGAGGAGGAGAAGGGAATTGTGTCTCCTGGCAATAGTTGTGGACCACGGTATAGTAGTGCGCTAGCATTGCGTTCTGGATTTCAATCTGCGTAGCGAGGAGCCGAGGGAGCAGTGAGAATGCAGCGGCAATTAAAGGGGGGAGACATTGTCGCAAGTGTTCGTCTGCTGCTTCGTAGTCCTACGCCTGTCAGATGGAATTCGTAGATGGTCAGAGTGGTTGGTCTGGTGGGCTTGTACCTCTGTCGCTTTGGCGAGGTCACTCTCGGCCTTGACAAGGGCTGCATTATCTCGTTCCGACCTCTTCGTCTTTTTAGAATAGTTGTCGACACGTCCTTGGTAGCGTTCGTAATCCAACTGGGAGGTGAAGGTCGATGTCAGCGTGGGATACTATAGTAGCTCGGAAGAGTACGCGGAGAGCAATGGCTGGTTCCTGAGTGGGGGCGCGGAACAGGGAGAGAGGGACATCTGTCTGCGCTCCCTGAAAGCAAGACAATGCGCACCTTTCTATCATCCCGCTTTCTGATGGTCTTCTTCACTGGACCCAAATATTCCCTAGCTTGTGAGGCTGGTCGGATCATACGGTCGTCAATCGCAGCGAGCTCATCGAATAGCTCTTTTCGGAGGTCTTCATAATGCTCCCGAAGTTTGGTTGTCCGAGCCAAGGTTGCTTGTGGCGTTGGGATGCCGTTCTGTGTAGCAGAGGAGTCGGAGGCACCGAGAATGGGAGCATACAAGCCTTCGAACTCGCTCAGCATTCGATTCTGGTGCGTCAAGAGGGATGACCAAGCGTCGCGCCAGGCGCTTGTGGAATCGACGATCTGTCGGAATGCGGGAGCTGTCAGTCACGATACGGACGGACATCAACAAACCAAACCCCGCGCGAAGTGCTCGGTTGAGTGGATCTCTTTACCTTTCCCAGGATCTTGTCTGCTTCTTCGAAGTCCTTCAGAAGAATGGCCACCTGGCTGTCATCGGCCGACCTCTTCATCAGTCGGCCAAACTGCCTCTGCATGCTCTGCATGGTGCCGGGTGGCCCCTCAGTGGAGGGGGATGGGAGGGATGGGCGGAAATTGAACTAGGAGGATGGAATGGGTATTCCCATTGAGGCCACGGGGAAGAAGAAGGGGAGTCGAAAATGACAGCGGGGCAAAGGGGGCCGTAAGGAGAGAGTCAGCCTGGAGAAGGGCGAAGAATATCTAGTGGCAGACCGGCATCTCTCTGGTGGTAGCCTGAGGGCCGTAGGATCGATCGAAAAGGAGCCCAGGCGTACCCAGGCGGATGACGCAGCCAACATGTGGTGCTCCCCAGCGAGAGGGTCTCAGGCGTGTTTCAGGCCATTTCTGGCCGGCTGCTGCTGCTGGCCCGGCTATTTTTATCAATTATGCGACCCTCCAACGGTGGAAAGTGGTGTGTCGATCGGGATTCCCTGAGGATGGGGAAGCCGTTATTATGACCCGTAAGCCAGCCAAGTCAGATATACTAGACTAACAAGTATCGTGTGCTAGATGGATAGAAACATCGGGCGCTTTCCTCTTTACACATGACCACAAACACCCCCAGGCGCAGTGACATCAGAAACACCATGGCTGGTTTAAGCAAGACCATCATCAACAGTAATTTAAGCATGGATTCACCGAGTTGGACGGGACAGTGGCGCTCCATATAGTGGTACGAGTTGCGCAATGTGTCCATTTCAAGTGGCACCGCCAAGGAAACAACACCCCACGACACCAATAGGAAGTGCGCCTGGGAAGGCCCCCAGGGATTAAGGATTGTCGGCTATCATGATCGGGGGAAAAGGGAGGAGGCTTCGTCCTTGAAGGGGGGTTTATACTCCCGCGCCGACCACGGGACTTGATGGCCTCAGGCTTCCCTAATACCGACACGCGGTTCGGCGGCGGTAGAACAGCACAAGACCAGAACCCAGAACCACCACCAACCACGCGCCTAACAGCAACCATCAACATCCCTCCCTCGACCAGATGGTGTCCAGGCGCAGGGTCACCATTTCAGGGCCCTGTCGCTGTCTTTCGCCATTCGCGCCACAATGTCTACCCCGCGCGGCACCCCGAGCATGAGCGTCCCCGCGACCCAAAACACCGCGCCGGTGATCAGGTTCCGCTGTCTCTACACCTATGATATGCGACGCAAAGCGAAGCGCTGGCAAGATGGGTTCCTCCGCTATCATACATTCAATAAACGCATCATGACCTACGACGTTGCGGGAAATTTTGTTGGCGATTACCACTGGCGACAGGACGACGAAGGAATCCAAGACGGCGACGAGCTCGAGCTGGATAACGGTGCCCTCATCCAGGTCTGTGAACCTGTGGAACGAACAGAGACGGATATCTCGGCATTGTACAGCAACAAGAGGACAAGTCACCGTTCTCCCTCGCGACCAGGAGAGACACCAACTCCGTCCGTCACGCCGTCACGGCCCTCTCTTTCCTCACAACCGACGCGGTCACTGAACGATCTTCTGGGCATCAAGAAAACTCCGGCACAGCGAACAGATCTACCGAATGTGGATCGAGAAAGGCCTACGTTGAGAGGAAACGAGCACGGGCGTTCTGAGCGACCTGCAAAACGGCAAAGGACAAAGCTCACGTCGGCAGACAGCCCGCCCAAGCAGACCGCCAGCCATCGAACCCACCGTGAGCAGGCAATCATTGATTTGACGGAATCAGATACCACAGAGAGACAGGTGACGAGTCATGGATCAGCCCTTGACAATGTCGTGGACCTGGGAGTGAAGGACTCGAAGAACATTGCAACTCCAGCCAATCCGCGCCGCAAATCCACGCACCGCGCGGACCAAGCCAAGTGCAAGAAAGCCGAAAAAAGCACTTCCGATCCCCCAGAGCAAGTCCGACCCCGGACATTGGGGCATCCCAATGATGATGAATCTCCTGAAGTCCCGGGCAACATGCTCCGCTTACCAACTGGAAAATCGCGGAAGAAGATGATGTATCAGGCGGTGGTAGCAAGCCAAGACGCGAATGCGGATCCAGAGAGACATAGGTAACCATCTCAGCAGCCGCAGTCAGTATGTAATGTATGAAACCCTGGGCTTTGGGACTGACCATAACAGCGAACCAGGTGACCACTCAAATGATCCGCATTCGGACCTTGAGGACGGACCGCCAATTTCCCGAAAGCGCAAGACCGACCCAGTGGGTCTTCGCAAATCATACTCAGACCCAACGGCTTTATTTAGCCATGATGACCTTCCATCCCGACATCGATCTTCTGAGAGCCCGCTCAGCACAATTACAGATACCGACGAATCTGAAACGGGACCTTGGACCTGGGAAGCAGAGTATCTACTTGATTTCTGGCCGCCAGGACGTCCAAAGCCGACTTGAACCTCGGTACAGCGTCCAGCCAGCGCATGAAGTGGGCGGATGTTCTCGCCATGAGGACCTCAAGTGGCATGGCTACTATGATGATACTCAAGGTCATTGATGTATGGTAATGTAATGGACAGGACGCCCGATGTCCTCAATTTAATCTCTCTTCGCGGTCAAAATAATATCCATGCCTGTCAGAGCCTTCGACTAGATTCCAGGCGGTTCAGAGTAGCTTCCACGCATGACTTGATCTGTCTAATATCTACGGCTGGGTATTGAGGGTTCGTAGATCTTCAAGATCTTCGATTGTCTTGGCGCATAACAGTACCTAGATCAATTTTCCAATGTAGGATCACAATAAAAGACATGGATACCCAACCATATGGTCCATTCAACCCAAATCAGTTGGTCCATATAACCCGCAATCACAGACCATACCCCACTCTGGGGTCAAAGAGAATACAGGTCAATCATACACAACGGCAATCCGGCACAAGTGATTGCGCAATATCTTGCTGAGGAGAAAAGAAAGAAAAGAAAGTGAGAGCATGGCAGTCAAGCCAGAGTTAATGAGTGATCCAAGTTCACATGTATGTCAAGCTCGCAGTGAGTATCAACATAGGAAATATATTGATGGTTTGTGCGAAATAGCTCGCAAATGAATGACAAAAATGATTGGGGCACGGGAGTGGGGAGCAGTGGCAGGGTGATGAGGCCAAGCCCCAGGATTAAAAGGGTAAGAATAGTAAGTGGCGGTAGTGAGAAAAGTGCCCATCAGGGGTATGCAAACTCGCAGCTAAGCTGATTTAGACGCTGATTCTGCGCTCATAAACACCGAACGAACAAGATGAGGTGCCAAGGATGACAGTAGTGATAATGCACAGAGACTCATGTAAAAGCTTAAGACCATGGAAAGAAAAGCTAGTGGGCAATTCTCCTGGTTAACCGCAGGGCTCAGGACCCACAGCGATCAGTTGACTGCTCTAGATGGCCGTCTTAGTGGTGGGAGTGGATTCGATTCACCCGAGGGCTATAGCGACTCGTCCTTGAGAGTGCGCTGACATCATGTTTGCCTGCAGTACTTTCGTTAGCTAGTGGTCATGGAAGTAGAGTTATCCAGCTTGAGACTACAGGGAACAAAGGCACATACCATCGCAGCATGCTCGGACGTTCTCGAGCCGATCATCCTGCCTTTCCATCATATGCCGCAGATCGTCCTCGCTATCGTGCGTATGGAGGCTCCCTTCATGCACACTTGAGGTGGCAAAGGCAGGTCCCTTCCGGCCGAAAGAACCCTTGATTGTTGTGTTCAAGATCGTACTAAGGCGGGAGGCAGAGCTGTGCCTCTGGTCCGAGTAATGAGATGGCGTACTTAGTGCCGGAGAAGTACGACCAGGCGTAGCCGTGCGGCGTGCCGACAGTACGGACCCTGCACGTTCCTTAGGCCAATTCCGGGTGTTACGACTCCGAGAAGACGAGAATGATAGCCGAGAAGTCTGGCGCGAGCGTGAGCGAAAACCAGGATTAAACTCATCAATGTCCTCTAAAGAAGCATTGCTCTCCTGCTCCTCGCCGTTCTCGGCCGAATTACGCAAAAGCAGGTACGAGAGTGCGTTGAACCAAGTCTCGTGTCTTTGACTGGTGGTTGCAGTAAATCGGATCCGGCGACCAGGACTCACCACTTCCAAGCTCTTGCAGTGAAGACCCGGGGGATAAGGATTGTCATCTGGGACGACTCTAACAGCCTCGATCAGAACGCTCTTAGTTCGAAGCTCGCTCTTGCCAGCGCTCTGCGGATCCTGTTCGCTCCAGTACAATGTGCGGGTGTACGGGTGGACCCAGAAGTAGCGACGATGTCTCGAGTTGGATATTTCTCCGGAAACGTGCTTGCGTGTGTATTTCCAGAGGAATTCTCCGATCATCGTCTGAGTGATTGCCTGAATCATTCGCGGATCTGTACCAGCGGCATAACCTTGCGGGCCAAGAGCTGGGTTGGGATGCATGTTGAACCGTTCTTCTATCTCAGACGCAAATGATGACACGGACGATCTTCGCGAGACGTGGCTCTCGCGCCTCATCTTCAGCCGTGAAGTTGTCGTTGCAGCTCCGACATGCAGACCGGAGTCGTTAGGCGTCCGTGGCCGCTGGGCTACGTTCGCTCTGTAGGCAGAAGCTGGGGCAAGCGGTGGGCCCATAAAGCTTGGGGAAGCTGGGCGAAGATCCAGCGACCTCTTCTCGGCTGATATAACGGCTTCCCTGGTGTCCCCAGGCAAAGGAGTGTGGCTTTGGATGCTAGATGCCTGGCTAACGGCACTACCAGGCCTCAGGTGGTGAGATGGTAGAGACGCTGCTGAGGTTTGATGAGTCGGGCGAACCCTGGCTTTAGGCGTAGCGAAAGGAGAAGTATTTTGTTCCTTAGACTTATCGCTGTCTGGCGGAGACAAGGGCCGGGTGGTAATACGGTCCATCAAGATCTGATCAATTTGCTTGGACGACAAGATTGTCTGGGCACCTTGATCTGCCTGGTTGGAAGACGGAGATTGCCTCATATGACGCGAAACAGCGTTCCCAAATATGGTATTTAGGGGGAGTGAGGCGTCCGGCATTTCGTCAGCTGCATTGTTCAACGTACCCTCATCCGAGGTGTCTTCTGCAACCAAAAGCGACGACAATTCCGCTGCTGGATTGCTCTTGATCGCCGTTCTGCTAGATGCCGGTGTAATATTCTCGTCGGGAAGTTGAAGCAGAGGGACCGTGGCTGTCGTGGCTATCGGTGGGCTAAATTTGACTGGCACAGTTTCCACGGAGCTGACTTCGGACAGCGACACATGTGGCACCAGAGGAACTGGTAGTTCACGCGCTTGTGGTGGAATAGGCTCGGTGCATTCAGAGGCCATCAAAGAAATGGACAGGTCCGGAAGCGCTGCTTCAGGCACAGGCTCCTCCCGCTGTAGAATAGCTTCAATGGGTTCTGTTTGCTGCGAAGAAATAGAAGAGACCACGAGCTCTGGGGGCTCAACCTTAGGTGCGACTTGCTCCACGGCGAGTTCGGGCTGTGGCTCCCTCACCTCTAGATTAGCTGCCACCGGTTGCGTGTGCTGGGCGAAAATGGTGGACAAAACAAATTTCTGGGATTCCGTAGTGGTTTCCGTTACGACTTCTGACACTGGCTCTCTCTGCTCTGGAACGGCTTCAACGGGATCTGTCTGCTGCGACAAAATGGACGAAACGGCCACCTCTGGTGTCTCGGTATTAGTACCTTGCTCGGCCAGTGAAATCCGGGGAGCAGGTTCGGGGAGAACTGGCGTGATAGGCAGGGTATACTGGAAGTCTATTTTGGAGACAACCATATCTGCCACATATACAGGCTCGGGCTCAGGAAGCTTAGAATCCACTGGTTCCGTCAATTGTGAGCAAATAGAGGACAGTGTAAGCTTCGGCGGCTCGGGAGCAACAAATTGGACGGGTTCGGTAGTGACCTCAACAGCATATGACATGCTCAACTCAGGTGCTCTTGGTGCCACAGGAACGGTTTCCTGGAAAGAAACAGAAGAAACATCCATTTCAATGTTAGAAGTGTGGGTGAGAAGGCCATTCCGTGGGATGTCTACAGCGTATTGATCCGCTTGTTCCACTGCTGGCTCAAGGGGACTCCACTGAGTTGCCGCGTGCGCCAGTTTCCGGGGTTCCTCTGTTTCAGTAGCGGTGCTGGCATCGGACATCGCTGTCTTTGTGGATGCTGTAGGCAAACCACGAGTTTCTTCGCCACTGGTATTATCGACGCTAGCTGGGATCATTGCTGGCTCCCAAGGATCGGTCATCATTCCAGAATCAACCATGACAGGTTTGGGGTTCGCATCGAGCATGACCTCTGACGGTCGTCTAGAATCGGGTGTCGGGAGCATGCGCGGTGTTGAAGACTGCGAGGCCGTAGCGTAACGCATAGGGGGGCCGAAGTCACCCTCATCTTCATCGCCGTCTAGCTCCGCAAGTTCCATGAAGAGACTCTGTCCCTCCGAGCCCGCCAAGCCTTCGGTGAAGCTTGTTGCCGAGGATTCTCGCGCACTAGAAGGCCGGCTAACAGAAGCCATTGGGGCTTCACCTGAGGGACGAATCTTCCTCACTACGCTTCTCTTCTGTCTCAGTCGATATCTAGGTGAGGACATTTGGCTCGGCGACGGGAAACTCCCGTCGTAATCCTCATCCTCATCGCCCGAGGTCGATGCGGTACTTTGATAGGACGTCCTATCGCGGGCCTTGGCCATAGTCAAGGAGGATACCCGTCCGCGTGGGGTCAGCTGCAGCCGGTCTTCGGTCTCCGTCAGCTCATCGATATCCGTGCTATCGTCAGCCATGCTTTCTAAGCCGGTCTGGAACGCTTCGCTTTCGGTAGCAGTTCCTCGTTCGTTCGCCGTCTCGAAGGCATCGTCAGCTTCGGTGGCAGTCTGGTACGCATCGCTGGGTTCATCGGATGACTGTTCTCCTATGCGACCTCTAGACAACTTCACAGAAGCCCGGTGAGAAGGACTGGCATCGGTGGCATTATCTTCCCAATCCGAATCATGGATCTCAATTTCCGCCCTTTTCCGTCCAGCACCCAGCAGATCCGGCCGAGCAGTTTTCCTTGTGGCCTCAGCCTTGGTCTTCTGGCGCTTGCTTGCTGGGTTGGTCGGAGCGGCGGTCTCACGACGGCGCTGTTCTATCTCATCGCGAGCTTCTTGCAGCATACGTTTCAGATCAATTTTTTCGGTCTTCTCCCGATGAATAGTACTTTTGAGATTTTGAATCATGCGATGGGCATGACCAAGCGAACTTCGCAACGTCTCTGTTTCGAGGTGGTTATGCCGGGGAGTAAACTTGTTCGGAGATGGGGGAGGGGAATTCTCAGGTGTGGACTGATCTTGGTCGTCGGAATCGTGGCCGCCGGAGACCTCGCGCGTAGACTCCGTCTCGTGCTGGCGAAGTCGCATTGCCACTGCTCGCGCGAGTTCTTGGTTTTGTGCATTCAACTCCTCAACCTTTTGTTGAAGGGCGAGCCTTTCGGCATCTCCGGCATTGAGGTTTCTACGCAGGAGGTGAATCTCTGAATCGTTCGCTTTCTGAGCTGCCGTGTGGTCCTCGACCAATTTTGCGTTGATTTGCTTCAAATCCTCAAGCTCCCGTTCGACGGAACCTTTCTCAGTGGTCAAAGTACCGATGCTGCTGTTGAGTCTACTCTCGCGATCAGCCGCTTCCTTGACTGCGGCCATGAGCTCATGCGTCCGAGTCTCCAACGCCCAGTTCTCGTCTTTATAGCGCTCTTCGCTCTCGTCCAGTGCACGGATACGCTGAGCATATCCCTCTGCTTCCAACTCAAGCCTCGACTTCTCCAGGTTCACTGTCTTTAACGCCTCCTCACGCTCGGCAAGCAGTGTCTGTAACTGACGAACTTGGGCTAGAAGAGACGTCGATATCTCGGTAGCGAATTCGATGTCATGTACTCGGGTCGATGATTGGTTCCGTTGCTTCCGAGAGGGCACGCTCACTTTACTTGGAGAATTTGTTGCTTGGCCGGCGAATAGTGCTGGGCTGATTGGTGACTGCGAAGAACCATTAGCGATTTGCGCAAGCCCAGCACGGTTAATGTTGATACTCCAGCATACCTTTTGCTCGTACGGGGTCCCCAAATGGCTATCGTCGCCTCCCGCCATGCGCTTGGGGGCAAGAAATGCGCGCGTGGTTTCCCGGCCGATTTCATTGTATTCTCGTTCCAAGTCCGCGAGCTTCTGACGAAGGTCTGGCCCAATTTGGCCCGCCTCCTGCTGCTGTTCAACTTCCTTCAGCTTGTCTTCTAGTTCCTTCTGCTGCTCGATTAGAGCAGTGCCTAGCTTGCTCGCCTCCTCAAGTCTGCGCTCTGTCTCTGCCAGATGCGCCTCGAGGGCTCGTTTTGCTTGTGCCGGCGAGGATGCATCAAGACTGAACAGCTGCGTGTCAAAGGACGAGTACCTATGCGACTCGCGAGGAGCAGCGCCCCCTTGGGACTTGGAGATGAAAGGATCTTCGATTGTCGACATGTTGCCAGTTGCCCTTTATCCACCATCCGTAGTACTGTTGATCGTTCGGCCTGAAGATGTGGCCACTCTCGCCGCTGATCGATCCGCAGGCTGTGCCTGAGCCCGTAGGGTGAGGGTACAGCCGCCGTCAAAAGCCCGCACACTCGTCGCCTCGTTTCTCGTTTCCTCGTTTCAAATCTCGGTCATCCTCCGGTCTGCGACGATTTCTTTGCCGGCCTGCTTATTCTTAGTTCCTTTCACCTTCAAAGAGCATTTGGTGAGCCGACCTGCGACCCGATCTTCGCAAAACCTCGAGCTAGAAGCGTATGCGACTGCAGGGCAGAAAGGAGTGCGCGCCGTCGATCGTCGATCGCAAAGAACAACAACACAATCGGATCGTTTGCGATGCTGAGAATCGAAATTGGCGGTTACGCTTCGTTTGTGACGAAGAGACTCGGCCCAGGTCCAAGAACCAGTTCCAGCGAAACTCCCGACAACAAACGCGGAGTGGGCGTAACGAAACCGTGTGCGTGCGACGAGGTATGCGCCTTCGGGAACGGGCAACGGCGATGATTTGGTCTTGCCGCGAAACAAGGAGCCAAGAATTGGGCGCCGAAGAACCAAGGGTGGAGGGGATACGGAATTACGGGTACAAGCGGATGCGATGAAGCGCCCACACCAAGACAGGAGATAAGATGCCCAAGATAAGTAGGTATTAAAGGGGAATTGGGGAGAAAAATGCAGAAAACAAATAAGAAAAATAGGGAGGATAAGAAGAGAAGGAAGGACCTGGGTTCAATGAGAACGGAAGGATAGAATAAGAAAGGAAGGCAAAGAGAGAAGGCAGAAAATACTAAGTAGGAAGGAAGAAAGACTCAAGGAAACAGGAAGGGCAATGGGGGGGGAGAGGGAGTGATTCAAGGCAGTGAGTGCCAGTTGTTGTTGTTGTTGGACAACGAGACGAGGACGACTCGTTCGTTGGGCGGGGGAACAAGAGGGAGAGAGGGAAGAGAGTCAGTCCGTCAGCCCGTCAGTCAATCGGCACGCAGTAGGGAGGGACGGCCAGGAGACCGGCCACGGCAGGGGAATCGGGACCGTTTGCCTCAGGTTCGCCTCGGCCAACACGATCCGTCTAGTCGCGGCCAGGCTTGTACCAGGATGGTAAGGTCCTCAAGGCTAATGGCAAATAATTCCAGGAATTATTGTGGGCAGCAGGCCTAACAACGATGCCTGAATCATTAATTGATCGGATACGTAATGGCAATGCTGGCCGATTTGGAGGGGCCGTCAGGGATCTGGATCAATACCACAACAAGGATGATAGGGATAGGTCACGATCTACCGGACTAGGGGACTGTCATCAGTTAGCTCCCTTGGAACCAGACAAAGACACAGAAGGTTATTTGGATGTCCACAAGTACAGATATAGGACTAAGCCTCCCGCAGGCGTAGGTAAACATTTAAGTTGAGGGTGATCACAACAACGACAACAACATCCCAGATTACCCGGAAATAATACCGTCCTACGCGTAACCGCCCGACCAAAGCAGCAATATGCACTAGGCTTGTTTGGGTGGATGTATGTTTGCCGGGTTTGCATGTATATCATGCCTCAATTGGTTGCCTCCTTTCCCAATGGTCACCTGACACCGGTCGGGCCCATAGTCATGTGACCATGGGCAGGGGAGTACCTAGTAGATGATGCTCACAATTCTTATCCTTTGGGATGATGCGGCCCATATGGGTAGATACCGTTCAATGAAAATCACGTTGTTTTGCATATCAAAGACGACCACAAGTCAATCCCATATGATTCGCCACTCCATTATTACCCTTCTGCAAGGTCGTCATTGAGGGATTGCACCATTGCAAAACCGACTTTGATGATCGCGATGCCCGTTCATAATGAATGACCTGATGACTAGTAAGTCCATTTGTGCTGTCTGAACTGGTTTTAATGATGTGCATTTCACTGTCTACCCTTTGTTTAGGTCCTGTATACTTTCACTAAGACCGTTCTGGGCTGTGTCTCATGAGCTAGTGGCATAATCTCGAATCAGCTGGATTCTAACTTAAATTTGACACCCTTGCATATATATATGTAAATGTGCCGGTGCTTTTGCGGCCACGCTATCTTACATCTGGTTTTAGCGTTTTGAGGCACTGCTAGTAGCTCTCGAGGAATACGGACATCAAACTCTACCAATGACATATAAGTTAACAGCTCTCTCCTATAGAGATAGCCCCAGTCGTCAAATCACTGATATTCTGGTAGTACTATTTACCAGGGCTGCGATCTCATGTCACTCTGAAAGTCTCGATTTTAAATCGACTGTGATGTTCATTTAAGAAACGTTGTGCTAATCCGGATCTTCGAATCCCTTGGGCTGGGAATATGGGCAAAGAACAAAATCCGCAAATTAGTCTGAGGCTTGGTGCGGCGGTAATAGTGTTGATTGGATATTGATTGTTAGCATTCCCTAGCCATTCAAGATCCACACAGGGTCTACATGGTGATTACCATCCTAGGTAGAACATAGATATATTTGCCCAGGGGTGGGTTAAACGCTTTGCTTAGGGGTTTGCAGGCAATACCCTGCTGCATATAATCTAACTACGATCTTAGCAGTACGACTACTAGATCTGAAAAGACAAAATATCAATGCCAATGGCGAGTATAGAACTTCTTTCACAGTCTCGCTTTGAACAATTGATTATGACGTGGCTGCAAGTCCCATGACTTATCCACAGCCAATTTTGAGAATAAGAGGCCAGACTGCATTCCAGTAGGACTGAATACTGAATTCCTAAATAGGGGATACCTAGAGGGGCAGCTTTCGTATATTAAAAGTTGATAATATTCAAGTATGCTGGCATAATCCTCACCAAGCTTGTATGCATGTCCCAGAAATTCATCACTATCTGTCAAGACGTGAGCTCCTCATGCGCAGCCAATCCAGGATATGACATGATACTATGACCGACTATTATCCTCAGGCACGCTGTAACCCGGAATTCTTTTAGCCAGCCACTGCCAGCTAAACTAGGAGCATCTAAATAGTAACAGGTAATTATAATATCTCAGGTCGTCCTTCCATTAAGTATTTCTCAAATAATGAGAAAGGTTGACTGGAACTCTTATGCAACTACTCTCCCCCATTTCTCATCAGTAGTGATTGGTGGTAAGAGCAAAATGTCTCCATAGGTGGGGCCTTTTCTGGTAGATGTAAATAGATGGGTATGAAATAAATGCCTAGCATAGCATCTGAATTCTTCTACTTGCTTCCCCGCGCGCCCTATTCAGATGCTCGAGTGCCAGTACAAGGCCAGTACAAGCCGCCGTTGGTTGATTTCCCTTTATATGGACGCTATTTTTAGATTCTGAGTTTCACTAGAATTGACCCGCAACTAATTATCGAAATGGCGCTTACCAACGCTTGACTTATAAGTCATGGGAAGATCAGCTGATCGGAGAGCGAGACGAGAGAATAATAAAACTGGGGTAAAGAAACCGAGAAGGAGAACCGAGACCAGATTGGCGGGGCGGCGAAACGGAACTAAACCCGAGGCGTTCCTAACTTCGCATTCCCTAGCGAGAATTTCCCCGGCTGGGGGGCAGTCTTATTAGTAGCAGAGGAACGCACAAATGGTACTTCCATTTGCCATTTTCATTACCCCGTTGTCCACGTAGCCGAGCGACTCCTGTCAGCTGTCTACCGCTCTTTACATCAGTCGAGATGTGGGAACGGTGCTGCCGATCCGGAGACTGCCAACCGTGACGCCTGGCAATCTAACCGAACCGATACGTGGAATGAGCCATTTGAATTGTGGCTGATATATGCAAACCATGGCAGATGGCGTTGCCGCTGCGAGGCACGATATTAGCCAGAGATATTCGTGGTGCCCACGTACGCGCAATGGCCCCCGCGACCTCATCCACAAGCGGTCCGTGGTTTAAACGGACAACCCAGGGCATAGGAGGCATCGATCTCTTATCCTTTTTTTTTTTAAAAAAAAAAAAAGGGCTGGATAAGAGGAAGAATTAGACGTTGAGTTCCTCACGATCAGCTGCAAATTCAGAGTCAGAAGGCAATATAATATGCATAGCAAGTACGGAGTAAGCACTATGGTAGATACATAGAGACTAGAGAGGTGACATCAGGGGAACTTGGCATGCAGGTGTAGTCGAGAGTCGAGCCTGTCAAGCACTGGACTTTGGAGCCACCGAGGCAGTTCCAGTGTGCCCACCTGCGCTAGGAAAATTTGGCGCCTGCCAAGCTTCCCCGCTAAGGCCGCTAAGTGAAAGTAGTTCCCTTAAGGTTTGCGATTGTCCCTGAGAGAAGCAGCCAACTGCCACACAATAGCAACGATGTTAACGCGTGGCCGGCGAGTGGGGATCCATTGGCTCCACTCTTCCATCCCGCGCCCATGGAAGTTGCCTACTCCATCCATTCTGGTATGGTTAAGAGGGGAAGGAGTAGAGAGCACGGAGTACCTACCCTACCTAGAGTTAGTAGAGACACAGATGGAGGGCGAAAGGTAGGAGACAGTGTTCAACTTAGCGTGCAGTAGGGTGCCTACTAGTACCTATCTTAGTCTGCGTTAACGCATATTGTCTGTCTGACTGTCTCATCCTGTTCGCACCGCCCCCCTCCTCCGTCTGGCTTCTGCCTGCGCAGCATGACCAGGCCTGTCTTCTCTTTTCCCGTTTCTTGCATGTATTATCTATGACCTTGGCCCCTCCTTTTGATTCTCGGGAACACTCTATTCACTTCTTCACCCTCCTCGATACCCTCCGATTCCGTCCTTCCTTTGTCCTCATCTAAATCGGAGATTTGCTTATGGTTCCCAACTGTGTGGTGAATACATTCTTTAAAATCAGTCTCGTCACACCCTGAAAGACTGAACTGCCATACGTTTACCACGACTTTCCAGTACATGATCTCATTCGCTTTCAACTAACTCATCTTGGGAAAGCCCTGTGCCGTGGGCATAAGGTGCTGACTATCAGCAAACCACCATGAGATGGGGCGCTCGCGTTGCCTTATGTGCTATTCTGGCACTCCTCTTGCCGTTGTTTATTTTGAAGAATCATCTCGAAGACCTCTGCGATCAGTACCGCGCAGGCGCGTATGTGATCGATTGGCTAAATCTGGGGTCCACCAGAAAAGGGGACATTTTCCCTCAACGAGTCGAGCAAGGTGATAAAGTGATCGTGATGGCCAGGTTGCAGGAGGAGCACACTGACTGGGTCGAACAAGAGCTACCCGAGTAAGTGCTGCTGTATATGTTTATATATTTCAAAACCACTGATGATGTCTCCTACTAAAGCTGGCAACGAGCCATCTATGTCGTGAATCCCTCCAAAGCAGCCGCAGCCGACAGCCGACAACTCACAACCCCTTTGAATAAAGGCCACGAGTCCATGGCCTATTTAACCTACCTGATTGACAACTATGACAGCCTGCCGGCTACAATTGCGTTTCTCCACTCCCATCGATCGGGCTTCCTGATGGCATGGCATGTAGATGCGCCCTTGCACGATAATGTCCTTGCGATGAAAGACCTACAACTTGACTTTGTCCAACAAAATGGCTATGTCAATCTACGCTGCAATTGGAACCCCGGGTGTAAGCAGGACCATCGCACGAACCGACATGTGACAGAAGAAGTGTTTACAGACATCTTTGAGGGCACAAGCACCCCACCTATAAACTCTACAGGTATCTCAACCATGCAAGACCAATTTGAGCTGGCGCAGGATCAGGAATTTTTGCGAATGCCAAAACGGGTTGCTGCGGCGTGCTGTGCGCAATTCGCTGTGTCGAGAGAGCAGGTACTCAAACGACCGAGAGAAGACTATCTTAGGATTCGCCAGTGGATTATTAATACAGACAAGGATGACGCCAGTAGTGGTCGAGTGATGGAGTTTCTATGGCATGTCATCTTTGGTAAAGAATCGATATAGTATGTGACTTCATGTCTCCTTTCTGTCCTTCTGAATGCAACAGAGCTAACTTAGAACCACCAGCTGCCCTGATGAAGAAGTCTGCTACTGTCAAGTATATAGGCGATGCTGACCGCCGAACATGCCATTGTTGCCACTACATACATTCTTTTCCATACCCCCAGCTATCTGTCAGGTCTTCTTTCTCGGCATTTCTTCTTTGTTTGTATACATAGTGGCCCGAGGGGGTTAGTAGTATAGATAATCGGAAGGCAGAGCCAAGGAAGATGGACCTGTGTAAAAGAGTGAATCTGCTTGATGAGACCACACTTGAAAAAGGAATATATGCGTTAGAGCGTGACATCAATTATATTTGGACATCAACTGTATTGGGAAAAAATCACTAACTGGCTGTTTGGCTATGAGTGACTGTATTCGGAGTTATATGTTCATGCGTCTCAGCATCCTCCTCATAACGCTCAACAGTATATGCAAGTTCAACGCATTTTGAATCCTGTGGCAGCTGCTCTGCAGGGATGGAGGCCTTGAGGGCCTTTTGATAACACAATAGGAATGTTTGATGGTCCGTGTTTCTCATGCCGAGGCCCTTATGGATGTCGTCCTGCTGCTCTCGAAAATGGCGGTATAATAGATAGGTGCGCGGGAATCCTCGAAGACATTCTGGACAAACAAACCTTATTGATGTGTGCTCAATGATTTTACTGAGTGTTATGCTGCCTTTGCAAGCTACCCATGTTGGATTGAAAGAAAACCAGGGGCCGGTCGACATGACCATGCTTTAATATTTGGGTTTCAACAGGACTAAATACTTCCTATGTCGGATCTATACTGCAAGTGCCGGGGTATCGACAACCATGACTGCCAACACCTCCTAGTACTTATGTGCCGCCTGTTATATCGAATAGACAGGCACCGTATTCATTACCTACTTACGAACACTACGTACAAAGATCGGCTGCATCTATACATGCCTGGCTACTATCGCTAGTGGCTTGGAGCAATTGGCCATCCAATCCTCCAGCCTAGTCTATTTCAAAAACGCTAACTGGATCCGAAGGTTTGCGAATGGAAACCCGCTTCCTCCTCTCCCTGGCTTCATTTAGAAGTTTACCCAGTTCCTTCTCGTCGAACCGCCCTGCACGTATTGACTCCGCTATCTGATCCAACGCCACACATCTCCACCCTGCCCGAACCACTGCAGCCATCGCTGGCGGCCCAAGGGACTTGAACTCGGTCCAAGTGAAGCGGTCATAGAAACGGTCGCGAAGAAATGTTATCATCAGATTGTTCGGTCCTCTTTCGGCGTCGGCGAAGAATATGACCTAACCCGCTATTAAACTAGGCATCCTACAATGCAGGTGTGTTCCTAACCTGTTCCTTCTGGATGTCGCTCCTAATTGATCCTAAGCATTGCTTAATCCAGCATGGCATCAAGCTAGCGAAGCAATCCATGACAATTTGGAGCATGCAATCAAGAGTGGAGCGAGATGCGAGACAAATTCGGTAAACCCAGAAATCTTGTATGCCGTGGCCTTGAGGAGCAGGATGCATGGTCAGAGTGCAAAAATATGGGGCACTTTATATAGCTGCATGAGGACTGTATTGATTGTTGCGTTTATCTATTAGATTCTTTCGTAGCGTATACGCTAAAGTTCGAACTAGAACTTTAGTGCTAAAGTTATAACTCGATTTTCATGAGCGGACAATCTGGGGATACGTAATTACCTCACTGCATATGAAAACATCATTAGTTTCCAAACATGCCTTGGACAAAGGTGTCTAATTTGACTCTTAGCCTGGGAAAGTTGCCAGCCATGACCAATAATGCTTGATTACTGGACTGAGATGGGATTCGCGCTAATATGTATAAGGACCCGCCGCTAGATTTTTCTCCAATCATGGGTTAAGACTGTATGACATAAGATTTATCGACTAACGTAATCGGTAAGCGAGCCGCCATTGTAAGCGAGCCGCCACCTCCACCCGATTTCCATGACTAGGTGACATTCAAGCGCCTTTTTGCCAACAAAAACAATTGCATTTCTATATAAAACTAAATACTAGGTGGATTAGGACATATAACCCTAGTATGCCCCCGAATATGACAATTAGAACACTGCGGTGGCGCGCGTACGCGTGGTCCAATTGCAGGAAGCTTGTCAAACCCTAGGATCGCTTCCCTGTCCCTGTTAGCTTAGCTTCACTGGTATACGTACCGTCGAACTGAATCGAGGAGGTATCAGGCTGATGACTATCTAGAAACACTGGTCTTGGACAAGAGAAGAGAAGTAAGGCCGAATAGTGCCGCGCAGCTATCCGTAAGTAAGTGCGGACGAGTGTTGTCGCTAAGCTTCTAAACGTATGGTTACTTAAAGATGAATGTATTGAGCACGAAGAACAGAACTAGCTAAGTACATGAAAGAGTGTCCTTATATATCCTATCCTTCGTATACCAAGTCGTATACCTTCCCGTATACCGTATACCATATACCATATACCCGTTTGTATACCATTCCATATACCCGTGGTCACGTAATGCGTAGCTGTTCCGGGTGTCGGTTACTCAGATCGGGATTCTACTTGATAAGAGTTGCTGTCCGTCCGGACGTTGCCTTCTGCCTGACGAGTCCGCCTTACTAGTAGCTTTTAACTAGCAGGGGTCCGTAACATCCTTCTACTAAGAATTGGCGGATTGGGTGATATAGTCTCTTGATTTTTGACAGGCACGACTCCTATTTAACTACAGAATTTGATAATATATATAATTAAAATAGCATTATTTCTATCTATATGCCTCCGCATTCTTCATATTTTTGTTAACCGCTTGACGTTGCTTGCTTTACACTGTTAAAATAAGTGTATAAAAGCTTGATAGAACGGCTAATCTGCCAGGGCGTTTATTATATTGATAAGGTTAATTTCTTGGATATATACTCAGAAGCACGTTTTCTTATCTTTAAAGAATCAATTATTTGCAACGCCTTTAAGGCTTCAGGATTGGTTCTATTCTAGCTGGATGAAGTCCTTGGTAGGCTGATTATACAGCTCTGTGAGCCAATTTTAACTGGCAGTATTATCACTATATTAATAGTGCTAAAAACGCCCAAGAACATGAAGCAATTGTGGAGGCACGAAACTATAATTGAAAGGCTTCTTTATAAATATACAATCAGCCTGTTCTCGCAGATGAAAGCAGTGTTATCTTATATTATAAAGGGATGTGAAATTGCCTTTAACTGGGCTGCTTTGCTTGAGCAGGAAGTTAATAAATTACAGACTGGATTGGAGAGATAAAACATTAAGAACAAGAGATCTTATTACTAAATGGCTGGTTTAAACGGCCTCACTGTTGATGAGGCCAAAAACGCGTTTAAAAGAATTTGTGAAGCTGGTGATGTTGGTGGAAGTCAGCTTGAAGGATCAGCTGCCGGCGAGGAACAACCTCGCTGCCGGGCACCACCTCGCTGCAGCGAGTGTAATACAATTGGGCATACAAGAACAAGATGTCCTACACGTTAAAACACCAATTAAACACGTTATTTTATTAATATATAGTGTATAAAAGCTTCATCTTTTCATGGAAGGCTGTTTGGGTGGGCGCGGGTGCCGGCTCGCTTACACTGCCGGTTCGCTTACCGATTACGTTATAATTCATGGCGGGGCAAACAGACCTTGACATGTGACTTGGTTCCTGCCCCACGTCAAGTTTGGGCATGAAAGCCGAGACAAACCCTCGGGAGTCCGCGTTTGCACTGGGTTCAAGGGAGCACCAGAAGCGCAGGACAAATCATCGCTTCCCACACAGGTCACGTGGCACGTGACTTGACGAGTGACCTTGAATAATCATTCAAAGCATGACGCTCAGCTTTTCAGATTCGCAAAAGCGGGGTCCTGCGAATCAGTGGTCACGCAAATAATAGGAGGTGGTTTGGAGACGCTAGAAGAACGCTAAAAAGAAGAAAGAAGGGCAGGTGGTTCGTGTCACATCCGAGGTTTCCCCGGCAACGTTTGTGCCAGTCTAGCCTGCCTAATTTGTTGTCAAGTGAGCACGTGACAGCCCAGTGCTCAGATTCAATTTCACCCCGCAATCACCTGGCATTAGTTATCTAGGACCACTGCAGCCATCGTTGTATCGCTTTTCATGACTCGAGATCTCACGCAGCGCCGTATTCTTAACTGGCTGGACACTATTGTCCCGGTGCCCGACATCCAATCGTCCGAGCGACCATGCAAGCGTTTGAGAGTTGATAACGACGAGTATGTCCATAGCGAGTACCCTAGACAGATATTGAACGGAGATCGAACAACACGGCTTCGAACGCCCCAGACTCTGGCTCAGGTTCTATACCTTTGTTATCCAAACTGTCAAACATGCCGCCAGCGCGCCGCACGAACCAGTCCGACAACACGCGTGACACCCTACCGGAGGAAGATAACGAAGGACAAGAACACGGACAAGTGTCGAGCGGTTTAGGCCTTCAAGTAGAGCTCACTCCTCGCCCTCGCCGGAAAGCTTCCGCGATGGACAACGGCTCCCCGATCTCTTGGTTACCCTCTACCTCGAGCCGATCATCATCAAAGGCCTCGTCCAAGGCTTCGAAAATCACCCGCAACTCATCCCCCACCAAGCAGCTGCGCAATGCAGAGCTCGAGGAGACCGGATTTTTGAGAGCGGACCTCCGCAACGACACGAAGCCGAGATCACTTGATGCGTTAACCACGGGATTGGAGAGGATAGTTAGTGGCTTTGGGATCCTTCCAAGGGACCTCCAAGATGATGTACGAACACATTTTGTTGATTTTGGCTTCGTTCCACGCTAACATGTGTATGACCGCATTCACAGCTCGCAGATCAGCCTTCGATCGCAGCCTGGAATTTTGGAGATAGTGTTGATTTTAAAAAGTCCCAATTACCTGATATACGCACTGTGCGGAAGATCTATAACCTTGCAAGCAGGTGTTTTAAGAATAACCACCCCGAGTCGTCTTGGAATAATGATGTGCATTCACGTATCCTGGATTGGCTTCTTCGAGACAGCCCCGGCGGTGATGACCTTATAGACTATCGATGCTGGTATGTCCTGCTTCTAAAAACATTGATCTATAAGTGTGCTAACCCACTTGCAGCCTTACAGCCCAGATTGTCCCTGAATACCAACCCCGCAAATCACCCAGCAAGATGGTGGACTACTGCATCTGTATACAGCCTGCGACAAACTCGCCACAATACCAAGCCATCCAATCCCTCTGCAAATATCGACCGGCAATGTCAATCAACCATACAGATTGGGCTGACCTGACTAAGTATCCTATCGCTGTCTCAATAGAGACTAAAGGCCCTAGTATAGGTTACGAAACTGCACTACTACAGGTGGCGACATGGCACTCGGCTCAGTGGCGCAGTTTGCACTGGGATACAGATGGTGACGTTTTGGCATCCTCTGGGAATATTGATTTTTTGCCTGGCATCGTCGTGATGCAGCACCACTGGTGGTTCGTGGCAACTGCCTTGAATCAGAGTGGCAAAGCGCAGACGTTTGAGCGACTGCTGTTGGGAGAGACTGAGTCGATACTTGGCATCTACAAGTTATTTTTATCCCTTCAAAGGCTGGTTAACTGGACTAGGGACCAATACTGGGTGACATTCCAGACCAGCGTTTTGGGCCTTTGACCATTTCATGGACTGCAATAACAGAATACTCTGTACGGCACACTATTTGTCTCCAGACCTCTATGCCTCTGGCTGCTCGGCAACAGCCCTGAATGACAGGAGAATGGTGCCTCCTGCTCTGAAATGCATGGCACACCTGCTCTGTTCTTGCATCCGGGGTCAAATGCTAGAATATAATAAAATTACTAAATTGGGGAGGTCTTCTTTATGGGTTTCGCGAAGTAACAGGCAGTAAATATTATTAAATACTTCCAGAAGATCTTGCTTCTGAAGACTGTATTAGAAATAATTAAACCCCTCCTAATCAAACTTTATAAATCCTTCAGTTTGTATGTTAAAAATCTGGAGTCGCAATCTCTACTATAGCTTTCAGAATTCTTATCCCTCTTACCTGATCTCAGATACCTCTTTCCGAGTTTGGTACTGATTTGTGATCCTTTATCCTATCCTACTTAAAGTAATACTTGCTATTTACTGATGGTTTATTGAATCCTTGTATATCTTTAATATTATAAGAAAGCTTAAATAGTCCTGCTCAGTAAGAGATTCATTGCTGAAGATATGATTGAATTTAGCCTAGATAGCTAGTATTTAGAGACTGGATTTAAAATAAGGAAGTATATAAAAGTATCCTCTAAAAATAAGTAAATATTTGGGAGTAAAGACTGTATGAGAGCAGCTAGATAGCATAATTCTAGCTAGTATTAGTAGGCAGGAGTATTTCTGGGTAGGGAGACTTATAGAAAATCTCTAAATATAATTGTCAAACCCTAGGATCGCTTCCCTGTTCCTGTTAGCTTAGCTTCGGTTCGAATACGTACCGTCGAACTGAGTCGAGGTAGTGTCAGACTGGTGACTATCTAAGGGCAACTGGTCTTGAACCAAGGAAGAGAAGTAAGGCCAGATAGTGCCGCGCAGCTATCCGTAAGTAAGTACGGACGAGTGTTGTCACTAAGCTTTACCAAAACGTATGGTTACTTAAAGACAGTGTTATTGAGCACGAAGAACAGAACTAGCTAAGTACATGAAAGAGTGTCCTTATATCCTATCCTCCGTATACCAAATCATATACCATTCAGGGTAGATCGAGGGTCGATCTAATCATGTTCCTGGATTCCAGTATACCTCGCGTATACCCTTGATGGTAGATCCGATGGTAGATGATCACGTGACACAACGCCACTCCGGACGTTACTCAGACCGGGATCCTACTCGATAAGAGTTGCTGGTCGTCCGAGACTTGCCTTGTCGACGCTTTCTGCCTAACGAGACCGCTCCGCTAGTAACCTGGCTAGCAGGGGTCTGTAACACCTTACTTCTCTTCTCTTGTTTAAGACCAGTCCTTCCTAGATAGTTATCAGTCTGATACATCCTTGATTCAGTTCGAAGGTACTGTTACAGACCCCTGCTAGCTGAACGACTAGCAAGGCGGGTACGTCAGGCAGAAGGCTACGCCCGGAGGGACGACCACTCTTATCAGGTAGAATCCCGAGCTGAGTCATCACGTATTACATGTTACATGACCATGGTATATGGACAAGCATGTGGTATACAGCATACCATCATGGTCTATAACTACCGGACAGGTATATGGTAGACCTGATGGTATATGGCATGGTATGCAAGGGATAGAATATATAAGAACACTTTTTCATATACTTAGCTAGTTCTGTTCTTCGTGCTTAATAACACTGTCTTTAAGTAATCATATATTTTGATAAAGCTTAGTAACAATACTTATCTGTACTTACGGATAGCTGCACGGCACTATCTGGCCTTACTTCTCTTCTCTTATTCAGGACCAGTTCTCTTTAGATAGTCATTAACCTGACTTACCTCGATTTGGTTCGAAGATACGTATTAGAACAAGAAGCTGTTACGGACCCCTGCTAGCTGAACGAACTAGTAAGGCGGACTCGTTAGGCAGAAGGCTACGTCCGGAAGGCGAGGACTCTTATCGAGTAGAATCCCGATCTGAGTAACCTGCAAACCAGGACGGTTACACAGCACGTGACCACGACGGACATGTCACCGACATGCTATAACATGGCAGCGCTATAACAGGATATAGCAGCACTATAACAAGACATGGCAGCGCTATGATATAATATATCAGCAATATAACATATCATGGCGACGCCATGACAAAGGATAGGATATAAGAACATTCTTTCATATACTTAGTTAGTTCTGTTCTTCATGCTCAATTTATATTATCTTTAAGTAACTATATGTTTTGATAAAGCTTAGCAACAACACTTATCCACACTTACTTACGGATAGCTGCGTGGCACTATCTAGCCTTACTTCTCTTCTCTTGTTTAGATCAAGTCATCTTTAGATAGTTAACAACCTGACTACCTTTGATTCAGTTCACAAGGTACGTATTGGAACGGGAGCTAAGCTAACAGGAACAGGGAGAAGCGATCCTAGGGTTTGACACATAGTTATTACTAATTATCTTATTAAATATATCTATCTTATATTAAATAAGATAATAATAACAGTAATACAGATAGTAGAACTGTTTTTAGAAAATATTATTATATATTATAAAATACTAAAGTATATCATATTAAACTGAGACAAGTGTTACAGACCCCTGCTAGCCAGGTTACTAGCAGAAGCGGACTCGTCGGGCAGAAAGGTAACGACCAGGAAGGACTCAGGCAGCCAGCAACTCTTATTGAGTAAGATCCCGGTTAGGGTAACACCCGAGGTAATACTGTGTCACGTGACTATCTACCATCAGATCTATCATTAAGAATATATGATATGGTATACAGAATCCAGAAACATGATTAGATTAATCCTTGATCTACCCTGAATAGTATATGAAATAGTATACAAAGAATAGGATATAAGGACACTCTTTCATATACTTAGCTAGTTCTGTTCTTTGTGCTCAATCAACATTATCTTTAAGTAACCTATATTTTGGTAAAGCTTAGTGACAATACTTGTCTGTACTTACTTACGGATAGCTGTATGGCACTATCTAGCCTTACTTCTCTTCTTCTGTTCAGATCAAGTCATCTTTAGATAGTCAACAGCCTGACTACCTTTGATTCAGTTCACAAGGTACGTATTGGAACGGGAGCTAAGCTAACAGGAACAGGGAGAAGTGATCTTAGGGTTTGACACATTAAGCATCAGTCAGTACGAGTGTTATCCAGTGATAACCAGTCATTATATTAACTATATTAAACATATCGCGAGCGCCTCAGCAGCAGGGCCTGATAACTAAAGAACTGATAAACATGGTTGGTTAGCTACAAGAAAGTGTCACTGTCTTAAAGTAAAAGAACCAGTTACTTGAAGGTTGCTTATCAGTCAAATCTGTTAAGGTCTGACTATCTGAGCTATTTGACAGCAAACGAGCGAAGCTCAGAGCTTTCTTAACCCAGTTAGACTTGTACCTCAACATGAATAAAAAAAAGCTCAAGAATAAGAAGAACAAGATCTTTTTCGTGTCTACTTATCTTACTAGAGCAGTATTTAATTAGTTTAAACCATATATCCGCGAGCGATAAGAAAAGTCAGTAAGTAATCAGGATAATAATATAAAATAACTTTTCACTAATTATACCAGATTTAAACAGTGTTTTAAATAGATATTTAAAGACATTAATACAGTATAGAATACTGAGTAAAAGTTATAATAACTTAAGCAGATAAGATCAGTATCTATATATACTTTAGAGTTTCAGTAAGTCATCAGTTACCTAGACTAGAATAATAATACTTATATTTTACAATTTAAAAAAAGATTTAAAATAAAGATTTAAAAAAAGATCATTTAGTAAAAACGACCGGACACCTTGGCCAAGATAATCAAAGCAGCTGTGAAGATCGATAATAAGTTATATAACTTTAATATAAAATAATAAGAAGATTAGTAAACCAGCGAGTCTACATCTTAACACAATAACCAGCCAGGTTACCGAGTCAATAATGGAAGGTCAGCATAACCTAGAAGCTTGGGATACAAAGATCCCTACAGGCCGAAGCCCATGGAGCTGGATGCAGCACAGCATCAGACTCAAGAGACTCGAGTGTCTAAGGAGGAACTCGAACGGCGTAAACAAGACCACTTGTGCTTCAGCTGTGGCAAAGCAGGTCACCAGTTAAAGGACTGTAGTTAGAAACAGTCTCAGAAGCAATTGAGAGCTACGAATCAAGATCAAGACAGAGGAGTCTATGATATCACCGCCATTCAGCACGAAGTTTGGACAAAATCTGTAATATAGATATTAGATAGTAAGAAGCTACATGCTATTCAGCATGGTCAGCTGTTAGAGGACAGGACATACTATGATTAGTTAAGATAACAGGCCACACTGGATGAGTTAATAGTACTATCTAGTTAATAAAAGGATTAATGATTATCTGTACCATTAATTTAAACTATAAAAGTCAATAATAATAATTATAAGCTAGTTTTAAGGAATAACTATCCCAGTATAGTTTAGAATGAAGATAAATTATTAGATAAAGAGTACAGTATACTGCTTGAAGATTTTGAACCTAGTAAGAAAAGACTTAGCAAGATACCTAATACCTTTAAAAAATCTTTATTAGAAATTAGTAAACTCTGTTCATCACAGTGAGATAAGGACAAGAAAAACTAGAAGAATGATTAAAAAAACATTACTTACTAGTTAAACCATATCTTAAAAAAGATCTTAGAGAATCCAGCATGATTCTGTCTAAAGTTTAAGATAATCATACAGCATTGCCTACATTAAGATTTAAAATATTGAGAATCATAAAACAAGACTTGGAAACAATATTTATAAAGATATTCTTATTATCTAGAAATTTATTTAATATATGGACGCAATAATACAGACTATTATTACTAATTATTAAAGATTAATCAGAAAATAAATATTGCGGGAACAGAGTCTTGATATAATAAACCATATTTATATATTTATTTCAAAGAAAGTAGAGATTATTAAAAATATAATAAACTTTTTTAGCTTGTATACTATATAAATATATACTTAATATACCATAATTAGAAATACATCACCAACTACCAATCTAAGATACTGGAAGTAGTTAAGGCTAAGATAAGTCACTATCTATATTCTATCTTTAAATACATATATAAAGAGTATTAGAGACACTCTTACCATAAATTAATATATTGATTAGCATATTTTAATAATCAGTATATAATATACTACACGGTAAAGATAAAAGGCTCAAGATTTCTAAAAAGATATTTATAATAGTTAAAACTTAACTAGCTAAAATAGCAGTTAATAGCTACAGAATTAAGACCAT